CTTGGGCCACAACTGTGTAAACATAAAAGTCTAACTTGCTCAGTGATTAATGGATAATCTCCCCTTTCATGACCTGCCAATTTCCTCCCAGAGCTAGAAACGTGTTACGCCCCTGAAAGTAATTTATCGGGTTTGCAACATTTTTGCGCGAGTTTGTGTTGTTCAAAGCTACGGACACAATTCTCTGGAAATCTGTAATTAGTGTATTGACTCGATCAGTTGAGCCTCACTCTTTCAGGAGCTGCTGTGTAATGTCGAGTGAGTCACCGCCATTGTGTTGTCTTCTGTTGTTTGTCCTGCTGTGATGAGGAATGTTCTACATCTTTTATTTTACCACATCTTCCATCCAAATTTGTTTTTACATAACCACGGGCATATTTTTCACAGATAGCTGGAGTTATGCAGACTGCTTGGATTTTTTACCCTCCGAAGTGAACTGTATGGTTGTCAATAATGTCTAGATTTATTAATCAGAGCAAGAAAAAAAAAAAGTCTGCCACCCCCCCTTTGAAGCGAAGAGCTATTTTTGTACCCCGTAAACTGAAAGTGGGACGCAAGAAGAAAAAAGAACTTTCACATCAAGAACTAAATGGGTCACCTTGAGTGGAGCACTTGGCAGTAAGGTCCTATTGGGAGCTAAAGAAAGAGTCGGAGAGATGCAGAGAGGACACACGTTCTCCTGTTTTAGTGTAAAAGTTGTCCTTGTCCCCTGACAGACGTGGGCTATTTCTAGTCCTAACACCGCGTGCAGACCGTCTGGCTCAGCCCACTTGTTGATGAAGGTGATGCACTGCTAGGATGTAAACTTTTCACGACTGCCTTATGCGTACAGATAACTGCCCAACCATGCTAGCAATGGATAGAAAGTACAGCAATGTATTGCAGCACTCTTGCATTTGTTTGGTGAAATAATGAGCTGTTCAGAATATCTTTTTCTACTAAGTCTCTAGACTTATTCGCACAAAGTTCTGACCTTTTCAATGCCAAAGATGTGTTATGAGCTTTTGTGGAACATAAAAAGAAGCTCTTTCCCACAGTGGATTATTCTTGGTCAATTTTTATTCATTATTTGGTGTTTGTCGAGGAGCAGATTTTCCTATACGATTCACACAACTTGGTCATTCTATTTGATTTGATTTATATAACCAATCTTTAACTATGAAAGTCTTATTGAGATCACATATCTCTTTTTTTTGTTACTGTAGAATTACAAATGAACTTGAGACCTGTCTTTGGATACATGCATTCAAAACATATGTAGTAAACAAATTATTTTATGATATCACTTCCTTTTATACATATATATACATAAAAATGACCTAATACTAATAATATTCTAATCTTACAAGTAAAAGTAGTCCAGAAAATTACTAAATGTAGCAGAATTAACGTAGCGTGTTACTACCCAACCTTGTTGTCACTTGCACTCTGTTGTACCAATTAGATTTTTCCCAATTTAAGATGGATCTACAAAAGATGCCGCACTTTACGAAATTTTAACATTTTGATACACTTTTTTATGTTTATTTCAGTTACCCAGAGCATGGGCCTAAACCAGAGTTTAAAAAACAAAACAACCTATTAGCTGGATATTTTAGCTGAATTTGCATTTCTAATCATGGCATGCTGGGGGAAAACCTCCGTGGCAGAGCAAACAAAGATATCACAAGAGCTGGTTGTCATCTTGTCAGAGACCTGAACAAAATGTCCAAAGAATAGCTGTTAAATGACACTTAAAAAACTAAGATAACTATTCCTGAATGCTGATTAGAGAAATTTATATTAAAGCTTGTGTGAAAGGGTTCGTGCATACTGAAAAATAGATGCTCCTCCTAAATACTGGCTTTCAGTTAATCTATGTTTAAAAAAATCTCTACATCTGCTTTTTCAATCTTTGATGTAATAAAGAGTAAGATTACTTGCCAGTTTATATAATATGAGGATTCCTCCGGCATTCCAAATAAGTTATAAATAATTGATTATATTAATTAAAGAACACCTGTCCTGTTAGTATTGTGCGACTATGATTCCTTTTCAGGGCCCAGACACGCATGCGAGATATGGAGGAGTGAAAAAAAACACATTTCTTTTAACAAGGAAATAAAAGAGGCAGCAAAACAGAAACGAAAAAAATACAGAAATCTGAACAGGGGAGAAAAACAAAAAACAAAACTCTGACTTCAGTGGATCCGAACATGAAAACTATAACACAAAACTAGACTAGCTTTGACAGCAAGTGCAAGGATCTGACAAGAAGTGGAGAAGAGCAGAGAGCTTAAATGCAGAGGAGAGTGATTAGTGAGCGTTGGCAGCCCGGGATAATGGGCACAGGTGAGGGACGTGGAGCTGATGAACATGACAGCACAACTGCTCTAACTATGAGACAGAATAGGGAAAAACAAAAGAACAACTGGAACCAGACAAGGATTGGTCAAACTAAAAGATAAGGCATGAGTGTAACTATGAAACCAACAACAAAGACTCGACTATAACAAACCGAAGAGACCAGATAACAAATCAGTGACCACTAACAAGTCCAAAGATCTATGAGTTAAAAATTAGGTAGAACACCGATTAAACGCTGAAAAAGTATGAATGCATATAGTGCGCTCTGTGAGCCCTTTTCACTTTAGTGCGTGTGGAATCAGACGGCAAAGCTATTTATATATCCAATGACTGTGTAGGGCTTTTCTGGGAAGAAGATCATACGGCAAATTAAGATCATCCAAGATCTTAGACGGTCAGGCCGCCCACCTTAAAAAATCCCGTCCTTGGTTCAGCTTCAGATTTATGAATCACAGCATACTGCGCTGGCATCGCCCCCACGGAAAACACAGAAGATGCCTCCTAAATGAAAGCGCAAGCAAGGAAAAACATTTGCAGTTAATTCAATATCCTTAGTTCTTCACACTTAAATGAATCGCACGTTAAAAACTTTGATCACAGGAGATGTTTCCAGATGTTTGCAATGTCTAAGACATTGCTGATGGTTGGCAAAGTGTGCAGGCAATTTTTAGTATGCCAGCCAAATCTTATTCCTACTACTTGAATTATACAAATAACTCTTTAAACCAAATTGTTTGCACTGTATAGCTTTTTTTCAATGTTTTATTCCATGTTTAGTTGAATCCTTCTTTCTCCATCTGTTCTATATAGGTCGTTGGTGTATAAAAACGCACCCCAGATAATATTTTGTCCAATATTATTCTGCTCTTGTGTGAAGTAGCTCATCGTTATGTAGAGGAGTGTCCAAAATGTTATTCCGAAAGGTTTGGAGCACCTGGTGTTTGGGTGTGAATTTGAGCTGTTACAGTGTCCCGTTGGATTTAGGTTACCGAAAGTGGATCTACAGTTTCCTTCCTCTACAGTGGAAATAACTGCAATAGCCAAGAAAGGGATTTAATGGGGTCCTGGGAGATTTGAAGCCACCAGCTTTAGTTCTAGTCGTGCCCTGCGAAAGGTGGGGTCGGGGGTGTGTGTGTGTGTGTGTGTGTGGGGGCACTTGTGAGTCTGAGTTTGAGACTTGAAAGGGACACAGAGTTTCAAAGTTTTACTGGAGCAATACGAGTTTATTTGCTGGACTGTAGCTGTGTCCACTTCGGAGAGGTCATAAAACCATTTTGTATTGACATTTATGTCAACAAGGAACCTTTCAAAAGTAGTACTTTTAGAGCCCTTTGAAACTTTAAAGGACACATTTATAATAGACCGGCTTTGCTTTTGGTATCAGAAATCCCCTATGAGTGCTAAACTCTCAGTTAGATCAATCTTGGCTGTTTGTCGTGGACATAGTGTCAATGAAGGCATACATTGACATATCAAGGCTTTGAATTAGTTTCGTGGATCTTTCTTCATGTGTGAAAACACACAAACAAAGACACAGCAGCTGCAATAGTACCTTCAAACAGCACTAGAATTAATCAGCATTACATAGTAAATCATATGGTGTCGATAAGATCTGATAAAAACAAATCGTACCACTGTAAAATAAGCACGTGTTTATCTAATTCTACTTTTGCTAAAGGGTTAAGTAATGATATATACCACTGACACGGCCATTAGAGCAAAGACAGCTTTGACCAGCGCATATTTCCCCGCAGACACTTTGTTTCGGACCCCGAAATCTTTGCATCCGCTGATGGCTTCTCATCCTTTGCTTTAGTGAGCAAATATTAGACGTACAACATGCGATTATGTCAGACTCTGCCGCTCGTCATTCCACTTCTGGAGCTGAGGTCAGGACAGGGAAGCCTGCGTAGATCTGAGGGGTTGAGGATTGTGGCCCTGCGTCCCTCTGCGCAGGGAGGAGAGACAGTTCTCTGTGATCAGTGCGATGCTGCCTTTGGCTTTATGAGGAGGATGCTTGGAGGGATGTGGGGGGGAGGGCGGGGGGGGTGATGAACTGGAGCGCAGCTCTGAGCCATAGGCAGAAATACCAGGCTTAAGTAGGACATGTCAAGAAACGGGGCTAGTGGCGGTTGGGCAGCTCTCACTTTGTGAAGGGATAGGAAGAGGAGAAGAGGAAGATACTCCAGTCCATCATGGCCCTTTCTCTATCCAGCCCTTACTGTTACTTGATGTCAATCGTAAGCACGAACAACATGTTCTGGTTCTGTATTTTTACTACATTTCTTCATTGAATTATTGTTAAAGTTTCATCTTGGACCAACAAGCCAAACCTCAAATATAATCACTTTACGATGTGAGAGCAAGAGCGGATATTGACTATTTGGAATAAGTTTGCATTGAATTCCTGCCATGTTATCCAACTATTTATTACCAGCTAACTTGTTGTTGGGTCAAAAACACCCCGAAAGGGGGAAAAAGAACAGCATCGTAAAAGGGGAAGCAACGATTTCTGGCTCATGCACACACAGGCCTCACAGATGTTAACACAGTGGGTGTTTGTTAAGGTGGATGTTTTGTTTGTGCTTGTATTTAAGTGTTAAAAGTACGTACGTCCCACTAAATTATGTCCGTCATTGATGTCGTGTCTTCCCCCCCGCCATGATTTATGTCAGAGGAAATGAAAAGCCGGATCCTCATGGGCCCGCCGTGTGTTTTTCTTGCAGGAGACCAATGAAATTGTGGCCATTAAAAAATTCAAGGACAGCGAAGGTAAGAGGGCTCTCGTCTCCGATGGGAAGTGCTCATCTGAGGACACTTGTCATTTTAATTGTCGAGCCGGTTATCTGCTGGCTTGCATCCCTTTGTGTCGTTGCACAGAAGCTCAGGGGGATCACGAATTTTCCCATCTGGCTTTACTTTAACGCAGAAAATGAAGAGGTTAAAGAGACAACGTTACGGGAGCTCAAGATGCTCCGAACCCTCAAGCAGGAGAACATTGTGGAGCTGAAGGAGGCCTTCCGCCGAAGAGGGAAGCTGTATTTGGTTTTTGAATATGTGGAGAAGGTAAGAACTGTCTATGGAAAACGGCCTCACCGCCAGACGTCCCGGTGTCGGCCTGATGCCCTCTCCCTTTTTTTTCCCCCTGCCCTCTTCAGAATATGCTGGAGCTGCTGGAGGAGTTACCCACCGGGGTGCCCACCGACAAAGCACGCAGCTACATCTTCCAGCTGATCAAAGCCATTCACTGGTGCCACAAGCACGACATTGTTCACCGAGGTAATCCCACTCGCTTCTGTGTCAGTTAAGCAAACGATCCAAACCACACGGGGACACGGGCCAAGAGGGGTTCACGCACAGTCCGAGCTCATACTAGGAGAAGCAGGACGTTTTTAAGATTCGAAACTGAAACGCATGCCTGATTCTTATTTCGTGAAGTGAAGGTTTTGAGTTTTTTTTTTTCGTGAGCAACAAAGGCTTTTGGAGAATCACTGGCAGTGGATCAGTCAACCAGATGGCCCATGTGAGCTTTTGGCATACTGAGAGCAACAGAACGGGCATCCAAATGGCCCGTAGGATACCCCGGCGCACATATGATACCGTTTGGTGGAGGGGTTGTAGTTTGTCTTTACAGTCTGTGCATATTTCCTGTTACAAGATCTCCCCTTTTTTTTTTCCCGGCCTTTTTTTTTTTTTTTTTAAATCAAAGATAAATAATTCATTTAGTTTTCTCAGCAAAGTGAGGATGTGAAAGCAGAAACTGATGCAAATGATGATGTAATGACATTGTCCCCGGGCCAGCTCACTCCCCATCTGTGTCCTTCCTCTTTCAGACATAAAGCCAGAAAATCTCCTCATCAGTTCCGATGACGTCCTCAAGCTTTGCGACTTTGGTGAGCACCTCCATTAAAATCCTCACGTCGCGTTGTGGGGCGGGCGGCGGGGGGCCACAAAAAAAGGTGGCCGTGATGCACAACCAGCATTTTCAGACTGGTTCTATATTTGGCTGAAGGGCAGCAGGCATGCTCCTGTGCTTATCTGAGACTCTGCGTGCATCTTTCTCTCCGCTGCGTCTCATCTCTCTCTCTCGCTCTCATCCCGATGAAAGAGGCGTGTTTGGAAACACAAGTCTAATCACGGTTTGATTCAGTCTTATGGCGGCACAACAAACAGGGAGAAAAACGCAAAAACACGCCGTTGCCGGCATCATGCAGGCAATCTGGAGTGAGAGACTGACGACCTGCTGTTTGCTCTGTGTCAGCCAAAGGCACGGAGAGAACAGACACGGGCCAAACAGACGCCGCTGTGAGGGTTTACGTTCGGGACTTTGTTTTCCCCGTGCAGTCATTGCGGTCATGTGTTGTTTTGGTCGTGCGAGAGACCGGCCAAACTTTGGGAAATGACCGGTGTGAGACGGCCGCATCAGCAGAATTCAGCTCTAAATAGGAATTCTGGGGACGCAATGATGAAGGGGTCACAGCTTGGGAAGGCTGCAGAGATTATGATTGGTTTAGATTACAATGGTTCATGTACTAGAGAAGAGAGAAAAAGAGAAGAATTCTTATAGAAACAAACAACTTACTCTCAGTTAAGTTAAAGTAAAAGACTGAAAAGAAAAGTCAAGAAAAAAATGACAAACACAACGGAAGAAAAACACTTAAGAAAGAATAATTAGATAATAGAAATGTTGAAATAACTCCTAAGCTATGCATATACATTTATAAATACAGGTGAAAATAAATTAATATGCTTAGCATAATCACTGCAAACCTTCTGAAGCTTACTTATTAACTTATTGTTAATTTTTATCTTTCTTTTGGGAGGAACAGATGTCTAAACTTGAATAGTATGTTTTCTATTGATTATGATGTGATAAATCTGTTTTATGCATATATATTTTTGCAGAACTGATGGGTTCTGGGTTTGTTTCTGAGCAGAGCACTTTCAACTTCTTCCAAATGTGGGAGAAAAACAATGTGCATAATGGACAGCTGATGAGATAAAGAACTATCTTTACATACAGGAATTCATCTGACATCTTAAATCTGAAAATCTCAAATCTCAAAATTAGAAATGATTTACTGATCTGTAAGAATGTATTTATATTGTATTTGCCTGAAAAAGCTCTCACCTATGTAATGTGAATTCATAGAGATACAGAAAATAATTCTAAAAAGTGACAAAAAGTGGAAAGTTGCATATTGAATTCAAAATGAGAAAAAGTACACTAGAGCTTTGGAAAGCCAGTGTTGTTTTTTTTTAGATTTTCTGCTTGCCGAGCTAACAGTGTCTGCATTTTATATCCAGCATGTAAAAGTGAGATTAATGGCAATTTTTTTCACCAAACTCTTGACAACTAATCTTCTGCATTTCCTCGAGGATTGCGATCCGCATGGTTAGCTGAATTACTCGACATCTGTTGAACAATTTTCCGATTCTAATCTGATAGCTGTAATTTTAAAAGCAGGATTTTCAGCCCGTCGTATCCGCCGTTATTCACCTAACTCGCCTGCTTTGTAACTGGCACCTTTTGAGCATAATGAGCTTCCAGCGGTACCCAGCTGAAATCATTTTTAGAATTCTCAGCATGTGGAGCACATCAAAAACCTCCTCATTATGTGATGCCGCTCGCTCTGTCTTCTTTTGCCAGGTTTTGCACGTAATCTCTCCGAGGGAACCGACGCTAATTACACCGAATATGTGGCCACTAGATGGTACCGCTCTCCAGAGCTCCTGCTCGGGTACGTCCCCCTTTTTCGTTTTTGTTCGAAACACTAGTAACCACAATTTTTTATTTTTTGCTATTCTTGGGCCTTGGATTTCATTATGAATCCCTCTTATTTGCGCTCACAGGGCCCCTTATGGGAAGGCAGTGGACATGTGGTCAGTGGGATGCATTTTGGGGGAGCTGAGCGATGGGCAGCCTCTGTTCCCGGGAGAGAGCGAGATTGACCAGCTCTTCACCATCCAGAAAGTGTTGGGACCCCTGCCACCAGAGCAGATGAAGCTCTTCTATAACAACCCTCGCTTCCATGGGCTGAGGGTAATGTCAGGCCACCGTACACACTATTCAAACCTTGGCCCGCTGAGCTCCCCCTCTATGTTGCTCTTTCTACTGCTCCTTTTTCTGTCGCTCTTGACTTAATCTTCCCTCCTTTAGTGTCTCTTTCTGCCTGTATTTTCCATTCTTTCCTTATTTATTTTCTCTCTGCTACGTCTCGATGCTCACTGCTTGTTTTGTTCGTTTTTTTTCCCCTTCCCTGGCTGAGTTTTCTGTGCCATGACTGATTGGATCACAATGACTCATCGTGTATCATCTATCCTGTGTGCACTGTGAAGGAAGGCTGTGATAAGTCTTCCGTGGCAGGCTGGTGGTAGATCAGACCGAGGTCATCCTTCTCATCCTTTCACTGCCTACAACCAACCTTCTGACAGGATCCTCTGACAAGATGCCTTCTTCATAATGCTGCCTTTTTTTATGTTTTCAGACAGAGGACTTAAAAGGTCCACTGAAAAAAACAAGAAAAATGGTGGAAATTGCTCACCTTTCTATTTTTAGGACTATCTCCAAAAATGTCTTTACCTCCACACCAGTTCTGCACTTTAACAAATACAGATTCTGTAAAACGTCTGATCAGTGGTCATCAAAAGTGACCGCTTTAAGATAAATGCAGGCTGAAATGCTGGATTCTTGATTGTTGTTTTGTCAGGCTGGCCTCCTGCAGCACGCTTTCTTTATCACGTTCAAATGTGGGATGTGAAAAGAACAGCCTCTGGATGTGAGAAGTGGTCAGAGTCTTGACACCCTATTCTGAAAAAAAAAAAAAAGCGCTCAAGAAATGCATCATCATGCTTACCCGAGACATCTGGCAAAAACAGAAGAAAAACGCTATAACTGGTGCTGTATTCTTCTTTACTCAGGTAGCTCAGAGGCCTGCTTAGCCACTACACTGACAGACAGTTTTCTGGCTGGCTTTTCATTCACTATTAATTTCACCCTTTTTCTTTCAGCTTCCACACTTCTTCACAGTGATGATGTTAGTTAAGACCGTCATCTTACACTACGGCACGGCTCATTTTGGTGTTTAATTTAAAATGTAGCATAGGTAATGTTAGTTACACCTCCGTCAGGGAATTCAAGTGCTTTCAGAAACTGATTCATCTCCACTTGTCCCAGATAAATCAGTCTGACGTGATACTAAATGCACTCACCTCACAATGGAAGGCCTTGTAGGTGATGCACTTCTGGGTCGCAGTCAGCCATTAGGATAAAAGAATTGTAAGGAAGAAGATCAGCACAGATCTAAAAAGATAGAATAAAATAAAGAGTACAAGGACTTTTCCGTGGCACCGAGAGACCTTATAATACGTACAAAGTGCCCAGTACCATTTACCAACAGAATCTGTAGTTCTGGTTGTTTACTCAGACTGAGTTACTCCAGGTCAAAGGGCTGGGTCACATAATTAACAAAAAGCCAGAAATCACAGTCAGTCAGGCCTTTACTCTGTAGTCATCAGACAGAAACTATTGAACTACTCTGGCTGACACGTGGGCAGCAGCCAAAGGGAATTTTTTTAAAAGGCGTATTTTCAGACCTCAAGAAACAAAATCTTCTGCCTTTTTGAACCAGGACACTGCAATGGAGCAAACAGCCGCACTACATGGGCCGCCTGCTCAACCCAGGGAGCTAATCTGTGGTTTTAGTTAGATTGTTCTCTTTTTATCAAACACCTTTTCTTTTGCTGCTTTATCTGCTTTAGTTTCCTGCTGTGAACCACCCGCAGACGTTGGAGCGGAGATACCTGGGAATCATCGGTGGAGGCCTGCTCGACCTGCTAAAGGTAAGGCTCACAGGTCTGGCACCGGACCGACGCCACTCTGCAGGGGGATTTTGTCTTTTTTTCTCTCCATTTAACCAGTTTCAGTTATTTTCACCTCGTAGACGGGCTGTTAAAAGACCTCATAAATCGTAGATCTAATAACTTCACGATCGTGGTTGCGTGCACGTCGTGACTGCACGATGCCTCTGCACTGCTCGGGAATCTCTCGGTTCGTGTCATGGCTGCAGCACTGCTGTTATTGCTGTGTCTGCACTGTAAACAGGAGCTCCGTGTCAAGAATGTGGGCTGTGCTTTTGCACTTTTTCCCTGCAGATAATGAGTCACTCTTAACATAATGTCATCCCTGGACTGCCTTCACAGAGGACTGACATCACTCTCATCAATAATCTCGGTTTGTTGAGACGAGATCAGGTGCCTCTTTGAGAAAATGTGATTGTTAATTTTTATGACAAAGATGATAAACTGGGCTCAGGCATTGTTATAATAGAATTGTGATAAAAACAAGAGTTCACAAACCTGCACATCACAGGTTTTATTTTGAGAGCAGGAGTCAGAATGAATAAAAGTCTATAGAAAACAGGTTTTTAAACACATTTATTTAGGCAAGAAAAGAAATCAAACGTCACCAGTCACATTGCACATCTTTTGGCTTGTTGGGTGACTGTGGAACACAATTAAATGCAGCAGCAGCAGCCTGACTTTCATGAAAATGACGATGACTCATGATAGCGCGGCTGATTCAGTTTGTTCGTGAGATCAGGATGTTCGGGGTGTCTGGAGAACTCATGAGCTCCATCTGTTTGTTTACGCCTTAGAACCTCCTATTGCTGAACCCGACGGAGCGCTTTCTCACAGAGCAGTGCCTGAACCACCACGCCTTCCAGACCCTGCGGCTGGTGGAGCGTCCCGGCCCCCCCACGCCCACTCCCGTGCGCTCCTCCAAGAGGAAGCCTCACCACGGAGACAACAACACCCCCAGCAGGTCAGCAGCAAGCATCGCTGTCTCCCTGGACACGTGATGATCTGTTGTTGTCTTTTTTTTTTTACATGTATTTCTTTTTATTTGGAAATCACCCTGTGGAAAATGGCCCACCTTCGTATAGTGGCAAAATGAGAAATTCCTTGCTTTTCTGTTCCATTTTTCACAACCTAAGATTTAGGGAATTACATTTTTTTCTAAACTGAACCAGAAACTGTAAACCTTACAACATTGTAAAGTTAACAAGTGCTTAAATCTTTATAATGTGTTCTGGGTCAGTCACATTGTCACTGCGAGTTCTTCCTACCTTTGATGTTCCAGTATTTAAATCTGATTCCTAAGGAAGTGTGCGCGTAAACTGCAGAGCAATATTTTATCTCTGGGGATTTGTTTCCAGTCTGAACACATGCTCATTTACTTTGGTGGTTTTTAGAGGCACTTCTGTCAACACTTACTCTTTTATTCACTTTGAATGAAAGCATGTGAGTCACATTTTTATCCCAAAAGATCGGTTTAGACTACTTGTAATGCTTCTTTTGGTCTAATTTATAACTGGAAGATAGCAAGGGAAGAAAGAGCAAAGACAAGTCTCCCCAACTCAGATGTCAGATCTGTCTGGTGCATTTGTTAATGAGAACTAACCAGAGAGAGCTTATGAGTGTTGCTTGTTGTAATCTCGGCCTAAAACAAAACATTGTGTCTATTATTATGTCCGGTCCTCTTTGTGGCAGCCAAGAACTAGACAAGTGCTCTAATTCTTATGGGATAAAGCCCCCTTCACAAACACTGTCTGCCTGACTGTTTCCAGCCCTCGGTCACACTTTTCTCAGCCGTTCGGGCCTGGAAAACAAAAGAGACTGAACAATACTGAGCCAGCACCAGCATTGTGTCATTAATCTTTGACGTAAACAAAAGTTGTCGGCAGTAACTCTCAGGTCAGAGGAGGTTGTGTTTGCGTGATCCGTGATTCACCGTGCGGCCGTGCCGGCGTCTCTCTCTGTGTTTTTTTTTTGTTTGTTTTTTCCCCCCCCCAGGAGCCATGGAGGGAAGAGCTCAGGAAGTCACCGCTCCAGCAGCAGAGAGTGCTCCAGCCTGCCCCGCCACGAGGACGTCCACCCCGGCAACGAGGGCTTCCTCAACGGCAACATGCCCGCCGCCATCAACCTCAGCCCCACCCTGCACCCCAAGAACTACCAGCCCCAGATCTTCAACCACTCCACGGCCTGCAGCATGGACCTGGCCAGCAGCAACCTGCCCCACCTCCACAGCCCCGGCGAGGCCAAGAGCAAGGGCGACTTCGAGATGAACCTGGGCTCCAAGGGCTCCGACGGACCCGGCGCCAAGTACCTCAAATCCAACTTCCGCTCGCAGCAGAACCGCCACTCCTTCGTGGAGGGGAAGACCAACACGCTGCAGTCGGGGGAGAAGCACGGCCGCCACGGCTACGTGGACTCCCACAGCTCGGCGCCCTCCTCCTCCAAGTTCGCCTACCTGAACCTGTCCAAGAGCTACGGCACGCTGAGCGACGCCAAGTCGGTGGGGAACCTGAACGACGTGCACCTGTACGCCGACGAGCCCGCGTCCCGCTATTTCCCCTCCAGCTGCCTGGACCTCACGGCCCCCAGCAGCCCGGCCTCCCGGCGGGTGGAGAGGCTGGGCCCCGGCGCGGCCGGTCGGGCGAGCACGCGCTCGGACCGAGAGAGCAACACCTTGGACTCCTCCTACCGGCGCGCCTCCACCCGCCATAAAACCTCAGAGGAGGCCAAGTCGTCCGACGCCCTGGACCCGGGGGAAAGTAGCATCGAAAGGGGCCACGCGCACTCTCTGTCCGCCCCGCACGATCCCCTGCCCTACGGCCAGGGCTACACCAGCCCCTTCTCCTCCCAGCAGAGGCCGCACCGCCACTCCATGTACGTGCGGAGGGATCACCAGCGGACGCACGGGGCGGACGAAGGGCTGTCGGTCGGCCAGGGGATGCCCACCCGGGCCAGCAGCCTGCAGCTGCTGTCCCCACAGCTGCAGCACCGCACGCTGCCCCGCCACTCCGGGAGCTCCTCTAGGGAAGAGGACCTGAGCAGGGTCAGTGATCAGCCCACTGCAATCACTTCCAAACTTAAGGAGAAGCATAGGTCCTCCAGATCATATCATAGTAAATATAAATACAAATTAATCATTCTTCCTCAGTCTCAGTCCAAGTGCCGAAACTCACTCGGAGTATTATTGTGTTAAGGTTTTTTTTTTATCTATAAATGTTGCATATATTATGCTTTTTCCTTATGAGATAGACGCTGAATCATGCTATCTGTGTATTTATATATACTGTATATCCGCATATAGTATATATAGAGAGCGCTTGTGTATTTGTGTGTATGTGCCGCAATGCTGAGCTCTCTTCATGCCTCATCATGTCTTCATTAACAGAGTGAACAGGCACCCACTGAGGTCACCCACAGCAGACCCCCAATAAGGGACTCAACAAGGGACAACGCCGCATCTTTTCACTCACAGCGGCAAAAAAACGAGGTCCGACATTCTGCCTGCACCCACCATTCCCCGCCCACATCCAGTCTTCCGGGAGAGCGGATGTGGGTGGATACTGCTGTCATGAACTGCTCTCCGTCTCTCTTTCTCTGTCTCTCTGCATCAGATGCCTCCTCATTTTCTTCGTTTGCTTTGCTTCCCTCTAATATGACTCCTTGTGATAGCGCAGTTAAGCTTGTCATCGCGGCAGATTTCAGTTTGATTCTCGGAGGCATGCGCAGCCTCCACAGATGCTTTATTATAAACGACTCTTCGTAAGTCAATATACCCACGTGTTTTTTTCTGTTCCCCCAGGTAAATAAAGGTAATGTTTCAGACAAAGAAGCACAGTCAGCCTCTGTGGGTTTATGTGATTAGTTATTCTGTTGTTACTTAGGTCGGCTTATATCATGACCAGCAAGCAGAAGATGGGGGCTCTTCCAAAGAGAACCGCAACATCTACAGTGAATCCATGCCGAGGCGGGTGGGCAGCTTCTACAGAGGTTTGTTTTTAGTCAAACGTGATTTCCTTGGCTGTTGTTTTTCTTCCTTTTTTGAGACTGTTTGGAGGTCAAGGGCGGAACGGTGGTGTGGTGGTTAGCATTATTTCCTCCCAACTTCCTCCCACCGTCCAAAAACCTGCACGTTAGGTCAATTGAACACTCTAAATTGCCCCTTAGAGAGAATGTGAGTGTGTGTGGTGGTTTGTGTGGCCCTGCAATGGCCCAATGTCAAATGGGATAGACTTCAGCCCCACTGCGAACCCACTGCCGATAAGCGGTACAGATAATGGATGGACGGATGTTTGGAGATCAAGCACTTAGCTCAGTTTACTGCAAGGTAGAAAACCTTTACAGTAAGCTACATGTTAATCGATTAAATTCCTCTTAGCAACCCAAATTGGCACATATTCTCAGAAGTTCTCAGAATTTCCCAACCTATGGTAGGTGTTTTTTTTAACCTTTTAAATAAAGAATGAGTTATGACATTTGTTTTTATAAACTTTCACTTTTTCATCATAAAGTGTCAACCCTACTATCTGTGTAAAAAGCATGAATTCTGGGTATTATTTCTCCAAAGACATGCAAAAAAATATATATATTTTCCCATTATTTTCCCTTTATTCATAATGTAGATGTTAAAGGGTTAACATGCTGATAAAATTGATATGTGAATATATTAAGGAAAATTTGGTAGGCATGAACATATTTCATTTGCAGCCTTGATTGAACAAAATAAACTAGTTGCAGAAGTTATTTGCTTAGAATATAAAATGTCACGATAATCCAGGACATTTCTGTCTGTACTGACATCATGCTGCTACATAAAAGTTGTGAATGCGGTATGTTCAAATCTGGGCTCTACATTTTCCCAAAGTTTGGCATCACTCTGATAAAAAGTTGCCATTTATCTGGAGACAATCCTCAACTATGGCTGATGTTAAAACCTAATTAGTTCAGAGTGGCATTAAAAACAGATTAGGAATAATCTTGCTTTGATACATGTGCAAACAGTAATGATGACAGTCAGGAGCACCATTTGTGTAAATGTTAAACATTATAGAAGCTATGGCTGTTTCTTTTGCTGTGTTCTTACCCACAAATAAGCTCTAATCTTCCTTATGGTCTCTATGTTCATTGCTTAACATCCAGAAATTCTGGAAAATCGTTCCATCTTGTTCCATTTGCAGGTTTGCCCACTTTTTTAAATCCCCTGGTATATGTATAGTCCATATTTGAACCTTTATGCCAATAGAACCTGTCGTCTGTGTAAACACAAAATGAAGACGAACTGATCCTGTTTTTTTTATGTGTTTGTGGTGCAGTCCCTTCTCCCCGGCCAGACAACTCCTTCCATGACCGACGGGGCGAGAGCCGGGGCTCTGGCTTGTCTGGGGACGGAAGCAGTTTGACTAACCACACCAAACGGCAGCCCGCATTTGACCCCTGGTAATTAAATCATGGAGCCGACACCCAAAGCACACGATTTTGTTCGTAAAAAAATTTTTTTTTTACGAACAGCAACAAACAGCAACAATCAGCTACTTAGTATCTCTGTCACTGTTTTTGAGGCTGTGTTGTCAAATTTAATTGCATGCTGGCCAGATGACACCGCGGGGTTTCACACAGCTTGTCAGGTCTTATTTGAAGTTGAAAACTTCTTCGCTCGGGCTTCACGCTCTGCCCTCTTTGCTTTATTTTCAGGACTGGCCCAGATACCGTTGTCTTGAATGCATCTGAGCCATCCAAAGAGAAGGAGAAGCAGGGTTTCTTCAGAGCAATAAAAAAGAAAAAGAAAAAATCCCAAATGGTGCGTTGACTCCCCAGAGCATCTGCAGGAAAAAAAAAGGCCCGCTTTGGAGGCAGATTTTGCTGTTAATGCCATCAGAACCTTGTCTGTTGCCTCTCCCGCTGCATTTTAGACGTTTTTATTCCTTGTTGAAGCCTACTCGGATGCCATTTGTTGCTGTTTTCCTTTGCATCTTGCTTACCTCTGCCACCAGTCATGTGCCTTTATATTACAGATGGAAGTCCCCGATGGAAGGCCCCCAGTCATCAAGAAATGTCTTTTGCCCCTGTTTTGTCCAAAGAATAACATAAAGCATAGCTACTTTGTGAGAGTCCTCCCTGTAGTGTCCTCTCCCATGGTACAATTTGCTTTACAATATCCTACTCATCCTCTGCCTCTGTGTAACCCTTCTAACTCTGCATGTGATTTAAACACTAATCACAACTGTGTTTTCGGTACATTTTATTCCTTAACGGTTCAATAGTGATGGAGAGGTGCTTTCAACCAGTCAGATCCAGCTTCAACTCCTAAAAATGATTCATTTATTTTGAAAAAAACAGAAACAAAGAAGGCTTTTGATTGCATCACGTTGCAGCCAGTTGATATTTGATTTTTTTCTGTCTGGAAATTTCAAAACAGGAATGGTTAAACGGTGGATCTGACCGGTCACTTTTGTCTCAGGATCTTTTCCATCTTACCTTGGATCCTTTCAGCCACAACTTAAAAGCATGTGTCAGATTGAACTGCATGAACTGAGGATGGGAAAAAGCATTTTATTATCTTCTCAAAGCGAATTCAAGCCTGTGACTTGAAATCACTTAAATGTGGAGCAATTACATGGTAATGTTCCCTGGCTCTGTAAAAAAAAAAAAAGGAATATTCAATCATATAATCAAAAGAGTTTTAGAGTATGTGCAAGATATCCATCATTCAAAAAGGAGAAGCTATTTCCAGCTTTTCAGCATCAGTCAGTATTAATATCTCTGCTGATGTAGGGATGTATTAGTGCCTATGGAGTAGGAAGCATACACACCTGGAAAGACACTTGTCAACAAAACAAAGCTGTACATATAGTCTAAGTGGGTCGTGTGCCTCCATCTGGAGGCTTTGCATTTCGTTTTTATTAGTTTCCTCACACAGCAACCCGATTTGTCTCGGAATCGGAGTTTCAAAAAGCCAGATTTCACGTTTTAACCGACAGCTATCTATCTGGCAGAAATGGTTCGGCATGAAACAGGTGTTTGACGCTCCCTTCGCGTTTCTATTTATATGTGACAGTTTGCTCAGATGCTGGATGAGGGAGGGTTTACTGCTGGAGACAGAGCAAGTAAACACAATCTGGAGAGGAGGAAGTGAACAGTCAGAGTCAGAGTTGGTTGAAAATAATTTGTACCATGTGAAGAGTAGACATTTAATTAAAGATCTCTAAAAATATGACTTTGGATTCCTATTCAGATCAGCAACTTCTTAGACTTTTGCTACAGGTGCATGTGTTTTTTTTATGTTTATTTACCCCATAAATTAACTAACCAATCAATGCAAAGGTGTATCTTCTAAAATAACTAACAATGATACACAGGATAGCATGAATCTGTTCTAAAAGCACATTTCAAGGTTTTTGAATGAACTGAATAAACTCTTTGGTAAAGTTTGGGTGTAATTATAACCTCATACTCTGTGCGACAGGCTCCCAACGAAGGTATGGATGCGGTCATCCAGAAGTCCTCCAGGTCCTCAGGTCACCAGAGCAGCCGCCACCGGACTCGAGACAAGAGCAGAGAGCGGAACCAGGAGCGAGACCGGGACCGAGAAAAGGACTGGCCCCCGGAGAAAATATCCGATTCGCACTCTCCTGTAAGTCCCACCGGAGAAAGTCGGATGTGTACCTTAAAACCAAGTGTTTGTTTGATCCTGTGGATGATTTGTAACGTTTGATGCCTCCATCAGAGCCAGCCGTTGAAGTCGCTGCGCAAGCTCCTCCACCTCTCGTCCTCGTCCTCCAACCAGACGGCGTCCTCCGACATGCGCTACCAAGCGTCCGGCCAGGGCGGCTTCAGCGAAGGCCGGGGCCACTCGGGGGTCGGCACGCCCCAGCTCAAGGGCCGACAGGCAGCCTACCCGCTGCCCGGACAGCTGGAGTCCGGCTGGCACCCGTCGGCACACGGCCGCCCCGAGGGCAACCCTTACCCGGAGCAAATGGGCATCAAGGGCGGCCAGAACGGCCACGGCTTCGGACGCCCGTCCAGATCTCGCATGCCAAACCTCAACGACCTGAAAGAGACAGCCCTGTAATCTTTCGAAAACCCCTCAGCATCCCGTTTCCCTCCTGTTGTTTCCCCCCCGTTCCCGTTGTAAATCAGAGCAACCTGCTCAACACACACACACACACACACACACACACACACACACACACACAGACAGGACTGCCAAACCCTCTGTTGTACTCACTGCTTGCAAACAGGCCAAAACAAGCCTTTTTACGTCTTTATTGTTTTTTTTTTAAAAGTGTCTATGTTTGATAGACTTTATATTATTGCTAATGTAATTCTGATTCATAATTTGTATAATAAAGTAAATGAATTCCACTCAGTATAGACACAAAATGTAGATTTTAAGTGAAAGTATTTTTGGTTTATATTAAATATAGAACTATAGTAGATTTTACTGTGTAGTATTTCCTTAAAGCTAACCTAAGGCATTTTAAATGAATAAAGACCAGTAACATGAGTAACTTTTGTTCATGTCACCCAGGATTGGGACTGACTGTCTAAGCTGTCTCCTCTGTGGATGTCAGGATGGGGACAGACGCTCAAATGTGTCACGTGCTGATAATCGAAAACAACGCGACGCTTAGATCTGATTGCTCTTTTGATAGTTATTTTATTTTTTGAAGATTACTAAGTCAATATTTCTTGATTTAAAAAAATGCAGCCATTTTAGAAACCAGTGCCATAAACTGGCAGAAATTCCGACTTACATCGCCCTCTGCGGGACATTATGAAGCACTGCATTTACTCTTACCTAAACAGAGATCATCCCTCAATAGCTAGACAGCACATATCACGCACTATGTGTGTGAATCCTGTGTTATGTGTCATAAACCAGTACTATATATAATAACAATAAAAAATAATCATTCCTCTCGCTCTCATAAACAGCTAATAACTATATAATAACTAATCTCTTTTTTTATTTAATTGGAAAAAAAAGATTGAAACGTTCACCTATATGCAAGTGTTACAACACACCCTAATGGATGTATTAGATTTGTTACTAGATTTGTTACTAGTCGCACTGCAAACATCGAAAATCCACTAAAAGGCATAGAACATCTGACGCTGGTACTAAGAGATGTGGTTTTGTTGGTCTGATTACTACTCTCACCACATGGTCTTATCTTTAGATCCTTTTCACATGAGCAACCTCCAAGTGGTCTAATCAGTTCTAAGCCTGCATAAATACACTCACAAAAAAAAAAAGTAGAGGACTAACTGCTGTAACAGTGTGATATATAAAAGCATGAAGTGCTTATTTCCTTGTCATTGTTGGAAGGTTATTTTTACAGCAGTTACAGGAACATAAAAGCCATTCTGGGTGTACTGGTGCAGTGACTCGCAACTTTTATTTATTTATTTTCTGACATACTCCCACAGCCCTCTGATAGGAGCTCAAGCACTCCTCTATCATTAACACGCATAACCGTTTTTACCGCCCAAGTTTTTAATACCACAAATTATATAAAAGTGGATATCATTACATGTGTTTTATACACAGTTGACATTACTGTTAATATTTCCGTTAAGTCATCAATGAGATTGTTGTCCTTTATTAATTATAATTTTTAACCCCTGCTTTTGGTATATTTTAGCATTGCATTACAATTTTGAAAAGTTTGTTTTACGGGCATTTTTTCAGTCACATATGTTGTTCAGCCATTTCTGTTTAGCAAGTTGCTGGCTGGTTCGTTTTGTATTACTCATCTCTCACTTTTTCAATCCTTTTACTTTGTTGTATTTATTTATTTTTGAATCAATTGTATGCTTATTAAGGATTAGCAGTTTCCTCTTGTGATATTTGAGCAAACTGTAACTGTTCACACAGCTCTGCTAGCTAGCTTTGTCGAATGTAAAACTAGTCATCCATCACTCTAATGTGCAAAATTCATTGTCAGTGCACTGCCACATATGTATTTTTCAGTTCAGTTAATTCAATATTTACATTAACCCTATTCGGCAACAGACACACCCACTTGGGAATCACTGCACTGCTGTGTTTTTAGCTGATTGCTCATAGTTAACCACTTGGGAGGAGAAGATATCTCGGAGTGGGTGCACAGTGAGGGCAGAATCCGTACTGTAACATTGTTTCTCTGTTGGAAACAAAGTGCCATGAAACTAGCTAGGAATAAATCAATTCTAACCTTTTTTTTTACATTGCACTTTGAAAAGACTTTGCAGCTCAATAAAAATGCCCTGACTCTGTAAATTCATCCTCACTTTATGTGCATCATGTGTGCATTGAGTGAGAACTGACACAGTGACGCACATAGTCCAGACATGACTGTATTGTGTTGAGTTTTGTGCAACTGTAAGGACTGTGCACACTACTGTACATGCCTCAGTACACACATTTTTTCCTTGGGTTTATTGTTCTGCTGAAGGAACACGGTGTATTATATTAATACTAATGTGTGACTACTTGTTTGGTAATATTTATAACAAAATGTTTATCAGCTGTTTAAATTAAATCAAGTATTAAGTTTGTGCTTTTGTTACAGACACAAATTAGTAGCATAGTCAGTGTTAATCTTTTTTTTTTTTCCAACAGAGCATTTTCACAAGAATATACACCCATAAATCAATGAATGCTTATCAATTTTAGAATATTCATGTTTACATATGTAACAGTAAATCTTCAATAAAACTAGTCATTTGATCTCTTAAACTGTTAAATCTCTTTATTTCTGCAAATCTGCCATACTTGTATTTTTAAAAAAAGATAGGGACAACTGGTATGTTTGTTTTTGGGCTCCTCTAGCTTTATTAGGAGGTCACAAGTATTCAGACTGCATTTTGTGCTGGAAGTTCCAATACAAATAATAATGTGCAATGCATTTTTTTGGACAATTTTAAGATGATAAACAGTTAGCCAAAGGGCACCAAATATGTCAACCTGCAAGATGTTGATTTGATTCTGAAGGTCATGTGTGATCTGATGGATCTTCCATTGCTGGAATTAGTCTCCCTCTTCATTCTTTTTGTTTTGTTTTTTTGGCAAGTGGCAGGCTGTCTGGGGAAAGGACGGACGGTGAGGAAAAATCAAGGGTAGCACGCTTTAGGAACACTTATTAGTGCACATCAGCAGATCCATCCTGATGGCGATGCGGGTGTGCCAGCCCAGTGGCAGCAGGCGGATGTAGCGGGCCACGATGGGCGGGCGCAGCAGGTTCTGCACTGTGGAGGAGCGATCCGAGTTCCCGTAGAAGACCTGAGAAGAAACCGAACCTTGTAAATAGACAACAGATGTGATCTATGCACTGCTCATGTACCGACTTTGCATTTTGGCCAGTGAATAGTAATATAAACCATCTATATTTCTTTGTTTTTACAGCCAACAAAACCTTACTAACACTTACAGTTTAACTAAATGCTATATGAAAGGAGCAAAGTGAGATATACTATGCAGACAGAGGAAGGTTTGGCAGTTACTTGTGTACAAAGAGTGATGGAGACACCATTTATCTGCCCAGTGCTTCTGTACCTACCCTGTTGTTCCCGGTCTGGTCCTTATAATAGACCCAGTTGAGAGATTCCACAGTTCGATACTGGACGCTGTATTTAGTGATCCACTCATCGGCGTCACAGCGGCCCTGAGTGAGGATGCCTGACACCACACCCACTTCCTTTAGGTCGATCTGGATCCACTGGTGTTGGTCATTGAACTTGGACAGCCACGCGCACCTATCGCAGCCCAACGGGAATTCAATTTTTTTTATTCCATGGTAAATGTGCTGTTTGCAACAGGAATGGGACGGCAAAGAGGACTGCCGAGACTCACCCGAATCCTTGGTTGTTAAGGCGAGCCTTGTTGGGGATCCAGGAGGAGTACCAGCCAGTGTACTGCTCCTGATTGGAGCAGCTGATCTGGTCTGCGCTTACAGATCCGGATTCAAAGCCCAGGGCTCTGTGGTATGGGCATTCTGCGGAGGACAGAGTGGTTTACCGTAATGTCGTAAAAACATGTCTGAAATAACTGAAAATAAAAGTATTGTAAACCCCGTTTTGACCAGAGCCTCTGAAACTGGGCAAGCTCTTGTTTGTCAATATCTGATTAAAAGGACTCCAGTGGGATTACTATATCAGTCCTCTCATGGGGTTATTCTGCCCAGCATCACTGCCTGTGGTCCCCTGAGCTTTGATACGCAGAAGCCTTTTGTGATAAGGCAGAAGACGATGATCGGGGCATTATCGGATGCGCTTTCTTGCACACTATCATGCCACTTTGTGAAGGGCATGCACTATTCTGAGCTCCCTAATCTGTTCTTCCAATTCCTGGGCAGTTAATGAGATTATCTGAGCAGCGTTTGTCGTTCCAGGCCTCTTCTTTAGTTGACAATACGAGCCCCTTTTTTAACAAAGTCAGCAAGAGGCTGAAAAACCTCAATGTCATCGTAGTCGATGGATGAGGATTTGTCGTGACTGAGCTCTGAACTTCAGATCATCCAGAAGGGCGATGTGAGGACACAGTCAGCTGCCATCAGCGGAGAGATTTATCAAACCACGTGGAGCCAACAAAGTGCCCACAGACGCCAAAACAAAACCACCAGGATCCGCTCTGCCGATCGTTAATCTTAATGCTCGTGACGTCCACCTGAAAGTCAGCTCCCTTCACACCTGCCCGGCCAAAAACAGAACATCCAGCATCTGTCTAATTGAGGCGGACAGGGTGAGGCGGGTCAAATCTGATCAAGCGGCCCAGGCCGATTCCTAACCTGGCATGCAGCTCAGCGAGTCTCCCGGAGGCGCTGGCGTCTGAGTTGGCGGGGCAGGCGAGAAGGCAGTGGGGATGCGAGTGGGAGATTCGGCCGATTCGCAGTCACAGGTGCAGGCTTTGACGTTCCGCGTCCACGTCTCGATCACCTGCTGTTCCTCCTCCTGCAGCTCTTCGTCCTGCACGGCCTCCTCCACCACCACCACCTCCTCCTCCTCCTCCTGGAGAAAACATCCGAGAAGGAGTGAATCCGAGCTCGTTCCTTGGGTCAGCTAAAATCCCACCGCTATCAGGCCGGGGGTCTTACCTCCTGAGAATGAATGGTCAGGGCTGCGCACGTGAGAAAAGCAGATGCAAAACAGAATTTAACAGTGATCTTTTTTGTTCATTTAAAAGTTCAAAGAAGGATTAACCAACCACGTGAAAAATAAAGTTGAATGAGACATTTTGAATGATTTGGTCTGTACGAGTCCAGAACAGGCCTGCATCGGTTTGATATGAAAAACCTTGATGAACAAGCACAAAAACAGCTAGTCGTCCTCTTCATGGAGAAACAGGCCCGACTTTTAGCTGCAGCAGCAATTCTTTGTGACACTTCACACCTTCCTTGTCACATATGCATCTATCAGCCTAAGCACATGATGAAATATCGCCACCAGAACAGCGACAAAGTCAAGACATACCTGAATTTTAACGGCAGGCTCATTTAATAAGGCTCTGTCAATAATGGCCCTCGCGCAAGTGTGCGGGACTCTTACCCTGAGTTAGAAGGAGGAGGAACAGCACAGCAGCGCGACAGCGAAGAGCAGTGACCTCCATCTTCTTCCTCAGCGGTGCAGGAATGGCATGTGTGTGATACCCAACGCTGGTGAGTAGGATTACTGTAATCCAAAGGCCTGTCACGGCCTTATCTAATTCTCTTTGTTGACCCTTGGACACCTCCCTCAAGCAACTCGGTTGCACTCAGCCTGTACTTTTGTGAACACCATCCCCTCAATGGTGATTCTTGATACTAGAAACTAAAGAGGCTGAGTCTTGCAACGTCTCGTTACCCTGCAAAAAGTGATGGTTGTTGACAGATGGAGCCAGTAGAAATCTAAGTTCTGGGAGTTTTCTTTTGTCTATGTGATGGCCAACATGGCCAAGCTAGCTCCTTTGAATTAGTTTTACATGAAGTTACTGTTTTAACAGAATAACTTAAGGGAAGTAATTGTGAGAGCAGACGGTTTCTGTGTGATGGCATTCTGTGACTCGTCTCTAAGCTAAGGTTGGTCAGTCAGTATGCGAGTTAGTACGTTAACCCTAAAGCTCTGACGTCAGCAGGATGAGTGAGCTCCACAGCAGTGACACCTTGGTGAAATGAGAGGAAAATGGAGAATAATCAAATCATCTCCAGCCGGTTTTCAGGCTCATGCACTGAGGGCGATGCAGAAGTGTTTTTTAATCTTATTTTTCTTATTCTGTTCCTCTATTAATTGCTTCTTTCAGGGCCTGAACGTGCTCAAAAACCGCTGTTCCGCTTTTAGAGACTCTTAAGAACCACAATCGGAACTGCGGTCTGAAAAAGAAGTGCTTTTTTTGGAAAATATAGTACTGTGAGACCTTTTAAATATTGTGGAGTGAAGTCATCAAAAACTTGATATGTGAGGAGTAGAATTTAGAATTCTATTCAGAGTTTTACAGTAAGCCAGTGAGGAGATGCTGAAAAGGAAGAAATGGAATTCCTTCCTGCTAGTTCTCCTCAGAAGTCTTGCTGCACCATATTGGATCGGATAGCCCAGCAATAAAGAGGTTCCGCAGTCTAATCTGAAGTAACAAATACAAGGAGGAGATTTCAGCTCTAAGACAGGATGCTAGGGATTTTGTTAAGGAAGTCAGTTACAGAATTCTATTTAATATGTGAACTGGGAAAGCTTGCTCTATATGTAACTCCACGGTTTCTCATCATAATGATGCAGCATACATGATGTTTATGTCATCATCCTTCTTCCATGTATTTTACTATGAACCCATGCACTTCATGTGAACTTATCCCCTTTTATCCATTTCTGTGTATTTATGTGACTGTTGTTTATTCATGGGAACGCAGGTGCATGTTGTCATCCCTTGGTGTTTGCGCAGTAAACAAGGTCAGTGTCACCCTCCGTCCATGTATACATGTAAAAAGGTAGGTTCCTTGTTCTGGTTCATTCATGTGTGTAATACATACATGAATGAATGAGAGCAACATTCAGACATAAACACAATGTATGTCTGAATGTCTTTGTCATCATCATGCTCAGGCAAGCATGTACACATGTTTGCTGATACCACAGATTTTTTAAGTTTAGTGTCATTTAAATCTATCTAATCTATCATTTAAATCTATTTGAGAAGTTTCAACCTTTATCCACCCCATGCTTATGCCTCGTTTGTTGTAATGTAATCATGTAATGAAAAATGCTCATGTTAGCAGGTCAGTGCTGACTCATGGCCACATCATGACCGAACGGCTGCTCTGATGAAGCAATGTCTGCATCCTTCAAGCGCCATGCCTGAAGACGGTAAGGGCCCTTATAGATGCTTGCAGTTTTAATTCTACTCTAATTTGAGCAGAAGAAAGTAAAATGTACAGTCAAACAAAGGTTATCCGTTCACCTTCATGATCGCTGGTAAAGTCGGCAATTTCGATAGCTAGTTGTAAAAATCTTTAATAAATTCCTCAAAAGATAACTCGAGATTTTGAGATGTTTCTAATATCGTTTTTGGTTTTTTTTAAATATACTAATTATTTTTTCCTCAGAGACTCTAAGATAGATAATGCCAGAATATTCCATTTCCCCCCCCAAAATAAATAATAAATAAATATATTTGCAATTATAAGGTTTTTACCAGGCGGAACCTTGGAGTTGATTGCTGTTCACATTGACCAATAATGTTAAAGACACTGAGTTAAAACATCAAAAAGGCGGGGATTCTTAAAAAATATTGACCAATGAGAGTTGTCACGCACTTCCTGATAACCAATAAAATGCTCTATTTCAACAGCCCTCGTTAAAGGGCGTTTTTAGTATTGGGTGGCTCATTTCTTCATAGAGGAATACAGTGTGGACAGACTCAAGGTAAGTTGTTCAGACAATGACTGTATTTGCCTTTTATCAAAATGCGTACTTGAGTGCCTGGTGACATATCCATTTTCAAACAAACGAGGCTGTGGCAGAAAATGCTAATGCTAATCGCTGAATAATGCTGTTAACGGTACTTCCGTTACACTCTGTTGACATTATTGCGGTCGTGTTTTTGGTCTAATTAAGCCGAAATAATGGTCACTAAAACTGTCTGTAAAATAGCAGTATCGTATAATTTGATGTATATTGTTGCAATTAAATGTTTTTAAAAATGCGTTGTTTCTGTTAAGCTATTCAGACAGAATGTTTACCTGAAGTGACTGTGAGCTGTTAATCCTGAGGGAATGCGTACAAAGTACAACTTCCTAACATGTTTTTTTTTTCACTTTGTTTTTATTTAAAAAAACGTTTTCTGCTTAATTATTTACTCTGGCTATGTCAGTTTTTGTCACATAATATTGATTTTTTTTTTTGTTTGTTTCTTTAGGGGGGGGGGTCCACTCATGGGTTGATGTTATTCTGTACTTTATTTGCTTTGACTTAATGTCTGCGTCCTGCATCACATAGGAAGTGCTATGATTTAGCTGCCCTGATTGTGTTCAGTCTCTTTGTGCGGATGTCTCTAACCGCCCACTCATTCCTCTCATCATTTCATTCACATCTGTTTTTTTTTCTCCGTGTGTATGTGTCATCTGTTCATTTCAGATGCAGTTCATGCTTCTATTCAGTCGACAAGGCAAGCTCAGGCTTCAGAAATGGTACGTGCCTTTGTCTGATAAGGAGAAAAAGAAGATTACCAGAGAGCTGGTGCAGACAGTCCTGGCTCGGAAGCCCAAAATGTGCAGCTTTCTAGAGTGGAGAGACCTAAAGATTGTATATAAAAGGTGGGTAATAATTTATTAGCTTTTCTTTGGGGGGTGGGCTGGATGCTTCCAAAACAAAATATTCTCACACTCTGCTGGACAAAAGATGGACATGTCATTCATATTCATGTTTTTTATTTTTTGGTGAGCTGTTGTAGCACTCAGACTACAACAAGGGTATTATGATTTTGCTTTATTACATGCTGTTGCCATGCCAACAGACAAGCAGTCACACTTGATAAACTCCAGGTGACCCAACAGAAAGACGGAAAAACACCAAAATCATGGTGCTGAATCAGTCGCAGGTCTCCTTAACTTCTAAAGTTTGTCAATTTTAGTCATTTTGCCTAAAACAATTGAGTGGGCACTTATTGGATACTATTAAGGCAAGGCTATAAGGCAAGTGCTATTAAAAAGCGATTAGGCCCACCGACTGTTTTGCAGAGTTAAGCACCTTTTAGCTCCTCCGAGAAAGACAGATGTACAATTGGGGTCAATTTGTTTTGTTTGTTGTTCCATTGTTAATGTACACCCTAATCTAACAAAATGGTGGAGGACATTAGTGTTAATTAATGTATTGGTCCATTAATGAAAATGAGAAGGAAAACTTTGAGAATCTCCTGTGCAGAATCCCTAAAACTTGAAACAATTAAATTTTGTTCTTTTATTTGACCATGAGCACACATTGAATGACTCAGCTATGAGGAACAAAAAAGGAAGTTATTATTCACCTTTAAGATGATTTTCTCGAAGAAGGAATAGCGGGTGGGATTTGAGTGGTTAAAGACATCTATTTGTTGATCAGTAATATCAAGATCAGTAATCCTCTGGTTAAGAAGTATAAATCCATTTGCTTAAAGAGTTACTGTGTGTTCTTTCAAACATAAAGTTACATATTATTCAGGAAACCTTCACCAAATTCATTGCTTATTTGTTCTAAACATCTTTCTGGCGGGCACAATGGCATGATTCAGCCACAGAAATGCTGCCTCACTTCCACACGACTGAACAACTAAAGTGAGCCTTTTGTTTTCTGAGGTTGGCTCTGCATTGCACTCATTAGCACAAGTGGCAGATCATGATAAAATGGGCCGATGAAGTATAAAAAAGTATCCAAATGAGCTTATTACCACTGTAATGTAAAGCAATTCAGTTGGTATGAGATTTAGCCAGTGTGGCTTAAAATCCACTCTGCAGTTCTTTTTGCCTTCTGACACAAACGGATCAACTGACCGGCTCCTTTATTAGCCAATCATCACATGCTTAAAGAGGGCCTTTGGGATTATTGGGGATAAAGAACAATGGCAGAATGTGCCTCTGCTGATTCGGCATTCTTCATCCAGCTCTCTTCTTTGAAATGAACATCTTGTAGCTCACACAGTTACCCACCACCCTTTATAATAACTTTATAATAACTGACTATAACTTTTATTGTGGTACTAAAGCTGGTTGACTTTTTCTGTACTGTTGCAGATATGCCAGCTTGTACTTCTGCTGTGCCATAGAGGACCAGGACAATGAGCTCATCACACTGGAGATCATCCACAGATATGTAGAGCTGCTGGATAAATACTTTGGCAGTGTGCGTTTGAGCTCTCTGGATCCCACTTTTGTTCTGTTTTGAACCCTTTTCATATTTTGAGTAACCACAATATGTTCATTTATTGTATGTTTGCCATGTTTTTTATTTATTTAACAGGTCTGTGAGCTTGATATCATATTCAACTTTGAAAAGGCATACTTCATTCTGGATGAGTTCTTGCTGGGTGGAGAGGCTCAGGAAACATCCAAAAAGAATGTGCTGAAGGCCATTGAGCAAGCCGACCTGCTGCAGGAGGTGAGATGTTCTTAACATTTTCAGAGATGGAATAATTGTCTTTTTCGTACCATCAAGTAAGATTTCTAATTCTACTAATCCTTTATCCTTTTCTAATAAATCGTACTTGGTATTGGTGACATCAAATATGATTAAGTGCTTTTGTTGATTATGTTGATTTGTGCACCTAAAGGAGGTTTTGAGCTCTTTAAAAATCTGTACACTCCAGATTATAACAGGACATCATATATTTTGCCAACTTTTAAAGCAGAAGCTTGCCTTATCATGGGTTATCACTGCCCTACAACACTAAATAGTGTACTGATACACCTGTCAAAGAGAGTAGTTTTCTTGTTGTTGTTGTTAATGTTGTTATTGAAAATGGAAAAACTCCCATTGATTGATGATGTTCCCAGGGGATGGGTGTCCCAGAAAGTTCACCCTAAGAACAGAAAGTCCTATGGGTGATTTGTGGTTTTTTAAATATATTTGTAAATTTTTTGTAAATGGTTACCTCTCGGACTCCAAGCCTCATTCAGCACGTTCAGTGTTAAACTTCGAGACAGTACTGTTAGAAGAAAACACTAAACATCCATGTAGCTTTTTGCTGTTGTCCATCTCAGGTTCTATCATTTAATTTCAAGGCTGGGTAAGGACCAAATAGATTGAGGTCAGAAAAGAAATAGATTTTTTTCATATGATTTCTACACCACTGCAAATGTTCCAAGTCAGCTTATAAGTTTCAATGTCCCGGCAGAAAATGAAACCTCCTCAGTACTTTTCTAGTAGCCTCCAGGTATTTTTCTGTTTTGCCCCAAAGCATTTAGCAGTATTGGTTTGTAATTCCGGTGCTACCATTTTTTTCACTACCTAATAACAAATTTAACTCATTTTACGATGGAATTTGTTCCTTCTAATCATCACTAGAGTTACTTTATTTCTAGTTATATTACCTTGTATCAAATGTCTGTCTTCCTATAGTTTAAGGTTTTGTAATGGGTGGAGGGACGATGAAAACTGCTATCTTATGCATTTTTATCTTTTTTTTTTTATTTCCTGTTTTTTTTTTTTTTTTTGCTCCTCTCAGTGCTTTGTGTGTGTTTTTGCATGGAGTTTGCTAAATCCTTTATTCTGTTTGCAGCTGACTTATGTTTTTCTCTATTTGCTTGTGTATTCTTCACTCTTGTGATTTGCAGAACATAGACTTTCAGACCCGACTGTTTGCAGGTACAGTGTGTCAGACTCCAAATAAACCGTGCTGTAGTTGTAGGTCAGTAGACATAGTCGTGTGTAGACTCCCCACAGCACAATGCTAACGCTAGCAGAGAGAACACACCAGCAACAGAAATATTCCAAGTGAAGCACGCTGTGAATATTGAAGTTGCCAGTGTTTTTATTTCTGCCATCATACTGACATCATGCCAACCCTCATATCTCTTAAACTGTTTATATAAGGGACTAACCAATACCTCCTCGGTTCTTCAGCAGTATTTTACATGCTGAATAAAAACTTAAGGCAGCATGAGAGTGTAGCTGTTCCCATGTTTACAGGGTCCCCTCGGATCTAAATGGGCTAACATGCAGGTCTCATTTTCTTCTCAAGAGAAAGTAACGTTTCTGTGTCCAGCACCCTTTCAGACTTGCTTCATACTGTAGGTGGAAGAGAGCGGAGCTCACATTGCAACCAAGAAAACAAAGTGGGATTGTGTTAGTTAGCTGAGAGCACACAGATGCTTCTTTCCTCAGTCTAGATGTCATGAAATCAGCTTTTCAGCCTTACTTAATAGGAATTTCTGTGCTAATTCTTCCTTTTAACATAATGCTTAAAAATGTTGCATATTAGACATCAACAACATATATAATAGTAAAGAATCAAGGGGACTGTTTGCTTTCAAAACACTGAAAGGTCATTTTTGACTGTAGATTTTCAGGCATCCCAACACCACAACCGATAAAGTGTATGTGCAAAAGGTATTCTTAAGTATACCGTGCATCTGCTCAGTCAAGCTGGTGGTTTAGCTGCATTTATTTGCTCGTTAGGTAAGCTAATGCTCCAAAAGGTCAGAGCAGATGAGGTCCGGAAATGGAAGTCATTACCTCTGCTGACAATCCATTAATATCCACAGCAGAAAAGTGCTGTTATTAAAAAAAAAAAAAAAGAAGAGAATGAAAAAAAGATTACCCAGGATCTGAGGGCAGCTCTTCCCATTTAAAGTTTCTTAGCTGGAATATTAAATGGGGCCCAAAGTTGAGTGAAGAAGTTGTGAGTCAAGGTGGGAAGAATTAGCTTTATTAGGTTCATCACTATCAACTGAAATGCAGCTGACCAGCTGAGTCCAAAATGCCTTGGAGTAAACTATGAAGTTGCATCACCAATGCCCAGACAGTAGAGAACATGCCTTACTATGGCCATAAAAACATCATGGTAAGTTCTTAGTGTTTTTTTTTCCATTTAAGTGTATGATGCTATTAGATGCTTTCATTATTTCAGAGTGAAAACCTCATGAAATCTAACTCAAGCTGGCATGAGAGTAAAATGTCTCTGAAAGAAGGTCTCTGATTGGCTCAATTCTACATTTCTAGAGCCAGAGTGAAGACTGGGGAAGTTTGCCAAATGAGGAGATCTTGTAAAGGTCCTTGAATGTATCCGTGCCTTCGCCCAGGCAAATTGGTAACAAGTGGATGGGTGCAGTCAGTCAGCATGGGGTTTTTTTTTTGTATCCCTGCGTGCCATGAATTTCTACCCGCATGCACCGTTGTACTGTCTGATTACTCTCAGAGGAACATACATGACACAGTGGCAGGATCATTGTGGGCCTGTATGTTGTAGCCATGCCTGAAATACTCACTAACAAGGTGGCGTAGTCCTACGCTTATTTGTTAGATAACTAAAGAAAATCAAAATTATCCTGTGAGTTTTATTTTTTCTCATTGATATATACAAGGAAATTTTAAATCCTTGTTTTAAATATTTGTTTTGAACAAGAATTTACAGCGAAAGGGCTATGCTGCCTGTGTTGTGATCAGCCTCATAATGTACTAACAACATTAAAAGGAAAGTCCTCAGATTGCTAATATTTTATTCCTAGTTTAGAAATCCTAAACTTTTTAATCCACATTTGTAACATTTTTGCTAAAAAAAATTCTTAAAACCTATGAGATAAATTTAGATGTTAGATTATATTGAACTAATTTAGCAAAAAAACCCTCTTCCTGTACATCAATAGCTGCTAACCTTTATCTGAGATGTGTTACTGTGTTTGAAATTTTATTTAACAGACACAAGTACAAAGAAAAATTAGCTAAAATCAGCTCTTTCTCATTATTTGACAAATATAACAAATAATTGCATATAGAAAAGATTTTGGAAGGGTAGAAAAGTAATCTAAACGACGGTTTAAGGTACATAAGACATTAGTTTAGCCGCTGAAATATTGTATTTAGGGCAAGTACATAACTATTGTTTTATGATTGAAATGCTTTGTTCTGAGTGACTAAAAAGTAAAAATGATGTTTTCCAGTTTTTTACTGGCATCAAATTCCACATGCATGTTTTCGAAATATGTTGAAATTGTCTTAGAAATCAACTTTGTACATGTGTCTGTAAAATAAACGATGGAAAGAAACATTATTCTTGCAATTTAAAGGAAAAGGGAAAGAGTTTATTTTTTAAAAACCTTTCTGGATTCCCATTCATTTGGTTACTTAGAGGATGGGGCAACTTTCTTTCAAAAAAACATTTTTAGTTTAGTTTAGTTTTCATTTTAGTTAATTTATTTATTTGATAGCAAAGGAACCTGGTGCCGCAAGGCAGCTCATTGCAATGCTGGAGGGAATCGAAGGGCTGCCCACTGGCTCCTTTTAGTCCTTTTAATTTGTTTTGTTGACCTGATTAACAAAGAAGAAATCAAAAAGACAGAAAAAATATCAGAGTCATATTGGGCCAAAAAAGAAAAGGAGGAGGCACAAGCCGTTTTTGTTGTGACGCCTCCTCTCAATATGGTTGTTTTATAATTGGAACAGAAATCCGATCCAACCACGAAGATGCTGAAGTTGTTGCAAGTGGCACAGGGAGAGACAAATGAACTCCTTGACAGAGCAATTTAGCAATTAGGTCACACAGCTAGAACAGTGTTAAGATTGAGACGTGCATGATAAACAAAATCCACTCAAAACAAAATCCACTCAAAACAACATGAAAATGAATTAAGACTGGGGGCCTTGAGAGTTTTAGGTATGAGAAAAAGCCGAGTGCACTGACCATGCAGAAAACATTCCACAGAGGATTTAGTGGAAAGCCATTTTGATAAGCCTTTAATGAAATATTTCTCAAGAGCTGGCCATTTACTGGCTTCCAGCGAGCCGATTTTTCTTTAGAAATAATGAAGCCTCGTCAGGTTTTCCGCTCAGCTCTGAGACAACGGAGATAACCTGAACAGACAAGTCCCTGCTAACTGGGAGGAATCGTTGAGGGGGCGCGGTAAAAGTCTCCCACTCCCTCAGTGCCGTCTGTTGTTTGACTTCATGGGAGTCGACAGGCTGTGAATGGTTCTGTTTGTGCTTATCGAATTGTTTGCCTCACAGGTGTGATGGTCCCAAATATGGCCACAGAATCCTCTGGTCTTTTCCAGAATTAGGCCGGCTAAGGTGAATACTTTGTGTCTGTGGTTTTAGGTTGTCTGTATCACTAGAGCCTTGTAGTGTCAGTGTATTTTTCGTTGTTTTTTGTATTATTGTGTCTGCATATTTATGTATACAGTGTATCAGTGTGTGTGTAGCTCATTCCCCTGCCTTTGGGGCAGCTATGGTCTCGTTCGTGGTCTCCTGTTAGCAGGAGTTGTGTCTCTTCGCAGCTGACAGGACGTGATTGTGCTGAAAACCAAGTCTGTCTTAGTTTGTCTTTGTTCGCTTTTGAAATGTTTACATCCTAATTCACGCCATGCCCTGGCATCTTTCTTTAAAATGCACACGCACGACACACTGCCTCCATAGACACACATGGGCAACGTTAGATAAAAGCTGCTTCAAGGGGCGTGATTCCAAATTAAGCTAAGCGTGCCTCTGGGGCTTTCTGTTATCACCTTTTTGAGGTAAGCTTTTCATCTCCAGCCCCAAATTTATCACGCAGACATGGTATGAATCTAATTAACTAACAAGACTTTTACTTGCTTGGGAAAAAAAACAAAACAGTGGAGAGTACTATGTCTTTGAATGTCGTCTCTGTGTCTCTCCATATCCTGTGAATAAAGTGGCTGTTAGGGCTCTATGTCATGTCGTCTTCTAAGCTGAGTGCATTTCTCTTCCCCCAGCCACGTCATGAGTACTTTAATGTGCCTGTGTACTGATTGGCTGCCATCGCTGCTGCTGCTGCTCCTACCGCTGCTGCTGCTATCCACCCTGCATGCTGAGCTCCTCAGTGCCTGGCACCTTTCTTTTCTGCCCTCTGAAACACCTGCCGTTGATACCGGTTTGACGGGGTAACAACACAAATGTCCAACTGTTCAAAGTCAAACGGAAAACGACACAAACCAAAAAGGAGGCCATGGCACACGGGCTGGATTCGGCCCTTTTCGGCAACCGGCAGGAAGCTTAATGTCCCGCTGCTGGGACACCAGAGCATTACTCACCGTTAACTGAGTCACCGCGCAGTCAGCGACAATGTGTTGTTACATACCTGTCATTAGTCCCCTGAATGATCTATCATTTAAACAGCTGGCCATCTCTTTATTATTATTATCTTCACAGTTAAGTACAACCCCCGGGGAAAAAATTATGGAGTCACCACAGCTGGAGGACATACGCTCAGCTTTTTGTATCCCGTACATTATCATGTGATAGCTAACCTTTTTTGTTTAATCCCAGGTGAAGTTGACGGAAACTTCGGGAAATAAAATCACTGACCGTTATGGAAAAATATGGAATCATTTGAATTTAGATTCAAAAACAATAATCTGCATCCGGCTAAGTGTTTAGATGAGTCTGCAGTTGAGAAAGACAAAGAGTTTATTGAGCTGTTGCTCAAGAGTGATTGGCAGAAACCAACAAGGGACCCATCAGTGGAAACAGTGGGTAGAATTAGAAAAATGACAAGATAGTGCAACTGGAAGGGAATCCATGTTTTTATTTCCCTGGGATTTAGCAGGTCCACATCATGTGTCGTCAGGACCCAGAGTGGGCTATTTCACCTAAACTTGGCTTAAGGCAACACTTTTGGGTCAGGATGGCACATGATTAACACTTGTTTTAAACTGGTAAACAGTATTATTAATTCAGGATGTAAATCTCTGTTCATCCGGGCTATTGCCCCTCACTCTGTGAGGAAAGTCTGCCCCCTGTTGCAGAGGCCTCAGCACAGTGGTATAAAAAGGTCTGTGTTTATGTCCATAACGTGCTGTTAATATCTGACGATTTTATATTTTAATTTAATTTTAAGATTTTTAAATTTGTTCAGGTTCAAACTTAGTTTGATCATTTATAGGTTTATTGGTTGCCTCATGGGTGGTGAGGTTGAATGCAAAATAAGTATTTGTTTTTTATTCCTTTATCACTTCTTTTGTTGATTACTTTTTTATTATTTCTTTTTAAATCTTCTAACTTTACATAATCAGTCCTTGACTATTGTCCGTGATTGGATTTCTAGGTGTTGCTATAGAGTTTCATATAAAAAAGACAAACAAACTTGTAGCTCAAACTACATCAAAGCCTAGAGGACCCAGATGTTTTTTAATGTAATTGAGTTGTTAGTTTTCACATTATTTCAGCACTGTGATTACTTCATTTAAATTTTTAGAATGTAAAAATGTGTTAAGTTTAGGAGTAAGTGAATTTTAGGATTAGTCCTTTTTGCACTTTACACAGACGAAGTTAGAAACAGCCATATTAGTGTTACGTAGACGTTAAAGTAATCTAAATAATACGCCGCGCAAGTAATTTATCAATCATAAAGCCACACAGACTAAGCACTAAAAACAGGTATTTACACAATCTGTAATTTTTAATCTGTGTCATGATAAAGGTGAGTGGCCGAAATGAACCATCCCAAGAAACTGAGTGAAACATTTGAAAAAAAAAAAAAAAAAGAAATAAATTTGACTGATTTACCATTAAGCTCACTGGTGTCTTCTTTTCATATCATCCGTCCCTTGTTGAGTTCACTCCCCTACCATGTAGCGGCGGCTGAATCCAGGCTGATATTTGCTGCTACTGCATTCATCTGTGCCAAACTGATTGTGTCGAGACTCATTTGCTTTGCAGACTACTGTGAGTCACATAACAGGAGATGAGAATTTTTTTTTATTTAAAAAGAAAATGGATTAATAACATATCTAAAGTCTAATTTGAGCTTTTTTCACTGTAAAAAAACCCCCAAAGAGAACGCACTTTTAAGACTCCTTTCTGTAGACGTGTTGTTTTTCTGCTGCCAGTATCAAAAACCATGTCTGTATGGCTGCTCTGATGAAACTCCTCTCTTTATCTTTGTGCTGATCTTTGTTTCAGGATGCCAAAGTAAGTGCCTGTCCTTCTCTGTCATAAACCATCTGTTTTATGTTTTGTTTTTAACGAAAGAAACTGGTGTACACCTCTGTAAATGTCACTGTCATCACACACCACCTCTAAAGATGGGTAAAGCAGAACAACCTCTCCATAGGGATCATCTGAAATAAAGTTATAGAGCATTTCTCCAACACTGAGTAGAGCACTCATTCTAAAAATGTGACCAAACTGAAATTAAATTGGCCGGCGCACTCTCCTAACTTGTAAACCAGTACAAGGACAGCAGCTTAAACAATAGCTGACCATAACTGTTCAAGTAAACACAGGCAGCCAACTAAAATCCTTCATGTGGGTGTAGGTCGAGCCCTCACAATTACTCAAATCTACTCCAAAAATTCCGTCCAGGCCAGTAATGGAGCTCCTCTTTGTGTTAAAATGCATATATAACAAGTCATGGTCACGTTATGTTGATCTACCTGTTCTTTTTCTCTAGACCTGTTCATGTTCATGGTCATATTGTGTTTCCAAAATCACAACAGGTCTGATTTGACTCAGTATTGGGAGTTTTAGACAAGTAGTTTACATACTGGCTTTATGAAAGCCAGTACATCTTAGCGCCTTCAAACTCAGTACTGCCAAATTCATCGCCATTTGCTCTGCTAGCGTGGAGACGGATGTGCCTCAAAGCTAGCAGCTCATGTGGTGAGAAAGCTTCTGCTCAGCCTGCTGACAAGAGTGCTGCTGTGTCTGGCTTGGCCTCGCCTCTGCATATGCAAATCCCTGGAACCGGAGTACCCTTAGGAACATCATGCTAGCCAGCATCTCTGAGTTAGCATGCTTTTGTTGATATGAGAATAATCAAACTTTCTTGTGAATCTCGATCCGCTTTTAAGATGTACGGCTGATTTTCTTTCTTATATTGGGCTTCATCAAAACATACAGTTATATCACATTGGATATGTTAATGAATGGTTCACAACACTAGAAGACATCATTGGTCAGTATATTCACAGAAAGCTGGTTTCTGCTAGATGGTGTGTGGAGATAGGGGGTCATCCAGGGTCACGGTCAAGCTTGAAAAGTTCACTTTGGGCAATTGGACATGAAGTTTTCTGGAAGAAATTTCACCTCTCATCCAATTGGCTTCATCGGTTCTAATTGATCGTGGGGAGCACTGAGATGAGGACAACAACGTCCACATTATGACCCAGAAAGACAGATGCTTTTAGAGAGGGGTTAAGGAATCCATCTTTGTTAACCTGGAAAAACCATCACTCAAAAGAGGAGACACAACCTGTCACCTACTTACAGAGCACTTTTACGCACAGATCCCACAATATGGGAGTTAACGACCCATCAGAACCCCCTAACCACCATTAACCCCCCCCCACACACACACACAGTTGACCTCCATGGCCCATCCAGTAGGAGGGATCAGAGCCACCTTTTGTTTCTTTTCCCCCTCTAATTCTTTTGTATTAATCTCGGCGCTCCCCACCATCAGAAAAATTCACTTCCAGTTGCCTAAACTGAGCTTTTCAAGTTTGAGTCATATCATCACAATTACAAAAACACCTTTGGGTTTTTTTTTCTCCCCTCCGGTAATCATTTCAAAGGTACAATTTGGAGATACTGCTTTGGAAAATGCTCGTTTCTTTTGTTCATGTTCATATAATCAGACAACCTGGAGAAATGATTGGAGAAATTTGGCTAATTGTTAAATCAGAGTTCTGCTCACGTTTTAACTTGTTTTTCATCCTCATGTTTCTCATTTGCCAGGCCTGTTAAACAAGTGTGGTACCTGGTGGTGTCATAGTGGATACGTTTAGCACAATGTGCTTTCCCTCTCCCCTCACAGGAGGCAGAAACCCCCCGCAGCGTGCTGGAAGAAATTGGACTCACATAAACACTGTCTTCATCAGAGTCAACTGACCTCACAACGCTTCTCCTGCCAGCCACCCCGCTGTAGGCGTTCGAAAACCCCCTCCACCACCCTTACCCCGACCCCCCCCCTTTCCTCCTTTTTTTTTTTTTTGTTCATCTGTATTTCTGTTTTTCTTTTGTGCCATTTTTTTAAGAGAGTGTAGCACATTTTTATGCACGTCCTGCCAAATGATCTGTTCAGTGCGGTGCCATTAACTGGTCCTGAGACAGAAACGCACCACAGTTTAGTTTTGTACCACTCAACACAAAGTGCTGGACTTATGACTGAAGTTCTGCAGGAAGCATCGTAAAGGAGTGTCAAAAGTATTGTGTGAACAGAGCCAAAGATGTTGCATCAATGTTGCATCCCACCGTTGTTTCCTCGAATATCTCATCATGGTTTTGCTTCTATCGTTGGAATCCACTCACCGTGCAAACACTGTAACAAACTGCTGCAATCTAACCTTCTGCGACTGTGGAGTGGCTTTAAAAAATTAGATTATCGCATTTTCTAACTGTTTGGTGTTGGGTTTCTGCTAGATGATTGCGAAATGCCTTAAACCGACGACCGATATCCCAATTTAAGATGAAGAGGATATCGTAACTGTGTTATTAGAGTTGCATTTCCATGCCGGTGTGGTGTGACCGAAAACACACTGCATTGGCAAGGGGCAAGTTTAATTTTCTCTTAATGTTTACTGAGGTGATTCTTATTCATCTAATAAAATTTAACTGAATTACAGATGCTACAACGGGTAATATCACAGAAATAAAGTTGCAAACACTGAAAATGCTACCCCATTTGAATCAGGATCCTTTGATTTGGTCCTTAGGGTCTGTCATAAGCTTTTAATAGTGAGTCATATACAAAAAAATGTTTTGAAAGTACGTTTTTCCTGGAAGCAACCAGCTGATACTGAAAAATGGAAAAAAAAAAAACTAATCCATGTGTAGCTGTTAAGAAGCAGGTACTGAATTTTGGGTTTATACTAACAAAAAGAAATAGCTTTAACTTTACACGAAACAAGGTTGGATTTGATTAACATAAAAATCTGACTTAAGTACAAATAATCATTCATGCCTGAATTTTATACTGTAATATTTTTTAATGACTCTTTTTAAGTTTTTTTGTGCATTTCCATCCATCCATCCATCCATTCTCCTCCGCTTATCCGGGGTCGGGTCGCGGGGGCAGCAGCCGGAGCAGGGAAATCCAGACTTCCCTCTCCCCGGCCACTTCGGCCAGCTCCTCCGGGGGGATCCCGAGGCGTTCCCAGGCCAGCCGGGACACATAGGTCCCGGCTGCAGTTGCAGTTTTGTGCATTTCTTGGCACATTAATTAGCTTGAGACATTTATTTTTAATATTTTCATACATTCCTGCATCTATCATTTGTTGTTTGGCCTTATTATTCCTCCATATCAGTATAATGAAGAATTTGCACTGGAAACCCTTACAGAATATCATCATTTTTAGGCCTCTTGATTGGAAAAATTCCAATAAAAAATACCCATTAACTTGGACATAGGAACTTTTCTAGAACATTTCAAATCTCTACTGTCTGTATTTTGTTTTCTTGCAATATAATGAGATTTGCTTACACATTTAAACAAGTTAATCTAGCTATTCACACTTCACATAAACATCTATCCATCATCGTTACCGCTTATTCCCTAATGGGGTCGCAGGGTCACATAAACATTTTCTTGTTTAATCGAATGTATGTACATCTGTGTTGTGTATAAAGTGGAATAAACAGTATTGTTCTGTGTATGACCTGTACATAAAAGAAAAAGTTGTGTTTTCTTGTGATGTTTAGCAATAAAGTGCATTTGTGGAGCAGAGAGAGAGTTTAGAACAGATGGTGTGCTTCAGTATTTCTTCCAATCCGTGTTGATGACTTCAACAAGAGTGAACTGGGTTACACTATAATAAGATAAAGCATTTTACACTCTGATAATGCACCATAAATGCAAGATTGATATATATCTTGTAAATGAAACACAGATGCAAGAGAGAATAATTTTTAATTTATTTTTATTTTAAATAAAAGATGATGATAGGATTTACATTAGAATAAAAACAAAGTGGGTACTAAAACTTTCTAAGAGAGTTCTGTCAGGAAGAAACTGGAGGTAAGGTTGTTAGGGATAGCATGTCTGCTTTGAATATATCTAAGCAACATCAAGAAAGAAGACATTGTGTTTAAACACAAAAAAGCCCCCAAAGATTCTTCCACAGATTATCCACACAACCCATTGCTATATTGACCTACATTCTATCAAGTAATTCTTGAATGCATTTATTAAAAAGTTATTTAAATGAACTTTCACATTTGTATATTTGAAAAAAGAAAAAAAGTCGGTTCAGGCAGTCAGACTAAACTTTATGGGGGAAAAAATATATGTATCACAAGTCACATGAAGTCCTCCAGAGCTCCAAGATGTCTCAAAGGCACTTAAGGAATCCTTAAGGAATCCAGTATAAAGCTCAATTTATCCTAAAAAAAAAATATTAATGTAACTTCTGAAAGAAAAGGCAGCAAATGTTTTGCTCATATGTCAAACACTGGTTTTGGTGCTGCATTCCTACTGGTTCGACCCCTAGCTTACAATAGCTTTTCACAGCTAACGGTATTAAACCACCATCCGTTTCCAGAGCTTACTTTTTCTGATGCTGCAAACCTAAGGCAACCAGTTCTGCAATAAATCACTGCGATGACTCTTTGTTTTCACTCTAACTTTCCTCCTTCAGCATCTCTTCAATCTCTCTGTCCCAGTTATCGTCATGGTTCCCATTGTCATTTAGGACTTCATATTCCTGGAGCTCCTCCTGTAACTCTTTCTCCCAGTCTGCAGTCTCCTCTGCAGCACAAACAAAAAGCAGCCAATTAAAACGCTAATAAACACGCTCGCAATCAAATGTACATGCACTTATATAGCGCTTCAAGCTGACTAACTTAAGTTAAGACTTACCCTTTTGTAAGTTTGGAGGGTCCTTCTGGTTCAAAACCAGCTGATCCATTCCTTTGCGAAGATCGTCATCATTTATCTCGCTCGAGTCAAAAGTGTCACTTACGAACTCCGCAACGAGTGGACTGGTAGAAATCGGCTCCTTATCCTTAATGACACCAAAAGGAGGTCAGATTGTCAGGTTTAGCTCGTTTAGTTGGTATGTTAAGTCATTTAAAACTCTAAAATACCTCAACTGATGATGATGATATGTTAAGAGCAGGAGAAGACTGGTGCTGTATCGTATCTGCAAAGAAAAAAAAAAGACAATCTTTTAAATGTATGTGTTGCCATGCTCTAAGATTTCCCTACCAAAGCTATCACATTTCAAAGCCAAAACCACTCTTCTTGGAAAGTTCCAAAGAATACGTTTAATTGAATTTTTCACCACATTTCCAAATTATGTGTATGTATTTTGTGGAAGAGCTTCAAATGTGAAGGATGGAATCGTCTACACTGGAAGCGTTTCGGGTGAGCTCACCTTTCTGATGAGAGGCTTCAGCCGTCGTTGCCAGGGCTGAAAGCTGAGCTGCCTGTTTTATCAAGGACACTCGGTAGAAGTAATTCTTCCAGAAGATCTCCTCCTTCACTCTGGACACAAAATAGAAGGACATGAATGCTCTCCTGCTGTAGGGACTCACAAGACAAGAACACAACACGGTTACAGTAAAGGTCAAGCACACTCACTGTTTGGGCACCAGATGGAAGCGCATCTTCCGGAGTAGCTCGTCTTCCTCCAGCATCACCATGGCGACTGGATACATTTGCTCAAAGTCGAAGTGAAAATCCACTCCAGCAGGGGGGTCTCGCAAAAAATTCCTTTTGTCCTGGCGTCACATGGAATCAAACGCAAGTTACAGTCACTGTGGTGATGCAACTAAACTTTTAGGGTCAAGACTGTGTATCTTACAGCTGAGAGGGCTAAAATCTGCTCTTGTATCGTGTCCTCTTCATTATAACCAACCCATGGTGGGACAGCAGCACCTAGGAACAATCATCACATGTATATTGTGTTAGTAATATAAGAGTAAAACTGATCAGAAGCCTTTGAACTTTGATCTTGCTCACAAAAATGCATTCACCATAAAGATGCAGGTACTACCAGTCCTAAGTAACCACACAACCATCTTGTCAAATTGAAAGAGTAGCTGCGTCCAGATTTGTCTTTCTACCAGTGTTTTATTTTATTAATTTTGTTGAAAGTGGTGTGAGTTTGGATGTGAAGATATATACACAAAAAGTTCCCAAAAACTTTGTTTGTACTCTTTATTAATACAGGACCCTCTTTTATAAAGGCTGTTTGTCATAGTTCTTTTTTTTGTTCTCAGATTACATATTAGACCATGTTTTCCCCCTTTTCATATTTTTTTATTCCTCTGATTGTTACAGTTTGACGTGTTTCCATTTCCATCCAGAACACAGTTCGACAACTGGTTTGGACTTTTTAATGGTTCACGAACGGTTTGCAAGGTAGATCAGGATAAAGCATTCTTTTGGATGGATGCCTGCTGTTTATGATAGTTGTATTTAGTTTTAGCGATCTAAGGGTCGCTGGTTGGTATGCTGTGGGTTGAAAGAAACCTCTTTTTTCTCATGAAAATCCAAATCAACTTCTGAGTTGCTCAATTGACAAATAAATAATGTAGGTGAAGTCCACTGTTAGACTGTGTTTATATGACGTTTTAAAGTTCCTAAAATGATAAATTCAATCATAATTATTCTTAAATAGTTCCTACAATTTAGATATAAATGTACTCAAACTGAGGTAGAGAGATTGTACTTTTAACCCATTTGACAGATCAAAACATACCTCTTCGTTTCATTTCTAAATGTGCTTTTTAAAGAGCTAAAAAAAATTGTGTTTGTAACCAAGGAGACCTGTACCTATTTGTGTTTTCTTGAGACACTTACCAAGTTCTTTCTCCTTTTTCTCTTGAACAAACTTCTCTTGCTCTTTGTGGAAATCACCCAATATAGTCTGAGGGGAAGACAGGATATAAAAAATTATCTTTAAAAATTAGGCTAAAAAATAGTGGCCATTTCAAAACAATGAAAGGTTGTTACCTTATCAATAATTTCATTCAGTTTCCCCTCTTCCACGCTTTTCTTTAGGGTTTGCGCTGTTACAACAACAGACTCTGAGAGTTTTTTAGAGGCAGTGTTGGCAAAATTATACATGTAACCTTCAAAAAAACAAAACAACAACTGGGGATTAAATTCATCTCCCAACAAAAAAAGAAATGAGCACACTCAACATAAACAATTCCAACTCTGCTGCTTCAAAATTCCTCGCACACCTTTTTTGTGACAACTTACCACTGAAACCTTTGGCTTTTTGCAAAAGCTGGATATCCTTCGGTGGAACTTGCTCTTCTTCACAAACATTTGTCGGTTTGTTTTCTTCCTTTGCGTCAACAGCAGACTCTTTTTCTTCTTTAACTTGTCCATTTTCGCTCTCTATGCCAAGCCAAGTCCCCCAGTTCTTTAACATACTTTGAATTATTACCCTCAAGGACGTACAATAAATCCTTTGAGGCCTTGTTATGGCGGTTACCTTTTTATATATCTGTACTTATGATACTTTGGTTTTTGGTGACGCTTCTCCAACACACTACTTCCGCGAATCTGTTCTTTTTGATCCCATCTCCTACCCTTAGATTAAAAAAAAAAAAAAGGTTGTCATGGAAACGCACGCGCTTCCCTCAAAAGTCCTCTGCCTGTACACCGACAGTAGATGGCGGGCTAGCGCCGCCAGTTCCGCCTAAGTTATCCCTGTTGTCCATGGATGGAGCTAGTGTAGCTTAGCTAATTTAAACTCTCCTGAGTGTGTCAGTGTTTCGTTTTGGGATTGTATCATGAAGCGGGGAACGGGTTGACTGGGTTCCGTTTCAATGTGTTGCGCTAACACGCTCAGCTCACAGACTCAGTCGGTTGGGGGATTGAAGAGCTGTTTCTTTGGAAGTAAAACCTGTTGGAGAAGATGAAGTATGTGTAACGTAAACCCGGGCTATAGCTGCGTGCCACCCGACAAAGCTCTCGTGTTCACCGGTTTCATCTTCGGTTTGAATTTCCAGGTAAGTTTAGACGTTCCGTTGGGAGTTTTGTGCTAGTTTTTTTTTTCTTGGGACATATGGACACGGTAGTTCTGTTGTATTCTTGGGTAAAATTCGAAACTTGTAAAGGTTTACGGTACCTGTGTTTACAAAGAGGGGGGTGAGGGGGGGGGGTATTCTGTTCGACATGTTTTCCGTTGTTCTGCTCGTCAGTGATGATGCGTTTAATTCTGTCACGTATAAGAGCATTAAGTTTCAATCGTCCCGTCTGGAGTATGACAACAGGTGTTTATTTACTCTTACATATTCTTTACGTTATTTACAAAAGGTGGTGAGTTATCCCATGTGTATATATATATAAACATCAAGGGGGTTTAGAGTGGGGGGGAAGTAACTGACCAACATTCACATTTAGAGTTTCTCTGACTTGGTTTTAAACAAAGAGCTCCGTTACTCAAATAGTCTGAGAAAAGGCAGTAAAACAGTTTCTAAATAAATAATTCCAGCTACTTCCATATGAAAATGTATTTATATGAACTTGACCTATCACACTTCTTAAGATGGAATTATTTGATTTGCACGTGTATTTAATTTAAGACATTTTTAAATGTTTTTTTGTTTTTGTTTTCACGGTTGTAGAGACATGAATGCGAAAACCCCAAATTCACCCTCTCAATTGATTTCATCTAACTTTGATCTTTAGAAAAACAGATTAAAAATAGTGGACCATTTATTAAATCGGAACATCTTTTAGAATTATTTTAAGCTTGTAGTTTGACGGATACATTTCCATATGCCAGAGACTTAATATACAGAGTATATATATGTTTGTCTGTTTTCCATAATATATAATCCATAATGTCATAACAGTGGGGGTTATTGCCAAGTGTCATCAGAATAGCACAAAGACATATTCGACAGCAATATGCTGAGAGTGGGTCAGAAACGGACCCAGAACTGTTTAAAACTTCTCTCCCCTAGGAACCCAATTTGTGTGATTGTTTTGGGTCAATTCCCAATTTTTCTTTTCTCTAACAGCAGCACAATGGATGCCGAGGGATATAGAGGTGATACGCGGCGTGCGGAAAGCGAGAACATTTGGTATGTGATGCAGAAATCGGGAGATCTGGATCCCAGGGCCAGAGATGGCGAGAGTTGGAAGCTGGTGGAGGTTTTTCTTTCGGGAGGTGCACCCTGGGGGTTTACTCTCAGAGGAGGGCTGGAGCATCGGGAACCACTGCTCATAACAAAGGTAAGTAGAATAATACGGCCCCTTTTTAACATAATAGTCCGGAATAAGGTTTCCATGTGCGATTTTGCAGGCAGGATTTTTTTCTGTATTTAATTAGATTCCCTTTGATCCATCACTCTTCAAATGTTGGCAAATTCCCTAATTTAAACACTTGTTTAAAAATGTGATTTTCATTCTTTTGAATTGTGGCCTTGAAGGACTTAAAAAGAACATTTTATGGGCATCGTACATCTACATCAACCAATCATTTATCTCTCCCTATGTGAACTTCCTTATCAGCATTCATTGGCTCTTTGACATATTTTTATTTTGTGTGTGTGATTCAATACAAATGAGCATATCTCTTTGTTTGGTTGGCGGCTCATTAACACTTTTAGCAACTGCACATTATTTTAAAGCTTTCTGTTATCTTAGTTAGCACTAATGTCAAATACAAGAGATTAAAATGAAATATGGGTGAGGAGGGATGATTAAACTAACAAAAGACTTTCAGTGTGTCAAACATTCCACTCTTACCTCAACTGCTAAAATGTGGATTGTGTTGGGATTTTAGGGGGAAAATGTTGTGGGGACATGTATTCAGTCAGACAGTCTATTGTATCCAAATAGAATATCTAAACAGATGCTAATAATTTGACTTGAAAAGTAGTTGCAACAAAAAGGATGAGATAAAAAAAAAATATCTGTGCAAGTAAACCTTTGCGAAGTTAATCAGCCTAAAGTGCATGACTTTATGTATTTGACTGCACGTGCTAGCATAGGCATACAAAAGGTCAAGATAAGTAAAAGAGGTTGAAATACCTATTAAAACCTGACATGTTGCCAGATTTTGGATCATCGGGCCAAACCTCACCGAAATACAGGCTCAGACAGCTGTTGCTAGGACTAAAGACTGTATATCTCTCATTCATAGAGGTGTGTTTGAGGTGTGTGTGTGATGTAAGTGGTGTCATTTGAAGCACTGTAATTATAAGTTGGCAAATAGTCAAAAGTTTAGTATTTTGGTACATTTTGGTTCCAGAAAAGATAACACTGAACATCCGCTGTAGCTTTGAGTTCATATATGTCATGACTTTGTCAGCTAGGTTTTTTTTCAACTTTCTTCTCTAACCTCGCTAACCTTTCTTCTCTGTTGACCATTTAATGATTGACCACAGAAGACCTTGCTTGTTGAATCGGCCTGGCGAAACCCCGGCACCTGTTAAGTCGCGGGCTGCTTCCCTTTCTCGATTTTTTTTTTTGTTGTTGTTGTTGGTCATTTTCTCTGTGTTGACAAAACGGGTCTAAAGTTCGGGGCAGAGGGTCGTAACTCCAGCCACTTTTGACCATTTTTTGCCGAGTGAGATCAAACAGGAGGGTCGTATCGCCTTACAGAAACAGCAACCAGCTTCCCAGTTTGGCCGCGGTTCTTCGGTGTGATTGTGGTGTCTTTCAGTTGTTAATGTTTGGTCACTCTGTGACGCATCTGTACTCCAAAAGTGGACCGTTTTGTGCATCAGATGGTAAGATAGCTACTCCTTTTTTTTCCCCTGCTGTCTGTCAACATGGTCTACATTCCTTTGAAACAATATTTGAAGGCTCTGCCATAGTTTCTCCATCTGGCACCTGAAGAATTTTTCTCAGTCATCTCATAAAGAAAATAAGTCACCGGCTAGACTTAACAGTTCTTATTCCTGCTCGCGTGTTTGTGGATCGAAGCTGGAAATTTGCTTTCTCACACCGTTGAACTGGCTTGAATTTCAGTCCGAAGGGGCAGCTAGCGGTACCAGGAGCAGCGGAGGAATGCTGGAGCTTTGTTTGATATTTCTATATGTAGTGAATTATCCATGACAGCCTGAAGCCGGCTGGAATGGAGCGACGAGATGAATAAAATGAGGGCTGGGGATTTGGGCTCCTTTGGAACATATATCAGATTACAGCTCTTGATTCATCGCAATTTATTATTGGAATATTTGTAGATAAAGATGTAAGCAAAGCCACTGCTCTCCTTACTGTATATCCTTGCTCCACTTTCTTGACAAAGACAAACAGCAAATTTGTGTCCTGTCTGAACTGCTGCAGGTTGAACTTGTATGCTTTAGTGGTATGACCCGACCTTTAGTTTCCTTTATTTAACATTCAATTCTGCTTTATTGGCATTCTACAAGGTACTCGGACATTATGAATTAAATCATGGAGACGTTTCATCTTGAGATTCTAACAAAACCCTCAGTTTAGCCACATTCCACCTTTTCAAGCATCCTCTCTTAAGATTTGAAAAGCATCTTAAGAAATCTAGTTTGATTATGAGCTGTGTGCTCACAGTTTACATTTTCTTGGCATGAATATCAGTAGCCTTTCTATCCTTTAATTAATAATTTTCTTGGCTGCCCTCTCACAGCCGTACTCTCTGCCTTTTTTTTCCTTCTTTTTTTTCAAGCAGTGAGTTGCAATGAAATATTATCAAGAAAGAAGGGCCCTCAGTTTGATGACAGGTTCGGAGTGTTGGTTAAAAAATATCCTGGATCTAATTAAAATTCTTAAGATTCCACTCATAGTTCAGGTTATGCTCAAGGTCCTTGTGGACTTAAAGTCCTTAGTCTCAATAAACTTAAATAATTTTGTTTTACACGAGACATCTGGGCCAACAGCTCTCACACACACACACGTTTCCTTTGCCAGGATCAAACTTTATATGGAAAAAAAAATATGGTTTGCTCTTCGGGAACCATCACAAAAATGTTTCTGTTATTACACACTGTGATAAATCACCTGCAGGTAAACAGGTTTTACCAATTACTGAATCTTTTGTGTGGCAATGCTGAGGGTGAGATTTGACTGCCTGGGGATTGCTCAACCTCCACAGAGAAGATAATTCAGACAGCACAGGACGGTGGAAGGATTCAAAATGGTTGGTTTATTGTTGAATAGACTGTGTTTCTTTAAGCAGGGACACCTCTCTGAATCCTTCAACCAGAAGGTCGGCAGCTCTATCAGGAATACCTCCACTGGCAAGACCCTGAGCCCAAAATCACCAACAATATGTTAATCATTTTTTCAATGTGCTGAAAAATCTTTGCACACTGCTGGATATTCACATGCATAGGTGGTAAGAGTATGTCGAAGATGATGGTGTAACAGTATCTCAAACCACATCGACACTTTTTTAAGTCAAACTATATAAACTTTGTGGTCCCTTAGACATCAGCCGAATGATATTATCAGGCAGATGTGTATCAGTGTGCCAAAATGTAAAAAACAAATCTCCAGACACTCATCCTGGCAACGTCATTCATTTTTAATTAGTGACTTTTCTTTTTCAACGATGCAGTATCTATGCGGCATACAACCTCAGTGCTTTTGTGAGGAGAATTTTAGCTGTATATCTGACCACTCTTCTTTGTGGAATAGCCACAGTTAATTTGAATTGGTTGGTTTCTTGGCACAGACTGTGCACTTAAACCTTGTCCACAAATTTTCAATTGGGATGAGGTCGGGGCTTTGGGAGGTTCCATTCCAAAGGCTTAATCTTAGCCTGCTTTATCCATTCTGTAACCGGTTTGGATGTGTTTGGGGTCATTAGTTCGTTGGAACATCCAACTGTGTCCAAGTTACAGATGTGTAGTGGTTGTTTCTCCCCCATTAGGTGAAATGCACCAGTGCCATTGGCTGGAAACAGCCCCAGGGCATGATGTTACCCACACTGTGTTGGACAGTTGACACACTGTTCCTGTGTTCAAACTCTCTTTGAGAGTTCTTCACAAAGTTCCTTGGACTTTCCAATGCTTCTAAATATTGCTCAATCCAAAGAGTCCCGTCAAACGCGTGTTTTTATGCTGACAAAGGGAAGCTACCAGCAATCCTGACATGCTGGACCCTGTCACATCAGGACATTCTGGAATCGTCAGCACTACTCAATGATCAATACATGGATACGTTTGAGACTGTATGTAATAAAGTGTGCCTGAAAAGATTAGAGAAACCCCCAAAACAGCAACCTTCATGTCATTTTCATCCAATTTTTGGTAGATCCAATTGTGATAAAGATATTTGTATTGCAAAGCTTCAATAATACACAGCCATCCACATTTGACTTGTATATAATACTTCATATGACTTGGTAACTGATATTTTGTTTTTTATTATGCCATTGCTCTTGTTTGTAGTCTGATCTCAAAGCCAGTACAGCCAAAAGGAGCTCTAATAAGGCACTTCAAAACACAGGCCAGAGTTTTGTTAAGACAGCAAACATTGTTAAAGCATTGTGGTTAAGCTAAGAAGTTCATTTTGATGCTCAAAGCTTTTGTTCTTGTTTTTTTCCTCTCTAATGAAACCCCTCTTGCCTGTGAATGATTGTTTTTGTAAGTTCTCTTTAGAAGTGAATCCAATTCCATAGGAGCCACTAAAAGTATCACTCGCTGTGCTGCGGACATGTAGGTTAGTGTGCCTGCAGAGTCTCGCAACCAAATGTTGTACAACGAAAAATGTACATGTGTCAGTCTGCAGCTGTAGGGCCATAAACCCCTAAAATGTACAAAGGTCAGCATTGGTGGAGTTTGTTAGAAGAATATGCTCAGCGATGTGTGCAGGCAGGGCCCAAAACCATCCGTGGGGTCTGTGTACCAAAAGACATCTGTCAGCAGAAAAGACAGTTCCTTAGCCTCGCTGCCACCACATCCTTCCCTTCATGACCCACACAGGGATATTTAGCTCTTTTCTGAGACTCTGTAGAATCCAGGATGGCTGCTGTTTGGCTGATTGCAGCCCTGAGGAAGCGGGTCAACAATGGATATGGTATGGCTCATGCTGATGAGGAACTTTCTGTAAAAATGTTTGGAAAAACAGTGTCAACCTCCTGTCTTTTTTTCCTTTTAGTCCTCTTTTGTCCCCTTAAACCAGTAGTTGATATTTTGACAGTTTTTTCTTTATACGTGTCTATTTGTGTCCAGTTGGTTTTTATTAAGGAGGGGCACAGGCTCCTTTAGTGTGCACCTCTGTTTGGTGTTTGACTGTTGACTTCAACCTTTGGAGGCATGCAAAAGTTTTTCTTTGATGAGTGTAGAATTTCTTTGTCGTAAGGTTGGCTCAAGCGGGAACTTTGGGACAGATCACAGATTGCATTATCTATATTAATACTTACCTACTTATTCCATCTTAAAATTAATTTTATTCAGTATTTATTTATATTTAAATTAAATAGTTATTTACTATTACTATTTTGGTATGGCTTGCATATAAAGTACAATAGATAAGAATAGATGTCAGATGTGATAAATGTACCAAGTTGAAATCCTTGAGGTATAATTTTGAAGTCTGTTCTATTTAGTCTGCATTACTCATTTCTACAGTTGCCCCATAATGATAAAAAGAAATGAGGAGAAATGTTTTGCACGGCGTGAGACTTGTTAGGCTACCTGTAGCTGTTTTGATTTTTATAACTCATGCGGATGTTGTCTTTTAAAATCAGCAACCAATTAACCACTGAGAGTTGTCTTTTAAGTATTTTTCCATGCACCACACAGCTCCATTGTTGTTTAATAGCTCTGGACACAATACATCAGTAAGCCACACTTTTGCTGTGGGTCACATGTTTGCCGGCATTAGAATGGAAAATGCCAATATATATTAACATATACAGTATATGTATATACTACCACCACATTCTGCCCATTTTATAAGCTTCTGTGCCTCAATCTCACACAACCTAATCCCACTCATTTATCCTCGTGGAAGAAGACCAGTTGGGCTGAATGTTATCTGGTGCTCCTGCTCAGTTGAAATTAGTTAAACTGCTCTGTCGAGCTTCGTTTGCCTTCCACTTTGAGTGCAACTTGAGTGTTTGCATCCCCTTTTTAAGCATTGTGGCTCACAGTTCATGCATCATGTAGAGTTTCTGTGCTAAATGCACTACCATATCAGGACCGGCCCAGGAAGCATGCCACTCAGCGCGAAAAATCCTCCACCCACCCCGCTTAACCCTCCATTCTAGCAGAATGAGAAAAGGCTACAGTATGATTAGTGTTATCGGAGGCTCCGGTTTTCTTTACTGTGGATAAAGGCCGTATAAGACATGCTGTTCTGCAAACCTACACATACTTTTATAGATGAGTCATGCAGCCCCCCCCCCATCATCTGTCACAGGTTGAGAGAAGGGCTGATAATCAGCTGCAGAGCCGGGCTTTTGTGTGTTAATGTGCCAACTGCTGAACAAGTTCTCGCTGCCTCTCTTTCCACACCAGGCTATCTGCCTGTCTTGCGTCAGTGTGAGGACAGCTCTGACCTTAACACACCAAACCTCTGGCACTTCAGAACGGCCACGCTGCAACCGTGCCTCCTGTCAGTTCGGCGTCTTCTATCTCGAGCCGGCCTCCGCCACAACGTCCTCTCCAGAAATAATCCAATCCCTGCAGTTTATGAGTTCAGTACACAGTCCTCTTTTCACCACGCAGCCCCCTTTGTTATTTCAGGCGTCTTCCCTCAAACAAACACAATTTGTTTTTTTTTGTTTTTTTATCGTGCCGCTGGAGTGGACAGCAGCTTTCTTAGCTATTTTTATTACCTTCAATTCAGGTCTCTTTTTGATTAATTTATTATTTTTAACCTTTTGGGTTACAATGGCCTAGACTTGACGGTTTAACACCTCGAAATATATTAAAACTGAGAGCTTGTCATAATGAATATACAACCGTTCATCATGTCTCAGCTCTACTTTTGTAATAAGTGTCTTTCTTCCTTGTGGATTTTTGTTCTTGCTGTTTTCCTATTTCTTTTTCAAGAATTCTCCAGTTACATAGAAAGTTTGTCTGCAGCTCTATCTGAGCATGTGTAATGCCCTCCCGGGTCACAGACAACGGCCCGGCCGCCTGCAGCATGTCTGTGTTTTTCTTATTTGTAATTCTAAACTATTGATAGGCACTCCCGAGTGCAAAGATTAGGTGATAAGAGATGACTGAGTCTGGTTACTAAGCCCGGAAGTGTCTTAGACACGAGAACTCCCTTTGCAACCGTTTTGAGTAGAGGGCTTTTAATGCAACCATGTGTATTCTTTACAGAACTAGCTGGCTGCCACTTAATAAGACACAAAATATTCAACCAATCAGCACAGAATTCACTATCTATATTTGTAACAGCCCTCTGATATTAATATGACTCAATGGTATGGTCCTTTTTTCCCGCACAACATCTGTTTAAAGATGTCATGAAACTTCCTAAATAACTGCCACTGGATGTTTTTTTTTTATTCAAAACACTTCAAAACACTCACTTTGTCTTCTCCCATTCTTTGGTAAAAAAGCACAATTTTACGTCTTCCCTTTAACTATTAACCCAGATGACGTAGATTAGGCCAAAACTATGATGAAATCTCCATTGTGATCAGAGAGGTTGCACATTTCCGGGTTATTTGGCTTAGGTACCAAATCTGGGAAGTCTTGATAAGTGGCACTATGCCATCAGTCACCACCTTGGCATGTACACTAACACCAGCATGTGTACAATCATATAAACCCTCTGGTGTGACATTACTAATCTAAGTAACAAACCTACTGCAGCCAAAGCACAAAGAGAAGCTCACACAAACAGTAACTCTGAATAAATAACCTGTTAGAAATGGTTCTCTGTAAAAATTCTGAGGCGTTTTGTTGTGTTTATGTTTCAGGTTGAGGAGGGGAGCAAGGCAGCAGCCGTGAGTCTCCAGGTGGGAGACGAGCTTGTCAACATCAACGAGATTCCCCTGAGTGGCTTCAGGCAAGAGGCAATCTGCCTCGTGAAGGGCTCCCACAAGACCCTCAGTCTGGTGGTTAAAAGGTAGGTGCTCAGAGCCTGATTTCCCTTTGCACATGTCACCTCCCCGCTAGCCTAATGATTCACCATAGCAACATCTCCAACAAACTAAGGTGACAGAGGAGTGGGTGGGTGGGTGGGGTGGGGAGAGCGGGGGGCGTGGCAAAGGCTCCCCAGCCCTAGCAGCTGACGGCGTAGTGTGTCTGTACCCTGCTGGGTTCTTTCTGGGATCGCTGATCTGCTGAGTTCTCTGTAGCTGGATGGTCCAGTTTAGCCAGGTTGTTCTGGGCCGCCTGGAGCAGGAGTTCCTGGTTTTCTGACGCTCTGTAAAAAAGGGATGACATCATTGTGTTTGTTAGCGCCCACGCTGGCAGGTGTTGGGACACAAGAGGAAGTTGCTATGCAAAAGATACTATGGGCCACCTTTTTTTTTTTTTGGTTCCAATTAATTTGACCATGTCCGTTGGTCTCATTCCCTAGATTATCTGACATTTCAGATTTGCATTGTTTTCTCTAACAAGACTACCAAGAGGACTCATCATCTTTCCACTTACCCAAATAAACTGTGAACCCGTCTCAAATTATATTCCCTCCTCCAGACAAATCCCTGCTTTTGTCATCCATTAACCCCTTGTCTCATTGTTTGGGTTTCATATCTTGTTTAACTGCTGAATCATTTGTCAACTTAGTGGGCCACTCACAAACGGCCTTGTGCGTGTAACACTGGCCTTATTGTCTCTCTGTGCATCTGCATTTCTTTCTGTATTGTATCATATCATAGCGTAATCCCTGAACAAACCCCGCCGTACAAGGAAGTTCCCTCAGCATTTATCTCTCCACAAGGACAAAGCCGGGAGTCACAGTTATTGTGTTTTATTCTCAATAGACATGTTTATTTTAGAGCCGAGAAACAATGACTATGTACTGTCTGTAACAGTCTGAGTTCGTCTCAGGAGTTAGCACTCTTAAGTTTGAATGGTACTTGTGAATTCATGAATTTGAGCTTCCTTTTTTCCCCTTTAAGATCTTAGAAATAAAGAGTAGAAGTAGTGGCATCGCAGAGTTTGTCTTGTCGAGTTAAGACTAGAACTATCATATCTGGATCGACATTGATAGCATATTTTAGATCAGACATTGTTATATTTCAGAGTGGGTTATCTACACATGTCCACATTTGTAACTGTAGCATTAAACTGCCTCTTTAGAATGGTTATCTGATGGTGAGACTTTTTTAAAAACCTCTTTTTTTAGATTTTATTAAATGTTTGTTTATGACATTTCAAATCATCGCATTCAGATGTTCTTTAACTTTTACAGAGCATCCCAACATTCAAAAGCTTTTCCTGAAGAAGGGGGATGGTTACACTCTTGATCGTGACCTTTGTTACGATTAATATTAACCGCTCTTACCCTAACATTTTTGTTACTTTGTATATTCATTTATTCAATATCTACATTTATTCATTTGTTTTTTTAGTTTTTTTTTATTTCTGTCTTGTTAGAAAGTAGATGCATTTCTGTGTTCACATCACTTGAGCCTGTAACATGTATCTTTTTTGAAACGCTGAGGGAGCAAGGAGTAAATTTGGGATAGATTAAGATACCAAAGAGAAGGAGGTACGAAGAAAGGATCTGGTTTCCGTCATCCTCTCGTGCTCGTAAATCTAAATGGAGAAAGACCTTTCCTTACAAGGACCAGTGCTATTCTTCATATTGCATTTTATACGATCTTTCAGTCCCGAGAGGCTCTCGGTTCTGCGTTGAAGAATTTGCTTTGTTCCAAATGTCTCAAATAGCATCTCAAGTCAGTCATTTTCCCAAGGCCACAATAACAAGTCTGCGTCTGATTTAGAGCACAGCAACGTGATGGTGGTTCATTACTGAACCTCAGAGCTTCAGTCCCAGCCTCATTCTTCTCCTGCTTCTCCTTCAGCTGCAAGTCCGAAAAACAAGTGTTTAGCGTCTGGTTAAAAAAAAAAAAATCACCAACAGAACCTCCAAATGTACAAAACCCTGGAGTTTTTGGCTTGTTTGTTTATTTTTATTCTGCTCTCAGCTTCGGCCCAGCCTGCAGGTGTAAGATCTCAGTTGTGCAACACCTTTTTTTTTTGGGGGGGAGATAATGCCAGATCGTTGAATGGGGATTGGAAAGCTGTCGGAACCTGCTGCTGTTCAAAGGTGTGGTCCCCGTTCAGGCTGCTGGAGGGCGGAGCTCGATCCGCGATTCATGCGTTTTGCACGCAGTCGCTAATCTAAGATAGTGGGTGCAGTGTTGAGTTTTTGAGAGGAGGAGTGAAAGGACCTGTCACAGGTCACGTGGTGCTCAGATAGGTGTGGTCGCGCGTGGGAAAGCTTTGTGCACACGTCCTGTCGCAGCTTCAACTAGTCAAATTAAGACACACTTGTCTGCATAAATTCCCATTCTCAGTTCCAAATACATTAAAACTATTGTATCTATGCACAGCTTGTCACAGACTCGCAAAGGCTCATCCAGCGTATGCCATCATCGCCTTTGAGTACCTTTTGGGCCTCACTAACCGGGAAATCCAAGTTGCATTTTGGCCCGGAGCGCCTCATTCTTCAGTTAATTTGTAACAAGCGCTGAGCCACTAAACTTTACTTGAAACGCACCTCAGCAGTGTCTTTCGTAAACACTGTGAGAGAAGGGAAATCTCAACTGTAATAGGCAGAAATGAACTACATTGACCTGCAGCGACTGTGTATGCTATAATACTGTAACCTTCTGCACAATATTTAGTCCACACTTGCAGCTCAAGTCCATCTTTCGATTGGCCCCCTGCACATCTGGCTGGTACATTAGACGGCGCTACCTGCCGAGGAGTCCCTCAGCAGAAGGTGACGCTTGCTGTGGCCTTTGGTTTCCCCCTTCTGGAAGTGTCAAAGAAGTACCAGCAATCTTTCATCATTTTGTGCTCGCAAGTAAGCCTCCTGCTGCCCGTGTGCCTCTTCCCCAAATTCGTTTTGCTCGCCCCATCATGCAAACAAGCCGCTGTTTTTAGATTAGCGAAAGCTGCCGAGAGTTTCGCAGCACAATCCAGCTGTACCTGGAGAAGCTTACTAGCGCGGGTTACAGTGCAGGCATTCAGAAGGGGTTCCAGTGCAGGGGCTTACATCCAGTGGGCTTTGATTTTTTGTTAATAAGCCTATGTGGGAATGTTTGGAATGCCGCGCACAGAATTCTTGCCTTAAGTGGATTTCTTAAAATTGTTTGCGTCTCAAGCGAGGAGATCATAGTTCTGGGGTTTTAAGAGTTTCCTGGATTTTAACTAGACCTCCTTCCCCGGTCCGGTGTGGATTGTTCTGTGGCCAAAGCGAGTCAACAACAGAGTCGTAGGGGTACATTTTATAGCAGCAAAATACACGTCAACAATAACAAAAAGAAATGCTAGTTTCTGGTGATGCATTTATTAGGGATTGATAATAAATATTATCAATCCCTAATAACTTGTCCAGTTGGAAAGGCTTTATGTAAAGTAGTCCTTGGAATTTAATTTGCCAGGTTGTTTTTTTTAATGTCTAACATTTGAAATGAGTCATCACATAACATCTGTAAAAGGTCTTCATGGGGGGGATATCCCTCAGGGAACTGCAATCATTATAAGTCACCGGTTGAACATTTAATAGCCCGTCAAAGCACTTAATGTCCTAACAATTATTGTCTAATTTCTCTTGCACTCCTGCATTGAATATGACTCTTCTATTTTTTAAGATTGTTTTCGGTTCACTGCTGCAGTCCGCACTATATTATTGTTGAATTCATTCCCCTTGTTTGATGCTTTACTCTGTAAATAGCTGGTCTTCTGTGAATTTATGGCTTCACTTTTGGCCACTGATTGATGGAAAACATGGGATGCAATACGCGTGCAGTGTTAAAGACACGCAACCCGAAGGGCTCACGGGGATACAGTTTGGACCCCCGGACTCGCAGACAAAAGCTTTCCAGGTGTTTGTGGGACACGGGTCAGCGCAGGCAGCCCGTGACTCGACAGCTGGTATGCCACTCAGCCCAGGAATGTGCCGGTCATTACTTACAGCGCACGGTTCACCTCTCTCACCCTAGACATGTGCGGTTTGATTGTGGAGTTAGCTGAAGAAGGTCTTTGTGAGGGAGAGGGATCCAACAGCTTACCTGGGGTGCTTTACCTGTTCAAGTCACATGGAGTTTTTTTGTGTTTTGTATTTTCTGACAGCAGATTAATTTGTTCAGCTTGTGAGAAACTCAACCCAGCCGCAGAGTAAAATTCTTCTGTGCGTGATTTCTTCCCCCACAATCACTGACCGTGAATTTTTATTGCCTTTTTATCAGCTTTAGGTCGCAATCTTACTTCACTAATCTACTTGCCTGTCACCAGACCGCCAGGTGCTGTGCCAGAACCCATTTTTAAAAAAGAAAAGGGAAAGAAAAAATAGTCAGGAATGTAGGAATGCATTCCCCCTTTTGGATATCTTAAAGATTTATAAGTGGGAAGGGTTTTGTTTTTCTTAAGAAAGCCATTCCTGACATCTTTGCATTCAGTTGGACTTTCACACACCATTGATTGTTAGGAGCTAAAACATCAAAGGACACAAATAAAGAACTATTGCACACTTACTGACACATTTGTATTTTGAATCCCTTTTCTTTCTTTTTTTTTATAGCGAAACAGATCATAACGAATAAAAGTGTGTGATTAAAGCAGCTATCTGTATCTTTAAAGACATTTGGAGCCAGATAATATGACAGCACACCTAGTTAATCTCATCATGTTGTCAGTTTTTGTTACAGTTTTTGTAACTGAAAGGCACACTTCATCTACTTGACCAAAGCTTCTCAGGAAACCGGCTACTTTTGCACCCTAAAGATCAACCTGTTGCCATAGTAATGTTTCCAATGCATGTCTGCCTCACAATGAGGGAGATGGGAAGAGAACAGTCCGGCATTTCATCCCTTCATTAGCATATTAGCCCTTTAGATCCAATGAGACCATGCAAGGTAGGGGGGGATACTCAAAGGGGACTGGCTGTGACAATGGCCCTCCTCCCTCTGTACACTTTTCAACCCCCTCTCAGGGGGAAAAAACTCCAGTAATCCTGAAGGAAATCTCCCCTTAAGGAAAACTTCTCTTTAGTTTAGCGATGGCCATTTTGCCGTTTATATGATGAGACTTGTCGGTCGCTATGAGTTTGAGGGGAGGGCAGCATGTCGTAGAGTTGTATGATGATACTTGGGCCGCGGTGGCTGCATGCCCCCTGTTTTTTGTTTTTTTTTCTGCCATCTTTGAAGTTGTCTGTGGAATGCAGTGCCTGACCAGCACAGGGGTACGAGTGGTCTCACTTTGTTGCCCAAGCACAGCCTAATATTGCTAGACCTGTTTTAAGGGAGACCACATTGCTTCTCAATGTCATTCATCTGTTCCTTCATCCAGATGTTCGGTGAGTCAAACTGATATTTATTATGCGCTTTGGTCATTCCTCATATTGAAACCGTTTCTATGTGTTTGAAGGCTGCCATTTGTTGAGATTTTTTTTAATCACATCAGTGAATGATCGGGCAGCATGGGGATGGGGGGCATTTTGCTTGTTTTTTGACCTTAATACTCTGTTTTTGTGGTGGATGTTTTTGTCTCATTATTCAGCAGGAGGCGATTCATCATGTAGGTTAAGCTATGATCAGCTAGACCTAATTCAAAACCAAATGCAGATGCAAATGATTCCTCTAATTGATTTTAGGTAAAACTGTGTCAATCAATTGAACACATTCTCCTAAAGAAACATCAAAAAAGCTAATGATAGTACTGATCATTATTTTAATTAGGGAAATGTACCTATTTGAACTCGGACTGGGTTCATAAGGGAAAAACTTTGTTTGCAGTTTGAACTGATCATTTAGAAAACAATATCTCCCCCCCTCCCCCACCGCAGCGAACTGATTCACTTTCTGAGCATATCTGTGCCGGGCCAGCTGTAGCCCTGACGATAGGCCTAATAAAACCAGGGTCATTTGCATACCAATAGCGGGCGCCATGTGTGGTTAGCTGCTTGTGCCCCAGAAATGGGGGGCTGCGATGAGCCGCGAAACACCGAGCTCCACGTTGGCCTGTCTTTGTCTTCCAAACAGGCCTTTAATCTAATCCATGACTTGTTTTGTGGAATTGCCCCACATTATTGAGCTTAATAAGAGCTCTGTCTCAATCAGGAGGAGGAAAAAAGAAGTGGATATGCCGTCTTAACTGAAACAAAAAAGTGTGTTTTTTCCTTTCGACGTCCAATGGGAGCTACTGCTTGGACATATTCTCAGGTCTAACTGACATGGGATAAGACCTGTTGATCCCTTAGTTTTCATGTCTCCTGTTGTATTAATCTTTGAACTCTGTCCTTAGTAACTGGAATTGCTGGGTTCACTTCAAAAGGCCTGGCATTCTGTGATAATTATTAATTTATTACACTCAGTAGTCAGAACCTACAGAGAGGTTATGTTAAAATATTTTTTTCTCCACAGTTTGATGTGAGATAGTTTCCTACCCTTACTCTGCTACAGTCCAGATACACTGTATGCTGCCTGTCACTTCCAAAAATGACACAGTTGTGGACGTGATCGGGGGCGGAAAGGTTGTCGGGGAGGCAGACGACAGCTTGGATAAAGCAACGAGGTGGCTGATCTGATTGTGGAAGAGATTTTCAATACTCCTAAGCCCCCCCCCCCCCCCCCCCCCGCCCCGGTCTTGTTTTCCCCCACGGACCATATGGCAAAGTCTGACCAGCTCACCTCACCCATGTCCCGTGCTGTTAATGAGGGATGGATCAGCTTTTTGGTGGTTGTTTTGCGGGTCTGACTTTTGTGTGGTTATGTCCTGTCCGTCCTATGTGCGCCTGTTCTGTAACTGAATTCTGTCTTAACATGGAATTGGTCTATTTCTGACCAAAAGAGGGGGCTATAACATTACACAAAAGTGCTATAGAACACATACTGAAAACTCTGGTAACTGCGTTGGATTGGGCAAACCATTGCACTGGTGATTTCATGAGATGGTGACCCTATTTTTTATATTTTCTTCCTGCATTATAAAACTGTGCCCACATGCTCAACAAATGCAACAGATTTAAATGTACAGTGCTGTTTGTCCTGTTTGTTGTCCTTGGGCTCTTAGTCTGTGTGTTCCTTCCCCTGCTGCCCAGGAATTTGAAAATGGTGGATATTGTAGCTCACAAAATGCCCTCTGAGAATGACGTGCATGTGGCAAGAAGCTTTCTTACGAAGATTTTGCGAAGTTCCATGAGGTACGGTCCCCTGGCTTCACCGTAAAAGGAGTAGTACGTGTTCCCTGTCTTCCTCTCATAGCTTCCCTCCTGCCTGCCCTGTGCCCGTAGTCATAGAAATCATTCGTTCAGTAACAAATGTCACCGTCATTCCTCTCACAGCAACTCTTCCCTCTCCTGTGGTTCATTATCTGCCCCCATTGGCATGCTTCTCTGCATTCTGTTGTGGTCCATGTCACTAGATAAATGATGTTCATCCCATTTGTGCAGCATGCAATGCTGTGTTAAAGCAGTAAAATGTGAAAAATGTTTCCTGTCAACATTGTACAATGGAATGAATTAGATTTCTTTCTTACGTTTCATGCCTACCCACTAACAAACCATCTCAGAAAGAGCTGCTATAAAGGGTAGGTTCCTTTTGCTTTATTGATATAATCTTATCAAATTTTGTTTTTTTGGGGGTGGGGGTTAAAATAAAGATAAAAATTCTGGAACAGCCAGGAAACAAAAACTGTACCAGATTGTTCCTTAGAACATAAACTATACAAAGGGTTTTTTTCTTTTTACTTTTTTTTTTTCCAAGTTGGTGTAAATATTTCAGTGTACCGATCATAGCATCATAGGTCAGCTTTGAAAAGTTTCCTTTTCAAAGTTGACCTTGCCCTGCAAACTTCCAAATCCACCAGTGAACTGTAAAAGTGTTCTAAGGTAAAGAAAAAAGGATCAGAATCTCATCAGAAATCAGACTGCTGTGAGATGTTGTTGTTTTTTAAAACCAGTTACCTGAAATGTTGCTGAGTTCTTATCATCAATGAGACATCCAAATTAAACTTTTGTTTTTGCTTCAAAAAAATTGTACATCCAAGCTCAAACAAACAATGGTGTTTTATTACTTTGAGTCACATTAATAGCTTTAGTTTTAATCTGAAGATGCACTGCTTCATGAGTGGAAGCACATACTGTGTCCCATAAGGGTTCGCTCTCTAATCCACTCTGTGTGTTTTTTTTTCTCCCCTCTCTGCAGGAGGAACGAACCCATAAGCAGGCCCCACTCCTGGCACTCTACCAAGTTCAATGAAAGCCAATCAGGGTCTGTCAAAGGACAGTCTCCGCCCACGGCTGTCTGGCACACCAGATATGATGCAAGGTAACACCAGGACCTTAAGATTTCCCCTCTTTGAGTCAAATGCTTCTAATTAATTATATAAAATGCCACGTGTCAAAGGTCAACATATGGATTCAGTCTGTTTTTAACTGTTCTAGGTCCAACTTAACTTTCAGTTTTTATGGTACTCAAAAAGTTTATGATGTACAAGATTAATACTTGACAAAGTTGATTCCTATCAATCATCTTTTTTTGTCGCCGTGTCGTTTTCTTTTAATCTCCAGTTCATCTGCAACTGACCTCTCCTCTGACTGGGAGCAGACGAACCTCCACAGAGCGTCTGACCAGTTCAGCTCCCTGGGCAGCATGGACAGCCTAGAGCAGGTTCCGCACCCATTCCCGGCCGGTCAGCTGTCGCCCGCCAAGTCCAACAACAGCATGGAGCACCTCGGAGGGGGAAAGCGAGACTCGGCCTACAGCTCCTTCTCCACCAGCTCCAGCACGCCCGACTACACCCTGTCAAAGAGCAACGCTGCGTCCACAGAGAACGTGCTCTATAAAGTCAGCCAGTGGGACGCGGCGGGAGGAAAGCACAGCAACGGCAGGAACACTCAGAGCATTTCCGCTGAGGGCGTCAGACAGGACGACCGGCTGACCTACTTCCAGATGCCAGGAGCCTCTTCGGGTCCCGATGCCCCTCACGCCGAGGACCCAGCCGGCTGCCGGCATTCCGCTTCAAGCAGAACCAGCTTCGGACCCGTGTGGAACGTCCCTGAGAGAAAGAAGGCTGGATCCCCCTCTCCTCCCCCTCCACCTCCCCCAGCACGCAGCGACAGCTTTGCCGCGACACGTGTGCACGAGAGAGGGCTGGTGGCGGCCCACTGCGAGGTAGCCGAGGGGTCACACCCGGCCTGCAAGGCTCCCTCCGAAAGCCGACGCAGCCACCACATTTCCATTAAGACGGATGGTGAAAATGTTCACACTTCGCCCGACAAATTCGGTCCGAACCAGTTCAGCTCCAATAAACAGCACTCCCTCTCCAGCACCGACGTCCGGCAAGGCCAAGCTCCCCACGTTGGCCAGCCCTTTCATCAAAGACACCACAGCGACAAAAGCACTTTGTATCCTCAGCCCTACTCTGTCCCGAAGCCACACAATGTGGGCGGCTACTACAGCAGCCTGCAGGAGCTGCCCACAAACGGCTCCACGCCGCCCCCGACCCAGACGGAGAGCAGCGGGCCCAGCAGATACTACTGCGTCACCACGTGTCAGCCCGCTCCGCCCAACTCGGCGGCTTTGTCCGGAATTCCTGAGGACCGGAGGAGCGCCGCAGCCTCTGGACAGGCCGGTAATGAGCGGAGCTCTGTCAGCCCGCAGACGGCCCCCAAATCCAAATATCACCTGCCACACCAACAGCAACTCCCCACGCACGGTAAAGACAGTAATGTGTACAACAAGCACCAACCCCGTGTGGAGAAATCCAGTTCTGATGATCTGGAGGGCCAGAGAGGACACGGCACACAAAATGCGGAGTACGTCGGGAATCCCACGAGCAGACCGTCTGAGCAGCGTAGGTCCCTGCCACCGCAGCTCAAAGATTTCCCCCAAGACACCCGAAATCACAACAGGGTGAGCGACAAGATCTGTCCCCAGGCAACGCCCATGCTCCACTCCTTATCCATGGATGCCGCCGGCCAGGAGGAGAAAGCAAGAGGCGCCAACTCCCTCGAGGAGTCCCTCGAAAGCAAGCAGGCGAAGCGCGGCGACCGTTTTGCCACCACTCTCAGAAAGGAGATCCAGATGAGACGAGCCAAACTGCAGAAAAGCAAGAGCGCCGCCTCCCTTCCTGTGGATGAATGCGAGCTGGAGGAGTATCGGGAGGAGAGTTCCACCCCGACGTCGGCTGACGGGTCCTTCTCCAACTCGTACAAAGATCATTTGAAGGAAGCGCAAGCAAGGGTCCTCAAGGCTACCTCTTTCAGGAGGAGAGATCTGGAGCCTGTCCTACCGGAGCACTCCGCGCCTGAGGCCCTCCCCAACTACGCATCCTCGGCCCAAGCTCGCAAGGATGTCAACCCTCTGCCGACTGTCTCGGAGTCAGTAGCGAGTAATTCAGGACTGCCCAGTGGTCAAGTGACTCGCATTGGTGGCCGCAAGCGTTTCCCTGTAGAGAAGAAGGTTAGATCTTTCTCTGAACCCGACAAAATCCACGAAGTCGGGGTCGTCGGCGAAGAAGCGAGCTCCCCTACAAACAAGCAAACACTCTTCAAAGAAAGTGTGAAAATGGGATTTCCTTATCACTCGGCCCTTAAAAGCCATAGCAAGAGCCAAGGCCAGGATCTTCCTACCAGCAACGCACGAGAGAGCACAGTGAAAGACATCAAGGCCAAGGCAGGGTCCAGTGAGGATGTTGAAAGAGTCAGCTGCTTCACGCAGGCCGTCCAAGATCAGCAAAGACTGGGCACGTTCGCCGAGTATGAGGCAAGGTGGAATGTACAGAGGAAACCGCCCGAGAAAAAAGCCTCCGGACGATATTGTTCGGCCGACAACATATTAGATCCAGGGCCAGAAGAGAGAGCAAAGACCTCTTGCTTCCATGAGAGATCTCGTTCATCTCCGTCTGCAGACATCTATGGGCAGGTGAGGCACAATATCCATCATCCATGATGTTGTGAAAACTGTGAAGAAAGGCTGTTAAAGCCCATTCTTTTAGGTTTATAATTCTCCAATGTTTTATAATTCATCGGCCCCACAAGGTGGTTTTTCAGCTCATTGCTCAATAAAGTGCAAGCAGCGAGGGGAAGCAGAGGGCCAAGTCAAATATTAATCCTTGTTTGTACATAAAGACACACCCTCAGCTTAAGAGAGCGGCTTCAGCCCGCTGAATCCAATTTTTCACCGGTGACAAACCAGGAAGCAGTTCCACGAGGTAGTTAGCAGAGAGTTGACAACAACAAAAAAAAGGCACTAACTACTGTATTGGAACGGAGGCCTTCTGCGTTTGAATGTTTTTTGCATAAGTGCATCTGTGTGTGCTCAACCTCACTTACAGAGGCTGCCAGTGCCTGCAAGAAAGTCTGATCCAGAATATTCCCAGAGGGAGCGCAAACCCCCTGAGCTGCTCCACACCGAACAAGGGTGAGTGAATCTTCCATTGGACCGTCAGTGTCTACAGCCCGCTTTTTTTTTTTTTTAATCATCACCAGTGGTACAACACTCAGCTGAGAAAAAAAGTCTGTTCTTTTCACTCACTTTTTGGTGAGCCCCTTTAGTCATCTTGAAAAGTAGCGATAGATTAGTTGAAGCAGAATATGATCACAAACTCCTTGATCATATTCTGATCTATGATCATAGACTCCCTTTTATCTAAACGTTGCCTATTGTGTTCTTTCACTAGCACCTTTGTCACACTCTCAGCATCTATACGGTTACATCTTGCTTCGTTTTATTTTTTCCCCTTTCGAGTTTAATCATTAAAAGAAGGATTTAAGCTGGTAAAGAAACACTGAAGTTCCTATTATCTGCAAATGGTGTAACGGCAGCGGGGCTTTGGAGCAGCTGTGACAACATAAGCCGTCTCTCTGGCTGTGCTTTGTGTCGTTTAGCACAGGCAAAGTGGTGTAGGCGAGGCCTCTGACCGTGTCTGTGACAGCCGAGAGTTTCCTCGGCCCTCTGCTGGAATTTAATGAGGACCCAAGTTCATGGGGGCAGCCTGAAGGCTTGACATTATCACCAATAAGATCTGTCTCTCTGCGCAGTTGCATTGTTAACTACACTGGTCATGCAGCTCTTTAGAAAGCAGTATTGTTTGGTACCCCGTTATGGTTATAAGTGGCTTATAGTTTTACATCATATATGGAAATGTCCTACATTTATAGAAGGATTGCAGTAAAAAGTGATTCAGATATTTTGGTTCCAACAGGAATAATTATCATCATTGTTTATAAAGTTTTTGATTCAATACAAATAAAACTGCAACAAGCATCTACAGAGATTATGCAGTTCTTTTAAAATAACAACCTACCGACAAGTCAACTCATTCCCACCAGGCCCTAAAAAAAGAAAGATGAATACGACCTAAAATGCTGCATTAAACGGTGTCATTATCCCTTAAACAAATAAAACCAAAATGCTGATGCAGCGTGTGGAAAACTAAGCCCTTCCTCACTGCTTCCATTGGAATTAAGAGTAGTAAGTAGCAGCCAAGTGCTGCTTGTAAAATGCACTTTATAACTGATCATCAATAAGTCTGAGCACCCCTATAAAAGCAGAAGTGTAGACAATTTGCTGCTCTGGAGCCTTTAGGTGTGTGTTAACACAGCGTTGTGGAGAACTAGTGGTGGACCACTATTTTAGAGAATTGGTGCTACCCATAAAACTGGGAAAGTGGTTAGCATGATTGTGGTCTGGATAACCTCCTTAGTGAAGTTTTTTTTCTCCCTATATTGGGGGCGATTTTACAGTAGTAGTTTTTAATTTTAATGTAGTCCAGCGATAGTTCTGTTGGAATTTTTTATGTTTAAAAAGCCCCATTAAAACCTCAGTCTTTGATACTGACCCCACCTGTTAAACCAGTCCTGCTACTTTTCCAATTAAGTGGTAACCAAACATAATCAGTCAGGACTGTAGGCTTTTCTTCTTATTTGTTTTTTTATCAACTGAAATTAAGGGAGGCGTTACACTGTAGGTATACCCAGAAGAAAGCCACATCATGCTTATACTTATCTTTTGCATCATTCTCAAGCTATGTGCGGTGACACGTTCAAGGCGACTACATGACAACGCAGCCAGCCATTCCAGAGCCTTTATGTGTCATCTAAACTGATATGGGTGAAACTCACCGAGGGCCGTTGAGTAACCGATCTTGGGCAACTCCATTGTCGGAGCACTCAGCGTTTGCATTACAACAGCAGCACAGAGGATGTTATTCTCATGGAAGGGTCTGGGAGATGAGCTTAACCAGCCGTGCTCCACCCAGATAGTGATATTGATACAGGTGGAAAGAGACACCAGACAGGTGGCCTTCAGTCACAGGGAGCAGGCAGACAGGCAGGACGGCTGCTGGTAGCTCTGCTCTGCGGAAATGATAGGAGTGAATCCTCACACGCGGTGAGTAGGCGTCTGTCCACATATGTAAATATATTATGCTGGCATCCTAATTAATATTTCTGCTGTCCATTTGAACATTCACAAATATATTTCCAACAGCAGGAAAAAGCAAACTGCGTTATGTTACATTGCCTATATTCCTGACTCCCCATTGAAATTCTCATAAGATAACCTCCTCCTATGTTCCCTCAGTCGGTGATTTAAAGCACTGAAGTAACTCGTGTCCCAACAGCTGTACACAGTAGTAATCTGCCTGGCGACGCATTTCCTGCTTCCAAAAAGTAGCTTTCCGGCCTATGAGGGGTCCCAGTCGGGTGCTTGGAGCGATAGCGTCTGTCCGCCAAATTTTGTCCTGTGACCTAACAAATCAATGGAGCCTCTAATCAAAGCCGTGTGATCTATCTGTCGATGCCCTTTGCGAGCGCCTGACTGAATTTGCATCAGAGGACGCACAGAGGTAGAACCCGTCTGCGTGAAGCCGCAGCGCGAGGCCCTTCGTGTTCTCATCCGGGTGCGACAACAACAACAGCCAGCGAGGCTTAGTTAATGACAGCCTTTCACTCTGTGGCGCTGTGTGGTTAGATTACGCCAAATGGTCGAACACTTAAAGGTTTAAGTCTGTTTACAGTCGCTTCAGCGTCAGGGCCTCTGACGGCTCCCCAGACTGCTGCCTGCCCAACTTCTACCTCCAAAGAGTTAAAACTGCAAACGGGATCCGGAGCAGGAAAAAGTGATGTGCCTTCGGGCTCTGGAGGATTATTTATTCCTCCTTTCAGGCTTTGTGGGAACCAAAATATTCCTCCTCAGGGCTGCCAGCTGAGCAGCTACCAGGGGGAAGCCTGGTACACACATTCTGCTTCTGAGACGTGCGTCTTGTCACCGTGGCATAATCACAGTGGCTGCCGGAGACGTGAACCAGGCCCCTGCCAGTGTATTATTTGAATGAGCTTCAGATGATAGCCTGCGTCGGCCGGCCGTGTAATTAAAAGCTTTCTGCTGTATTCCTCAGGTTCCCCGAGGGCTCGGGTGACGGCGGAGTGCGAGCAAAACCGGCGGGGTTCGAAAATGACTCGGTGACAAGCGCCCCGCCCATGACGGGAGCCAATCCCGACGGCAGACACCGAGCCGCTCCGGCCGCCGTCAACCACAGACCCACGTCTGCTTCTCACAGCCTCAGCGAGCCCGCGCCCCCCCCCGCAGCCCGACCACCACAGCCCCGCAGAGCAGCCGTCTGGACTGAGGAGGAAGCCCTCTCCCCCCAACAGATGCCCAGAGGTCGGCTCCCAGGAATCCCTCAGCGGTTCCCAGAGCGAAGTCTTCGCCCACTTCTCCTCTAACTCAGCCTTTTACCCCACCCACTCCGCAAAGGGAGATTCGGAGCAGGGCAGAGGGCTTACAGACAGAGGACAAGGGGCAGTACATCATCCGTTAGCATCCAATCCCCAGGCTGCCTCCCACAGACCCACCATGGAGGGGCAGCGCTCCCCCTCTCCACAATTCTCCCCGCAGAAACTCAGCGACAAGCCTCCGGCGTCGCTTCAGGACGAGGAGTCGGACAGGTAAAAACTTTTTCTTTTTTTTTGTCTCATGGCAAGGGGGACTTACTCCCAGTTCACCTCCAGCCCGCGGCGGAGGCACAGTTTGCGTTGCTCCCTCGTCTCCGTGCCGCATGTACAAAGGAGCTTATTGAGAGCCGCTGCCTGTGTAGGCTCAACATGTGAGTGCTATCAACCCCGCCGTAAATTAGAGGGGATTCTCTGCACGTCCACTGCAGCCGCTGGCGGTTGGAGGATAATTCCCTCTAAATGTTGGAAATGTGAAATGCACCGCTAAAGCCCCGCACATGAGTCTGTTTGCTCATTTTTTCTTAATTCCAAACAAATTGGTATCATATGTTGTTAACTTCAGGCCGGGCAGAAGGAATATTGCAGCTATTTGAAACCGAGAGGGGGTGGGAGGAGTCCAGATGTTCCAGCCACGCTAGACATGGGTGGAAAAAAAAACAAAAAAACACTCGGTTGCCATCGTGCAGTGAAACTTAAAAATCAGGGCATGGCTGGAATGACTTTTCTTCTTCCAGAAAAAAGCGACTCCGAGACTATTTTTAAAAGAGGACTCCTTTTCTGCGTGTTGTCGATGTTTCAGGACGGAGCGCGTTCTGGACAACCCGAATACCACAGCCAGAAAGGTGCCCATTAAGATCGTCCACTTGGGAGGAAACTCGGAGAAGGAGAGCTCTCCCTTCCTGCAGCAGAGTGAGCCGGCGCCCGCGGCACCCGAGGAGCACGGCGGGAGCAGGCTGGGAGCGCTGGGGGCCGCGGGCCAGGACTCGCTCTTCTGCGCCTTCACCCGCCACAGGGAGCCCGACGGCCTGACCATTCAGGAGCCACCACCGCCCCCGCCGCCGCCCGCAGAGGAGCCCGGCGGCGGCCAGGCGGGCGAAGCGGCCGGGCTGATGGAGGAGGAGGAGCAGAAGAGAGAGGAGCTGGCCAGGGACATCATGGGGAAGGACAAGTCCCTCGCCGACATTCTGGATCGGAGCAAGATGAAGACCACCATGGATCTGATGGAGGGCATCTTCCCTCAGGGCGAGCAGCTGCTGGAGGGAGCCCATCAGCGCAGGAAGGTGCAGACCAAGCAAAGCAACCCCCGGCCGGCCGAGGAGAGGTGAGCCTCGTTCGGCTTTGTGACTGAAAGGAGGATGAAGCCGTTTTTGTGCGAGCCGGGTGTTATGCAGACCTATCCGGTCTAATAAAAGTGTTCCAGATTTGGGTTGTGTTTTTTTGTTTGTGTTTTTTGATAATTTGAGAAACGTCCTTCTGTTTTTGCATTCCAGGGAAAAGGAGGAGGACACCGCGGCGGCTGTCACCATGGTGACCAGCTCCACATATTACTGCACCTCTGCTCCCAAAGCCGAGCTCCTCATCAAGATGAAGGACATGCAGGAGCAGATCGAGGAGGAGGAGGACTCTGAGGACGAACTGGACATTGACTTGGCCAACAAGAAGGTACCGCAGATCTGTATCCTGCCCCGATTGCTCTCCTTTTCTCGTTTGTTTCTTCTACTTAGCTCCGTTTTGTTCCGTCTCTCGTGCAGCAAGAGCTGATCGACAGCCTCAGCAAGAAGCTCCAGGTGCTGCGCGAAGCCAGGGAGAGCCTCCAGGAGGACATCCTGGACAACAACGCCCTGGGCGACGAGGTGGAGGCCCAGGTTCAGCAGGTCTGCAAGCCCAACGAGCTGGACAAGTTCAGGATGTTTGTCGGGGACTTGGACAAGGTGGTGAGCCTACTGCTGTCCCTCTCGGGCCGCCTGGCCAGAGTGGAGAACGCTCTCAACAGCCTGGAGGAGGATGCTACCCCCGAGGAGAGGGTGAGCCAACCGCTGAGTCCGGCAGCCTCTTTTCTGACATTATTTTAAATGGTTTTACCTCTAAAAGTTTTTTTTTTTTTCCTATCCCTCAGCGCACGTTGGTTGAGAAGAGGAAGCTGTTGATCCGACAGCACGAGGACGCGAAGGAGCTGAAGGAGAATCTGGACCGCAGGGAAGGCGTGGTGTACGACATCCTGTCCAACTACCTCCCCGAGGACAGCCTCACAGACTACGGGCACTTTGTGAAGATGAAGTCGGCGCTCATCATCGAGCAGCGGAAGCTGGAGGACAAAATCAAGCTGGGCGAGGAGCAGCTGAAGTGCCTCACGGACAGCCTGCCCCTGGAACAGAGACTGGCACTGTGAGGACCCAACAAAAGCTGCGCCTGAGCTCAGCCGCCAGTAGAGGGAGACAAAGGTCAGCTCCTGCAGCCCAAAGCCTGTCAGAGAAAGGTCTGCCCCCCCCCCGACTCCCTTTGACAATGTGAGCATCACGGCCTTTGAACTGGATTACAAGGACAGCAACACTTATAAGACTCTATAAGTAGCTCCTATTTGAAAGATGTTGCTTTTCTTAGCATCCACCAACCTCTATATCATATGTATTGAATGCTGGTTTTGCTTTGTTGTATGTTTACTTTTTTTTTCTTCTTTATTTTTTAGTAATTTATTGTAGCCTTTTGAATCTGCGCAGAAGGGGTCAGTATTTTGTTGTCAGCTGGTCCGAGTAGCCATGCTACCCGGCGTGTTACATGTGGTCACCCGCAAGTATTTATCACATTTTAGCGTTGCGAACCGTTTCGCTCTGTAAGACAACGTTCCACTACGTCCGGATCCAATTCAGCGTCCATTTCCTTGTTTAGCGCTGGTGGCCTTTTCCCACTACGGCTTTAAAACATTTCCTCTGAACCCGATAGGCCAACGTGAAGCCTGCCGGCTGAACGCTCCTGTCACAAGACGGCTAGGGACGCATTCACTCAGCTTTACCAAACAGATGAAGCACTTCTTTTTCAGACCCGATGCACCTTTCAATCTCCCTCTCCAGGCTCCGCCCATCCCGAGCTGTTTGCCTTGTGCTGTGTGTGTATTTTACTTTATTACTTTTACTTTCATTAACAAAGTACCATGTTTGTCGCCTCTTGTTCAGTTCAAACAGGAAGAAAGTTGTTGGGTTCATTATTTTGCTGCCAATTATGGAACTAAATGATTGCACAACAATTGGACCGATCAGATACCAGAATGTCAGACGTAAACAGATTAAGTCGGGCTCCCAAAAGGAAGGCCCAGTGGAGAATGTTGGTTCGGCTTGTTTGAGTTTGTCCTGCGCCGGCTGCATCCCGACTCTTTAAAACTGTCCGCCAGCTGTGCTCCTTCATATTAAATAAAGAGTCTACTGAAAGCCCAAAGTGGAGTTTGAAATATTTCTTTCCCAGTTAATCCCAACTGTCTCCCGGGTCAAACATTAACTCGCTCCACACCCCGTCTCCCCGCTGATAAACATAGAGCATTTGATAAGGCTTTTCATGTGACATGCTGTCCTGTTCAAATTCAGGTGTGTTCCAGGTGTGTTATGCAAAAGCCGCATGCAGACGGGCGCTCCGCTTCAGGCTCTTTCCAAACGCGTCTGACTGACATTGGAATGAATGAAGGTGAGTAAAAAACAATATACAACCCAGTTGTTTCTTGTTTTTTCTTTATTTATTTAAACAATTCAACCTAGAAATTTCCATGGAAATCTTTAACCACGAGATAGTTTGAACTACAACGCAGCTAAAACAAAATAACTTTGTCATGCTTCTGATTGATTTTGTTGTAGATGGACCTACTGAACACATGCATCTATATTTTGTTGTTTATTTTTTACCCCAAAAGGTTGCTAAACAAGAAGAAATTGTTAGATGACTCTTCATCATTTTCTCAAAGGAAATGTGTAAGAGCTCTGAAGATTTTCTCAGAAATCTTGAAGAAATAGCTACCGATCTGGTAGCCATTTCTTCAAGATTGGTCTCATTACAAGCAAACGCTGATTGTTTTTTTTTTATTGTGGAGGTGTGTACAATTGGGTGTGCCAATATGAATGCTCAGACTAACAGTTAAAGAGTTATTCACAAGATGACAGAGCTGTTTTTCCTACTTCTGTCACATCTGTTTTGAATGAATGCATCACTTATTGAAATATACAGAAACGGCATAGTCTAATGCACAATCATTAAGTTTTAACTATACAAAAAAGGATGTTCACTAATACAGACAGGTCTTAAAGATTTGAAAATGGAGAGATAGCATGACAGATATGTAATTTCTTAGTTTTTTTCTTAGTTTTTTTTGGTTTTATCTATTCAAGCATCTTTTGATCAGGAAGGATTTTACTGCTTTTGTTTGACAATGTCACAACAGGGTAAAGTCTCCTTGAAGACTTTCATAACAAACAGGAAAGGGGGAAACGGTAAGAAAACAACCAAAAAATGTCCCTGGGTCAATATTTGCTGAGCTGAGCCAGAAAGGCCCTTATTGTATCTAGATATATATACATTCCGTGTTTTGCATCAGAAATGTGCTGAAATCTAAAATCCTAATCTAAAGGATTGTCCTAATCTAAAAAGTGGATCACAGTAAGTATATCATAATCCTAGTGATGACGGGGCCCAATCTAACAGAATTACCCTCTTTTTTTTCTTTTCCAACTGAAAACAGAATCACAGGTAAATTAATTGAGAATTAAAAGTAATTTGAATAAAACCCTTGTTTTTATTAATTTGGAGCAAATATCTTCCTATTGTAAGTAGTATAAGAACTCATAGCTATGTGAGGTGTTGCAAAGTTAAAAATTCAAAGACTAAATTATCCTTTTAAAGGTTGTCAGAGGCTTCTGAACCACATGGATCTTTCTTAAAATTCAGCATCCTGTTTAGTTGGAAATAAATAAATAAAAAACGACAGCAGAAAGTTTGTGTGCGTATGCAAAGTGGATTAATTAAAGTATTCAAATCGAGTTCATTTTCCCTCCCTGCCGGGCCTTTCTTCTCAGCGGCGGTGATGGCGCCCCGCAGCTCTCCGCCTCTCTGAACCCTCGCAGTGGACCGGAGCAGACATGATTTACCTGGCGCACACGGCCCACTGGCAGTTCCTGGGCCTGGTGACCGGGATCGTGGCCTGGATCCTCACCATGGCCGCCGTGGGCCTCAACGAGTGGCGCCTGTGGCAGGTGGACGGCGTGCCGGTCATCGCCTCGGGGGAGGCCTGGGTGGGCATCTGGAGGGCGTGTTTCCACAGCCACGCCTTCCCGGCGGCCGAGCAGTGTCGGGCCATCGGCCTCTCGGACGCCTTCGCCCCCCCCGAGATCCCGGCGGCCCAGGTGCTGATGATGCTGGCGCTGGTTTGCGGCCTGGCGGGGAACGTCAGCGCCGGGGCGGCGGTCAGGATGGCCTACTTCTCGCTGGAGAACCGCGGCAACGTCAGGTTGGCCTTCGTGCTGGCGGGGGCCCTCTACCTGCTGACCGCCGCCCTGTCCCTGGTCCCGCTGGCGTGGAACATGAACTCGGTGCTCAACAACAGCACCATCGACTTCCCCCCCGAGTTCCACTTCCCCGCCGCCCCCGTCAGGCAGAGGGTGGGCTCGGCCATCGGGGTGGGCATCTTCGCCTCCCTCCTGATGCTCATCAGCGGGAACCTCTTCCTGTGCTACTGGTGTGCATGGAAGGGCCCCGAGCAAACAAAGGATCCGCTCCACGGTCCCTGGACAGTAACAACACTGCCACAGAATTGGGATTTGGCCAGAGGTGAAAGCCAGGGCAGGGATAATCCCACATTCCACAGTCAAGAAATCTCCTGAGGTTTTTATGTCTCTTTTTTCCCTGATTGACCATCCTTGGGTAATTAAAGCTGGAGCAAAAGGAGAACTTTTAGGCAAAGTTCGGATAAACACTCCAAGCTCTAATCAACATTGGAAAGTGAAAAAATTTTTGAATCGCACCAAAAAAACGTTTTATTATTTCAGAATCTGAAAGATTAAGGTATTTTAAACTTGACCAAAGAATAAGTGTTATGTAACTATATAAAATCATACAAAACAAACTCCATCGTGCAGCTTTGGCAGAAATTAATTTGAACTGAGTTTGAAATATAAAGCAATTTACTTCATGAACGGATGTTTTCATTTTCTCTTTTCAGTGAAATAGGAAGAGCAGAAACACAAATGTGTTTCTCCCATGTTAATATTGCATTCATTTGAAGTCCCTCTGATGATATGCTTTGGTCTTAGGAATTAACTCAGTGGAATGGTTAGTTCAAGTTTGCGGCTAAAAGCTCAATTGTGTTCACCTAGTACAAATAACAGATACACCACACAGTTCATCAGTTTTTTTGTACAGAGGTACTATCAAACTAACAACATATATAAGTCTAGTACGCCTATACTGATCCAATTTCCTCATGTAGTCAAGAGGAAGTAGCATGGGCATTCATTATGCCCACCAGTCAGCTAACTCTGTACAGTCATTTGCGAGTAGGCCTCATGCAGGGTTTAATGTTCCCGGGTTTAACGTTGTCCTAGTTCCAACACCACATCAAACATCTGATTTAACAGTAAATAACTATAACAACCAGGAAACGGCTACGTCAGAGATACTCAGAGCAGTGAACCACCCACTCACCTCTGGAGACAATGAGAAGAAATATGTAGCCAAGACAACTAGCCAGGAGCTTTCAGGATTATCACCCAGAGTTCTTTTATGAATACTGTAAAGTTTGTTTTTTAGTTGGAGCCCTTCTGTTAAATGTAAATAAACTTCTAATTCAACGCTTCAAATATCTATAAGTTAAAAAAATTAATAAATGAACTTATTTGAATGAAACAAAGAAATTGGGACAGGGCCATGTTTACTACCTCTTAGCATCCCCAGTTCTATCACAATATAAGATCTGAGAAGACCAGTTGCTGAATCTTTGAGCATTGAGAGAAGAATGTTTCCCATAATTGTCTGATGAAGGATTCTTGCTGCTCACCGGTTTGAGTCTTTTTTGTGTATGAATATACACCAAATGTTTTCAGTTGGTTAAAGCTCTGGACTACTGGACTGTTAACCCATGCCTCTGTAACAGATGCTGTGGCATTGTTTTGCTCAAATCTGCAAAGCTTTCTCTGAATAAGACGTCAGCTAGAATGGACAAGCGATTGATTATTTGTATCAGTCCATTTCAGAAGAGCTTTGGCAGTGTTTCAGGATCATGTTAATTTTTCTTGGCCAAATGAATTGGGTTCCACAGAACTTCTGGAAGTATTCCCAAGCTAACTTTCATAATAGAATTACATCTACATTTAATGACGTGTCCGCTAATTTTGATTGTTGTCTCTTGTACATTGATTTAGTTTATCATATCACGTATTTATTCAGTAATGTACAGATTATTGAACCTCTCCTCATCTTTATGAAAGATTATCCTCGGTTAATGATTCCAACGTGTCCTTATGGCTGTCTATTTTTAGTGCCTCATACTTTTCCAGGCTTTTGTTGTTCCAATCCTAAATATTATCTTATCCTATTCTAACATTTCATTTCTTTTCCAAATACAACTGTGAATAAAATATTTAGAAGTAACACATGCTGCTTTTATTGTAGTTTGACATGACATCCAAACATTTTTTGGAATCAGGCTTGGAAAATATGTGAAGACGTAAGCAAGGGTATTTTTCTATTTTGATTTTATATGGCTACTTAACCCGTGCTGGATTAAGTTCACGGCCAGATTCCCGTCTACAGATGTTGTAATAAGCTCAATGTTATCAGCAGTAAAGCAGCCCGGCCTTGCCGGAGCTGTCCAGATTGATCGGCGTTATCGCCGCACACAGGACCTAAAAGGAGGTGACGGGACACGGCCAAGGTGTGGGCTTCTGACGGCCCCCATGTGAGGAGGGGGGGGGGGTTTTATCAGTGAGTCAGGTTGGCAGTGGGGGCACGGCTCATGTGACCTGTGTAGGAAGCTGACGAAAGCAGGCATGTGAGCGCGGAGAGGGGGCCGGCTCACTGTGGTGATTGTTGCCAGGGAAGGCATGCACACGCACAGCTCCAGAGGCTGGCTGCACCTTCTGGAGGCGGCTAGCTGGCGAAAACAAAAGGCCCTCTTCAACTTCAGAGCACAGCTCACTTTCAAAAAACACACGTCTCAGAAGTGGATGAATGGTAGGAGTTGCTGCGAAGGCCCACAGAGCTGTTGGGATTTTAGTTGATTGAGCACAACTAAGGATTCGTCAAGAACATCCATTTTAGACAAGGGATTTATTAACTGTATGAAACTGATTCTCCGTTTGTTCATTATCTCTGTTTTCACCACCCTCCCACCTTTCTCGCACAATCCCTTCTGCAGATAAGAGTAACATAACACCTTATGTTGTTATGGTTTATCTAATCTGTCATGCTTAGCTGTCCTCTCTCTCGGATATAATGTAAAGCGGAGGAATGATAAAGGGTTTCTTGGAAGGAAAGAAAAAAGGGAAAAGTGATTTATTTAAAACATTTGCACCGCAGTATTCATCATTTTTACCAACGACAACCGTAGCTGCACGGCGGTTAAGTCTGAATGATTAAACTTACTTCAGGTCAAATGACTCAATGGTAAGGCACAAATCAAACGAGCAATTATGTCTAAAACGTTGTTTTATGTTCTTCTAAAAATACTGACATCTTATTGGCATTATTATCATCTTATTGCCATCATTATAATCTTATCGTCCATCATCTAAAAATATTTCAACCATGAATTTTTATTTCATGGGGACTTTGACTTAAACTTTGTGCACTCCAAGAAGTAATGGAGTCGGCTTAAATTGTATTGATGTTGATAACTGCAGCGTAGATTGCGAATGCCTGTTTCACCACTATCTCTGTAAATGTAAATTAATGTCAAATAGAGACTGTTGTGTAACCACCCATTCAGCAAAATGAATAAAAAAATCTATTCGACATTTAAAAAATAAAAGAGTCCATTTCACAAAGGATCTAAAAGCAAAGGAGAGATAAACTTGCTCTCATTATAGTTTTTTTTATAAAAAGACTGGATTAACATACAGACTGGGGCTGTTATCGATATTGTTAAAGACCTTAAGATTGATATATGTAACCATAGGTGTACTGAGTGTATGGGTGATGTCTTATCTATTATGTCAAAGTTTAACTTAGACTTTAGATGGTGATCTTTATCACCATCTTAACTATGATGTTACACTATCATCACAAGTCATTTGCACAAAAAGTCAGCGGCATATGTAAGAAGCTTTCTTATCAACCCACACAAGCAGGTTTGTTTGTTTGTTTTCATTTTGAGAAAATTCCTCTTGAAGTAGACAAGACATTTCCTCCTTTTAGGGCCACAGCCCAGCCTCATGGTAGCAGGGATCTCCGGATAAATAATGAGAATCCCCTTGGTTGTTTTCAATGTAGTCGGCATGGCATCAGAAATTAGGAGGGCGCCTCTCAATCAGCTTCATGCTCCTCTGGGTTCAGAAGCCCTGACAGAGCTGTTAGCTACTCAGAAGATAAGTCTGACATGTTTCGGGCCCCTGAGGGAACATGCTACCATGACAACATCATTATCTCTCATTAGCTTCACTCCGTATGGGCCGACTCCGCAGAAAAGACCATCAGTGGGATGTAAAGGAATATAAATCTTCCTCCTCGCTTTCTATGATACGGTTATGTCACTTTACCTGCGTGTATGTAAAAGATGCTGACCGTTTGATAGTCCAAAGAGCTGTGACACGCTCTGACCCCGGCAAATTTGTGTAATTATGTCAACTTGTTCTACATTCTTCTTAGTACACACTGTCCATTAAAGCATTCATTAAACACAGCTTAGCTCAGCGAGCGACCAGGAAATCTGATGGAATTAGTCTCAAGCTGTGTTTCCACCGTGGCAGACACACCTCACAAATCAAGAGTACTTTCAGATCGTTTGGTGGCAAATGAGACAAAAAGCAGTCGTGTTTGCACAGGTGACGTAACGCAGCCGAAATGCTGCCACAGAGGACACACACCAGCATAGGCAAATTGACTTTTTTAATTAAACTAGAGACACCTCATGTGAATCATCGAAACATGCCGCAGGATACAACTCAAAAGCAAACCTATAAGACAAAAAAAAAATTTGTGACTTCGAAATCTCTTATCTGTGCTTAAAGATTATGAATAAATTACAAATCACAGCATTTAAAAAGTGTAGCTTAAGAAAGTATCTTTTTTCTTGTGTCCATGATGGGTGAAATATATCTATCCTGAAGTCATCCCAGATTGAGGGATACAGTTTATTTAATACATTTAAAAAAACACATTGGCACTGATCACAGCAGGTCATTGTGAAACGTAATGTTTGATTGTGCAGGCAAAAATCATTTAAAAAAGCTGAAACAAATTGATTGAAATGTTTTTGATGAAGCAACCATCACACAACCACATTATTTTGTATTTGATATTTAAAAAAGAAGAACAACAGTTGTTTACATTATTGTGGCAAAGCGGTTCCAGGTGAGGTTCTACGAGTGATTGGGTGCTGTCTGTTCCTGTGCGGGTCCTCCCCCCCCGACTACACGTACTCTGAGCGCTTCTTGAGGTTCACGTCCGTGCTGATCACCCGGTACCTCCGCTGCAGCGCCGGCTGGGGCTCCACCTGCGTGCACAAGCAGGAGGTGGCCATGAGCAGGCCGGCCACCACGTGCAGGAATCCCGCCGCCCAGCCGCAGAACAGGGCGTCCCCGAACTCCCACCGGGGCACCACGTCGGGCACCTTATCGTCGAAGAAGTGGACCACTGCCAGGTGAGCCATGTAGGAGACGGGGATCAGACACAGCACTCCGGAAACCATCCCCAGCAGCCCTCCCGCGATGGTCAAAGTCCTCTTCCTGCGATGGCCGCCGTGCCCTTTGCAGCTGTGGACCAGCTGAAGTCCAGGTACGGCCACGAGGATCCCCAGGACGCCCACGGCCAGGGAGGTGCACATGAGGACGCGGGCCAGTTTGAGGTCGCTGGACAGGCCCAGCAGGCTGTCGTAGGCCCTGCACTCCATGCCGCCGACGTCTTGGACCACGCAGGTCTCCCACAGGCCCAGCTCGTAGCTCTCCACCGGCAGCAGCGTGGTGGACATGGTCAGCCACTGCGGCAGGAGCGTGGTGGCCAGAGCGCAGAGCCAGGCCCCGACCGAGAGCAGCAGCCCCAGCAGCTCCAGGGCGCAGGTGCACGCGTCCATGTTCCCGGCGTCTCCCTCGACTGAACCGCGAGAGCTCCTCTTCTCTGGCAGCACTTCAGATGGAGAGGCCTCCCGGAGCCCACTCAGGACGGAGGCTGCTCAAAGCACCTGATAATTGGAGCTGACTGCTCTGGACTCAGGACTCGGGAGCTCGCTCGCAAACAGTTCCCACTCAGAGGAGCGCACATCTTCTGCTGCAGAAGAGGGAGAAGGGGCCCGCACGGCCCTCCCCTTTGTGAGCCTACCGCTCCCGCTGCTGTACCAATGGGCAGCAGGGGCAGGGGCAGGGGCAGAAGTGGCCGCAATTTGACAAGCATCCACTTTTTGGATGCCAGTCCAAAATTGCAGGCCACATGGGGTGCCGCTGAACGTAGACAGGAAATGCATCCCTTTGATGTTGGAGTAATGACCTCCCAGGTGTCTGCTGTGTGTTCTCTCATGGGGACAGTATTATCAGCGTATGAACGAGCAGAGAGTTAGCCTCCCGTAAAACTATGAAGCAACTGGCTCCAGCTGTGAAATACCAAAAAGTTAATCCATTTTAAAACACTTGATCGCAAGACAGACATCAGAACCAGGGTGTCAGCAGATTTAACATCCATCATGCATGGAAAATAAAACCAGGTCCAGTGACGACCAGGAGATATTTTGTCACGTTCATGGTTATAGTTAACCGGTCTTACTGTAAGCCCTTTTTTTTTTTGCTGCATGTGACTGAATTTGAAACAACAGTGCCGCTTATTGTGTGCCCTCAACTGAACGCTCGCCAGAGCCTGTGGGAAATCATCGTAGGAGGATATAGATCAAAACTGCGATGTGGAAAAAAATGTTTCCCATTCTTAAACACAGTGGAAATTTGTGTGGCCCGCAAACAAACACACAAACAAATCTGCTCAGATGAAATCCCCGGCCTGCCAAACTCCACCTCCTCTGGAGAGGACAGCGTTCAGCTGATTGCCCTGCTGTTTGGACAAAGGCTGGAGTAAAACGTGACGGCACTGAGCTCTTGTAGAAAGAGACAGAAAGGGAAAGAAGTCTGTTCTGCGCACTCAGAGGAAATTCTCCCCAGTGACTGGGATGGAAGAGGAGTGAGGGGAAAAAATCCCTTTCATTGGAAAATTCCACTTGCATTTCATGTCAAACTGAATTTCTTTCTCAGTAGTACAAACTTTACAACTATGAGGAAATGGATTTCATCACTTGCAGTTCCTGTTTACACACATAGAGGTCGACAAAATATACATACATGTATGTGTGTATATATACATATTTATATATCTACATATGCATATGTTCATATGTATTTAGTGCCTAATATTAATAACCTTCAGTATTTATTTCAGGAACTATGTTTTTTGTACAACTTGGTCACTAAAGTGTACACACTTCATTTTTAAACATTTACCTTTTCTTTTTACATTATTGTATATTTCGTCAACCTTTTCACTAATACTGTGGCTGCAAAGTCAAAGAAGCTTATCATTTGTAACTATGTAACTATGTGTAAACCTTGATTCAATTTGATCTTCAGGAGCTGGTTTTGTGAACAACTTTTCGGCATTTTTACTGATGAAAAAAGTGCTATAACAGGTTCTACTTGGTACCAAATTTCAGATCGATGAAATTGATTCATTTATAATAAGCTCCTCTGCCAGCTCTCTAACCTCCCTGATCCATTTCTGTCCGCACCGCTGCATAGACGCTGATTTATGGGGCTGGTGTGGGGGAAAGGCTGCAATACCCTCCACAGACGCGTGGCGTCGCTGTTGCACCGCTGGTGCAAATAGCCGCCGGACGGCGGACGTTGGGCTCCTTATTCGCAGAAGGAGTTGTTCTGTGACCGAAACGATGTCGACGCCTTCATAAATCTCCTCGCGTTGGGCATTTCCTAACTTTATGACACCGCAGCCTTTCGAGTAAGTTAATATTCGGGGCCGTCACGCGACTGTCACGCAACAGGTGGAAGTTCGAACTTTTTTTCGCTTGTTTTTTTTTTGGGGGGGCAGCTTTTTACATAAGGCGAAAAAAAATAGCTGCCGAGTGAATTGCCGTTGAGGCAACACGTTAAGAAAAGAAAAAAACATAATATTTGTCAAGCGTGTGTCGGTCACTGAATGTATTTAACGAAGGTTTGGAGCGCTGAGCTCTTCCCATTGGACGGAGCAGCTAGCTCTGTCGTACGTCCGACCGTTTATGCAAATCCGCTCCCGAATATGGACACGGAGGAATGAAATATGGTGGTGGAGGCGAACATGGACGATCGAGGACCGTGAGAGCGCTGCTGTAGTGTGTGTGTATATGTGTGTGTGTGTGTGTGTGTGTATTTTTTTTTCCTGAGGGGGGGCTTGTTTAAGGAAGAAAGTGGATGTACCACCAGTGGGACTTTTCCGAAGGAGAATCTCGGCGGAAAGTTTCGTATCTGCGTTTTTTTTAAATCCTCCGGCGCGTCGAGGCAGAGCTGGTGGTAATGCAGTGAGGAGCGACTTTTTCGGGGGGATAACACGCAGGGCAGGGGGCTGGAGCCCTCTCACCGCCTCGACGCTATGCCGTGGGTCAGCGGCGGTAAGCGGCGAGAAAGCTCGGAGCTGCCGCTGCCCGCGGGCTGGGAGGAAGCCCGGGACTACGACGGCAGGGTGTTTTTCATCGACCACAACACCCGGCAAACGTCGTGGATTGACCCCAGGGATAGGTAAGCCAGAGGCCTGGGGAAGGGAAGAGGGGGGGTGGGGGGGATCACACTCATCCACGCAAAAGTTTGGGATGTTTGATACACTGTGCACTTCTGAAATCACTGCAATGTACCTGAGGCAATGCCAGGGCGGCGGGAGGGAGGGAGGTGGGGGGCTGGTGGAATACTAAAAAGGAATTCGGCGTGTGTTTTCTCTTTTTTTTTGTGTGTGTGTGACCTGGGCTGTAAACCTCCCACCGGCCCCTTTTGAATGTGATACGAGGGGCTGCGGTGGAGAACCCACGGATCAGCTGAGCCGTGGCCCTTTTTGCCTGTCCCGAAGAGCCAAACACGGGACAAAGTCGAGCATTGTCACCTCCGATCCTGCTCCGTTTAACGCATCCCCACTCAGTCCCAGCGAACACCAAGCCTGACAGTGTTTTGACAACGAATTAAGACGGCGGCTCAGCCTTTCCGGTGTGTTCTGTCCCCAGAAGGGGTGCAGAGTCACCGTGAGCCCAGCCAGTTTCATCCCCGTAAGAAAAGGGGAAATATCAGTGTCTGTTTCAAACGTGAAATCACCGAAACTCATCAGTAAGCTCGTAGATTTATGACTTCCAGTGACCTGAAACATTCCTGACTAACAAACCTCAACAGAGAGCTATTGTTATCCAGCTCCAGCGTTCTTTTTTCCACGCAGACACCTCCTCGAGACCATTAGTCTGTCAAGAGAAGCCATTAAGTCTTCATATTTGCGACCCCGTCATCCCAAAGTGGCCAAATGTGCATGTAAAAGCGTACAGGGGGGGGCCAGAGGGTTGTGAGGCTGCCGCTGTAAAACTCGAACTCCCAGAAATCTTTGTGGAAATATGTGAAGAATGCTAGTTGGGCCACTGGGAAAGCTGCAAGGATGTGCTTTTGTGGGGACTGGGATTTCAGCGGCCCAGAAACGGGCTCAATCAGGCATTCAGAGCAGACTTTGGGAGATTACAGCGAATTATAACAAGTATTTTAACTCCGTCGTCTTGCAAAGGGAAAGGAGGAGAAGTCGCATAAACAAAATCCCTGCTGGTCTGGCAGGAGGCTGGAGCCCGGCTAGGGTTTGAGTCTCCCTGAGTGAAGGCGTTCAAAATGAGGGCACAGTCTCACGCGCGGCTGAGAGCGGAGCGGCTCCTACACCCGATTTCTGGCCTCTGATTCCAGCAGCGGGAATGTAGTAGCTGCGTGGAATCCAGATAAGAAAAACCTGATTTCCTTGAAGGTCCCCCTCCTCCCCGGCGAGTTGATTAACCATTGTTGTGCGGAGCTGATAGCAGTTTCACAATATCTTATAGTTTGTCAGCGTATGAGGGAGGAGGTTGTCCAATTGCGAGAGAATGCTTTCTGCATTCGTCCTGCTGCTGGCTCAGTGATTTATGGGTTATCTCCCCAGAAGAATGTCTTCTGTCACCACCTGATTCCGTCTTTCCAATAACCCACATCCCCTCACGGCACTAAAGCGGACCCTCCGCTGCACAGCAACAGCTACGAGAGGGTGTCGTTTTTTTCCAGGGGATGTTCTCCCTATTAAAACACACAGTCCTTTCCATCCTCTGCCGTTTGACCTGGTTTCAGGAGCCGCCCCGCTTTCAGGGACAGCCACAATCAAAGGCGTGTTTAAAGGATAGCCGTCTGATGTCGGCCAGGCGCTGCCGTGAGCATTCATCACCAGGTGTTGTCTCTCTCTGAGGCTGACTGACACCACGGTCATCTGATATCTCAAAGGCGGAATCAGAAAAATGATCCAAATGTAGTCTGGTGCTGGCAGTGAGTCAAACCGGTAAAGTTAGAGCTGTCACCAAGCTGGTGCCCTCACATGTCCAGTGCCATTATTCCACTAATTCAGCCGCCTTTCAGCGCTGAAGCCTAAACAGGATCTTTGTCTCTCTTAAAGCAGAGCTGGTGCTTCAGGGGTCCTCGTTGAAGTTCCAGTTCTCAAGAGACAAAATCGCAGTGCCGCATCTTGTGTGGACACATCTGAGTGTCCGTGCTGGTGCTGGCTTTGCGGCGAGGCTTGGGGTGGGTGGGCCTGTGCCCCCAGCCCGCTGACCCCTAGAGCCAACGGCTCCTAACACAAGCGCTAAAACACAAGAGCTGCCCTCTGAAAAATAATGGCCAGCGTCGATGTGTGTAAGGACCGGAGCTCTTGGCTTTCTTATTGGTCTTGTCGTGCCGGTCAGCGGCCTGGGTGGAGAAAGGCAGGACAGCGAGCCGCTTCGCTCAGGTGGCGGCATGTAGTGAAAAATTGGGTCGACGTGCGAACGGATATCTGAGCGTATAGCCCGCCCTGACACGGAAGTGTAGGCCCAGCGGTTTTGTCGTGCTGCATTGCGAGACAAACAAAGACCACAGGAAGAGCCCAAACCGTCCGAAAACACGCCGAGGAAGCCGCCGCCTCGGACAGCGGCGGATACCTCGGGCAGCTCGCGGCCATCTCCGACAGATAAACCCGGCCCTCTGCGGGGCTTTTCGCTGCTGTGGAATGAGCGTTATGCTAGGCATGCCTCCGCTGATGCCCAGGGGCAATGCTCGCTCGCGGCCCCCCCCCTCCTCCCAGACAAAGCAGCAGAACAGAGGCAGCTCCCACGTGTCTACCTCCTCCTCTCATCCCGGGCCCTGTAGGCCTCCTCTATTAGCTCTGTTATGCAACAGTCATGGCCGGCCTGCCGCCCAGCAAAGGGAGGCCTTTATACTTGGTCACAAAGCACACCAAATTCAATTATTCTGGAAAGAGTGAGCTGTGTTTCCATCCCCGAAAGGTTATTCACATGCACCGAACCCCGCTGTGTTTTTTGTGTGTTTTTTTTTGTTGTTCTTTTTTTTTTTGCTTCCTTCACTTTAGTCATTATGGTGGCTCATTTGTTGCCCCCACCCCACTGATGTCCTGCCTCCCACTTGACCACTCCACATGTCTGCGTGCCGGACAGCTGTTAGGCAGTCGCCGGTGGCTTCTGTTCTGCATGGCATCAGTGTGCCTCCATGCCCTTTTAGTTAGGAGTCGCAGTCGGGAATCAGACCTGTGTGTGGAGTGTGTTTTCAGCGTGTGTATATTGTGAAGAATGCTACCTAAACAGGACATGCCAGACAAGGCGTACTAACCTCAACCTCAGGGCCACCATTGTGTTTTGTTGTTTTTTTTTTCACTTCCACACATCTGCACAGTTCTTTTTCAAAAAGAGAGAAAAAACGAAGTTGTCGACACTGGTTTTGCTGTTTGGCCTTCATTTTTCTACATTCTAGCTTGTTTTTGTTTTTTTTGTCTTGTTTGTTTTTCCTTCTATAGTCGCTCACTGTAACTCAACAGGCATTTGTGGGCTTATCAAGTGAGTTTACACTTCTTTTTTTTTTTTCTTTTTTTTTTTTAGCTGATGGCTGATTTTGAACGGCTTTCTCAAACCGGTCCGCTTACTTTGTGTAACAATTTTCCAACTCCTGACTAAACTACTTCAACCTTTAATAATTGTGTAGCACTGAGAACTCTGGATTGGTAGTGTTTACATGCAACTTTTTAAAAATCCCTGCTGCACAAAGAAAAGGTTTTATAGCATTAAGCAGACAAGTGCTTTCACACATAGTTGTGCTGTAGCAGCAAAGTAGGCTCAGATGTTTGTTTGGTCTTTTTTTTTGGTCTTTATTTAATGTTGTTAATTTATTTAACATTGGAGTTAAGAAACAGCATGTCCTCCCTATCAGAGCCCTGATAGCCAGTTTTACTTTAGCCACAGTTGACCCAGCTCCGCTCCCTTCCATGCACCCAGACGCTGTCTAAATGTGTACTGAGACAGGGATCTGGGTCTACTTATAGAGACCTATTTCTATAGGATTCAACACATAATAGGAGACGCGGGTGTCTGTCCATCCGCCTGTCTGTCAGCTGCTGCGGGCTTTGCTCTGAAATGCCCCGCCAGGCCCGAAGAGAGGCTGGACATAAATGACATTCCTCCCAAAGTTTGTTTTCACATTTCTTTTTTAACTCTGAAAGGAATTTTTAGGCCCACAACACTTGTGGTCCTATCTTTTTTTTTTTTTTCTCTCTCTCTTTTTCTTTTTTTCTGGCCAGTGTGTTACTGTCACAATGTGAAGGTGGTTGTGGAATGAATGATTACTTCTTCTTTGTCAGTGACATCGCTTCACCAGCAGGACGGTTTGTTTGCCTGGTTGCAGGCACAGAGCTGAAATTCCAAATATTCTTATTTGTAGACACAAGCAGCCGGTTTGCGGAGATATCCAAATACCGGTTGAGTCTGTCGTCATGATTTTTTTATTGGAGGCGTGCGGGCTGCTCCGGCTTCTCTGTGGTCCAATAGGCTTGTTTTGTTGTATTTATTCCGTGACACATTACACAATTAAAAACCCAGCACCAAAACACCGACACAAGCACGCCCCGCATCGGGCTGCGCTGACCAACTGGTCCAAATGAAAACATTTGGTGGAGTAATGAGCTTCTTTATGATGTTTTTATGAATAGGGTGTAAGACAAAATGCAGCTTTGAATTTTATTTATTTTTTCGTTGTCAGCAGCACAAAGCCATCTGGCTGTCAAGCGTTTGTGAGATCATTGTGGTCAAACTGGGGTAAGACCACATCCAAAGCATTGAACTCTACTTCTTGGGTCCTGCAATGACATTTTAGTTGCAGTTATAGCAGTTTTATTTATTCATTTATTTTCTGGCCTCTTTGTGGAAAACGTTATATTGCTGTCGCCCCAATAACAAAAGCTATGGAGCTGGTGGGAAAGAGGCATCCAGACGAGGTCCTGTAGCCCAAACTCTAGTTTCACATGCCATCCCCATCCATGGAGGAGGAGGGGGGGGGTTCTATCTGCGCTGCAGTTAGAAATATCCTCAGGACGGCACAGATTATTCTGGAATTAGCAAACGTCCTCAACAACTAAATATGTTGTGCGGGTGCTCCAGCATCTCACTCAGCCACAGCTGAGCATGCTTGTTATTTTCCGTCTATTTAAAAAAAAATTGTATCTCACATTTTTAGTTTCCCCTCATAGTAAAAGATCATCCCAGCGAATGTGTTACGGATCAGATCAGAAACATTATCCCGTAGTGACTGCTTCCTAAGCAAACATGCGAGTTGAATGAATTGAACTCAAATGATGCTCCAGTGTTTCCCTCTTCCTGTGTGCTGGTGAGGTTTCCCTGCTCTTAAAGCTGTCATTGTTCCACATTTTTGTATGCTGGGTAGGAAAATGGCTTGAAGTATAGTAGAACTGTGGAAGCCACCAAATCTGATTTGAGTTGTTGGTTATCTGAGGACTGTTTTGTTCTACTATCCACACAACTTGACACGACATTGTGAGATTTCTCGCTTCGTTGGATGAACTCCTTAGATATTTAGTCTGAAAAGTTGAGTGGATCTCTGTATATAGTTTCTGATGGGGAAAAATGGGACCGAAAAGTAGTTTTTTTCCCCACTGTTTTCTTTTGATCAGAATCTTACAAAATTGAGTGTTATTTAGACTGAATTGCGTCAAAACTTTTTACATCAGTTTGTAACACAATAGTTTGTGTGTATATTGATCAAGACAAATCCCCAATACAGCTGCTGTCAATTGAATTTTTTGGGGTTTCCTCTTTCGTGCAGGAAAATGTGTCTGATATGGGGTCCTCATTCTGCCTCCTCATATGATGACGACCATGAAACGGTATCGGACACTAATGTTTTATAGTTAAATGGTTTTATACGTTTTCAAGCAATCATGTCTTTATTGTGTAATCAGAATGTTGTAATCAAGTCATTTGGACCTTGAAAACCAAATGGCAAAGAAAACTATAAAAAAAAAAAAAGATAAACCCACTGTGAGGGAAAACTACCCGTACCATAACAGACTAGTTACTAAGCCTATTACGTCCCACTAATCCCATATAACTTGGAAAAATAAAAAATGCCGACCAAAGAAAAGCTTGGTTTACAGGAGGTCAAGACCATGTGTGAGCTCGCGTTTGCTTAAAGCTGATCTGTCGCTCTGCTCTAATAAAATCCAAAATTCTGATTCAGTGACCATAATCAGACCAAATGTGCATGCTGATCTCCCACAAAGAACCGTAGCGGTCTTGCATGTCTATGCATACAAGTTCAGGTGTTTAGTTTGATTTGGCTTTCATTTGTGTTTATTTTACCACACCGTGGACTGGCTCCCTGCCCTAACCCTAAGCCAGGCTCCTGTGGCCTGGCATCTGGATGCTATCTGTAACTGACAGTTATGATGTTGGCACCCGTATCACACCCTAAAGGTGTCTGGGCAACAGAAAGTGTTGTAAGATCGTCTCTTTTAGAGATCCCTGGATGTTCATAGTGGGGTAGGAAGTTTCAATCGTTCAGATATTTCACAAGAAGTGGATATCCTGTGAGTCCTGACCAGCAGGTAGCATTCCAATAATCCCACAGCTGTTCTATACCAATCAAGGTGTAGCTCGAGAAGACATTACTCAGAGGTTTATTAAGCTTTCTGTGCCTGTTTCTGACAACCTTCAGTCTGCACCGATCAGGTCTCTTTAAAGATGAGTGGAGTGAATCCCAGATTGTTTAGAGCAGACCATACGATGCCGGCACTGGACATGATTACGCCAGATTCTGTTAAGGCTGGATCCTCCACAGGCTAGCCATCGCTCCCCTTTCTGTCCTGCTCCCCTCTGCCGTGTGTCCTCCTCCGCCAGCTCTGTTGCGCAGCGGTTAAAGACTCTCCCGAGAGCGAGACATGACTTGGAATAACAGAGGCTGCTGTCACAAGACTGCGTAACAAACCAAACATTCAGATATTGAGATTCAGATCTGTGAGAGAGACACATGTTTTTCCCTCAGCCGCTTTGCCTCCCTTGCTGGGTCAGAAGGCAGTCCACCCCCCTCCCCTCAGACGTCACATAGTTTCCCATCCAGGGCTTCTCAGGGTCCTTTCCTCTTTGTTTTTCCAACTATCTTGAGTCAAACCTAAAAGCAACCCTGTCGACCCTGTGATGTTTAAAGGCTTCTGGCTCACTCGGTTGCTTCGCTTTTTAGTGTTTTTTTTCATCACTCGCATAAAAACTCACAGCCAAAGTAATCTTGAAATTTCTTTACAGATACTTTTCATGTCTGGATTTTCTTTAGCCTTTCACCTAGAATCAAAGCACCAGATTGGAAGTTTGTCTTACCCTGGTGTTTGCCACCCCTTTGAACCCAGGTCTTCCCATTGTGTCAGACTTTTTCTTTGTGTTCTGTCTGTTAATTTCAATCAAACAAAGTTCTTTTTTTTTTTTATTCTGCTGAGATGCTTGTTGGCTGGAAACCATCAAAGTAGATAAAAATCACACATGGCTGAAGGGTGCTTACGGAAACGTGATGACGGATCATGAGGGGAGTTTATATTGTCTGTCAGGAGTCTCAGAAAAGTAACGGCCAGATTTTTGTTTTTCCCCACTGACATGTTCACTTTTTTGTAATCTAATAATTAATGAAAGTGTGCAGATATTTAAAGCTGAGTATCTGGGAGATGGACCGGCGAAAGTTCCTTCATCACATTAAATGAAGTAACGCTGAGAGATGGTACAGGCCCAACGTACACACTGGCTCTCAGCAACAGCTGCACATAGGCCGCATAGCTTGCAGAATTTCCCCAAAATATGCGAAATGCAAAGGGAGTTCATTGAATTTGAGGCATTGCAGGTATTTTTGCGTTTGGCCAAGCCTTTGTGATTCATCAGTCTCTATAATTAAGTGCTGCGCCTGGATACTTTTATTGAACGCGTTTTGGAAACGCGTTTGCAGCTGACTGGACAGCTGACAGATCACAGCCAGTGAGTAACTGCGTGTCACCTCTTCTTATTTGGATCGCCAGCATGTTTCCCAGAGCTGGTGGGACTGTGCCTGAATGCTATTCCTTTTTGACCGACGAAAATTTCAGATTTTAAGAGAAAGATCTGGTGAAGCGAGTCCGTCCCCACAGGGAGGAGAGGCGATGGGTCCGTCCTCTGAGGAATGCTTTGCAGGATGTCTCTGAGGCTCTCTCAACGCTGTCCTCTTCATTGTACGCATACCTCCCGGAGATCACGCCTCGTGCTCCGTCTGCATTGTGAGCATACTGTGGTGGAGGAGGTCACCGGAGCCGCTTTTTGTCTGTGCTGATTGATGGCAATCAAGTACAGTAATACCGTGTTGTCATCAGACTGGGAGCGCACCGGTGTGCGTTGTCAGTAGAGACGGTCATGTATCGGCATGATGTCACGAGCTCTGCACAGTCACTGATGCTGCTCAGCACCAGATGTGCTGGTTTGATAGATCACCAAGGCTTCACAGAGTCTTTCTGTTGAGGTTTACATGCCCCAAATTGCGTTTTGTTGTCTAAACGGACAGTAATATGGATTCACCTTGCTATTTATACATTTAAAAAAACGTGTCCCCCAGAAATGCCTTTTCCCCGAAATAGGAGCAGACTGACAGTTAAGTTGTGCTAACCTACCAAAACCTCACAGAAGTTGAGCAACTGTGGTTCAAAGAATACAGCTTACTTGAATGACTTTGTCGTTTACACTTAGATACGCACTGTACAAACATCTGGAGAGAAATGAGCTATCCTCATCAAATCAGTGAACATTCAGTCAAAAGCAGAATGCTGTCATTGTTTAGTAATATTCCGTAAAATTTGCTAGCTATTCGAAATGTTTATAGTTGATGTGTTTAACTGCTGTGGAAGGGAATATAAATGAGTGTGTTTGTTTACCAAAAAGTGTTTAAATAAAAGTGAAATTATACATTTTGTCAACAGAAATTTATCAACAGCATGTCATTCTGCTTACACGATCTAGTTTGTTGGGATTTTTATTAAGAAACTGATGTTTTTCAAGGTGTTCATTTACAGTTTTAGTTTGAATTCTGTTTAAACTTCTTCCTCTCAGACCTAATATCATTTTTATCCTACATTATTCTTTGTTTTGTCAAAGGATATTTTTTCAGATTATCACCTCTGAGCAAATTTAGCCAGTGGAACTTTTTTTTAATGATCCAAAAATGCTTGTCTTGTGTATTTTGCAGAGGGTAGGCCATTAAACCTGCTGAACAGTTGCAAAAATGTGTTTTTTTTTTCTCTTCCATTAACAGTGAAAGCATTCATTGCATATTAAAACAACTTGACTCCAATTGCTAAAAGGAAGAATTAAGGAGACAGAAAAGCAGATTTTTGTTGTAAACTGGTCAAATGATATTTCATGAATAATTGAAGACAGTGTCAGTGTTACATTATATTTACGTTGTTCTGGTAGACTTTAGTGTTTTTCATTATTTTCAGGATCACCAAACCGCTGACGTTTGCTGACTGTGTTGGAGATGAACTGCCTCTGGGGTGGGAGGAAGTTTATGATCAGCAAGTGGGTGTTTACTACATCGACCACATTAACAGTGAGTATATACCAGGCCTTTCATTTCCCCACCAAAAATTGAAGCAGGACTGAATAAAAACCAAAATAGAAATATTCTATATTATTGTGACTCTTTTCAAAGGAAATTAAACGTTGAGTTGAGGTGGTGTTTAGCTCCAATAAGCCACAGTCGTACACCTTTTCAGATTGTTTGCTAATTAGTCACCTCTGCTTTGGCCTTTTCGGCAGAGACCACCCAGATTGAGAACCCGCGGACGCAATGGCGGCAGGAGCAGGAGCGCATGCTGAAGGAGTACCTCGTGGTGGCCCAGGAGGCCCTCAAAGCAAAGAAGGAGATGTACCTGGTCAAGCAGCAGCGGCTGGAGCTGGCCCAGCAGGAAATGTTGCTCTTCCATGAGCTCTCTGAGGACAACCTCTCCATCACCAGCAGTAAGCCCCGATACGCTTCTGTCCCAGACCTGGCTGCTGTCGCTTGATTTTAGACTACCTGCGTGACCATGTGTTGGATAGAAAGAATGAAATAGTGAGATGGGTGGGGGTTTTTTTGTTTTTAAACCTAATCATGGCTGAACCTGAATGTTTTGGTCTTGATGTGCTATTTGGCTGATATCCTATCAACAACTGTCAGTTTGTTGGAAAGTCTATCCAAAAGTCTTCCAAACTGTATTCCTTCCTCTCCCCACCTTCCCCTTTTAAACAACTAGTTCACTTTCTCAATCCTAGCCAGCTGTGACACAAAACAGCCAGGGGCCATCCACTGACAGCAAAGCCACCTGATCACCCCCCCCAGTTCAAACTACCACAACTTTTTTCTCAAAACCACCACTGTTGACTAACCGTCGCTCCCCATCTGTCCCTTCCTTTTCTCTTTGTGTGTTCACAGCTCTCTCCGGCTCGTCCTCGAGCGCGAAATACGACCCTGACCAAATCAAAGTGGAAATAGCCTGTAGGCGAGAGCGGGTAAGTCATTACTGGAGGAGAACAATGGGCCGCGCAGAGGGGGCCCATTCGGGCAGAGAAAGGGGGCTAGGGTGTGGCCCCTACAGGATACTGTAGCTCTGGCCGGGGGCCTCAAGAGGATGAGGATGAGATCACCGAAGGGTCAGGCAAAGGCTAGATCCCTGACTCAAAGAGCAGCGTCGGTCGTTTTTTCGGAGATCGCTCACACGGATGAGGGCGTTTCCTGGATCGGGGTCATTTTAACCTGAAGTGTTGCACTAAAATGATGAGTAAGGTGTTAGCTAACACGCCGTACGCACCGGGGGCGCGCCTCCCCGCTGTCGGAATAAAACGACAACGCTCGAAACTCAATCATCCTCCAAAGTCAGACGACACGGCGAACGCGGGGAAACGTCCCCGCCGTAGTGTGCGCCTGTAGGTGTGCTTCTCAATAAACATAGCCGTGAATTCCTGTAAGCGAACGGTCATGACTCAGCAGTTCAGTCCGGCGGCGGCGATGAGAGAAGCCCATTGTTCGCCATGGTAACGCGCTGCTCGCTTTGTGTCCGCAGCTCTCCAGACTGAAGCAGGAGCTGGCCCAGGTGAAGCAGGAGCTGCAGTATAAGGAAATGGGAGTGGAGACCCTGCAGGAGTGAGTGTTCCCTCTGCCTCTGTGTGTCCGAGGTCCACCCTTCCTCCCATGGCCACCCTTCTCCTTCCTACCACACTCGGCCCTGGCGCTCCCCACCCAGAGGCCTCTTCCCTCTTTTATTCCCTCTTGCCCTCCGTGTTTGGTTTGTGTCATTGTGCTACATCCGCGTCACCAATCCATTGCGCACAGATTTCTATGGTGCAGTCATAACCAATGGCGTTTTTTCCCATTTTAAAATATCCATTTTACACTTCTTCCCACAACAGTTTTTAAACCTTGTTCAGTTTAAGTGAAGTGAACATTGATGACGTGTCAAAGAGTGGTGGCAGAAGGCCCTTTGTTCCTCATAGACACCAAGGAGGTTTGACATCCTTTTTCCCAGTCCTTTGGTTTGTGTTGCCTTTCAGACACTTCCACATGGCCTCTTTCTGTGCTGGGAACATCTCTGAGCCATTCCAAATTTCATGTTAGAAATAGAAGCTCCACCTCTTTGAGAGGGGAAAAAAAAAAGGGAAAGAGTGTTTGAGAAAAAGGCAAATGGAGGGAGTTTTTTGATGGAAAAGGGGACTCCACCTCAGGAAGAGGATGCACCAGTGGAGTGCAGGGAGCCAAGGCTCAGCCTGGAGAGGAAGTTGTTCCATGGAGAGAGGAGGAGGAGGAGGAGGAGGGAGAGGTTGGGAGGGGGCGGGGGGGCTCACACAGCTCCAAAGCAGTTTAAAAAACACAGAGATATCTGGCAGCAAATTCCTCTGCACTTCCTGAGTCCTGGCAAAGAGTCCCTTATCTCTCAGATAATACACAACTCAAGTGATTCCCAGAATAGACAGGAGAATACACAGCTTGCAGAAAACATGGAAGCCACCCCCTCTTGTTTTTTTGTTTTTTTTCCGCCTGTGTGGATGCGCTCGTATGCCTGATGGCGCTTTTGTGCGCCTGCGTGTTGCTATTGTTCTTTGGAGTTTGGTTTTTGCCCAGTAGGGACCCTCTTGACTGTTGTGTTTTACCCTATCTCAGCTGTAGTCAGCAAAAAAGCTAATTGTTCACCGTGTCACGTCACACCAGATAACCAAACCTCTGGCATTCCCCCCCCAATTGTCATTGCATACCTTGAGTTCAGGAGATGGAGTCCGTTTTCTCTAATATTGACAGATGCACAGAGGGGATCTTTTCTTTTTTTTTTTTTATATCTTCTCAAATGCTAACATTCTGACACTACACATGCTTTGACTGTCTACATACAGCCAGCCAAAGTTGGGGGCCAGACACAGAGCAGTGGGCACTGCCCCCTCCCCACCCCTAAACATATAAACTTATAAATTGCCAGGCCCCGCCAATGGGGTGAGGGGGGACAAAGCGAGGCTTGTTTTTGGAGGAAGAGGCAGGGTTGGGTGGATGAACAGTACCTGCTGTTTAAGGAGAGTGAAGGAAGCGGGCTGCGGTAAGAGGAGAGGCCTCGTGCCAGGCCCACTGATGGAGGAGGCACCTCGCCACACTCCTTCAGGCACCCCCACGTGCACGCTCACACGCACACAAACTCGTGGAAGAATACTGGATGATTGGTTGGGCTTTATTTATTTATTTTTTCCCCCATCATTTTGAGTGATACCTTTTTGTTGGATGACTTTCATTAGCAACTAAGCTGCTTTCTCTTTGAAAAAAATCCCAACCTGTTGCCATTAGGTTAGGCATAAGCGAATAAGTCCATTAGTCAATGAGTCCATTATTAACTGAACTTTACTTTACTGAAGATATGATTTGGAATGATCCTTAATAGACTTTTAAAGACCTTAAAAGTAATAGATAATGTGAAAAACGTTGTTAATGTGATTGGTTCATTGATGGATTCAGTTTTTTTGTCAGTCTTGTAGATCTAAATATAATTCCCCATCAGATACAAATACTTACAAGACAAGAAATGAGTCTCAAATACTCACCTAAACTAAAAAAAACAACAACCAAAAAACAAGCATGTTGATGGTTTCTTTCAGAATCGACAGGAAGATGTCCTGCAGCCAGACAAACTACAAGCTGGATGAGGCTCAAGCCATCTTCAACGAGCTGCGGAGCATCAAGAAGGCCATCAGCACGGGCGAGAAGGAGAGGCAGGACCTCATCCAGGTGTCCACCGCTTTGTTTTCTTTATTTCTTATTAAGATTCCCTTCATTTCCATACAACAGAACCTAGAAACAGTTCATGCACATACCCTGTTAAATGCTGTAAAATCTATCTGCTCTTTGTTCAGTCATTTGAGCTTTGGTTTAACAAATACAAGACCAGACTTAAATATTCTAAACTTAGAATTTTATTTTGAAATAGTGGAAGAAAGAACTATGCATACATAAACTATGTGTAAAGAATAGGGCCATTACTAATGAAAAAACAATGTTCTTTGTTCTTTTTACGCTCCAACTTTCTTTTTTAGTTTCTTTTATACCCAATCCTGGCACCCTTACTAGTCCCCATAGAATTTACTGGTTGTAGAATTTTGCAAAACTGTCAAACTTTTTATGTTTTTTTTCTTTTTCGTCTCATCGTCTTTCTGCCTCTCTTTATTTCTCATCCAATTCTAGATTTGTTCATATAATCTATATAAGTTGAAGTTGTACTTTATGAAGTGATATTTGTTAGATCAAGGTTCAAATGAATTGACAAATATCACATTTTAAATTTTAGTGGCATTGTGGAAAACCTCCCAACATTTTCTGGATCTGGGGTTGATGTTTTTCCACATTCGATGCTGACCCCTAGTGTCCGCTACCATCTACTGTTCTGTTGCATATCCTCATTGTCTTTAAATGAAACACATTTCCAGACATCTGACTCACCAGCCACATCTCTGACTTTGTCAGCACAGCCAAGGAAAAAAATGCAATGATGTCATGCCATCTTTCAGATCCGATCATCAGAGCATGATTGTGGCTGCTCATTTAAGAACACAGTAGATCAGGGATTTTAAATGCAATCATTGTAAAACATTTTTAAAAAGCTGACTAACACGGTATATTCCATAAACTGATGATGTCACGACAACTATCTCAGGTATTTTCAGCTCCTGCTGAATTATATTCCAGACCCATAACTGTTTGTTTTTGTTTTTTTTTATTGCTTTTTATCTCTCAGAGCCTGGCTAAGCTGACTTTTAACTTCCAAAGCAATCTGTCGATCAGCGACCCGGCCGGCGAGGTGGCAAACAGCTCCGTAACCGCGGGCGACCCGTGCAGTCCGCAGCAGTTCTGCGAGACGGGCTGTCAGACGGACATCATGGGAGAGGTGGGAGGCCCTGCCGCTCCTCCCTGTCTGACAGGCGCACGCTCACACCATGACCAGTTTAGCTGATGTGACATGTATTTCATGCATCTGAAGTGACTAAGTGGAAATGATCTATAATCTCTTCTTTTTTTTTCGCCCTCAAGTGTGGTTCCCAAGATTCCTCCCATTTGGTGGACAAAGTGAAACTCAATTGGCAGTATGAAGAAGCCAAGAAAAAGTAAGTGTGTCCAGCTGTTTATTTGTGTGCAGCGGCTGGTGACACACCGGGACACACAACCCGCACCACCACCCCACACACAGTTTTCGGGCTCCCTGTGCCTCGTTGGAAGGGAAGGTGGGAGGACGTGTTATGAATAGTATTTGCGCCCGGTGGCCGCGGCGGCCGCTGACCGATGTCTGGCCAACAGAAAGAGCTGGGTGGTCACATTCTTCCCCGGCCGTGCTGCTGCTGACTGTGTGCTGCCTTTGTGTGCACAGCCAGAAAAAGGATGGCCTACCCTCTGCCGGCTGGCCTAATATACAGACTGTTTGCTTACATATATGTGCACACACGCATTTTATATACCAGCCTTTTCTGTAAAATCAACATTGGATAGAGTCTTTAAAATATGTTCCCTATTGATTCATTTTAGAGCTTTCCACCTATAAGGTGGAACTGTGATGATAGCTGCAGCAGAACCAGTCACCTTGTCATTATTCTTGCTTTTTTTTTGGGGCGGGGGGGGGTAAGACGTTTCTTGTTGCCGCGGTGACCCAGCGGCAGCAGTGCCAGCCATGACATCAGGGAAGGAGAGTTGGAGAGCAGGGAGACCTGTGGAAACTTGCATGCTCTGTCACTGAGTCACTCGGCCTGCAATCCAACACACATGAGCAAAGTCATTTCAGCTAAGCTGAGAACTCTCTTTCAGAGTACTTTTAGTCCGGGTAAACACGCCGGCGATGTCTACCTGACTCAGCTGGTAGCCGAGGCAGGAAAGTCCTTCATGGCCGCAGCATTAAGGGTCAGCAGGACCGTCGGATAACTGACAATTCAGACCAGAAAACTCCTGTTTATGTCCTTTGTTTTGCTCTGTGGGACGTGCATCTAGACTCGTTGCTTGCCACTTCCGAACTCTCCATCCCTTTGCCTCAGTCTGTTCCCGGGGGCTTCCTGGGGCTTTGGGTCATTGTCCAGCTGTATGACCCATGACCTCTGACAGAAAACCCGGCTTTCTGACATTTGGCCGGAGAATTCTTTTGCAGTCTTCAGAATTCACAGGACAGTAACTCCAAACCATCGTGTTTGATTTATGGACTCTAGGAATCACTTTGATGGCCTTGTTTGTTTTTGATTTGCTTTATTTAAAAGGCATTGCACCAAAGAAGATTTTCTTCATTCAGATGGTGCAGACAGTTTGAGCCGAAACATGTGTTCTCTGCTTTGGCAAATCAGCTGGAATAGTCTTTCTTTTTTCTTTTTTTTGGGATGCTGATTGAGCTTCTTTTTCCATAATTTAAACAAAAAGCTTCTTGACGGTGTTTGTTGACTCACAGAGCAAAAAAGAAATCCTCCTCTCTCTGTGTAGAACTTTTTGTCCACAGTCTGAATTATCAAGCCCTTAGATAATGCTGGTTAACATTTTCCTAACTTTACTCCATGTCAAGTCCTGTGAGTTTTCATAGGTGTGTTTAATGACAAATTGAAGAGAATATCCCAAACTTGACAACAAATATTTCCTGATTCCTTTTTCCTATTGTTTTTTTCCCATTTGTGTGTGAAATCAATGAAAAACTGGAAAATACCACATAATTTGGAAAAGCATCAGCTTTCCAGATCCTTTGGTATTTTGAAGTGAGCAAAAAGGAAAAGACTTAGATTATTAGAGCAAAGCAAAGTTTACCTTTTATGTAATCTTGATCTTACATGGAGGGCTTATGAGGAGAGCAGGATTACTTTTCCCCCTTCTCTCTCTCTTGGCTCTTGGCTGTGGCATGTGAACTGCTGTGCTATGTGCACTTGAGTCTGAGTGCCAGGCGCATTTGGCTCCCAGCAGAGTTTATGTAAACAAACTCTCTTCACCAATAAACGCAGCCCTCGCCTTACCCGCCCTGGCCATAAATTTACCAGCTGTATCCACATCAGCCCTCCAACTATCAGGCTGGAGATTGAACATTTTTTCATATATATATATATATTTTTTTTTTTCAAAGCCGGACTCTAACCTGTGCCCTCTTTGCTCCGCTCTCCCCGGCAGGGTGCAGAGCATCCAGCACCAGCTCGCACAGCTGGACAGTGAGAGCTGGTCGGGGCGGGCGGAGGCGGACCGCGACCGCGACTTCATGCAGCTGCTGCGCGAGAAGGAGGCGCTCCTGCAGGAGATCATCCTGCTGAGCAGGCAGCAGCAGCACCCGCAGGACACGCTGCTGCAGCTGGAGGAGAAGCGCTCCCTCCTGGAGGAGGAGGTGCAGAGGGCCCACAGCGCCCAGAGCCAGGGGGCCAATCAGAGGTGAGGGGCACCACGGAGGGGGAAACTCGCTCTTGTAGATTAGATGTAGTGAGATGAGAAACGATCTGGTTTCACCTCTCCTAACGCCTGTCCCTGTTTACAGGATCCTGCAGCAGGAGAAGAGGAACGTCCTGCTCCGGCAGCTGGAGGAGGCCACGCGCATCACCACCTACCTGCACTCCCAGCTGAAGAGGTGGGGGGGGCACGCTGGTTCTTTCTCTCCCGCGCCCGCCGCGCGCCGGCTCCTTTTCTCACTGGCCCTGCCCTCCTCTGCCCGCAGCCTGTCGGCCAGCTCCCTGACCGTGTCGTCCAGCAGCAGCCGCGGCTCCCTGGCGTCCAGCCGGGGCTCGCTGGCGTCCAGCCGGGGCTCCCTGAGCTCCATCAGCTTCAGCGACATCTACGGCCTCCCGCAGTACGAGCGGCTGGACGGCGCCGGGGAGCCGCTGGACCCCCACATGCGCTACCTCCTCCCCCCGGAGGCCGCCTCCAGGGACTGCTCGGTGTTCACCCCCGACCCGCTGACCCAGAGCAAAAGCAAGCGCTCCCACGACACCCCCCAGTCCCTGGCCTCCCTCTCCTCCCGCTCCTCGCTCTCCTCCCTGTCGCCGCCCAGCTCGCCGATGGACACGCCGTACCACTCCGCCCCCCAGGAGTGCCCCCTCACCCAGATGACGGAGGAGTACATGGAGCAGGCGGGCCGCGGGCTGCTGGAGGGCCTGCGGGCCCAGTCCCAGTCCCTGTCTCACACCGCCCTGCTGGGCGGCGAGGAGACGGCGAGCCCCGCCGCCGCGCACCAGCCGGACGCCAAGGCCCACAGGGACAGCGGGGCTCAGACCGCCTTCACCTCCACCGGCAAGTCAAGCTCCAACTCCTCTCCCAAACACGAAAACCCGCCACTGATTATTGAGATTAACTCTGTTTTGTGTTTGTTTTTTGTTTTCCCCCCTTGTCTGCAGGAGTGACTCTGAGGGGAAACAGCGCCAACCGCAGTGGACGGAGAGCCAGGAGGGTCTCGGCCGGCGTCTCTGAGGACGCCCTGGCCACCGACAGCGGCGTGTTCGAAGCGTGGGGCAGGAGGTGAGGAGTCAAAAAAGAGAAAAAAAACCCAAACCCCTGTCCGTCTCACACGCTCAAACCATCCATCCGCTTATTGATGTGCCCCCACAGGGTGGAGGAGTACGAGGAGCTGTCCTACATGAAGGACCTGTCGTCCGCGGGCGAGCCCACGCAGATCCAGCTGGGGCTGCTGTGGGTACACTTTTGATTCTCCTTACACAGGCGGCTGTCCGGCGTTTCTGTATTTGAACTTTTTTGTTTTCTTTCTTCCATTCAGGTGGGAGTCCTCGTCTCAGTCTCTCCGACTCCACCTTCTCCAGCTCAAGAATATGAATTGCTCCATTGTGAAAGAAGGCTCTAAAGTGTGAGTACCTGTGAACCTGTGAATAGCTCCGAATTGGAACAGGGAAACGACTCGTGGGTGTTTTTTTGATCTCGGTATATTTGAAACAGAAAGCACCTGTCTTTCCTTGTCACAATATTCAATCATTTAAACTTTACCAGAGGGCATTTTAACACTCAGAGGTCTGACAGCTCCACAGTAAAAAAAATGTAATTGCCAAGCAGCTGTTCAGGGTGAATCATGACATTTTCCACCTAAAGACCACCACAACAGATCAGGCCTTTAGAATTCAGAGGCATTTTGTTTTTAATTAGGCAAAGAGGGAACAGGTTCACTGTAAGTGCAGCTGAAAGGAGTTGAAATAGATTACTAAAAGAGTTCAGTTAAGCGAATCGCTTACGTATGGACGCACACTTGATTCAAATGCTCAAATGCTTATCCAGACTGCCATATTTTTTTGGATAAAAAGAAAAGACTGTAGGCATAAGTGCATTTTAATCTCCTTCTTTTGACATATTGAAACTACACGTAGAATCACAGTCACCTTAATAATAAAATCTGACTTCACAGAAAGCAAATGATGTCATGTTTGGCCGTCCAAATGTGTCCGACGATCTCCAACAGGAAAAGTTTAGATAAAAGTTGTTGTTTTTTTAAAGAAAGGAGAAAAAAAGGGTATTTTGTGCATGTAAACTGTGACAGGGGCAGTTTCCTGAAGCTGATCGGTAAATTTAGCCCAATCGTTTGATGGAAACTTGCTTATTGGGACCTGCATCTGGCAGAATGTTAATAATGGACTGAGAGGAAACCTGAGCTGGCTTTGAATGGAAAAGAGCGTTGCATCACCTGAGCTCCATGTGAATATTTGCCGTGTTCCCGTGTGGCCTTCAGGTACGTGAAGGTGCACCTGATCCCTCTGGACGCCAACCGGGCCTGTGCGTTCTACTGCTGCACGGCGCTGGAGCCGCAGAGCCAGATGAGCTTTAACGAGGGCTTCCGCATCCCGGTCCCAGCCAACGCCCTGGTGGTGTGCGCTCTGCAGCTGTCCGTCTGCTCGCTGGGCCTTCAGGCTCAGGAGGAGCTCCTGGTGGGTCCCTCTGGCCGCCAAAGCCCACCCCTGGTGGACAAGGGGCAGCGGACAGCTCGGGTCTCCTGACCGCCTTTCGTCTCCGACAGGGCACGGCCCAGGTCGGCCTGGCCGACTGCGAGGGCAGCGCGGAGATGGTTTACCACTGGCTGCGCGTCCAGATGTTAAACGGCCCCGAGGGGCAGCGGCCGGAGCAGAAGGGCACGGTCCACCGCAGACACCTGGACATCCAGGACGAGGAGCACAGGCCCAGAGCCATGGTACCCGTCACGTCCAAGTCCTCTAGGCAGTGCCTCAGCGGGGTCTTACCGCGGTAACCATGGCGTTTCCCCCTCGTGGTTCCAGGACACTCTGGGCAGTCTGCTGTCCCGTAACACCGCCGCCCATCCGGAAGAGCGGGACGCACAGCTGGAGCTGCAGAGGCCGGAGAAGAAGGACGAGCGAGGGGAGGCCACGTCGGAGAGGTGACCCGCCCGAGCCGAGCTTTGCAGTGCGCTCTGCTTTTTCCCTCCTGTCTGTTGACCACTCCGCTGCGCCCTGCAGGAGCTGGCAGGCGGAGTCGGTGGACAGCGGCTGCAGCAACAGCACCGCCTTCACCACCCCCTACGCAGAGGCTCTGTGCGCGGAGGGCGCGTGCACGGCCACAGGGGGGCGCTGCAACCAGACGGCCAGCAGGCAGTACGCAGTGAAGGTCAGCTGCCCGCGCCAGGGTGTCCACCACACCCCCCCAAGAAAAGGAAAGCCCGAATCCGAAAGGAAACTGGGCAACAGCGGTGTGCTCTCTCACATGCAGGTGGAGAAGGCCACCATGACGGAGGGCGTGTTCCCGGAGCCCATGCGCGTGCGGCCCAAAGAGAGGGGGGGCCGCTGGGGCCACGCCTCCCCGTTCATGCGCAGCAGCACCATCGTCCGCTCCCAGACCTTCTCCCCCGGCGCCCGGAGCCAGTACGTCTGCAGGGTGAGTCTCCGCCCGGCCGCGGCCGCGCAGGACGCCCGTCTGCAGCTCTGGGCGTAACGCGGCCGCTTCTGCCTCCCTGCAGCTGTACCGCAGCGACAGCGACAGCTCCACGCTACCAAAGAAGTCCCCCTTCGTCAGAAACACGTTGGAGCGGAGGACGCTGCGCTATAAGCAGGTACGGCCCGCCCCCCCCCCCCCGCCCGGACCACCGGCGCCGTGGATCCAGCGTTCCCCCTAGTGTGTGTGTGTGTGTGTGTGTGTGTGTGTGTGGGAGCAGCAGTCGTACCGCTCCTCCCTCGCCGAGAGGCCAACGCGCACCTCCCTGGACCTGGAGCTGGACCTCCAGGCCTGCCGCACCCGCCAGAGGCAGCTGGTGGAGGAGCTGAGCGCCCTGCGGGAGCTGAAGCTGCGGCTGGAGGAGCCGCAGGACGCCACCGAGCTCCCCCACTGGGCGCTGAGGGACGAGCGCTTCCGCTGCCTGCTCAGAGAGGCCCAGAGGCAGGGGGGGGTGGGCCCGCCGTCCCCCCCACCCCCCCCCCCCCCAACCCCCCCGTAGCTGCCGCTGACCGTTCCTACCGCTCCACAGGCCAACCAAAGCAAGCAGGAGCAGCGCCAAGAGGAGGCAGCAGAGAGGAGGCTGAGGAAGGCTTCCAAAGAGGTTTTGCAGATGCGAGGGCAGAGCCAGAAGGAGCCTCTGCCCGTGCAGACGTTCAGGTCGGGGAGCTGACGGCTTTTATTTGTCTTCTGTCACTTGTTTATTCACAGATTAGGCGAATATTGAAAACAATTTCTTACCTGAAATGTTTGGCAACTGTTTTGTTTTTTTTAAATCAAGTACTCCTTATAGCTCTTACCCTCTTATAGCAGTTTGATCTGTACATCTCCTAAAGTTTTAGTTTTGGGCCGTACGATTTGAAAATACCCAATTCATTTAATTATTTTTTAATGTTTTTTTACCGGTACTAAAAGCTCTGTTAACTGGCCCTCCTTGTCTGCAGAGAGAAGATGGCTTTTTTCACAAGACCAAGGTTCAACATACCTCCTTTACCGGCTGACGACGTATGAGGGCTCGCCTCGGTGTCATGTGACTAAATATGAAGTATTTGTCCAACTATCTGAGCTCATGAAGTACAAAGGTTTTCCTACTAAGGCGGCAGGACGCGCGGCCTGCAGATGAAGATCCCAGTGTTCCCGTGTTCTGAAGCACCCACGTGGAAACGAGAACCTCGAACACACTAGAATATGCAGATACTGACAGCCTGGCTGCACAGCTCCTTTGTGGGTTTTTTTTTTTGTTTTAGGGGGGCTTTGACTTTCAAACAATATCTCTGTTACTCCTGAGTTACTTTTGTTTGTGCTTACAAAAAAGCTGGAAGACGGGAACAAAAGTCAGTTTGGACATATTCACTGTACTGTAACTTATTTTATAGTACTTTTTCCTTGAAGGAAATGCAAACAAAAAAAACTAAACAAACGCTTCCTGCTTTTTAATTGTATTTTGTAGCTTTGAACAAATAGCACTTCAGTGTTTTTACATGCAGTAAATGGAACTATTGTCTTGATATTTGTCTGTTACCTAATTCTTAAGAGTTATTTACATCAAATGTCACTGTGTAATCCACTTTTATTACAGATGTCAGTTATTTTGTGCTTATGTTATTAAAATTAATATTATTTCATGTACTTTACAATATTCGGGTGAGCTTGCGCGAATACTGCGTTCAGATTTTCTCTCCCATCTTAAATTGCGTCATAGTTAGAACAGACGTTTGATGATGGACTTTTTTTCTTTTGTCCACCTTTTCAGACGAAGGACTCATTTATACACTCTGCGCCCGGAAAGAGATGAAGGACACATCGGATTGGGCTTGTTTTTCTTTAAATGTGTCACGGTGCTGCATGTGATTTTTCTCTAACCGCAAGCAGCTTGTGATGACCCCGTTTCGAGCACAAAATTGCAGATTCTTGTCCTACCACACATCAGACAGGCAGCTTCGTCAGCTGCTTATCTTGATATGACATCCTGTTGAAGCACTTTAGCAGAAGGCAAGTCACAGCTCATTGGTAGCGTCTGTTTCTCCTGCGTAGGGGAAAAACAAAAAAAGATAGGCGAGCAGCTTGACTGGATTTTTGCTGAATTGTTAAGTGTTGAAGGAGTTGTTTGATTCATTTTAATAGCTGAGCATCTTTACATTCTCACGACTCCAGTATTTGAAAAATCTCTTGTGCCCTGCAGGCAAATAAACTCAAGCCTCTGCTTGTCGGTGGTTGACTACAAGCATGCAGTCACAGGCCGGAGTTCACAGATCAGACCAAAAGCCTTTGCTCACATGTGCACTACCCACCCCTGTTTACAGCTACTGCATTACATTATCTGAACTTTAAAGACCCCAACCCCCCCCCGCCCAGAATTAGGAAATGAGGGGCAGAAAATAGTTTGTTTTGCAATCCCAGACAGTGTCGACCTGATTAATAGAAGCATCTTGTGACAACAGTTGAGGTCTTGCCATAATTTAATTTCAGAGGTGAACCCCCCCCACACCCCCACAGTGCTGTGTGCACACTTCAGAGAGTTCATTCCAACGGACACAAGCATTTAACTTTGATTCCAGCAACAATCTTTACACAGAAACACAGCGTACTAAGTCAGATGTCGGTATATTCCTGTTGCTACAGCAACTGTGTGCGTTAAATAAGCACCTGGAACACAATGCACCATCTGTCAGTGTTTACGCATTGAAAACCACAGCCTTACCATAAACGCACTTTAATAAAATATTGCGAACATTTACTCCAAGTGAAACGTGAAAAAAAATCTCACCTACGATCAAATCTGATCGGCTCTTCCCTCCGTTTTCACATTTCGTTTAAAAAATAAAAAAAATCTAAAAAGGAGCTCAAAGGAGCTTTAATAGTCGCACATGGGGGAAAAAAAGACCAAAAAAAGGTTGCCAGTAACGGATTTCCACAAAGCGAGGGGTTGAATCTCAATCCCGTTCTGTCCTCGGATTAGTATTCTAGATGGGGATGGAAACTATGGTTGGGAGTTCCCCAATGGGGGGCGGGTTATACTTCTCCACCCGCATCAGCCGCCGTAGGATGTCGTCCCGATCGCGTGGCCAAGCGTAAACGTGCGTGTTTTGAAGCCAGTTGGGAACGTGACACTGACGGGGAAACAGAGCAGGTTATGATATGCACAGGCTTTGTTTGTTTTGTTTTCGAGGAGTAAACAGTAAAACGGTTTCATGGTTTAAATCAGTGTTTCTTAATCCTGGTCCTCAGGACCCACTGTGTTTCTCATGTGTTTCCCAGCTCTGGTGATGATAAAACATTCAAATGAATATGTTATCATCACCCTTCTGCAGAGCTGGAAAGCTAATCCATTTATTGGAGTCAACTGGGGCTGGGACACACAGGACCAAAGGACCAGGGGTTGAGAAACACTGGCTTCAATTATAGTAAACAAAGCAAAACACTCTCTGCAAGTACACTGTGTGACTTTTTACCTTTTTGGCCCCGGGGAACAAAATGGGAATGAACCTGAAATTCTTGCTTCCGTTCTGAATGAATTCACTCTGGAGCTGAAATGAGGAGAGTCAAGAGAATGTGTCAGGGGACTTCTGGGCTCTGTTTTCAGCAGACGTGGCCTCAGGATAAGCGGCACGGACCTGTTTGTGGATGTACACCGTGTTGAAGGTCCTCTCGTCGTTCTCCAGCTCAAATGGGGACGCCGTCACCGTCTCATAGTACTTGGGACTGATAATGATGATGATCAGGTACTCTTTCTGTGGGGGGCACATGTCGAGAGTCAAGGCCAGCTCTAGCCAGCAGTCATTTTCATTTTTAAGGCATTTTTTTAAAAAAATGGCAAGTTCACTCCTGCTGAGTAAAAAAAAACTGCAGCAGCCACCTGAGTGTTTGTATTGAAGTTTGTTTTGTTTTCTTTACTCTTGATTTGACTTCCTGTTTCTTACCTCGGTGAGATAGCGCTCCATGAAGTCGATTTTGCTGATGCTTCTGAACTGCTGCTCAAATATGTCAATCTGAAACCAGAACATTTGAGAGGTACTGAAACCCTTTTGTCCTGCCGAGTACAGCAAGAAAATCCCAATTTCCACTATAGCCCCTGGCCACAGATTATGTTGATAAATCTCAAAGAATGGAGTTAACAATGCTGAGCAAAAAGAACCCCTTTCGCTGTTGTTGAGCTTACTTTTAAAAATCACATAATTAAATGTGACTCGAGTGCGTTACCCAGCATATTAAGTAACGTGTTCTATTGAGAACCGAGCAGCTCCTTTGATGAGTTAGCTCTTACGCAGTGATTATGTCTGTGATGAATGACAGGACAGATTGTTCTCCTCTACCTGAGCTGTGGTTCAGCCCCACCGAGTGAGAACAGAAACGTCTGAACGTACGTGAGTGTCGAAGCCGTTGTGCCTCAGCAGCGCCACAAAGTTGATGATGTTGCTGACGTGCTTGTCGCTGTCCGCTTCGTAGGTGACGAAGACCTTCCCTGCGTCGAAAAAAAAGCCACACACGTGTAAGCGGGGAGCGCTCGCCGGAGTCCGAACGCCGGCGGCGGCGGGCGGGGCCACTCACTCTGCTCCAGGGACAGCGGCGTGCTGTGGGCCGGGGGTCTTTCTTTGGCCGGGCCGTTCGGGCCGCTGCGAGGCGTAAAAACTACTATTAACCACAACACAACCCTCACAACCTGAATGAGGCCCAATTAGAGGGGAGAGGGGAGAAAATAAAAAGAAGAGCTCACAGCTGGGAAAAATCAGCTCCTGGAAGTCTGTAGTCTCCTGGATCTGCCCAGTAAAGAGGGATACGGAGGTTAGCTGCTTATTCTGAATGTAATAAGACACAGTTAGAGCTGCCTGCGTGGTTTGTTTTTTACTTACAGCATTGGCCGTTAGCCTGGTGGTACTGAGGCCAGGGGGGGTTGGCGGCCGCGGGCCTCCGGCTGAAGGCGTCCGCGGGCCACTGGCCGCAGCAGAGGGGCGCCTGGGGCGGGCAGGAGTACGGAGACAGCGTGTGGTGGCAGAAGTCGGCCAGAGGCGGGTTGGAGCGCAGAGAGAAAGGCTGCTCCAAGCTCATCATGTCGGGGCTGTGGCGGCCCGGGAGCGAGAAGGACTTGTACCTGGAGAGGCAGCTCTCTTCGGAGAAACTGGATTGGTCCTTCTGGCTCAGGCAGGAGGGCAGGCTGTTGGGGTAGCCTGACCAGCTGCTGGCGAAGCTGGGGTGGAGGCAGCCGCCGGCCGCCTGGCTGGGGTACGGCGTGGGCTGACCGTACCCCGGCGGAAAGCCGTGAGGGGGCCGGCAAAAAGAGAGGCTGGAGCTGGTCAGGGGCAGCGAGCGCGGCTGCTCCCCGTCCCAGCCGCCGCGGGGGGGGGGGCGGCCGGCCGCCCCAGTCGGAGGCGGGGTCCGGCTTCCGGACGGCGGGGACCGGCGGCTCCTGGGCGCTCATGGTCTCATCGTGCTCTTCGGGCGTGTTGTGGCGAGCGCTCAGCGGGCCGCTGCAGCTGGGAGCAGAGAACACCACAGACGCTGAAGAGACCGCCATCAGCCGGAAAGCTCCTGGTGGGGGGTGGGGGGGGTTCTGACTCACCTACATGGGTCCGACGGCGGGTGGAGTGAGGGTGCGGGCAGCATCGTCGGGCCTTTTCTCCTTCCTTCCATGCGAGTCTCCTTCAAGCCGCATCTGAACCTCTGGAGAAGGGGGAAGGTGCCAAAGGTCACAGATAAAACGGAGCTGTATTAGTTTGCACGTCTGAAGGCGATTGATGCTGATTCTCCTTCTTTTTAAAAAAAATAAAAACAAGAAAGTCAGCCCACACTTCTAGAAGTGTCTGTTTGATTTGTGTATGAACCACATGACAGCATCTCCCACACAGGGGACTTTTCTCTCAGTGTTAGAAGGGCAACACTCTGGAGGCATGTTTAGCACACATGTGGGAAGGAGGACATTAGTGTGTGTGCGTGTGTGTGTGTGTGTGTGGTCGGCATTCGAGGCATTTAGAAGAGTCTTGATGCATCATTGACCATTCAATTTTCCACCCTCGAGCATTCCATGACGTTCGTTATGATGGAAAATAAAAATGTCAAAGTCCCCCCCTACTTTAATTGGAGTGCGGCCACATTAACCTCGTTTCAGGTGGGTTTCTCTTCCAATAAACCCCTGTTAGTTCCTGTAAATTAGCATCACCTTCGCTGAAAACCCTCTTTGAGGTCACGCGGATGTAACCTGCTGGCACTTTCCACTGAACCTGACCCAGATATCTCAACGTCTTTGTTTCTTCTTCTTCTTTTTTGCTGTTGTTGGTTCGGCCGACTCACTTGGAGCTATATAAATGGACTTTTGCCAACTTTTCTTCGCTGTCGTTTAACAGTTGAAACACTTGTTGACCGTGGTAGCTGCGACGTTTACGGACGCTTTTTTTTATCCCACGGGACGTGAACGTCGAGCATAGCTATTTAAGCGACAGACCCAACGCAAAAATACATTTAGAAATTTTAAATATTCAAAATAAAAAATGAAACCGTCTTCGGGAGCTGTTAGGTGTGCTCGTTGCGTCATGCTGAGGAACTTGACGTTCGCTTACCTTCGCTGCCTGAAGTCTCCTTCAGGGACGTCAGCCAGCAACCGTGTGAACAAATAGCATATAAAGGTTTCCTTCAAAGCAAACACGGCCACGGAGGCTTTAAGTTGCTGTGGAACTGAAGCCGACGGTTCCGTCGTCACCTCATGACAGATAGAAAATGATTGACACAGCAAGTTGCGGCGGGTGTTCGCCGACAGCACCTCCTCGCGAGAAACTCCACCTTTCAACCCTCAACGACTCCTTGTTCGTGTGCGTGTACTCGCTTGTTTGAACTGAGTGAGGACCCGGCAAGGGTTAGAATAGAGGTAGGTCGGGGTGGGTTCAAGTGATGCTCGTAAACAACAAAGAAGACGTGCGAACGAGCTGAACCAGTTCATCATCATCATCACCGTCCCCCCCCCCCAACCCCCCTACCCCCCTACCCCTCAACCCCTCATCCAGCTCTTTGGAGTTCTCCAGCTCCTTTTCAACCTAAAGCCTACACTTTCAGACAATGCCAGTGTTCTGATAAAAGATCCTGCCTGGTCCCAGTGCCACACAAATGGACTGACTCACATCATGGAGGGACTGATTCTGGAACACCTCAGACCCTCATCACAAGACCCGCTGCAGTTTGCATATCAGCCCCACTTCGGGGTGGATGATACTATCATCTCCCTGCTCCAGAGGGCTTACTCCTCCCTGGACTGACCCAATACCTCAGAACGGATGCTTTTTCTTCCACTTCTCCAGCGCCTTCAGCACCATTCAGTCTCAACCAAAAAGTCGGATATGGGATTTTTCGGATGCCAAATTTAGAGGCCACCTACATTCTTAATAGCCTGGATTAATGGCTCAAACGTATTACTCAAACACTGAAAAGAACACACACCGTGAGACAAATATTATTTTGAGGCCCATTTATTGAGGATATTATATGATCTGTGTTTTAGTTTTTGAGCTGACTGGGAATTTCAAGACTATAGCAGCTCCTTCAGTCAAGGAGGCAGAGAATTCCCAGGTTTCAGTAATAATGTTTAAAAAATATCCATAAGTGTTTTCTGTCTATGGCCATAGATGTGCACTGTTTCATGTCACAGTATCCACCATGATTCAGCACAAGTGTCTACACCAGCTCCAACATAGCAGTGAGATACTATTTGATTCTCATGTCATGAAAAAAAAACTGTTCTGAGATTAAAATTCAGGAGGCCTACAAATTCTTTCAGGCTTGCAAAATCACACAGTTTGATCATTGCATTAAAAAAACAAAAAAAACAAGCAAAACCAACAACAACAGCATTTTGCTGTCAGAGCAGGTGTTGAAATCGCTCCGTGTTGACTTTTTGTTGTTTGGAAAAACAGGCCTCCAACCAGGCTTTCCGCACAGCAACCGCCTCGCCGTACTGACTCAGCAGATCCCGGAGCTCCTGGAACATACCAAGCATAGTCAAATTAAGAGTTGAGTTTCGCTTTCGGGTTAATAATCACAGTCAATTTTTTCTAAAGGATTCCTGAAAAATTTAAAACAGGGTTGCATTCGACTATCAGAGAGCCTGAGCCTGGTACAAACCTGTGTGTGGATGTTGTTATCAATCTCGGCTACGATGTGCGTAACCTCTGCAGACATCACCTCTTCCTCATCCCCATCATACGTGCACTTTAGCTAAGGAGCTGCAACACCTGGTACTACCTCTTTGGCACAGACAGGCGAAAAATCAAAGAAATCGCTGACAAGAGCTTAACAATTAGCCGCAACAAAAACAAACACCTGAAAGGATATGTGACAAGGTAGCGAGCCAGCTGCTTCCTGTCTGTTGCACTGATGTTGTAGAAAAACACGCTAACTCCCCTCATGAAACCGGGCAGTCCCGTGGAGCCAGGGCTCTGGAGTGGAGCCGAGGGGCCGGGGCTTTGTGTTTCTTCTGGTTTCGGGGCAGTCGTTGATGCTGCCGACGTCAGTGTTCGAGTGTTCTTAACAGCCCTGTTGTGATAGTATCTGTCGTCCAGGATAAGCCAAAACAAAATCTTACAAGCTTTGATACTTTCATTTAAATGTTGAAACGGTTAAGGATACATGAAGGTGGGGATGCCTCTGGAGGCTAGGTGCTTCCTGATGAGCCTCTCTGTGCCGTACCAGTTAAACCCTTTGGTGGAGTGGCCGATACGGGGAAGGTGAACACTGGCTTTGGTTGAGGAAGATGCAAAAAAAATAAAGGAGAGAATGGATAAATGGCATTGTTTATGTTCTCTTCAAACCGGAAAAAAGGGGGATGACAGATACAAGTCCTTCAGAAAAACATGTATTACGCAACAAAGAGAACAGTGGTGAAAAATTGACGAGCAAAATGTTCTAACACGTTTGCCTAGTGTAAAAAAACAACAGATAGAATTCAAATGTCTGCATGTATTTATCTGTGCACATCCATGAGATCCAACATGTTCTACAAATCCCATAAATCAAGAGTAATAATTTCATACGTTTGGGTTTTTGGCAGAAGAGATTCTTCTCTTGCAAGTTTACCTTTGTTTTGCTTCGCAACAGCATATATCTTCTTCAGTCCCTCCTCCAGCGCAGTTAAAAAGATCCCAGACAAGTTGTTGGCTTTATCTCTTAACTGTGCCACTATCAGGGCCAACTAAAGGTACAGGGAGAAGTTGAAAGTCACTCAAGTCATGTTCAGCCGCAGTTTTGTAGTTTCGGTTCTGTCAGATGTATCGAATAGTTCCATCTGCAAAGAAGTTTCCCCAAACTGAGAAAATCCCTACCTGATCTTGGCCGTCCAGTCTGGACTGTTTGTCATCAATGCGGAAGAGCAGCACATTTCCGAGGTCCAAATCTGAAACAAATGCATCGCACGGCAAATTTAATTTTTTTATTCTCAACTGTACCTCATGAACAAAGACATCTAAGTTAACTTCTTTTGTTTTGTTTTTTATCAGCATGGTTAATCTTACCTTTCATCTTACCAGCCAACTCATACTGCTTTCGTGGCTCGTCCGACCTTACCTCCAGGGCAGTAAACAGGCCTCCTTTGCCCCAGCGGCCTGAGTCATCTGCGCAGGAAATATTACTTTGACATGCGTAACAAACAATAAATCGTTCTTAGCAGGACGCTTGGTGCCAGTGTTTGCAGCCATCTTTACCAACGCAGTGCACGATGATAGCATCTCCTTGAGCTGCATGTGGATGAGTAACATCTCCCAGAACATAGTGGATATCTGACACGTTGGAGTCTGTGGAGCATGCGTCATCTTCATCCTCTTCTTCTTCTTCTTCACTGTCCACAGGCGGCAGGCAACGTGACCTGTATCCGCAGGACTCCCACCACGCCATTCTAGGTAATTGGTGAAAAAAAAGGGGGAAAAAAGGAAATCAAATTTAGAAAATGTATAACACTATTTGTTTAGAGTTCTTAAGGATAAAAGCAGAGGTGTTCTTAGACGAAAGAGGCGACAAATCTTTACTTTTTCTTGTATTTTTGCTCCTCCTGCCTCTTCTTCATTTCTTCCTGCATTTTGGCTCTCTTAGCTGCACTCTCTTGCCTTCTTTGCCTTCTGAGCTCCAGCTCTTCCTCTGTAAGAGGTTTTCTCTTCCTTGTTGGAATTGTGAGTGCTACCGAAAATGAAACCTGAAAACAAAGAGAGAAAAACTCTGCTCTAGTTGTTTACATCAGCGCCCTGCCGTCTTTCACATTTGACATATTCTGTCACTTTACCAGTTGGAATTAAAATGTGTTTTTTGGTAGTTCTTTTTCAAATATGAAACACAGCAGGAAGGGATAAGACATTGCTAAAGAAATCAAATCTATCCTTTAACTAATAAAACAAAGCTGCCAAATACTTCCATACAAGCAATGGCATGTTTTGTGAAATTGTTCTTTGATACATAGTCCTGTTAACTCAAGTTTGTTTGCATCTCTGGAATGATGTCGATTGTCCCATTCGGTAGAACGCAACAACGATAAACTGAACAATGAAAGGAATCAGTTGGCTTTGAGGTAAACAATAATGTAGTTTATCTTTTAGTGCAAATTTAACATTCGATTTTTGGGGAAACATCTAATTAGACATTCTTAAATGCAGCTTAAACATTCACAGGACCCCAAATGTCAGAGTTTTACACAAGAAAATGATTAAAAATCATTAAATATACTCTTCTGTGTGTGGCAAAATTGAGCCAAATTCAGGGTTTTGTTTTTATCTTAAAGCTTCAATCAAAATTGGGAATTCCTAATCACTCAGACAGTGAGCTCGGAGCTTAAGTTTCAGTAAAGCATAAAGACTTCTAAAGGTGGTCTTCTGACACAGATCACTCCAAAAGCAAAACCTCAGTCACGAAAGCCAATAAGGGCCTGTAGCATGGCACCTCAAAGTCAGCTGATCACTCATGCATCAAGAGAAAAGCCAACAAACTACATGGAACTTTGCGTTATGGAATGAATGGAACATGTCACGGCATATGGGTTCACACGCGATGAAGCATTTCTATGGTTGACAAGGTAAACATAAAAAAACATAAAAGACGTCTATAGACGTCTTTGGCAGCCAATGAGTTAAACGACACAAAACTGCTGCACAATCAGGCAAAGATCTTTTCATCTATATTGGTGATGCATGTAATGCAGTATTAGCTGAAAGGGACAGACTCTTACTCCAGCTTTGTGTCGCAGAGCACGTCCCTCTCCAGCCGCTTTTTCAAACTCGGCCAGCTGCTCCTTGATCAAACCATCGAATCTCTCCTTGTCACCAGAGCTTGGGTCTTTGCTGTAGTCTTTCCCCTCAAAGAAGTACATGTGGTCTAAAGGGTGAAAACGGCACGATGGTTAATGCGTTTTATCTTTGGGAAAATAATTTACACAACTCAAGGGAAATGAAAGATGATGGCCTCAATGAAAAGGTTATACGGTCAAAATTGGTTTTATGTAGTTTTTCTAATACTTAGAGAAGCAAAAAAAGTTGATTCTGCTGTGTAGTGGTTTTACATTTGGAAGTGGATGATATGATAAAAATTGAAAACATACTCTGCATGTCAGAGTCTGATTCGCTCTCATCCTCTTCCTCCTCCTCATTGAGAGGAGTGTAGTCCTCATCGTCCGCCCACTGACCATCACATGACAGGCCAAGGATCTTCTCCAGCTTTACGTCCTGTATAGAGCTTTCATCTGAGGACAAAAGCTTATCTATGCCAAACTTCAAGATCTCACTTAGCTGTGTGCAGCAAGTTGATGAAGGATGGGGAAAAGGAAGAAAAGTGGAAAGGGTCAGAATTAAACTGGGCTCAGAGATGGAAAAACTGAACGGATAAACACTGTTGCCTGTTTGTAGTCCCCACTCAGCTCTACCTCACTTTAGCTGTTGTCCAATACAAGTGAATACCGCCTCAATGTGTGTTTTGGGGTAGTTACAGCAAGGTGGCCCCAAAGTTCCCTGGTGTCTTTTGTGTGTGATTCAAACGCAGCACAGCAATGCAGGACATAATGACATTTGACAATCCTACTGCACCTTATCATTGGACCATGGTGTTGGTTCTTGTGTAACCAGAGCCATTTTCCTCGAAAATCATAAAAATAATGGAATTGTACAGTGGTGGTTCGTATATTTTTTAAAATGTAGATGTTCTCGGAAAGGAGTCGCATTTCTGGCCCACCACTAACGCCAGTCTCGTTTGCTAATCATTGCCCTGCAGTCTTTAGAAGTGACATTTCTGGCACAACCAAGCTTGTTTGGAACCCTGCCTGAATATAACTGCAACCAGGTGCTACATCTTTACAGGAAAGCCGAAAGAGAGAGTGGGGTCGGAACTATAATAAAAGGGTCATAGGTGGCAGTGGAATCACAAACCTGCAGTCCAGCAGCGGCGGACTGGGCTTGATCCAGTAAAGAGAAGCGTCCTTCTTCGATGACAGCGTTGGTGAGCTGCAGCTTGGACACAGCACGAGAGTACATGATCTCCTCCACGGTATCTTTTGCAAGGAGTCGGATCACTTTCACGGGCCTGCAATGTGTCGTGGTCAATCAAAGGATAAAATGGTTTTGAATTGAACTGCTATTAAGAAACAGCGTGGTAAATGGACAGATAGTGAAAAGATCCATGCCAAAGCAGCAGTTCCAAACACCTATGTCTCTCTATATATATTTATACATTCCTGGATTTCACTGTTTTACAGCATGCATTACTAAAGCCTTAACATTAGAGACATATCAGAAGATAAGTAATGTATTTTTCTGCCTTCTTCATGTGTTTGAGGTTGCTTTGGGATGGAGCAATTCAGCACGAACAAGAAGCATACCAGATCGAGGGAACTAACATTGATGGTTTTAGCGCTGCAAAGTGATAAGATCAATGTTTGGTTTTCACAACGGAGCAGGAGGGAGGAAATGTGATAATGTGGCAACACAAAAGCTAGCTAGTTATTCTCAGAAGTAAAAGTTTTCATCCTGGGTATGAGGGTGTTACGAGAGTGCAGTGTTATACTGCAAACAGGAAGCTATCACACCGGAATACCGATAACACCCCTGTCGACTCAGATAGCCGGGTTGGCACAGACAGAGCTATTGTTGTTACTGTGTCGCTCAGTTGTTGGGCAAAACTTCACCTCAACACTTTTAATCCATGAAATGATGTACAATGCCATACGGTTTGAAGGGATTTTCCAATCACAGCACCTGTTCTGCCCAATCCGGTGGCAGCGCGCCGCAGCCTGCAGGTCGTTTTGAGGGTTGAAGTCGCTATCCACAAAAATGACAGTGTCAGCAGCTGTAAGGTTCACGCCCACCCCCCCTAAAAGGAAAAAAGCATTGTCAAGCTAAAGCATCTTATAGTCACTAAGTTTGTGGAGTCTTTTTCAAAACATGAGATGAGCTGTTTAAAATAGCATACATAAAGTGATTTTTACATAGGAAATAAAGTAGCCTTTTTCCTACTTAAACACTGTGCATACTTTTTTTACACCAGCGCTTCATTTTGCAGCACTGATCGCAAAGCGATCCTTCGCTTTATTAGATTTGCAAACTGCAGATAAGTGCAGAAAAACTCGATAGAGAAATATTTCTCGATGAGTCAAAGAAAAAAAAGGATAAAAATGTTCCATACTGTGGGTATAATTGTACAATCAATGTGGCCAGAAGAATTCTAAACTAATATACTGTAATACTGACCAAAAGCACATTTTTGCTTTTCTTTTTATAAAAGTCTAAACACTAAACGTCTGAAGTGTCCGTTCACCTGCTCTGGTGCTGAGCAAAAAGACAAAGACATCTTTACTGCTGAAGTTCTTCACTGCCAGATTGCGTTCCTCCCCTCGGACAGACCCATCCAAACGCTCATAGCTGTAACCTGAACAAGATGGAATATATTTGGCCCTTACTGACAGTGAAGCAAAATCCCTAAAAATGCTAAATCTTCCAGCCAGATAGGGACAAATATAATATCACAACTGTGAGCATACTGGTATTAGCTCAGGAAGCCGAACTGCACCCATGCTTATTGTAATGCACCTCTGTACTCCATGTAGTCCTGCAGGATATCCAGCATCCTCGTCATCTGAGAGAACAGCAGGATCCGGTGGCCCCTTTGATTAAAGAACACAAGAGCATTTAAGGGAAAGTCCAGGGATTTACTAACCTGTGATTATTGTTAATTAGATATTATTGATAAGCTAAATCGTATTAGTTGTGGAGCTTCCAAATATGCAAATCCATTACAGCTTCACCATAGTGACCTGGGTCAGTTATGTGTTCTAAAACAAGAGGGCAACAGCATGATGACATCAATGCTTCAAGGCCTTTTGGTTGTATTTGTCGTGCTGCTTCTGGCCCTGGGAGAGTCTTGCTTTTCACTACTTGGTATTTATCCACAGGATGTGTGATAGCAATCTTCACAGAAGCATGCCTTCCATCAAATCTAATCAGATCATACTATATATGAAGTAACCTCAAAGGAAATGCCCTTTATTTTCATAAGGTAGGACGGGAGCACATACTGGATCTCAAGTATCAGAACAAAAACGTTTGAACTGGCTTTAGTTTGAAGAGCTGAAAGAAACATCTAGCACAATAGCTTGTGAAATGACCTCCACTTACACAGAAGTTCCATCTTTTGGTTTAAAGTCAATTTTACCAAAAATTGTCACGATATATTTATTATTTTTATGTTTAGAAAAGTACATTTTTTGCAATACAGCTGTGCAACCTCACTCCTAACACCCACTCATGTGTAGACTGTCGTCTCCTCCCAACAAGACCTTTCCAAACATGACTTTTTCATACTTCAGCATGTGTTTAGGACATAATGTTCTCTTGCACAAAGCTGCACTCTGAGCCAATCAGTTTAAAATACAATACAATTTAGTAATGATTAAAATAGGTAAAGTTAAAAAGCTTTTTTTTTTTAAAGTTGTATCCAAACACAGGGGAAAGAGGGCAATAATGAGAGAAAAACAGTCTTAAATCGTTCTGTCAGTCACAATTTCTGGTCTGTTTGAATGTTTGACTGAAGGAGGGAAAATATGTCAGTAAAAGCACTTTAAGAAGTGCTCTGCCCTTTCAATACATATAACACATTTCCATGTATCTTAAAGTTATAGTTTGGCTCAAGACTTACAGAAATAAAAATCTTTTGAGACATGTGAATATGCTTAGTGGCCAACCAATGTCAACAATGTAACCGAGCTTTGGCAGACTGAGAATAAAAAGCCAAAGGCATCTACCAACCCTTTGTGCAGGAAAGCCAGCATGCTGTCCAGAAGGCAAAGTTTGCCACTGGCTTCAACCAGATGTTCCCCTATCTGAAAGGGCTCTGGCTCCACACCTGGGGAGGACACAGTGCAGTTCAATAAGGCAGCAAACTTTACTTCTCATTACATTTTTTGCATCTATGTCAAGCCACTTTGATGTCTCCACATCTCACCGTCAAACAGGTATGGGTGGTCAACACACTTTCTCAGTTGCATCAGGGTGTTCATCAGCCGGTTCTTGCTGCCCTGCTCGTTTCCGAAAGCCTCTGCAAGTCTCAGCGGAAAATTTGAATTTAGGTCAACTTCTGTCCCCCAGAAATCAGCACTGTCTTCAAGTGCAAACCAAAGAATCCAAGTCTCACCCGGATCCTTCATCAGAATGGCTTTGTAGTATTTCTTCTGCAGGGCTGACATGCCATGGTATACCACCAGCTCTGTCTTCTTGGGCAGGTCGACGGCCACCTCTGATTTGACCCTGCGGAGCAGGAAAGGTTCCAAGATGCTTTGGAGCTCAGCAGCTGGAAAGCAAGTAAGAAGTGCCAGTGAATTTAATCTGAGTTAAAGAATGCAAAATGATCATTGTGTCATAGAAGTTGCACAAAACAGAAGACTTTGTTTGCTGATATTTTATTAGAAAAGACGGTCACCTAAACGATGAGGCACAAAATACAATTCGATCTAGTCTGTTCCTTTCCTGTGGGCTACTTGCGAATCATACCGAGAGTGGTCTGGTTTTGTACACTGGAGTAAGAGCTGACAAAGCTGTCCACATCGTCTGCTGTGAAAATGCTGGGCTGAATGAAGCTCAGCAGGGAGTAGAGCTCCTGTAGGTTGTTCTGAATGGGGGTCCCTGTCAGCAGGACTCTGAAGCCCACTGAGAACTAAATAAAATTAAAAAACAAATAGAGCCAGGCATTGGGCGCAGTTAACAGACAAGATATTATAAGAGCTACAGATATAGAAACAAATACTTGACAACCCAAGAGAAATCTAGCTCTGTACCTCAGTCAAGGTTTTATGCAAGACTGAGTTTTGATTCTTCAGCCTGTGGGCTTCGTCAACAACAAGCGCCTTCCACCTCCATCTTTTCAAGAACGAGGCGTCTTTGAGGCAGATCTGGAAGAAATTAAAAGGGAAATAAATCTGCACGGGGGAAATTCAAGGGGCCTTTTGCTTTCACTACACACCCACTGACTTCATATGTGGTGAGCAGCACATGGAAGTCCGCTGTTCTCGTTTCCCTTTGAATCTCAGCCCGCCTCTCTTTGTCTCCTTTGTAACACAGCACAGTCAGAGATGGAGCAAAGCTGTGTCCAGGTCAAAGACAAACAGACCGGTTAGGATACGCAGGTCACAGATACCGAAACATTAAAATGCCCATGGATTGGCAGATGAATGTGACTATACCATTGTAGCTCCTTTCTCCAGTTCTCCAGTACTGAGAGTGGACTCAGCACCAAAAACGGCCCCTTCTTTCCCAGAGCTCCTGACATGTACACCAGCAAAGAGATTGTCTGAAAGGAAGAATCAAGGTCAGGATACTCAATTTGATGAAGCACATAATGAGACTACCAGAAAGATATTTAAGAGAGAAAGCATGCCGAATGTGCCAAAATCTATTTCAACCATCCTGACTGGTTACACCGGTTTTATCTTCCAGCTATAACACGCCAGTAGGAGAAGATCAAAGAAACAACCTACTGCTGTAAAGTTTACAGACCAAAAACCTCACAAGATACAGCTCTGACCACTCCAAAAACAGATGTTAGCCTCCACTTTGGACTCAAATACTGTTCTTTAGTCTAAAGAAGTGGCTGCAGCAGTTTTAAAGAAAATATTTATTTCACGTAGTGTGCGACACTGGGACGTTAGCGCCATCTTGTGATGGATATACTAAATTATTGTTCGATTGTGATTTGTGTGGTTAAAAAAAAGGCAGAATCTGATGGGGAACAGATTAAATATTAAAAGAATTTAAAGGAGAACCTTTAGTTTTCTAATCCCACCTCTGAATGCTGCTAAAATCTGCAATCTAACAAGCAGGTGGTGTGGGAAAATCTGACCACCTGACACATCTGTTAAATTATATTCCTGCCAAATACATTCAAGTTTGTATCTACTACAAGAATTCATGAGCAGTTCTTAGGATTCAGGGTCTTTGTAGAGAAAAAAAAAATAATAAAAAAATTATTACAGATTAAAATTATTACAATTAGACTGTAACATTTTATCAGTTAAAAAATAGTTATTTCAATTGTTGTTGTGATGGCAAGTGACACCTCAAATCCAAAGGTCAAACTATAATCATGGGTTTTCTTCCAAACTAAACCCAAACACACTCCACAAAACAGAAATATGGAAAATAATTTTCTATTTTTCTGGCTTTTTGTCCATCTTAAAATCATGGGTGCGTTTTAGGGAATTAATAATCGCAAAAGGACACATAGAAAAATAATAATTCAAATCACACTTTCCCACAGAGACAACAGGTCAAGCTTAGTTTCTACTAGTGAGGGTTTAAATCATCTGAATCTGTTTGGAAATGTGGTTTTGTACACATTATTGCTTTAAAATGCAGGCAAACAACTGATGCACACCTGGCAGGTTTTGCCCAGACCCATCTCGTCCCCCAAGATGCATCCCTGCTGGTTCTTCAGACACTGAGTTAGCCACTGGACCCCGTCCAGCTGGTAGGCTCTCAGCTGAATGCCTGGGAGGAGGAAAAACTGCTCACAATCATCATATAATGAAGGGCCACAAAAGCGGGACCGTAGCTAACAACGTTATGCGTCGAATGAATGAGTAAATCCAGCTTTGAAACTTTACTTTGGTGTCGGAGTCCCTACCTCGTAAACCCCACTTCTGCACGTCGCTCTGAAGAAAAGGTGTCTTTTTTTTCTCGGCTATGCAGTTTTTAATTTTCATCAGAAAGTCTGACATGTTTGCAAATTAACAGGGCTACAATATAAATATATATATACGTAAACTCAAATGCTTCCCGCAGACATGCACAGCCCGGGCGGTAGTTAGTGTTGTTATTGTGGGTCGTACTTCCTGACTGAGTCACGTGACGCCACGGAAACGCGCGCTTCTTCTATGTTTGTTGAGCATTTAAGCAAATTTACATTAAAAACCCACACGAGCTTAACGCCAAGGCCATAGTGACATTTTGAATAATATAAATTGCCAGAAGACCTTTGTAAATGCTTAAAACGTTTTACATTAAGACGGGTCAGGATGGGCGTACGAAGCATCAATATAAAGGACTTTGGGAGTTTTGGTATGGGGATCCTGACTTTTACTGTTAACAACTTTCAGGACCATTTAATGCTGTGTAATATTTCGTTTTTCTCCCCGAGAATCTGAATAGAATGTCTTAGAAAAACCGAGATAATTCTCTGAGATAGTTTACTTTAAAGTAAAACCTGTTCCAAAAGTGATTTTATGCACACACAAAAATATATCACTAGATAGATCACAGTTTTCTATTCAAGTTATCAGCTGCTGTTTTTTCTGGTATATGGGGTATTATTGTCCTAAAAGCAATGGTCTCTAAAGTAAAGTTTAAGAAAAATAAGCCCTCATTCTCGAGGATGAGGACTCTTTCCAAACACTGATAACCAACCATCCAACAGAACGCGCCTGTGGCTGTTACACAAAATACTTAACCAAATATTTAAAAGACCTCAGTCCTCTAAGAGGCTTTTCTCAGAGAAGAAAAACCATGAAAAATACATTTTAAAAAAACAATAAAAGGTCACTTGCACTCAAAATACAGACATGTTAATGTTGTATTGAATTAATACACACCTGTGCATCCATATATAAATGTTAACCGCAGACTTGATGTAAAACCAGATTATTTCTGTTTTAAATTATACAAGTAAGATAATTAGAATAAAAATAAGGAAGAAGAACTAACAAGGTTGCAGTTGGTTAATTTACATACGTTTTAATATTTAATTTATTACAGATATTTACAAAATATTACACATAAAAGAATGATTATCATTTAGATTAAAACAAGTTACTGAAGTGCCAGGGGGGTCAAAAAAAAGAGAAAAATCGAGAAAAAAGGTCATACAACGAAAAAAAGAAGAATGTTTAGAGGGAAAAATGCATTTTCACTCATTAAAAGAGGAATGTGCGAATAAAAGTCCTGCCCCCTCTTTGTAAACACCGGCCTGAATCATCGACTCCAAAACTGGGCTCACTTTATGCATACAGCCACCATCTTCATGATCGCCTCTCTGAAAAGCAATTTTAAAAATTCAGATATTAGCATTCAATGTCACTTTGACAGACACAACTGAAACAGATGATTTGAATAAACATTTCTAAAGAAGACTAACCTCACACACGGGATGTACGATAGACTGTACCTGAAAACAAAAGACATTTCAGCTCACAAAGTCACCAACTTTAAACTGAAAGCAGCCGTGTGGGGGATCCTGAATCCAGACTCACCAGGAAAATGACAAGACTTGCAGAATGCAAAATAATAAAGCAAGTCCGAAGTTTTTCCACTGAAAGAATAAGATTAAGAATTTACTGATGACTTTGTAAACACAGTTGGCTGAGAGACAGAGAGAAAGCAATAACTGTCACTGAGCACTCACCCAGAAGGCTGCACACAACGTCAGCACAAGGCACGTCTGCAAAAACAAGAGGGACAAATATGATATTAAAACTGGCTTAGAGAGGTCAGTCAAATGCTAAACAAAGGAAATCAAACGACAGAGGCTGTATAATCATACATCACACTACCAGAAATGCAGATACAGTAAGTCACTGCTTTTGAGCACGCTTTCTAAAATTCTGCTATACAGTGTTTGCTCTTGTTCTGCTGTGGTCCAAAGGGTTGCGATTGGCGTTTCTCTGAACTTTACATGATCTGATGCGTCGCTGAACCTGCTGGAACGTCCACTCCTGACCAAATTGATTAATCTTAGTTCATTTCCACTGACGACTGACCTTTTTCCCTGAGGAATAGTGGTCTCAAAACTGTTAGGATGTATCCTGATAACTATTTATGTTTAAACGAAAGTAACATATGGTTTTTTAAACTGTGCCACAAATGTGGCTTTTACAGAGGCATTGACACTTTTAGAATTAGTAGTATTAGTATAATGAAGTACACTTTGTTATATTTTCACCATCTGACTGAGATCTTTTACCTTAAAGCAGTAAGGATGAACTTAGTTTTTCTGTATTAATTCCATAATAGCTGATTAAATGGTTTTAAACATAAGCGAGAATACAAAGAAACAACAAAAATGCCTCAAAATCACAATGTACGTAGCACTGTTTAAAAAACAGCAATAATGACCGATGGAGACACCAGTAGAGAGAAAATAGGGATTTTCATGGGAGGCTACATGCAACATGTGTAAAAAGTTCTCTAACGTTTCGGGAACAGTTTTCTTCAAAAATTGCTGGAGAGGGAAAGGAAAAAATATAGCCCATACAAGCATAATTGTGGTGGCGAGCGCTCTTGTTTTGTCACACATCCTCTTCAGCTGCTTGAGTGGTCCCATCAGGAACATCGTGCTATCAAACAGAAGAGGACGAGGATCAATAGTTGTGTTTAACCTTAATCTATGGTGAATATTTTTATGACATAGTACATTTTTCTCAGAAAGACAGTATTACCCAAGATTCTTCCCTCTACAGGTTTATTTTCTTTTAGACTCACCTGCAGAGAGCGCATATGTTTCCAAACGTGTAAAAAACGATGAAGAGGGTCAGGCCAATCTTGGGGATAAAAAGCGCACAAACCCCCTGGAAGAAACACACAAAAACACACGGCTTTTGGCTCAGGTTTGAATCTGTTGCATGTCGTTTCTCATTAAAGGTTCCTCTTTTTTCGATGTGCCTGATGAATGAAGATCACATCCTCCACATTCCTCGGAGCAAGAAGAACCAGTAAAGCCACATCAGACCTGCGCTCCTTGAAATGGAGGACGACTAAGTTTTTTGGACACAGAGGACATCAGAGAGGTTTGTCTTACCAAAACCGTGCACGCGGCCCCCACCACGAAACATGCGACAAATCCTTTCAGACGTGTCCCCCAACCTAAAGTCGAGGCTTCGTTCATGGTCTGCAATTAAACAAATAAAACATAAAACAGCGACAATAACAACAGGGAAGTTGCACACATGACTGAGGCGTTTAGGAGCCGGAATCTGGCGTTATTTTGTTTGCTTTCACCTGTAAGACGTTTCGGTCATCCCTGCGCGCCTCCTCCCCACTCAAAACCGATTTTAGCTTATCCATGGCCTCAGATCCCTGACAGTCGAGCAGCTGGACAAGAAGTCGCGTCGCTTCCTCGAAACTTTAGTTTCTTGGAGTGTGCGTGGATGGACAGCTACGTCAGAGCGCAGCAGGAAGGCAGAGCGCCAGGAGCCGTGAGTGACTCACCTGGACAGGTGTGAGGCGGCTTTCTTTACGCACCCAAGCTTAGCTGTTTTTCGTATTTTTTTTTTATTTTTTTATTTGGGGGTTATAGGTTCACACTTTATGCCAAACCTCAATGTTACATTTTAAATAACTTGTCAGAAGTGGTTTCCTAAATTTTCTGAAAAATGTTCACCGTTTTTTTCTTACTGTTTTTTTGTTTTTTGTTAGTCCAGTCCCTAATTTTCAGTAACATGCCTTTTTATTCCTGTTTTAAAACGCTTAACACTTAAGTATGAATCATTCTTGCATTGACCAGGAACCTGGGCAAACATTTCTATTTCTACACATAATTAACCTCCTGTTGTGTCATTATGCATAGTAACCATAGTGCAGACATGTTTGTTTGCATATGTTTCAATTGATTTCTGATCATATTTCTTATTTTAATTGCAGTATGTTAACAAATGAGATGTGGCCAAATACTGTGACACTTTTATGAACCTGACAGTCCACAGAATAGTTTCAAGTTTTGTTCACATAAGCCAACACTTCTTTTTTTTGTGACCCCCTTTAAAAAACAGATGAATGCCTGTTAATCCCAAAGTGAAACATGTCCTTCCTTTTCAAGCACTAATTCTCTCTGAAACAGTTCTTCATTTTGACTGTTTTTTAAAATTTCATAGTGGACAATTTTCAAAGTCTATAAATATTTTTTTATCGTCAATATTCTGCTGATAAAAAATCTTTTAAAAGTTTAGAGAATAAGTTCTTTAGGTGGGTGCAAACTTATGACTTGGTGATATAACATTAACTCTTTACACAAACCATATAAACATAATTTTGTCACCTTTTGACGTACACTGAGAAAATATTTTCAATGAGAAGTACCAGACATACGGTAATTATTGTGTTGAAAATCTGACTTCACAAATGACTACTTAATTTGCAATAGAACAACTAGAGCACATCAACTGTTTAAAGTGAGACAAACTAAAGTACGCAAAGAAGGAACAGTTTAAATAATTTGTTTGAGCAAATTGTCAACAGGTCAGTAAGATGATTGATTAAAAATTCTGTGCCCAAAAATGGGAGGGGGAGGTCTTTTTTTTTTTTCTAAACTAGACATTGGATAACTGCGATCTTCAGGATATCTGGACTGCATTAAAACAAACATTTCTGTCATTGAACTCGTCGGATGTTGTAAGAAAAACATCCTGAAATGATTATTTACAAATGAAGGTTAAAAAAAACCATATGTGAACATCTTTCAAGCATCGCTGCTTTCTAAGGGACAAAGCCCATTAACTGACTGAGGCAAAGTAGAAAACTCTTCTGTTGTCAGACTAGTCAAATGTGGGGATCTCCTCTGTAAATGATTGATACTGCATCCTGCAGTCTAAAGAGAAGGAGGGCTTATACTTCCTTATCAGTCCTTATTTAAAACGACAACTCTTTTTTGTACTGGGTACATTAGTGTCTGAAATATCATCACCATCAATGCTAAAAGGCACATATAGGTCCCAAAGCAAAATATGTCATTTTTGCTTTGGCGGCTTAGTTTTTACACCAGGATAACAGTAACAGTATATATATTTTTTTTAACAAAAAAAGGATTAATGTGTAATTTTTTTTTTATTTTATGTAAATGCGATGATGCATTTGGTCATATTTATCCACAGAAAGAGTTGAGGAGTGTTTTATCTCTTTGAGACACAAATGTAATTCGAAACATTGCCCATTCTGAAAAAAAAAGTATGAAGGAAAAATAGAGTTACATTTCGAGAATATTACCACCTCCTGTTATAACTGCAGTGTGAAAAATGCATCCACTTCGAATGTTATCAGCCCATTAAATGCCATTCAGGTTAGGTAATGCAGCAGCAATAATTCAGCAATGGAATGTAACGCATACTTGCAACTTTTCAAGTGTACGATAAGACATCTTTAATCTCTGTGTAAGGCAAGTCATAATGACATCAGTTTACAAAAATGAAATAATTGCACATTATTTAACAAACTTCTTGTTTGGTACTTTGTTGTGATTCAACTTTTCACATCATAAAATTCGGAAAAAAAATCCATGTCAGTATTTGGGTCTTTCAAGTAACACTGAAAATGCCGTACTGGGGATGGCTATTTAAAGCGCTCGAAACAACAGTTTGAGGGGTTAAAAGACATGGTTATCTGTCAAAATCTTCCCCTTGTGTGCACATCAATCACAAAGATATGAGAGAATAAATGAAAAGTATTACATCACTGTTAAATAAATAGCATTTAAAGCTAGAGAGTGTTTACAGCTGGTGGAGTAAGGCAGAGGTAGAGATATAAGGCAGACCATGTTCATATCCCTATTCTGTCTGTGTGACATAGTCCTGGCCATGCAGCTGCGTCACGTCCCTGATTCAGCTATGATGTTCATGAGTCATTCTGCCAAAAACTGTCCTTTTTATTATAACATCTCATCCTCTGACTCTACGTCCCGCTCTCTGGTCTTCAGAAGTCCCATTTCCATTGGGGGCGTCCTCTTCAGTCTGGAGCGAACCAAACTTAAAGGAAAAGAAAAACAAACACCGGAAGTCACACATAGAATTAACTGGTGTGAGCAGGCATTATCGGAAATACTCAAGTTGTTATTATCATTTATGAGGGATTCTGCTAGATTTACATGATAAATAGACAAGCAACATCTCAGAGGTTCTCACCAGCCGACAGTGCAGTGCAGCACGCTGACCAGAAGCATGGCGAAGGCGAGGTGCCAGGAGAAACACATGGTGATGAACATCATGTTGCTGTGGTCCTGCAGGTCCCACGTAGGCCCGTTGGGAGGGTACAGCACAAAACCGATCTGGTGCCAAAGAGAACCTCAGGTCAGGAGTTCTTTCTCCAAGTACAAATACAAACGTTTGACCGCAAAGGCTCACGCGTAGACGTACCTCCCAGAACCAGCTTCCCTGCAAGATGGTGAGGGTGCAGCGCAGGAGCTCCAGAATGATGTTACCTCGGTGGAAGACCTCCAGGAAGGCGACGCCGGCCTGGCCGAAGACGGCATAGAGAAGCAGCTGGTGCACGTGGACGTCCAGCATGCTCCTTCCATGGAGGTGGTAGAGGAATAGAAATCCTGAGAAAAAAAAGGGCACATTTTATTAAAAGATTTACTTTTTTGGATTGCTACTATGTTCACAGGTCAGGGCAAAAAATGCCATCATTTTAACTCAAACCCATGTAGCAGCGTTTACTATTCCTTTTTTATTTTTGCTTTGGTAACAATAGCAAAGCAAAGGGCTCCAGAGTCCTACAGCACATTTATACTTTTTAATTGGGCTATATAACCTTAAATATGCTAAGCTTTTTTCTCTACAATCCCACACCAATAAACAAAATGGAAAAATCGCAGAGCTTATAGCTATTTCCCAGGGAACGTTTGAAACGCAGTGGGATAATGGTTCAAAGTTCTGATCTTCCAAATCCAACCCATGGATTCACGACCTTCACAGTCATATTGTGATGAATAAAGCCCGGTGAGTTTAATTTTTTATATGCAAAAAAGGACATTTTTCAACTGCCTGAAGTAAGGAATTTTCTTTTGCCAAAATGAAAAGGGAAATAAATAGCACTGACAAATGGAGTGAGTTTATCTAGCCGATAATCCAAATTTCAAATGGTGTGTTTAAGGATAAAACTGTGGTATTTTACTAATGTTTTGTGTAAGCTAGCCTGATGCTAAGTGTGTCCTGCCATGCCGTACTAAATATCAAACAGAAAACACATCCCATGGAGGAGAAAAATCAAAGGGGCTATCTGGAGAGCTTAAAAGCGGCTGCTGTGAAAAGACTTTTAAATTCATGCTTCAAAGGGAGGAACCTCGTGGTGGTATTTTGATATATTACAGTTCTCCCTCAGATCTCAGGAAATCCAGTGTGCTTGTGACTGAAAGAAATGCAGAAAATGTCTCCATTGAGTGAGACGAAGACCTGTTGTACCTTCATTGAAAAAGGCGATGGCTAGCATCAGCCTGTCCAGAGCCAGCGGAGCGGCCTCGGTGGTGTGGATGATCAGAGACACAGCTGCAGCCAGGCCGAAGAACAGGTACATGGTGGCGTGTTGCCAGTTCATCAGGAGCTCCCAGTGCTTCTCTGTGAAGTCGTACAGCTGAAGCTTGGGCCCGCCAGCGAAAAACTGCTCTGCCAGCATCCCTGAGAGGCAGAACATCCCTTCAGCTAAACAGCATTTCTTTTGGAGCTTTGCTCAGCTCGCCGGAAAAGAAAGCTTAGCGACAATAACGATCCGCTCACCGAAAAAAGAGAAGAATAGTATTACAGAGCTTTCCATCATCTCCAGGCGTCGCTGTGAGGCTCTGCTGGCCAGTCGGGTGGAACCTAAACTCTTGTTCCTGCGGGTGGCGTGCCAGAGCGAGTACTTTCCCGTCCACCAGATCCCAGCCACGAGGAAGAAGCTCCCGGGGAGCGCGTGGCCCTTGAAGCTACCCATGACTCACAACACCTGCATCACAGACGCAAACACAACTGAAACTGGGTCCCCTTCAATCAGCTTTACCAGACTCACCATTGGGGAGATAAAACCTGCAGCCTTAGCAATTTATTCTCACCTTATTTATTGTTTGGGTGAAATCCTATTCAGCGGAAGAATAGAGGTTTATATTTAGCATAAAAAAGGAGTACCTGTAATTTAAGTAAACTGCCCAAGCAGACATAATTAGAGTGTGTAGGCCACAGAGCTTGGACTCACCTAGGGAGGGGCTGCCATTGAAAGAAATCCCGTTAGTGTCGAGACTCGCACCTTTCGAAGCTTATAATGGAAACCCTGTTCTTTATATCAGTTAAAAAGAGTAGTTTGCCGTTGTCTAATGGCATCTAATGGCTCAGGTTGCAGTTTATTCCCTGTAATCATTAGCCAAGAATACACCAACTCCTCAATTATGAGGGCTGCTGCTTGCGGGAGAGAACCGTGCCGTCATCCCCTGCTGTTTATATGTGATCACACATTAGTGCCCTCACGGAATCAAAGAGAATTTGCTGGAAAAGGACATCTGCGGATATAAAAGAGGCTGCCATTTCAGACAGCTGTGCTCGATGGATTTATTTAATCCCCCCACCCCCACAGTGACACAGGAAATACTTTCAAAGGTCCTCTAAAGAGCTAAAATAAGCCCAAAAATGTTCTCAACTTCAGTTGCCTCAAGCAAAAATCTCATACTTTCTTAAAGAAAAAGTTTAAGGATAGAGAGAGGAACATCAACAGGCATGGAATTAGAACGAGGTGTAAGGCCACACTCTTTTGTGATGGAAATCATAGAGAATATTGGCCCCGGCTACAAAGGGAACCTTTTGAAGAGGGACACTCGATTCAAGCAGGTTGTATTAGATGTTAACCTGCGCTCGTCTGTTTCTATCAGATGGGCTCTTTTCATGCACAGCCTCTTTGCTTCTTGAGGGAAACACTTGAGCAGCCATGGTAATCACATCACCCCTGATGTCACTTGAGTGCAACTGGAAGACTCATTTGCATTTGGCCAACTCGCTCACAAATCAGACAGCAACATCTGTGCTGACCTGTTTCGAAACAGGACACATCACACACGCTTTCAGAGCCTTCTGTGTGCAGGTTTAAAAGTACCTTACAGCAGGCCAATTACAGTAATATTTTTATTCAGTTTATCTACTAAATCATAGTTTTTTTTAAAGAAAATTTAGTTAGTTTCTTAACATTTCAGACCAAGTTGTAGATTACCAAAAATGTACATGAGGTCAGGTGAGTGGTATCTTTAACCTTATAATGCCATTTATCATATCTGATACACACGGTCTTTGAAATGTTTTGCATCTAAGACCTTTTGCATAATTTAATGGTAAAATTTCTGCTCAAAACCCCATTGCAAACAATCAGATATAACTGATAACAGCTGGGTAGAATACTACACACCAGTCATTTTGAGTTGTCGCACGGTAATAACTGATGAATACTCAAAAATTACTTTTTTATTTTTTCATATTTTGTTAAAGGGCCAAATAAGGACTTAAAAAAACAATTCTCTATTTTTATCTTGGCTTGGACTTTCAAGGGTTAGATGTTGGTCACAAAGTAATTCTGTTGACTCAGATGTATTAAAGGGGATACACAAAGAAAGCCACCCCTTTTCTTTAATAGTTCTAGCTTTTCCAGATGTGCACTGGCGTTAACGTGCTCTGACCATGTCTTTCTGTACACCAGGAAAAGGACAAAGCACACAGAGGGTCCCAAAAGAGTAGATTTTATGGGAAACTGACAAAAAAAGTTGCTGATCTTGTTTTGCTAAACGATTAATAAAGATATATGGTAGAATCTCTATGTATTTTCTATGTTTCCTCTCACATTTTCCATGTGGATTGCAAGTAGTTGTTCATTAAAGGCCTGCTTACAGAGCTTCTGAAATCAGCTGCCTGAAATTCCATCACACAAAAAAGGAAAAGGGGGGTCTTACCTAAAAGTTTGCCTGTGGAGCTGGAACTATATTCAGAAAGAAAAATCAAAGTCTTTCCTTGGTATCACACAAGTCATTTTCCCACTGAAAGGAAGGGAAACGTCTTCTCTGATCCTCCGTGCGACGCAGAGTAAACATCAACAATCTTCGGCGTCTGACTCCCTGCAGCCTCCCAGCCAGATCCGTTTCACAACCTTTTTTTTTCCACTTAAATTTTCTCTTACTCCAGAGGGTTTGGGCCCGTGTTTCCAGACAAACGCCGGCCATTGGACGGGGGGCGGGAGCTGGCGTCACCGCTCTGCGCTCCCATTGGTCGGTGAGAGCGTCCGTTTCGGGTGTCCACGTGTGCACTTTCACTCCGCCCGCCGCGGCTCGGCTCGGCCTGGCTCGGCCCCCCTCTCTCTCCTCACAGGAAACCGTTACTTTCCGTCGTAGGCCAGTGGGTGGGCAAGTCCCGGGACAGGGGCCGGAGCACGTAGACTCCAGCTGGGCTTGTTTTTCTCCGATAAACGGCGAGACGCGTCACCCATCACTTTGCATGCGGTCTTTCGTTCTAAACTTTCACTATGAGGCAAAAAACAGAGATTTTCTCTGGGTTTTAGCGAAAAGTTTAAAGAGTGAAGCAAATGGAGGGGATAAAATTATCCTTATCCTAAAAATTTAGTTCATAACGTCACAATTATGCTTTCAAATATAACAATGACTTAATTTGGTTTTGGAATGGCTTTTTTATTGTACAAAAAATGTTTTTTTTATAGACTTGATGACTGTGTCTCCCCGTCATCGTGTGTTTAAACTTAGATACTGAAACGGGGTCAGTTTGTCCAAACTAAAGAGAAAAGCTTCCACTGGCAGAATCCATCTCAACAAGTGGATGTTAAAACCGAACTGGAAAATAACACATTCTTATTCTCTTCACTGACAGCTGTAGTAATAGACTAGAGTTTGCCATGATTTCAAATTCTTGAAAAGCAAGCATTTTAAAGACTGTATCTAAAATGGAAACACTCCAGCAGGACATGTCCGCCATGGATCTCTCACACTCAAACTTACTATTGAAAACCATGGCAACTGTGTCAGTACAAGTATAGCTGACTTATTGTCGTGTAAATGTGACGTAACACTTTACTTGTACTGCTAATTTCATCATTTAACATAAAGGTATATGAATGATTTGAACCTTTTTCAAAGGGCCGCAGTGGTACTATTTGAATATGAGACACAAATAAATAAGATAGTTTCTGTAAATTGCATGTGAAGCCACAGACAATTTGACTCTTGAAAGCAAAGTCAACCACTGAAAGGGTGTGTCACAAGTGTGTGTGTTTTTTTATTCAAAAGTGTTGGACCACAACAGACAAAGGAAAAAACAAGGACTGTGTGTTTGTTCGTAGAGGCTGCTGTCTCCCCAGCTTTTTAAACACAGGATTTTTCATTTAAAATGTCACTCAAATTTTCCAGTGTGACCCACTGAGCATTATCCGGTCACTTCAAAATGTACTTTTGTGTAGTCTGAATAATGTAAACATATTTCTGTCGGTAGGCAGGAAAGCAAAGTTGTCAAGTTCACAAAACTACAAATTACGTTGATATCGAAACTATATGTTGAAAGACAGCCTGTTGCTAGTACCTAGAAAGATATATAACAGTCTGATTTTACTTGGACTGGTGTTACACACTGTAAACTTCTCATTTGGCATTGCAAAATACACAACAGAGATGTTTGAAAGCTCAACAGTGTAGGGGATGACAGATTCCACATGCAAAAGTCCTCGCATGCAAAAAACCTCCTCATTCAAAGAATTAAAAGTACCTTAACACCAGCTGCAGTGCCATCAGAGTTGCCATGAATGTTAGCATTCGAACCACAAAGTACTCAGTACGTAAATGAGCACACCCATTTTGCAAATCTCTCTGCTTTCATTTTGATCTCGGACGCAAGCTTGTACAAGTTCTGCGACACACTTGTGACGCAGTTAAATTGACAAAAATCTCTCTGCTTACAATCCAGGCCGTTTCAAAGACCTGTCAAAGGACGCCTGCACACCTCTGTGATTGCCCCCCAGCCTCACCATACAAGTCTTTAGGGCTACATTTCTCCAGGTCTACACACACACAGACGCAGACAGAAAGAAAAGACGTGCCAGCCAACAACAGCAGAGGTTAGGAAGGAAGGGGCTGGGGGTGGAAAACGAGATATTAAACAGGTTCAAGGGGGAGGAATTCACAACAAGCGTTTTAAAATGGACGTGCCCTGGTCTGCTTTTAGATCGGCAAATCCACACACAGAAAAACCTACCAGAGGTTGTTTGAAACTGGAAATGTTCAATGTTAATTGGGCCCTGTCCCGTGAAATGGACTGGCTTGACAATATGAAATGCTTATCAGATATGTAAAATGCATCAGATTATTTCAGTTTAGATAAGTAAAGTCTTCCCACTTTTTAATACGTGGAAGTTATAGAAGAGAATAAAACGTGGTATACAGTTTGTTAGAGTCAGCTCAAAGTACAAATTATGGGAGAAGTCTGGTGAAATCCATGTTTTTATTTCTCAGACTGATACCCATTTTCTTCCCGGACATGGAGCTGTAGACAGTAGACAAGTTTAGCCTAAAGGGAAGACACCGTAACAGGCTGTACATGTACCATTTGGGCTCTGTTTCGTGCAACTTGGCTTAGAGTGTAAACCTGCCACCACGGCTGGATGCTTGAATAAAAAGTAAGCATCACATGGGTTATTTTTGTAAATGTCACACACAATCTGAAACAGCTTATCTTTATGATACTGTTATGTATCCAAATCTGAATGATGAATGATGAGATCCTTTAATTCAAGTCTTTTGCTTAGCTTGTTGCTAAGTCTCACTGACGTTGCGGACATTAAATAAAGGCTATTTCCTTTCGGTTTTGTAAGTTGTTCATGTTTTAATTCCGAAAGGTTTTCTCGAGAAATGTATAACCCGAGTCAAACACGGCTTTATGGTAAGTGGGAAATCCCACTTGACTGCTTCACATAACTGTGCGTTTACTAAGTGCCCATGTTGTCTCAGAAAAAGTCGTTCTCGGAGTGCAATGATTCACATAGTACAACTGGATCTTACATAAACAAGCAGCAAGAGGCCCCACCAGATAACAACTTCTCGCTTGAATTTCTCACACGGCATCCAGGCAGGAGGCAGTCTGTCACTGGGATCTCATGCAGAGAGGGCCAAGGAAGGAGTGCATGCTGGAGATTTTTGGACCGGCGGGTTATTTGAACATGCAGATGGACGAAGGGGGACCATCATGGGACAGTGGTGCGCGACGATGACCAGTAGAGGATTTTCATTATGGGCAAGTGGACCCGGCATGTGGAACATGTCTGTTTCTTCCACAGCCACTGCTGCATGCACTGAAACACATTCCAAAAAACACACAATCACTCACAGTTGTTTAAATTGTTTGTTTGTTTACCGAGCTGGTAATTGCTGTCCCTGTACTCTGTTGCCAGGATGAAATTTCCCACATGATCAACAGCAACCATACGCACAGCAGTGAATCACCACAAAGAGCTTAAAGAGGTTTCAGAGGTTTAAAAGTATGTCGTGTTAATTTATCTAGAAGTAACAAGCCAAAGGCCCTCATATCTGAACAATATGAAAATATAATTCATGTAATTTTAACATTCGATCAATCTTTTTAATAAAAATGGCATCATACAAGGAGACAGATAATGATGGTAAATACAAGTCAGGAAAATGTATAGATTATAGCTTTAATGTACAAACTCAATTAATGGTTTATTCTTTTAAAAAACCACAAATGTTTTTGCTTTTATTTACAAATTCGGATTAATGAATCCTCATATATTTAGTCTTTTGACGTTTGAGAGAAACAGCTGGACTGCAGCGACTCCAGAGGGACCAGTGGGTAAATCTGGCAGGACCAGGCCAAGATCAGCTGTGGCCTTCGAATTCCATCACACCGCACACGTCTGGGAGTCCTGGTTTTGGCCCACCAGTGGAAATCCACTATCTTTCCATAGAAAAAGTCCCCTGCCTCCCCACAAGCATTTCAGCGGTGCTTTCGCAGGGAAAGCTGACGACGGGGTGCGGGCTGCTTCTTTTCAGAGAAAATCGGCCCGTCTGCAGACTTCCTTCTCTCGTCCGAGTGTCTCCTGACCTGACAAGCTGCTGCTTCCCTGCCTTTGGAGGTCTGGCTCTGCTCTAACTTCCGAGCGGCCTTTAGCACCCACCAAAAGGAGACATCATGATCAGCAATTGTCAAGATCAGTGACCATGGGGTGCCAGGGTCCATGCTTTACATAAATACTGCAGGTCTGGGCTACTGGTTTTTTTTTGTTTTCATACCAGATCACTCCCTGCATGTCCTGACATCAAAAGCATCTTTACATGTTTTGTCTGATATCTGGCATGCTTGGATGAAAGGGAACACAATGTAGATAGGAGGCATGCGATGTATGCAACTTGTATACGTTGCCTTACCTCTTTGTGGAAGCGGTGTGTACAGTGAAGCTCATGTCCTCCCCCTCCATTCTGACACAAATCCTCATGGCAGATCAGGCACAGATTGTTTTCATCTTTCTATGAAACAACAGAAAATCGCTTTGTTTTTCTCTCCCTCCAGATGTCCACACAAGTAGTCTTAATATGTTTTAAGATATATTACTGTATATTGAAATACTCTATGTTGCAATGTGAACATATTTTGACATTTGTTAGCAGAATGCATTAAAAAAATAATTCTGAATATTCACTACAATCTCATTCCTTTTATCAATCCTGCTCATTCAACCCCTTGATTTATTTTAGTCTATCGCAGCTCTTCTTTAACAGTATATCATTGTTGACATTGTTTTATTTGAATTGCATGATGGAGCAGTGTCAACTTGAAAGGGTTAATTCTGTAACTGTCCAGTTGGGACCTCTAGTACCTGATATTCTTATTGTCCGTGTTGCCAGTTAACTTTAGCAGTTCTGCTGATAAAAGTGCCGTCATATGACAATAATATACTGTCTGCATAATTAATCAAATAGGATTAAACACCTTTTTTTGTTTTGTTTTTTTAACAAATCTATCCATATCGTCACATTTATAACCTGATGATCTTAGAATAGTTACAGTAGAGCGATTGACTTTAGGTTTTTGGTTATGTCATGCAGATCACACCTGTTTGTCATCCAGCCTGCATGTTAAGGTAAGGCACCTTCTAATACTCTGTGAAAGCTTCTTAATCTTTAAGAGCTTTGTAATGCCTTTTTGAAGAAAAGCACAAGGCCCCAAAACTGACTTATCTAACAGATAATCTATCGTCAGATACTTGTTGTTAAAAACAAAACAGAATATATTTATCTATATTTATATATTTATAATTCTGCTGCTCACCAGAGACGTATTCCTCTTGTCGTTTAGGTAAAATCGCCTCTCAAACGACTCTGTGATCTCCGGGATTGTGGAAATGCGGCTGTCTGGAATGGCCGTCTTGGAACCCTTGTCATCTGAGGAGAGGCGGCGAAGTCTTGGATGGGGCCTTACCTCCCCCTTCTCCTCCCTTGTTTTGGGAGTGGGCGCCATAGTTGCGACATGGAGCCGGTTTAACTGCATGGCGTCTAACTGTGACTGTGAATCACACACAAAAAAAAAGCAGAGCATGTGTCATCAAGGCGCCCATATTGACAGAAAAAGCCGTCCCATCTTTTTGTGCTTCACACTTTTGTCGATAGTGTTCATAGTATACGTGAGAAGATTAAAGAGGAGAAGCTTTTTCCCTGTGAAAAGGGTTAATCACTCCCTCACTAATGTCCTTAGATAACAGGTTAGCAAAGCTTTCACCTAATTATAGTCTGCCTCTTGACTCCGACCAAACGGTTAATTGGTTACCAATAATCTGTTCGTTATTCACTGCAAAACAGTTATGTGGCAGGTAATCCTACAGCGAACTGTCCGTCTCTATCTGCCTTCTCTGGTTGATGATGTGGTCATTCTCCTTCATTGAATTAATAGCTTTTTTCTTAGAAGTGGAATACAGTGTGTTGGTAGTAATCCAGAACATGATCAATTAAAACTTTGGAGTTTGAATAAGGCTGTCCTTTGAGTTTTCTTTGAATATTTGATAGTAAAGTCTGTCCAAATTAGTGTGTTTATGGACATGGAGCAATCTCATTTGTTCTTGTGATTTGTGATTGTTGCCATTAAAAAAAAAAAAAATCCAGTTAATTTGATGATAGTTTTGCAGAGGGCTGCACCACATGCCCGGCTATGGATTTATAATTGGGTCATGCTTCAGGCTCCTCTTCTAGATCAATTGCAGAAGTTGATGAATGTTTGCAGGAGCCCGTGACCTTTCACATTGTCAAACTTTTTTAAAAAAGTGAATCACAAGGGACAGGACACAGCACCTCTCGGGCTCAGACATGGAGAATGCTGTCTGGCTATGTGGCTGCATGAACACCCATCAGCAACGCTAAATAATGACTACAAATTTCGACTTTTAGCTTCTCTATCAAAAATAAGACCTCCAACAATTCAAATACTGCAACGTTCCATCCTAGATCAACCTTTGTAAGTTAAATGAATGTGGGGTAAAAAAACATTAAATAGTGTCCATTACTTGTGCATCAATTGGCCATTGAGACCACTTAAAATCTTCCTTAAAAGGAACAAGTGTGTAGCTGTGTCAGATGGCATTGACCAATGACCTGGGATACAAACAGAGCCAATGAGTCAATTCTCTGCTGCTAAAATTTGTTTGTCTTTCACTTGAATCATAACCAGTTCTTTCACTTGCAGATTTCCGATTCTTTTGTGCTGCACAGATATTGATGAATCTCTATTGTTGTCTGCGTTATTGGGTGGCACGTGTACAGCAGATCTTTGCGAGTGCGTGTTCAGAGCATTGTTGTTATCGATGTCCAACATTATTGACATGAAATTTTGTTCAGGAGAATCACATGTCAGGACTTCCTGTCACGAATAGCCTCGACAGATCAACAAAACTTGTTTATGCCAAGAATGGCGTAGTTTCTAAATCTCTACGTCATACAATCCGCCTTTTCAGCCTTTTCACATGGAAATGCATTAGAGAATTAAATAAATGTTGATGAACTGATTGCTGATTTGCAAAGATAGTGGCAATGCTTTTCTTCAATTCTCCTGTGATGGGTCAGTTTTATTCCTAAGTGAACATCAGTTCAAAAACATTTCCACAGCTGAGAGCAGACATGATGACAGAAAATGAATGAATTTAGAAGAAATTTGGGATTTTGTAAAAGCACGTTGCTGCGGTTTCATGTCTGCACAAGTAAAAAATTTAACACTGCACCAGCAAACAGTCCAATGCATTGGTCACTGAAATGAATATAGTCCTTACCACAGTTGGGAGCGATGCTCTCCGATCAATTTTTGCTTTCGAAGGCCTTCTGAAACTGCGTTTCCTTTCCCGGGAATGTCCAGTTTCGGCTCCATGACCCCAGTAACTACTCATCCATTTCGTGAAATTACCATCGTCATCTTCGTCATTGTCCATAGTGAAAGCGGGCAGAAGTCGGAGAGACATGGTGATGTGGTGCAGGCAGCCTCTTGATGTTGCACGTCCTAGCAGAACAGATTAAAATGTGATCCAAGCTCACTGGTGCAGAAGGTAAAGTCTCCACTCAGCTGACCTACTAAGTCTCTAACTGACTAGCTGCTCTACTGCATACAACCGTCCGACAAGGGAAAAGTAGCTCTCTTTAGTTAGACACCTTCAGCACAGCTATTGTAGTCGAGTTATTCTCAGATTATCTAAAAATAGACGGCAGGGCTTTTCTCTCTAAATAAGAGAATCGTCTGTAATCTATTTATCGCCGACTGGGAGTAAAAGTGGAGGTGCCGGAGACGAACAAGGATGCAGGCAGGACTCATGGAGTCACTGCTTGTATTTTGGCAGTGAGTGAGTGATGTGACCACTGCTTTTAATCTTTCCATTACAGTCGCGGGCCTCAGGGTAGACAAGTGAAACTCCAATATCCCCATACTTTCCACTGGCAGACTGAATCAAACCTGTCAATAATTATGGAGTGCCAGCAAACTCTGCCTCTGTGGAGACCCTGGGGCTTATATATATTGTTATATACTTTGTAAAACTGAGTATAGAGATTCATCCCTGAAAAACAAGGCCAACAACGAGTGAGCACAATTACAGGGGAAACATAAGATTGACCTTTAGTCGTGAGTTTAGAATGGTGTATGAACTGTGGAGTAAATAATCAGCAAATTATTAATACTTTAGCGTCTGAAAAAATTAAACCAATTTCAGGAAGGAGGATGTCTGACATAACGCTGGACAAAAAAAAAACAGGTTCTTCCATCGTTTCACAAATAAAAGGATCAGTTTGCTACTTACAATCTTAAAGCCCTGAGTCTTAAGGAGGTGCACTAATCTGGGCGGCCATTCTTCTGAGACATTCATGCAGCAGGTCACGTAACCCCCCGTGAGCCTCAAGATTACAGTAATCTGTGGTTATGTCAAAGATGGGAGTGCATTTAAGGCTTACCTGATGGCACAGGAATCTTCTGTGAGATTCACAATATAGAATATGTGTCCAGCCCCATAATCATTTGGTTTTATACCACATACACCTAAATAATAATCCTGCATTCAGATTATAGTACTTTTTTGTTTGTTGGTTTTAAATTGAGCAACCAATGTGCATTCATAAAGGATGAATGTTATAATTATTGAAAAACAAAATGTGTAAAAATGCTCTCTGGAAAAGGAACCAGCCAACGATCATCGTACCTAGACAGGTCTATATAACCACCAAAAACTAATTGCACAAACAAAAGACACTTATGTCAATTTAACAACAGTAATTGGGTTTCTTTAAGTGCACGGCCTGCAAGAATTTACACTTTCTTATTGCCTGTGCTCTTCATCAAAACATATCCCTGCTATGCAAAAATGTGGACATGTTCCAGTAGGCTGTCTGATCACATCTATTGACAGTGACTACAAATAATTGAGGCAGGGCTAACAATAGGCAGAGATAAAGGAGACCAAAAAGAGGAGGTCATTTTTTTTTACCCAAATGAAAAACATTATAACAGATTATTCCTGACCTCGTGATTATTTTGCACGTTTGTAGTTAACATGATTTATTTATGAATAAAAACTTTTTCTGTTTCTTAAGTTTGAACCAATAATGAGATCACATTCAAGTCAACATCCTCCAACTTTAGTGTATTTGAAGTCTTCGGCCCTATTACCTGAGTATTGCTAATATAATGTGCTGTGGTTAGTAGATAGAATTACATTAGCTATTTTTTCTCTCCAAACTGGTATAATTTCTTTAAGGAAGCCCGTTTGAAGCCATTCTCTCTGGAGGTTTGAATATATTCAGTTTTACACTCAATGATCTTAAATAAAAAGGCTTTAAGAATAGATGAGAAATCTGAGTTATCCCATCATAAATTAATGTCACTGCAATGCTTCCCATTGCTTGAGCTTCTGTCTTTCCAGCCAAATACAGCTGACATTGAAAACTTTTCAGTGCTGGTCACTGTTTGAGGACACATGGCCTTGGGCGCAAATTAAGTAGTCAGGCTTCTGCATTGTCCAGATAGTCCTACACTAAGCTCCAAAATGGGAGACAGAGGAGGCTGAGAAAGATAAAGACATATTTGAACAAGTTGTGGTACACCCACACTCATCTAGAATAAAGCACGTAAATAAATGAAATAAGAAAGGAACTAAACTATGATTTTACAAAGAAACCAAATTACCCTGAGGCTCTGAGTTCCAATGAAAACAGTACGCTTCCAGCTTTATTCAATTTAAAAAAATGTATTCTTTTAAATAAATAAATATTGACTAAAAAGGACTTTGGATGTTGTACCTGGTTATTTTTGAGTGCTTGAATGTAAAAGGCAGGGGCATTGCCCTCTGGTGGCTGCAGTCCCAATCCATACATAAAAACTTAAATTTGGTAGACTGGTTCAACATATACATTCATGTATATACATGTATTAAGTTATTTTTGCCAGCACGTTGACCAGATTACGCTCTTCATGTGGGCTTGCATTTTCCAACAGACTACATCTCTAATCACCCGGTGTGCTTCATCGATTTTAACCCTCAAATGAGGGCCCCTTTGGCATTCAGGTAACATTCTTATTGGTTGCATGTCATATGATATAGTGTAATGATTCATATTTCATTCGCATTAAGTAAATACCTGAAAAACTGTGACAATTTGATAAGTCTTAGTCCACTTGGTCCGTGGCACAACTATGAATACTAGGTCTAAAAGTAGACTGTAAAAATGTTTTTCAGCATAGGACTTCTGCATTTCTTTTATTCTGTGACAATGACTTGAAATTGGCTGCAAAAATGCTCACCACTACTAGACATAGCACCATGGATTCACCAGTAGCATCTGTATCTTTTGTTCTATGGCGTAAGAGGCGGTATAGCTTTCATTTAAAACGAATATTCCTTCAAGATAATGTTAATTTTCACTCTCCATGGAGATTGCGAAACTTGATAGCACAATACATAAGCGTAACTGCCAAGAATCATCTCTGGAGGGCAGCACCACGCTCTACAGTCCACAACCTGCTGCAAATTCTGTAGTAGAAGAAGAAGCATCGCGCTTGCTCACGCGTTCAGGTGGTTCTACTGGCTGGCTAACCATTGCTAGGTTCTGTTGTACATCATGGCTGCTTCAAAGCCAGTCGAACCCCAGTCTGGGACTGGTTTACCCCGCTGGCAGCTGGCACTGTTAGTCGGGACCCCAATAGTGCTCGGAGTAGGGGCGGTTTACCTGTGGAATCGGAGCAGGACGAAGGAACGGAAAGGAACGGGGGAGCGGAAAACGCCAGAAGGCAGCGCCAGTCCCGTGCAGGGCCAAGAAGGCGCAGCTCGAGCCAGTCGGGAGCAGGAGAACATGGTACGGCTCTCTGCAAATTGGTACTCCTCGTGTTTCTGTTAGTTTTTGCAGCTGTCCTCGGACGAGCGTGGTTTGGGTTGGTGCTCAACGTTTAGCTCTTTGCCAACACGTGTCATTGCCATATAAGTAGGTTCAAGGACACCTAACGCCACTGACGCCTAAGTGACGGCTACCTTCACGAGCAGAAGGCCGACAGTCACCGGTTCGTCGGTGTGGATTAGCCAATGCTAGCTAGCGGTCTTATCGTGCTGACTTTATCGTGGTAGCTATGTTAACTTACGTAGTACCTGTTTTCTGAACCCCACAGACGTTTAAAGCAGGCTTATGAAAATATAACCTGAAGCAAATGTCATATTGAACGCATTTTCGGAGCACGCTAGCTGGTTAACGCTGGTTTCAATTAAGTTGAAGGTGGGCGGGGATGACTGTCATTAGAATCTGTCTGATCTCGATAAATGGTGCATTTATTTGGGAGTGCATTATCTACAGAACACTATTTTCATCGTTCCTTACACAGTCGTTGACGTTATGGGTTGTGTCTCACTTTTAGTTAACCAATATTCGGCGATCAGTTATCAGGATAACTATGTAACTATGTTTTTTTTAAAGTAGTCTTTTCTGTCCAACTGTCTGAAAGTGTGTGCAGTTCTGCTTGTAAATGATTGTGTGGCTTCTTATTAATGTTACAACATTGTTTTGTTATTTTTAATTAAATGAAATGATTGAACTTTTGATATTTGCTTAACACTGACTCTTGGATTGATTGATAACTTTTATTGCTCACTTTTTGTTGCATCACATACAATAGTTTCTGTAGTGTGCAGTGTTGCCACATCACAATATTGCTGAAATGAATTCTCATATCAACAGCTACTATTGATACAAGAATTCGGCAGCGCTAAAGACTTCACAACAACTCAACCTTTGGGGTTTAGTTCTTGATCCACTAGAGCCACAGTTGGTATGATTAAATCAATAATTCTTTCCTTCTTTCTCTGTTTCATCTAGAGCCCTTTGGATCGGGCCCAGGCAGCAAAGAACAAGGGCAACAAGTACTTCAAGGCTGGCAAATACGAGAACGCCATCCAGTGCTACACAGAGGCCATCGGTCTCTGCCCCACAGAGCAGAAGGGAGATTTGTCAACGTTTTACCAGAACAGAGCGGCAGCTTACGAACAGCAGGTCAGCATCGTCTTGTAAAGATTCAGTGAGCTCCAAAAGTGTCATGCTTTAAAAGAAAAGCTTCCAACTCACTTGTTAATGTGTTGTGTGTTGTCATCAACTGACTTTGTCTTGATGTAAAAGGAGAATGACCCCTTAGATTGGACTCATGGTACCTGCAGTGGCTTTTGTGTGTGTTCATAATGCTCATTCTCTGCAGAAAGCTGGTCGTTGCTGCTGTTTTGTCATCACGTCACGGACCGAGTGTTTATCATTAACATTTGTCTCCCTCACGTCTGAGTTGAGTTGCGCCTTGGAAAAGCGACAGTGAAGGTTTACCAGGCTGAACGTTGTCATTTCAGAGTAAGTGGACAGAAGTGGTGCAGGACTGCTCTCAGGCCGTGGAACTAAATCCACGTTATATCAAGGCTCTGTTCAGAAGGGCCAAGGCTCTGGAAAAGCTGGACAATAAGAAGGAGTGCCTCGAAGGTAAGGGAACTATTGTCATCTAAAATTGTCTGTTTAAAAAAAAAAAAAAAAAAAAAAGATAAAATATTTTACTGCAAAAATCTGTGTGCTGACTTTTGTTTTCGTTGTACACTCCAGATGTCACAGCGGTGTGTATTCTTGAGGCCTTCCAGAACCAACAGAGTATGCTGCTTGCAGACAAGGTGCTTAAACAGCTTGGAAAAGAGAAGGCCAAAGAAAAATACAAGGTACTCTTAAGCCCTTTTACTTGATTTCTTTTCTTTTTTCACCCTTAACCCTAAATGTGTGCCTAAATGAGTATATTCCTCCATCCTAAATCCTTCCAGAATCGGGAGCCAATGATGCCTTCGCCTCAGTTCATCAAGTCGTACTTTAGTTCATTTACTGATGACATCATCTCCCAGCCCCAGCAAAAGGGTGAGAAAAAAGATGAAGACAAGGACAAGGAGGGCGAAGCAGCCGAGGTCTCTGAGAGGTCAGAAGATTCTCTAACTGACGTCATTTGTGAAACCTGAGTTAACCCAAAAAAAAAAAGGGTTGATATCCTGGTCTTGGAGGCCAAGATGTTCACAGTGTTCCATTATTCTGCAGTTCTGGCTACCTGAAGGCAAAACAGTACATGGACGAAGAGAATTATGACAAAATCATCAGTGAGTGCACAAAGGAGATCGAGTCGGGAGGCCGATACACAGCAGAAGCCCTGCTGCTGCGAGCCACGTTCTACCTGCTGATCGGTAACGCAACGGCCGCACAACCCGACCTGGACCGGGTCATCAACATGCAGGATGCCAACGTGAAGGTAGCTTTACCAGTCGGAGGAATTTAACAGGCCCGAGGGGTTTATTAGGAGAAAACACACCTTCCCAGAGTCTGCGCAGCCAGCAGTTTCCATTTGTTTAGTAGATTTTTCACCTAATCACGACATGACGGCGCATATCTGTTTTTAGATTCATGTGATGATGAGTCTGACTCTCTCTCTCTCTCTCTCTTTCCATGCCGTCACAGCTACGAGCGAATGCCTTGATCAAGCGCGGGAGCATGTACATGCAGCAACAGCAGCCTATGCTCTCCACGCAAGATTTCAACATGGCAGCCGAGATCGACACGCGCAACCCTGACGTCTATCACCACAGGGGTCAGGTACTCATTCAGCCTCTGTTCGCTCTGTTAGCGGTCGTCCCCCGACCACCACGTTCTTGAGATAGCCCTAATGTCATGCGAAAGAGGGTGATTTCATACTGGACATTTGTCAACAAGACCTATGATTTTTTTTTTCCCCAGCTGAAGATCCTTCTGGATCAGGTGGACGAGGCAGTGGGAGACTTCGACGAGTGCATCCTGCTCAGACCGGACTCTGCCCTAGCACAGGCACAGAAGTGCTTTGCCCTTGTAGGTAGTCTCCAATAGACTGATTAAAAAACCAAAAACAGAAATTTTGCCTGACTGTACCCTGTTTTATGATCTTTTTGTCCCCTGCTATATGTCCTTCAGTACAGGCAGGCCTATACTGGAAACAACCCGTCCCAGGTGCAGACCGCCATGGACGGGTTTGAGGACGTCATCCGAAGGTTCCCAAAATGCGCCGAAGGATACGCCCTTTATGCTCAGGTACAGGAGCATTTCCCTCATTTCTCTCCTCGAGGGCACGAGCAAAGCAAAAGTGAAAGTGAAATTGTCACTGCAGACCGTTCAGTGCCAATGACTTTAGTCGGTTTCTCTTTTGTGTCACAATGACGTGTCCGACAACCTTTTAAGTGCGTTTTCTTTTCAGGCTTTGACCGACCAGCAGCAGTTTGGCAAAGCTGATGAGATGTATGACAAGTGTATTGAACTGGAACCAGATAATGCCACAACATATGTTCATAAGGGGTCAGTATGTTTTCCGTTGTGTGTTTTTTGTTTTTTTTGTCAGCACATCGGTTGTATTTTCTGATCATTGATACTTTAGCGGATTCATTTTTCTTTGTGTGTGTGTGTAATTGTTCAATTTGTGTTCAGTTTGCTGCAGCTTCAGTGGAAACAGGACCTGGATCTGGGCCTTGATCTGATCAGTAAGGCCATTGAAATTGACAACAAATGCGACTTTGCCTATGAAACCATGGGAACCATCGAAGTTCAAAGGTAAGATAGGCAGTTTAATCACAGGCCGAGCTTCTTCTTTTAGTTTTTGAAGTGCTCTTTGTAACCAAAGCTTTTTCTTTAACAGGGGCAACCTGGACAAGGCAATAGACATGTTCAACAAAGCAATCAACCTAGCCAAATCAGAGATGGAGATGGCCCATTTATACTCATTATGCGATGCAGCATACGCCCAGACAGAGGTGGCGAGGAAGTATGGGCTGAAGCCTCCCACCCTGTAACTGGTTGTCAGCCTGTCTCCTTCGGTAAATCTAACTGTGTTTAAAGTGCGACTGTCTAACTTAACTTTGATTTGTGAAAAGAAAAAATATCCTGGATATTTATGGGGGGGGGGAAAGCAAGGACCATGAATATGTTCCACGTTGACCTCATATTTAAAGGGTTTATTGTTATGGAAAAGAGGGATTTTCATCAGAATCACAGTGAGGCTGCAGTCCTGGTCTTTGCTAGACTCAGTGGTTTATCCTGATGTGGGTAGGCCTTGGCCAGCACGGCACAGTCCTCTTCTGACTGACTCCAACCACCTATCAGATCTTTTTATTACTTACTAGAAAATCATACATGGATTACTGTGCATACCTGTTGAAATTGTTACCAACTATGTGGAATGGAAGCATACAGAAATGCACACAATCTGTTGAACCAATTTTTGACATTGACGCTTGTGTGACACCTCTATCAAGGCAAAATACTGTGAGAGCTTGACAAAGCTCTAACGGACTGTTCACTTAATTCATGTTGATCTAAAGTGTTTTTTGTTTTTTTCATTTGATTGTTTTTTCTCTCTCGTCCCCATGCTGCTTCCATGTTGTAGCATATGTTTTCAGTTATGAATGCAAGTTGAGAATCATAGTCAAATGTTAAATGTCTGTATTTGCGATGCTGGAAATGATCCCATAGGCACAGGCCCACAGAGAGGTCTGTTCACATCCTTTTATAAATGTTGTTTTTGCCAGATTTCTTTTTTTTTGTTTTGTTGTTGTTCTTGGATTTTTTTTCTTTTTTTTATATTCAGCATGTTCACTTTATAAATGTAAATGAATGCTCGTGCTGTCTTTAACACTAGCAAATTCTAAACTGTGAGACATTGAGCAGATCTCGTTTGAGTAAAAAAAAAAAAAAAAAAAGCCAACCGTTTTTTGTGAAACTGCCTATAGTTTCAGGCGAAAACACCAGGGAATGGCGAAGTCTTTTTTTTCATAAGTTGCTTAGCTCACTTCAGATTAGAAATGAGATTTGTTTTCTATATAATGGTGAATGTTTATTTTTCATTGACATCATTGGTTTGATCTTTTGACAGAGTTTTTAAGACTGGTGTAATCCTCCCACCCCCCTTCATTCAGAAAAAAGGTACTCTCACAATCGGCCAACATGCAACCCCAAATTGTCTCTTGGTATGATGCATGATTTGGTTTTCCAGCAGCATGTTATCATGGCTTAAATAATTAGCCATTCCAGCTGAATTTTGTTACACCCAGAGAGAGTTTTTTTTTATTGTTTTACTCAAAAGACAACAAAAAATTTGAACTCCTCTTGTCTTTGACATGCATTTGCAGTGTTATTGACAGATACTCACAAAGTTTTGGATTCCATCTAGGAGCCAAATCATTCTGTGACTGTTGAGAACAACAGAACAGTAAGTCTTTTTTAAAAAGGCAAAACTGGGTTTAACTCTCAAACAAATGTACCCGATAGTCTGGCTGTTTGATAGAAACTTGCATCAACAATGTGTATGTTGACCAAAGTGGAAGAGAATCTAAATCCCAATAAAGTTCGAATTCTTGGAATGAATTTAATCTCTGAAAGTTTTCTTTATTACATTTTTTTTTTTACTGTTAATGCTTTAACGTCTGTTTTCCCTTTGTTTGGAACTCTTTAATGGAAAAAAGTTAACCCGTTAAAGTACGTAGTTATTGCATTTTAAAATTATTCTTGTAGACAGATAAGTTTGCATTTCAGACTTTTTGGAATAGCTTTATTTTCATTGAAACAGAATATTCCACATGTATTCCACAACATCAGAAATTATTGTTAGTTTGTATAATTTCTTTTACCAGATTTCTCTTTGGCCTGGGACAAAATCAGTAGTTTGTAAAAAGAAATATATTAGATATGCTATATATTATAAGACCCATTATAGTCTGGTAATGGTCATTAATGCTGTGTCCTCAAATCACGCCTTTTGAAAGTCTGTAAAACCACATGCCATTTGCTGACCCAACAGGTTTTAAATGCTCTCTGTAAGGAATGCATGACGTGCATAATTGATTTGAATTCAAATGAATCCACCCCTTGGTGTTTAAAAATGTATATTTGTTTCTAACAGTGATTGTTTTAACATTAAAACACACCTCAGTCGGCACAAGCTACTCAATGGATTCCTTATTTATTGACTCGTTTTATTCAGTTGTAATCCCAGTTGCTCATTAGTGACAGCGATGTACGACATATCGGTCTAGTTGACGGCACGTGACGTGTCTCTGTCAACACAACAATGGCGGATGCCGTGGAGGAAGTTCTTCAGGGCAGCTGGTAAGACTATTTCTTGTCCGACTAACGGATATAGAGGCGTTATTTCGACTGTCAAGATATCATGTTGACTTAGTTTTCTTGTATCTGGTGCGAAATAGCTAAAGTTAATTTTCAGTGTTTGGTCTGCGCTGCGGAACGTGAATGTTGAAATCTATTTGGGAACGGTAGCTAGCCAGCTAATAATAATTAGCTAAGTTGCTTTTCAAAGATTAACTACCTGTGAACTAAGATGGATACCGTAACTTGTCGGGATATACGACCGCTACACTAAATAAAAAACGTGCATCACTCTCTTTAATCCATCCAATTTAAACAGCGCTGGTTCAGCACAATGCTAACAGCTAGCTTCAATTTCCTTACATTCAATCTCGGTATTGAACCTAAATCACTCCTTTGTTGTCATGTTATACGTCACACTCAATATCCATTCAGAGTATATAATCTTAGGGAGTACGGTGATACCATAAGGTCTCACGTCTGTCAGGACTTCATACTAACTTTTCCATTGATTATTTGTTATTATTGCCATTGTCATTGTTTATTTGTGTACTTTAGAGGTGAACTCTATTTTCAACTACCGATTCGTAAAGGAATATTGTATTTTATTCTTCAGTTAATGAATCTACTTCTCCTTTTTTTTGGTTGAGAGTATAAGCATTGGTCTAGGTTTAGTTTAAAATCAATGTATAAAATAATTTATATAATTTACTGAATCTGTTGACATCTTGCTTTTCGTTTAACTAGGAACTTTTTTTCTCTTTTTTTGAGGGACAAGTCTTACTCTTCTAGCTGTGTGGTGACCATTTCATTTCCTCAGGGACCAGGATCTCGCTGATGCTCTGGACTCCGGTGGCTCGGACATGGAGATGGAAAGAGGCATCATTCAAGTCCAGGAGCAGTCAACTCAGCACAGAGCCAAGATGTGGAAGGTGTGGAGCAAGCTTTGAAACGTGTCCAGGAAAGGTTTTTACGGTTAAAGTGGAGTCCAGATATACAGGGTATTATTAGGGGGATGTGATATGATAGTGAACTAAAAGAATACATTTTCTCTGATAAATTGTGTACATTCGAGCAACTGTGGATCCATTAAAAAAACTAAAAACGAATTGGATGAAAACAATCAATTTTGACCTAAAAAGGCTCAGAGAATTAATATCCTCTTCATCTTAAAATCTTTTTTTTTTTTTTTTGCATTAACGGCAAATTCTTTCTGGCAGATTTACAGCTAACTAAATGTAGAAATGAGCTTATTTCATTCTTTCTAACTTTTTTTCATTGTTGATTTATTTTTACCAGCTGTAGTTGGAAGGGCTAATTTACTGTCAATAATTAAATGCTTTGCCCTTTGCCACTAGAATGTATTTGAAATGGAACATGAAGCTACCATATAGCTAGAAAACATGACCTAAGCGTTCCTGTTTGTAGTGCTTTAACTGCACGATTGTTGGGGTCAGGCGTGTTTGACCTGTAGAGGAATGAATTTGATTTGAAAATCAAATTCAGAGACCATTTTCCTATTATTTTCATTTGTGCAAATTTTGAGATCGCCTTGCTTTTTGTTCTAGTATTAGGTCATTTGGAGGTGCTCATAGCCTGCTCCAAAGGTATTAAAGTCAATTTATAAGATTAACTTGCTTTCTATCTTAAGCTCCTTCTGAGGCTGTTTAAGCACGAATACCTGTGAGAGGTTGGGTTTTGTTAGTTGTCAGAGCCGCACTGACACTCCACAGTGCACCATCACAAATACGCTCTTCATCTTCTCTTACATAACCTATTTGTGTCATAACAAAGCCTATTGATGTATTTGTCAAACCTATTAATATGACATAAAAAATCATATTGTTGAGGTCTCTGAATATGATTTGCTTAAACTTGACTCTACTCGTCACCATTGTGTGCTTGTTGCTCACTGAAGCTGGCTGGGGCACTGTTAAGGCATTTTTATTTGCACACGGAGCAGAGAAATAACCTCTGATCATAAATGCTTACTTTGGGAACTGAACTCATATTCAGATGCACTGTTTGACCATGTTTGTCTTTATTGCTATGGAAGCCAAAAGTCATCATATTGGAAGAACTGGCTCTTTATGTTCAAGTGGCACACCTCTTATTCTTTCTTAAACCACTTTTGTCCCCCTTATATATGTTAAGGATGCAAACTTTACATCACTTATGCATCTGAACAGACAAAAATGGCAGCTGAATTTCCCCAGGGTCCAGTTCTGGGGCCTTGTTTTAACAACTTTTCTGCGCTCCAGATGATCCTCTAAAATGTGCTGTTTTGAAAAGCCTATTCAAGCATTTATCCTCATAATACTTGATTACTCTAAAAGTTTTTATGTTTTAGTGGCCTTCCTAAAAGATGGATCTGGCTGCTGAAGCTGATACAGAAGGCTGCTCAGAGTTTCTTTGCACCCCCTGAAACAATTCCACAGAAAACTACAGCTCTAAGGCAGCTCTTGTTTCTTTTAAAACTCAAAATCTCTATTTGCCTCTGCATTTTTTTTTTTGTTTAATTGAAGCTGTGAGATAAACTGTTCAGGGAAAGTGTTTTGGTTGAAGTTGGAGAAAGCCTATACCTCACGGATGTTGTTTAAGCACATTAAACCTTTATTCAGACATTTTGCATAAATTTGAACGGTTCTTGATCAGTTTTGGTTTTGTAGATGTCTGTGAGATTTGGTCTTCACCATAAGTTAATATCATAAGAAGATTTTTAAGTGAACGCATGTTGCAGAATTGGCTGTTTTTTTGGGTGTCCTGTTGTCACTTAGGAGCTCCACGTTTCTTTTCTGTCTTTTCAGATCGCTCTAAATGTCTCCGGGAAAGGAGACAGCCTGTCTCCCTGGGATGGTGTCCTTGATTTGCCAGAACAGACACTGATTCACAACCGCAGTCAACAGCTGATCAGTGAGTACTCAAGTCTGCTTTTTGATGCAATTCTGTGTTTTGGACTTTGAATAATTTTAGCATACAGTCATTAAAATATGGTTTACCATCTGTTATAACAGATGTTATGGTGAAAACCATACTTGTGATATAAAAATGTACATCAACGTCATTAAAAGGATTTTTTATAGGAGGCAAATTTATCTTGGTGCTGTAGTAATTTTTCAAATGTTTTTTCAGAACTGCTAACCGGCACAAATTTTTTTCTTAAGTGGGTTTAAAGCAACATTTGGGGGATTTTTAGTTTCTGTCCCAAGAGTTCAGAGGAAGATGTTTCTTTGATTAGTGCCCTATCCTTACCCTAACCAGATCTGCTGAGACTCAAAATAGAAAATATCATAAACGGACTACAAACAATATACCCACATTCTGTTTCAGGGAAAAATATCAAGTTATCATTTCTCTGTAATAAAAATATATAATTCACAAATAAGAATCACGGAAAAGGATTCAAAGTGCGCATTAACACCTTTTTTTTTAACACCTCCTTACATTGTTTCTTATCTTCAGGCCAGCTGGGAGCTTCAGATGAAGACAGAAGTGAAACAGTGTCTGACGTAGAGTCAGTCATCACTTTCTACTGCAAGTCTCGTAACATCACTTTCACTCCGGAGCTCAGCTGGCCGCACCTGCTCAAACCTCTCCTGGGCCTTCAGCTGCCCCGCAGCGACCTTTACAACTGCTTCTACGCTATCATGAACAAATACATCCCCAGGTAAACCGTCCAGACACCGCTGTCCGTCGCATTGCCACTCACGTGAAGAGCTTGAAGTTGACTATGTGCAACGTGTGTCTTTTTTTCAGAGACTGCGTGCAGAAGGGTCGACCTTTCCACCTGTACAGACTTCTACTGCAGTATCATGAGCCGGAGCTCTGCTCCTTTTTGGACACCAAAAAGATCACACCCGACTCCTACGCCATTAACTGGGTACGTGTGTACTTCTTTTTGAAGCCTGCTCATCTGCTGTTACCCTGAATGAATTTGTGGCTACGTCTGAACTGTGTCTGTTCCTTCTTTTTTTAAACTTTTTCCTTAGCTCGGGAGTCTCTTTTCCAGCCACTGCCCTCCTGACGTTACCCAGGCCCTGTGGGACTCTTACCTCCAGCAGTCTGATCCTTTTCTCATCTTCTTCCTCATGCTTATCATCCTCGTCAATGCCAAGTATGTAATTGTTAACGGAAGGCGTTCATTACACCAAGTTGCTTTAAAAAAATGTTTAATTTGCCTGATCTGATCTGAAATTTGACTCCACCCTCAGAGAGGCCATCCTTGCACAAGAAGGAAACAGCAAAGAAGACATAGTCAGTAAGTTTGTTTGTTTTTTTCCGACATCTTGTTATAGAGACATGTTCGGTATCTTATCCGAACTATCTTTAAGAAAGTATTTCTTTGTCGCAGAAATGCTGGAGGAATCCCCCTCTCTCCTGGAATTGGAGGACATTGAAGATCTGTTTTCGCTGGCTCAGTATTACCAGAGCAAAACCCCCCTGTCGCTCCGAAAGGTAAAGCTTTATGCAAAGAGCCACTCTCTGCCCAAACAAAACTCCTAAACAAAAATGGTCTAGATTGGAAGTTAAACAAATGCTTTCCTCCTTCATTCTTGTAGATGAACCAGAATCTGTTTGGGAGCAGCCTGGTGGCTCTGAAAGAGGAGGAAACTGACCTGAGTCAGGCTCTGTGCCTCCCAGTGTCCGTCCCTGAAATCCTGCAGGCCAACCAGCTGCAACAGGTCAGTGGAAAATCTATAGCCTTTGCCAAACAGGCGTTGTGGTGAATGCAAAGCAGTAAAGATGGCCGTTGGTGTTTAGGACGGGGTCCGTTTCTTTGTGGTGGACTGTCGGCCTGCAGAGCAGTACAATGCTGGACACCTGTCCACAGCCTTCCACCTGGACTCCGACCTGGTGAGAGTTTCTGGCAATGTTATGGGTAAAAATATGTATGAACCATTTAAATGTAATAAGTATGCATTCCTTTCTTTTCCTTTTTTTTTTTCCACCACAGATGCTGCAAAACCCCTCTGAGTTTGCACTCTCTGTGAAGTCTCTCTTGGAGGCACAGAAGCAGTCTTTAGAGTCAGGCTCAATCGCCAGCGGAGAGCACCTGTGTTTCATGGGCAGCGGCAGAGAGGAGGAGGACATGTATATGAACATGGTGCTGGCACATTTTCTACAGGTGAGGAGCATGGGAAGCGGCTAGCTGCGTTTCATAACAATGTGAACAACACAGATTGGATTTTTTTTTAATGTGACCCAGGCCACTTTGATATGTGGTCCTAAATCCGATCCGTATCCAATCTCTTCAAATGTGATCTGAGTCCAAGTCGGTTTCGTCCAACCTGCGCGTCACTGATTCTCCTCAAACGCCACTTTTCTGCATCCTGCTACACAAAAGAAAAACATCAACAACGAGTTATTTAGTATTGGGCAGGATAGCTCTACCCAGGCCAAACTAGAGGGTGCTTATCAGAACCGGGCCTTTTTTGTTTAAATTTCCCAAGAAATGGCTGACTGTGGGTTTAAACATCCCCTGCTCCCATTGCTAAAGAAAAATAAAGATATATAAGGAGACTAACGAGTAAAAAAAAAAGGAAGTGGCCATGGATGTGTCACCCTTCCACTTCATAAATAGCTGGTCTGGAAACACTGAGCACGCTGGTATCATGTGGCATCAGAGGATCCTCTCCTGTGTTGGCTGGCAGTTCAGACCTGATATCACACATTCTAATTTCACCAACAAATCAAATTCGGGTCGCTTCAGGCTGCAGCATTAACACTGCCTAATCTTCAGATATTTCTTACCAGATTTGTATTTATTTTTGCAGGCATCTTTGCTAAATGGTTTTTCTCTTCCAGAAAAATAAAGAATACGTGAGCATCGCTAAAGGAGGATTCATGGGTACGTAGGTGAAAACACTCCACATAGCCCTAATTTAGCTTTTTACAAAGTTTTCAAAAGCAGCCCTTGTCCCGAAAATTAAACTAAATGAATGGGCAAAACAATAAAGATTGTTTGTTGACAAAATGGTTTTAATGAATAATAGAACGAAAATCGTATAATTGGTGAAACATGGTTCGACACAAAATCAGTAAGTTAAGACTAATGTGTAAATATCAGGTTCTTGGTCAAAGATGCACTGCTTTTGGAGCACTGAAAGTTCATTGAGTTTTCTTTCGTCTCAGCTCTCCAGAAGCACCTGGTGGACATGAACGTGGAGGGCCTCGACTCTTCATACGTCAACTGGATTGTCAGCACATCTGGATCCCACAGCAGCCTCAGCTCAGCTGATGCAAGTTATTTTTTTGTGCTCTCCATAAAAAAATTTCTTCCCACTCATCTGCTAATTTTTGTTGTTGTTGTATTTCTTCAACACAGGGAGAGTCTCTCAGCCCCGGAGACGGAAAAGGCGTCAAGTCCCTGGTCAACAAAATGACTTTTGCCCTCAAGTCCAAGTCGGTGAACGTAAAGGAGAAGATGATCAGCTTTATTGAGAATACTTCCACCCCCGTAGACAGGTGGGAACTCCCCTAGAATCATTTCGAAGGCGCTCTCATTACACTTTCATCACAGCACACGCTTGACTTTTTTTCAGTTTTAGCTGTAGAATATGGCAAAAATTTCACATGTGAGTGATCCCTGTCACTAAATATTAAATTATGAGATCATAAAACAACATTAGTATATCTGAAAAATCAATTGTAAATGTTTCCTGTTTGATTCTAAATGGAAAAAGGACAGTTGTTTAAAGATATTGGCACTTTTTTAAGGATCCAAATCATCTTTCTGATTGATTGGACCGATGCTGTAGCCTCTTATTCATACCAATATAACTTGATAGCAACTAGGCTATGGTTATAAAAAATAAATAAAAAACTCTGAATGTAAGTAACAGTGAGTTTTGAGGCTTTGTTGTAAATCAATTCAAATTAAAGTCCCTTGTGCCTTATTCCACACTAGAATGTCTTTCAATCTGCCCTGGCCAGAGAAGGTGATTCCAGATCGGTAAGAGCTCCCAAAAATCGAGCTGTCTGTCTCGCGCATGTCCCGCGGCTGTAGACCCCCCCCCCCCCCCTCGTCTAGTCACTGGGATTGTAACAGACTTTGCCACATTAACGCATGCTTAGCAGCAACAGTGAGGCTGCTCCGCTCACCCATGTAACCGCACCACTCGATCCCATTCAGTATGGGCAGTTTAGTCTCCTTTTTAAGATCTTTTTTCTCTTTTTTTCTTTTTATGCTGTCACTAACATTTGCAGTAGCTGCAGCCTCTGAGGAAGCATCCAGTCATCTCTACATTCACAACTCACTGAGCCTGTCTTCTCTTTCTTGTCTGAGTGATGAAGGCTTGTTGTTTCTCTCTGTCTTTAGGGCGATTGCCAGCCTCACCTCCGTTTGCTTTTTAGATGCACTGTCTTTGTCCATTTCATTGTTTTTTTTCTGTTTTCTCATATGGTTGCCAGGGCTATAGAAAACTATACATGTATGAATGCTATATGTGCCACTAATCCCCCTGAATATCATAACAGAGCTGATCTGTAGCTCCTGTTACCAACTAAGAGCATCTCTTTTAACCTCTATTATATTTAACCGGCTCATGGTCTTTTCTACAGGTCCTCATGCCATTGCTGTTTGTGTGTGTTTGATGATATCGTCATTGGTAGACATATACAGTGACTGCCTTTTATTTATTTGACGGTCTAACCCTGGCTCCATGCCCTCTGTGAGCAGACACGTCAGCAGCAGTGACCGCGTGGGCAAACCTTACCGCGGGGTCAAGCCCGTCTTCAGCATCGCCGACGAAGAGGAGTACGACACAGGTGAGGGATGATCGCATGCAGTGGCAGTCTGACATGTCTCTGTTAAAGCAAAAAAATGCACATTTTTAAAAAAGGCTAACGGTTTTCTGACATTGCCCACAGATGAGATAGACAGCTCATCCATGTCAGACGACGACAGGAAGGAGATCGTCAATATTCAGACCTGGATGAACAAACCGGATGTTAAACATTGCATTCCATGTAATGAGGTGAAAGAAACAGGTCACATGTTCCCCAGGTGAGTTTGACTAGTTAATTGTATTTGGGATTGTGCGGTTAAGACCTTTGCTTACAGATAGGGAAAGGAGGACGTAGCATTTTAAACACGATTCATCTCAACTCTTTTTCTGACCTGTCTCTGCTCCTGTTTCCAGTCACCTGTTGATCACAGCTACTCACATGTACTGCCTGCGAGAGATCGCCTCAAGGAAAGGCTTTGCCTACATCCAATCCAGACAAGCTCTGAATTCTGTGGTGAAGATCACATCCAAAAAGAAGCACCCAGAACTGATCACATTCAAGTTTGGGAGCAACAATTCAGCCGGAGTGGAGATTTCTGCCGTTGAGAGGTGCGGAAAATCTCATCTAAATGATATTTTTCGGGAAGATACAAAAGTTGTTGTCGCGTTTGAAGGCATCAAAGCAGTTAAATGTCTTAGCGTCCTCTCAGAGCTAACTGGCGTCCTTCCCGTCTCCACAGATATTTGATACCCAATGCAGGCGATGCCACAAAGGTCATCAAGCAGCAGATCATGAAAGTTCTAGATGCTCTGGAGAGCTCGTAAGCAGAGACAACGGGGTCAATCCGGACAGGTTATGATGAGCTCCCATGACACAAACTGTAAGAAGACTCTCCTTCTCGTGTCCTCCCTCCCGGACGGCTCCCAGAGCAGCGTTGACTGTTAGGACCCGTGTGTCTGTCCACAGGACATCCGGGCAGAGCGCCAACCGCAGACCTGTGGGGCAGGCTGCACGTGTCCAAATATATAGGTGCTCTGCAGTCACCTAACCATCACCGTTTCACTAATTTAAGAAATATCGGTTATAGTGTGTGTTCTTCCTTACTACTATTAAAACACAGGGTGTCATTACAGTGCAGTTCGGCTTTGATGAGTTCCCTCTGGCCTTAACGTAGCATACTGGCTGACCAGTGGCACTTTTGTCAAACTCTTACGCGACTAACTTTTTTCAATTTTATCTTGGACTCGATATCTCAATTCGGACTGACTTTCTTTTTTTCGTTTCTTCATTTCTCTTGACGTGCTGAGTAGGTATATAAGGTGCACCTCTCTTTGAAACAAATGGTTTTGCTGGAACATAAGGCAAGTTTCCCTTTGAAACAACAGTTTTGACCACTCTTGTTTTCCAGCAGACAGCCTTAAATAGGAATTATTTGAGGGTCTTTATGAATACTTAATGTATATATATCGTGTTAACTGCTGTGTTTATGCACAGACCTCCGCAATGTCATTTTGAAAGCATATCCTGAATGAATATGCCAAGAAACCAACACGGTTTGAAGGTAACCCTTGTTTCCACTGTAAGAAGTAAGCCTTTACCAGTGTTTACGGGGAATAATTTATTCTCAGCTTTTCCAAACGGTAATGAATTAACCTCATCTCATAGAGTTTGCCAGTAGCTTCCATGGAATATCATCCACAGGCCCTTCAGGGCTACACTGGAATCACTCCAGAAAGTTCAGTGATTGTAGTTGATAAAAGACTGAGGATCTCAGTAGTTTTCTTCTCCAAGGTTTTGTTGAAAACGTGCTTCTTTCATTATGTTCTTGACACTGAAAGTAACACTAGAAAAATTTCACTAAATTTTATTTTATTTTTTTTATTTTTTCTCTGTGGTCCCCGTGCAGCTGTAATATTTAAGACCACTGTCATCAAAACAAATCTGAGTGTTAGCCCATGTGCAGCCACACAAAGAAACCAGAGCGTTGTGAGCAGCAGTATCTGAACCCTCAGGCACTTTAAGGTGGTTTCAATCTGGAAGATTGTGTATGACGACAAAAAAAAAGTTAAAGGACTATAAAACAGCTCAGTTTTCAAGGTTGACAAAAGTCTCTAGTGTTGCTTTAAGAAAAAAAGGCTGGTGTCACGAGGACTGTGCTGCGCACTTAAAAGCACATTTTTGCAGTGGTTCAAAAGTAAAGTTATTGATTCTCCCATCAGTTCGTCTCGTCAGTTGTGTTAGTCGAAACTGAGCAGCTTCAGTTTGCTTGCCACTGTTGCCTTCGGCCTCATGCCTGTGATTTGTTTTTGGGCACCAGCAGTGGCAACATTACACCGCTGCTTCCCCTCTGATCTCAATCTGTGTTTTGGACCCTTCTTGATTTTGCCCTCCCTTATGCATTTGCTTTGAAGTCTTTTTATAAGACATAAAAACCTTCCACAGGACTGCCGCAGTTGAATTTTTTGGTCATTAATCTCTTCACTCTCCTAAATTTGAATGGGGGTGTCATCATCCTGCCAAAGAAAGAATACATATTTTAGGAATGAGAAAGAAAAAAAAAAAAAACTTGAATTAAAGCCTAGTCTTTTAGTCTCTCATAGCATTCCTGTGTAACCCATGAATTGTGCTGTCATTTGTATTTTTGTGATACTTTACAGTATTCTTTATGCTTGGAACGCCCTTGGCTTTGGCATCTTTATGTTCCTCTGTACCGTCACTGGCAAAGTATGTCTGCCACATGTCAAAAATGCGAGATGTCTGAAGTGTAATTTGCACCTTACTGTACTGCTATTATTTTCTAAGCGTTTCCGTTTTTAATAAATGGAGATTATTGGACTGCAGTGATCGGTTCGACATCATACTTAAACTCCCAAGAGGCACTATTTAATTGCTCATTGAGAACAGATGTGACCAGGTTGAAGCTGGTTGTGAACATTGTAATGAACTGTCATATTTATGATAAATCTATAAATATTTTAACAGTGTGGAAGGAAACAGTACTATATCACTGCCTCCCTCCTGGTTTTGATTGTCAAATGACATAAAACTTATCAGTTTGCAAGAATAAAAATGTAGCCCATCTTAAAGTTTGAAGGTAGTTTTTAAATATTAAAGTCAATGTGTTGATGATTGCTGGGACAGAACGAGTTTTTAATCCTGTGAACCCACACAGACAAAGGGGGACTCTGAACTCCACACAGGACCCTTTTTGCTGTGAGGCGACGTTGCTGACCACCTCATCACCGTGCTGCCCGCAGTCAGAGGCATCCCTCGGACTCTGAATAACTCTTAGCTTTCTGATAAAATCTCAATTTCCTCCCATGTTGAAAGCCTTGTCTTCTGTTGTCAGCAGTGGTCATTTCTCCAGATATCTCTGCTGCCAAGATTTATGTTTTTGTGCCAAAAAAGGAAACTGCAAAGAAGCTTCTTCTCTCTGGAATAAAGCCAATAACTAATACAAATATCTGCAGAAAGTAGAGCTAGACAGCAGACAGTTGGCAATAAATAACGTCATATTAACAATGCAGTGATTAAGGGAAGACTTCAAAATTCTCTCAGAGAGCTCTTTCTCCAATGATCAAGTGGCTATTTGCTGACCATCTGTATTTTACAGCATGAGAGAGCACTAAGGGATAAAGGAGAAGAGATAAAGTGGCATCGGATTTGCAGTTGCATTAACCTGTCAGTACCTAATGTTCATCATCCATTACAAAGCTATAATGTGCCCTGCTCTGTTTCCTGATCTATAATAGCTGATCTCAGTATTAAAATAACAGGAGTCGTCAGTACAAACATCCTTTTACGCAAAATTGGCGTGAATTTTAAAACTTTTCTGCACGGTCAATTATTTACTGTGAAGATTTCCATAGTTCAAGTGCTATGATGCTTTGTTAAATGACAGCGTCTGAAGCTATTTTATCTCAACATTATCCATAACCCGGAGGTGGTTAAATATTGACTATTCTATAAGGACATTTATAAACGTTCGTACTGAATTAGGAGATCCACTTTCAAGGATCACAGTAGAGTGTACTTTTCGTATTTATCTTAATATGTTGCCGAAATATTAACCAATAAAAACGGGTTCAAAGTTCTGTCACTTGCAACTGGATTGGCCGCTAAGGCACCACCCGCTTGCTTAAGTCCGCCTCTAAAATTCACATTAAAAGAAGGTATATTTTACACAAAGTCTTCCATGCGACTTAATATGACTTGAACGAATATGAAATCAGATTGTTTAACTATGCTATTTTGTTTTGCCGGAAAAACAATCATAATCGGGTATCCAAACGTTAAGGAGCGTTTTATGAAGGATTAAAATTAGCTATATTTTTATTTTGAAAAACACAATCTGCCACCCGGAAACAAACCACTGAAGTCCTGCTGGCTCGCGACTATTTTGAACAAATTCCTCCACACAAATGACCACCGCAGCTAAATTAATGTCTAGTAAGTTGTGCTACACTTCGTGTACGGTGTTTGAACTCTTGCATTCGGTGTTGTCTGTCGCGGTATTAGTCGAGTCGTGGCAAACAGGTGGTGACAAAGTTTTGTTTTTTCTCAGAGTTCCGTCTGGCTGTGGTCCAGCTTCAGGTGTCGAACCTGAAAACGGACAACCTGAGCCGAGCCCGGAGGCTGGTGAAGGAAGCCGCGGAGCAGGGCGGGAAGGTGGTGCTGCTCCCGGTGAGGAGGCTCGTGCTTCTGTTATGTTTTGACCTGGTCACGCGGCCATATTTGCCTATTTTTGAAAGCTCAATAGCAAACATAGCCTATTTTTTGTCGTTGTTCTTATATGGAAATCACTGTCAGCGCTCACAGAGTCATTTATTTGGCTTCTCGGCTGTCATTGACACAGGAATGCTTCAACTCCCCATATGGAACCAGCTTCTTCCCCACCTATGCTGAGAGCATCCCAGGAGAATCCACCCAGGTGCTGTCGGAGGCAGCGAGGGAGAATAAGGTGTATCTGGTGGGAGGTGGGTAGGCAGGGAAGCAACTGGGCTACAGTTACTGGTGTACCACAGATGGGATCAATGAATTTGTCCATAATCCAATTAGGGACAGAAGCTGATGTATTACTAAATGAATGCTGAATAAAACTGACCTAGTGGAGTTAAATATAAACAGGTCAGTCAAATGATTGAAGAAGAGAACAGAGTTCATCACTGTATAAGACAGAGTGGATAAACCTGCGTTTCTTAATCCAGCAAAAATATTGTCAGGAAATTGAAAGAATCATGAAAGGAAGGGAGCCATATACGGTTCACCCCAAATCAGACATTTTTCTTTGCAAATGAAGCGGTCGCACACAGAAGTTGAGATTGTTTGAGACACAATCTCAGTTTTTGAGTGTTTCTAAAGATGACTGAAGTAAAGTGTGGTGACCTAGAGATCCAGGATCATCGACACGGTTCAGTAAAGAAAACTGACTTTGTGGCACATTGTGGTGACTTAAAGGCACGTGTAAAAGTGAAATAAGTGAGATAAAAAGGGGGGATGTGGAGCCGGCAGATTAGTGCAAAGTCATACAGAAATAAAACGTATGTGAAATTTCTCCGGCTTTTGTGCTTCAACAGGATCCATCCCGGAAGAGGAAGGTGGGAAGTTGTACAACAGCTGTATGGTTTTTGGCCCTGACGGGGAGATGATTCTCAAACACAGAAAGGTGTGTGTGCTCATCTCTGGCATCTGTTCAGTGGCCATACGGAGCCTGGTCAGAAACCTTCTCATATATCTGCAATCCCTCTGCTTCCTCCAAAAAGATTCACCTGTTTGACATCAACGTCCCGGGGAAAATCTGTTTTCAGGAGTCGGAAACGCTGAGCCCCGGCAACAGTTTGTCCACTTTCGACACGCGTGAGGGACACTTCCGATCTGCTTTTTTGTCTCCCCAGAGTGGGAGAGAGCACAAAAAAAGTCTGATTCCCTTCTCTTTTGATTTGCCCGCAGCGTTCTGTAAGGTGGGTGTGGGGATCTGCTACGACATGAGGTTTGCAGAGCTCGCCCAGCTCTACAGCAGGAGAGGTGAGCAGAGGACAGGAGCGTTTCAGGCCGGTCAGCCATGCTGACGTGTCGGACGGCTGACCGGCCTGTGCTCTTGCCCTCAGGCTGTCAGCTGCTGGTTTACCCGGGCGCCTTTAACATGACGACCGGGCCCGCCCACTGGGAGCTGCTGCAGAGGGCCAGGTGGGACTCCAGATCATTCTCTTCCAAAATATATGAAAGACATCTATAATCTGAGACACAACCAAATATTCCGACAGTGGTAGATGAGTGGATTGAAATGTTTATAAGCAATTAAGCATTTTAAATGGATTATTAGTTTCCTGAGATTAGAATGAGTATTTTCCAGGTTTGGCAAAAATGTGCACAAATAAAAAGCAAAAGCAAAACAAATCTCAGTGAGAAATCTGCACTTAGACAGCCGTAAACATGGTGATGTCGTAATGTGAGGAGTTGAAAGACAAACAAAATCAGAAGCGCCACAGATCTCAGTGCTGCTGTCGGACCATTTTAAATTAAACGGTCTTGGACTTCATAGATAAAGATGAAGGGGTACTTTAATGTGTGAGGGACTTAGTTGTAGATAAAGAGTGAATTTCATTTAGCCGAAGAAGTTTTTAAGTGTTTTAAATCTTTAGAAATGATCTTAGAAGATGATACCCTCCTGTAAATACTGTAGCATAAGTGATGTAATCAGCTTTTTTTTTTTTTTTACACAGGGCAGTTGATAACCAAGTGTATGTGGCCACAGCATCACCCGCCAGAGATGAGACGGCCTCTTATGTTGCCTGGGGCCACAGCACTGTTGTTAACCCGTGGTAAGAAAACCAAACGTGACTGCTTACTCAACAGAAACTCACCCTTTTTCTATTTTTCTTTTTTCCTTTATAAATCTGTATCTCAGTCAGAACACATGATTCAAGCAAAACAAAACCTGCTTGCTCAGCAACCCAAGAAAATGTTCACTTTAATCTGCTTCTATCTTTTTTTTCTCGTCTGTGTGGCATTTAGTTTGAACTGTGAAAACTGCTGACTCAACAGACTGCAGTCTCCTTTGTGATCTCCCCTTTTGACGTCTCTTGCATTCACATCTTTGAAAAGAAAAGAGTTTAACTACTGGGTAGTACCACAATGTTATCTCATTTGTTTATGTCATGGAAGTAAATGACCACATTTGTGTTATGTCACAATAATTAATGAGAAATTATTGTAGATGTGGTATTTGTTAGGTTATACACTATGTTAAAAATAGGTGTTTTTGTGTTTTATAGATGCCTGCTGATAATATCTACAAATAATGTGTGGATACTGATATTAAAGACTTTAATTGTTTGTAACTATATATTATAGGGGAGAAGTCATATCCAAGGCGGGAGCAGAGGAAACTATCATTTATGCAGATATTGGTGAGAAGAGTTTATTTCTGTAAAGGCTGATTTGGAAGATCACAAATATGAAGTGATTTTTAACAGAAATGTTCACAAATATAAAACACTGTTTGAGAATGTCTGAGAACTGAGGAGACTACACCTTTGAGAGAGGGATAGCTGTCCAATCCTCACCTCACCGAGGTGAGGTGAGGTGAGGTTATGCATATTATATTTCAGTCCCATAACTTACATTTTGATTCCTGTGCATTTCCATTAATTACTGTTAATGCGCACGGAAAGTTTCCACTTCTGTAAGGTCCTGGCATCCTGAAATCCAATATGAATATGGAATTTTCTGTCTCAAATTTTCTAAAATTATCTTTATTCTAAAAAAAATGTTTTTTATTCCTCTCTGTTATCTGAAATCCCACTAATTTTAATCTTAATAACCTTTTTATTCTCAGATCTACTGCAGATAATTGCAACATTTTCTTTAAGCTGCTCCTCCGTCAGATCTCTCTCAAAAGTCCGACTGTCTCCCTAATTCCCACATTTTCCCACATTTTTAAAGACGTGTTGCTTATTGAGTCACTGGATTCTGATTTTGTTGCAGTCGAGTTGTACTTGATTGCTGTTGGTAAGAAGGAGCAGGATTACAGTGTAGGCGTGACTTTGTGTGGCTGAATATTATCGGTTTATCCAAAAAGGTGCAGCGCAGCAGAGAGAAACTCGTCAGTCTGCATCACATCAGACGCTTTCTGTTTTACTTTGACCACACTGCTGTCGCCGCTCTAACGTTTGCATGTCCTGACTCGGCACTAAATCCTTCTGTCCCCGTCACCTGCCTCCAGACCTGCAGTATCTGGCTGAGATCCGGCAGCAGATCCCCATCTCGTCCCAGCGCCGCCACGACCTCTACGCCGTGACGGCGCTGCCAGAGTGACCCGGCTGAGCCGGGGAGGGCCGCTGATTCTCACCCAGGTGATTTGAGAGATGATTTTTCTAATCCGGGACGATGCTACTGGGCGATTCACCATTTCTGCCAGGTGGAAGCGGTGAGAGGATATTTAGGGGAGTCTGGGTCCCACCACAGAGCTGATTTAGCACCAAACCCCACACCTGGTGGATCCATCCATTACCAGACTTAAAATCTAGCTGCAGCTTCTCTGTTGTTATTTTCTGTTGTCTTCCACTGATCAGTTCAAAAGTTAATTTGAGTGGAAAAAACTGAGCTGGATATTCCCTGGCCCCACTCATCCTTCTTTCATGAGATAGTGCTAATTCTGTGGTCCCATGCCAAATGTACAGGACACCTGAGAAACACAAGACCTATGAATGGTTAAGTTTAAAAAAGGGAAGACTTAAGAGCTTTAAGTGCCGTCGGCATGGATTCATTCATTGGCAACAACCAAACATGTTTGTCAGATGAGTAACAACCTCGCTGCTGTTAGCCAACACTCTGTTAAAGGGATTCATACACCTATCATTTTCAGCGCGGCACAAATCCAAAACGCGGAAAAGATGAGTTCCTTTGGTTTGTGACGAGCCGCTCAGAGGAATCTGATGGTACTATGATTTTTACTGTGAATATTAAGTGAGCTCCTACCTGATGTAACAAGCAATAAATGTTACTGTTTGAAAACAAAGGCTCTTTTGTAAAGCACACCCTATGAGCTGCCCTGTCTTGCCCAGAATTTTCATTTTTCATGTCTTGAAAATAGCTTTTATCAAACATTTCTGATTACAACCTGATATTAAGAAAAAATCAGTTAATCAAAATCAAGTAAGTTTATTTTCACCCATTTAGTGGCCAAGAATACAGTCTAAATCAGTGAACATTAGCACAGTACTGTTCCACTTTGGCATTTCTGACAACACATTTGCACATGAATGAGGTGGTCCCAGATTTGGGGTTAGGAATCTTTATTACATCTTTCCAGAGCTCCTCTTTCTGAGCAGAACAGCGTAGCTTCTAATCTATAAATGCATCCCGATAAATGTCTGGATATCTACAAGGTACCGTAACTTATAGTGGGGGAAATAAGTATTTGACCCCTTGCTGATTTTGCCGGTTTGCCCACTTACAAAGAATGCAACGATATACAACTTTAATCATATGTACATTCTAACAGTGAGATACAGAATCCCAAAGAAAATTCCAGAAAATCACATCATATGAATTTATAAAAAATTGATAACCATCTGATGAGGAAAAATAGGCATTCTTTGTGAGTGGGCAAACCTGCTAAATCAGCAACGGGTCAAATACTTATTTCCCCCACTGTATAAACCTGGCAGCAACACAAAAGTCAGCGGTAAAAAAAAAAGATATTTACATGTCAGTGCTCTATTATTCTTGGGGGGGGGGATTCATCACGTCTTTTTCACACGTCTGTCTCATTTGAGTCGGGATTCATGACTTCGGCCTCTCCCTTGTACCGATACCGTCTTCTGTATCCTGATGGTGACAAACATTATTTCAGACGCAGCAACAACTGTCAATCAAACATTGAATCTGGGAAGCAAATGAATTAAATTTAGACCTGTTTGAACGCATTTGCCGCCATCTTGTTGAGGTTCGTTACACTGGTTTGAGAACAGGTGCTTTTTCTTTTCTGAACTTGCCAATTGTAGACCGTAAAACACTGACAAGACCACATTTAACCTGATCAGATCTTAAGGATATTTATATTTTTCTCACTTATTACTGATGACAGCTGGATTATTACTAGTTCCTACTAGTCAGAGTGCAGTAAATCAAAGTCTTATACTCTTTCAAAGACTACAAATAATGGCTCCATTTGCTTTGAATTCATCTTTTGAATACTTTGAGCGAGATTGAAATGAGCTGAGGGGAGCAGAGTGTTTCATTCTCTCTTTCTGCTTACCCCTCTCTGTCTGTTTGAACTCGCGCTTCCTCCTTCGGTTTATCCGGTCCAGGTGGATCTGATACGCCACTCCCGCAATCACCATCAGCCCGACCACCACGCACAGAACTGTGCTGAAGATCCACATGGCGGCCGACGCTCGCCTCACCACGGGGGCGCCGTTCACGCCGTCTGAGCACCGCCAGGAAACGGACACAGGAGTTACCACAGGTTGTAGACATAACTGCTTATTCCCTAATGGGGTCGCGGGGAGAACTGGAGCCTATCCCGGTGGTCAATGGGCGAGAGGCGGGGTACACCCTGGAAAGTCTACCAGTCCATCGCAGAGCCACACAGAGACACACAAGGACCAACAACCACGCACACTCACTCCTAAGGGCAATTTGGAATGTCCAATCAACCTAACATGCAGGTTTTTGGACGGTGGGAGGAAGCCGGAGAACCCAGAGAGAACCCACCCACACACAGAACTCCACACAGAAAAGGTCTTGGGTCCCAAGAACCCGACTCGAACCCAGAACCTCCTTGCTGTGAGGCGATGCTGCTAACCACCACACCACCGTGCTGCCCGTGGGAGCATAATGATAAAAAAAAAAAGATCTGGTCTTTTCCGGGTCGGAATTACACTTGCCCTGACTCGCACTGGCCTAACAAGTAACCTGTTTGGATTAAAAGACGCCCCGTCTGGCCCACTGACTGCGGATGGAACGGTGGTACTTTTTTTTTTTTTAGGCCTTGATAGGGCTTTTGAAAGGCTCACAGCTTTTGGAGGTCAGGGTTTCGTTGGTGGAGCGGTTCTCTATCACGCACGACACGCTGGCGTCCTGGGAGATGTTGACGGTCAGGTGGCCCGTGACGTTGTAGAGACTGGAGTCCAGGAGGGACACGGCCTGGGTCATCACCGAGCCCTCGGGGGGCTCCTCCGAGTCGTTAATGAGCCAGTACAGGGCGGGCTGGGGGTACCCGCCGCTGGACTGGCACAGGAAGGTGGTCTCGCCTCCCTCTGCGGCGCGCTCCCGCTCCAGGAGGGGGGAGCTGAAACTGGCTGAGAAGAACCACCACAGGACCATCAGGACTGACCGCCCGGTGGTCCGTCTGAGACGGGGTCCGGCTAGTGGGACTCACCTGCCGTCCGGAGACACACAGAGCACACCGGGGCGCTTTGGTTCTCAAGAGAAGTGACGAAAAGACTGTAGCGCTTCCTGTCCTCGCTGAGGTGGACGGCCGGCAGCTCCAGGGACAAGTTCCCGGTCAGCGCCGCGTCGGCGGAGATGGCGGCGTAGTCCAAGCTCCATATCTCCACCTTTCCCTTTTTCTCCCAGCTGGACGCCAGCACCACTTTGTCGTCCTTCCTCCACTCAACGGAAACGTTCACGAAGGAGAGCAGCTGCGGGTAGAAGCAGGGCAGGGACACCGGCCTCCCCACGATGCCCAGGACACACTCCTCCCCTGGACAGGTTGAGGGGGGGGAGGAAAAAGACGAGTTACCGCTAAAGTCCCGGGCTGGGAGCCCCTACTTTTTGCCCACGCGCGTCGTGCCACCGGACAGGCTTGTTAAAGAGAAGGAAAAAAAACTCACCCAGACAGGAGCGCACGCGCCACAAACTGAGCAGCAGCCCCGCGCGCCACAGTGCCACCGACATGTCAGCGTCCAGAAAACCGACGACGACCATTAAAATTACGTTTCTCCCTTTTAGTTAAAGACGAACTAACGGGAGAACGGAACATGTTAGATGTGGCCCGGTTATCTTCACTTCCGCGTCGCCCGCCGGGCCCCGCGCGCACCTTCCCCCAGGTGGAGGTTCTCCGTCGGTCGTGCTGCGGCTTGTTGTCCCATACCTGCTCTCTTACTAACCCTCAGCTCTGAATACGGAACCAGAACCCAGCGGACAGACGGCTGAGCAGCTACCCAGAGAACCCGACTTCAATAACCGAAGGGAATCCCCAGGCCTGTCCGCGCCCCTTCAGAAAGGAGACGCTTTCAGGAGCAGGTCCTACCTGTTGGGCTTCTTTTTAGGTCACACACACACATACACACACACAAACACACACCCACATGCTGTTAATGAGGACAATACACAGCCAGTCAAACGCAGGGGAAAATGGGAAAAATACAGAGGGAGGTGATCCAGTTAAGAGGTTCTTACAAAACTGGGAAATAAGTGTAATTCCATCTAACGTTTACCACATAGATATAATGTAATTGGAGGTTTTAAGAAGCAGATGAGAGTTTACCTCTCAACTGTTTTCATATTTGCTAAGTGGATTTACTTTCAGTTGCTTTTAAAAAAAAGTAGCTTTGCTCCCTGCCTCCACAGGATCAGTGCATTAAATCTACATATGAGTTTATTTCTGCACTGAATTGTAATTACACACACATATTTAATTAATCTTACATAATAAATGACCCGTTAACTAATGTAGGCTTGAATGGTGAGACAGGGTATAATTTTTTTTTTTTAAAAGCTTTTAGGATAACTTATCCTGGAGTTCTTACGTTTATAGTTTTTCATTCTTATTTTTTGTTAAATATTTTTGGAAGTTGCATTTTCAATTGAATATCAAAATCCATGCAAAAGTCCCTTTTTAACTTCTGAATCAAGTCTTCTGTATAATTGTTGCCATGATGCTTATTCTGGTTTTTGTTGACTTCTCTTTCATTCAAGTCTCCATGCAAACCTGACATGAATAGGAAAAAGTCTGTCTGGAGGGAAAGACGCTCACAAACACTTAATTACTAAAGCACATTGTATTTTGATTTGTTTCCCTGTGTGTTTTATGTATTGTTGTTCTTTCTCTGTGTGTCTTGGCCAGGTGATTGTTGTAAAGGAGATTTTAAATCTGAAGTGATATTTCCTAGTAAAATGTATGAATTATGACAATACTGTAGGCTTTAAAGTTTTACAACTGCTCAGGGAAAGTAGTACATCAGAATTAACTTTAATATTGGGCCACCGTCAGGTGATTAATGAGAACTAAAACAAAATATGAGCCAAAGAAGAACTACATATATTATACATTCCCTTTCCTTTTGTGCAAGATAATAAATAAACAGCTGTGTACTCATGACCTTTGGCCACTTCCTAACCAGAAGCTGCAGCCTGCAGCTTTCCTCACACTACAGAAACGCTTCCGCTTTGAGTTACAGCAGCTCCCACAAACACCGGTCTAAATACATTAGGACTTCTACTAACGATTGCCTAAACATACGAATTTTGAAACATACAAAGTGAAATTTGATCAAATATTCGATTCGACACACAAAGTAAATTTCCAACATACTATACATATGATGAAGTCATAGAAATATATATATATATAATATAGAAAATAAATAAATAAATAAGTTAGTTTAAAGTTCATATAGTGAAAGTTAGAGTAAGTTACGGTTCATACCACCTCTCCCTCCACACCGACCCTCTCCTCTGTCTCCTGCAACGCTAAGCCTGCACCTTTGTTCGCTAGTCTCTAAGGTAAAGTGCCAATGAAAACCCCTTTTTATTGATTATTTCTTTATAATTTAATTATTTTTACATCTCTCTTATATAATACATTTGTTTTATTACTATGTGTAATTATCTGCAGTATTTATTAAGGAGTTATCATAGCTTTTGGGGCTGTGAAATGAATTATACGAATTACATTGTACTAATGAGGATATTTGAACCAACATACGAATATTTTAACATACGAAGTAGGTCCTGGAACGCATTAAATTTGTATGTAGAGGTTCAACTGTATTCGAATTGCTTGTAAAACCTCCAGCTGGCACCCACAATGTAACTTACTCTAAAGACCAAAATGGCACCAATCTTTGCTGATGGTTTTCACCCCATCCAACACCTGAGAAGACCTGCAGAGCTCAACCTGGGATGTTTGGACCACGCCAAGAAATTGAGGATACAGGTTGAAAATCCAGTGCAATACAGAATAAAACATTTAACCATTTTGCCTTTTTGAAAAACTAAAATGGTAACTAAATTATTCTTGAAACATGACAGACAGTTGTCTGCATCACGTGTGAACGCCGATGTAAGGACACCATAGAATGAACATTTTAATATCTAAACAACGATCATGAAAGTATACAATGTAACCACCATGAGAGCTAAAACGTCAAATTAAACACACAAAAAAAACTTTTTGTTTAATTGTGAGATTTAAAAGGCACGGAGAAGTTAATTGTATTCCAATAAAACATCAGACGAACTGTGACAGGACCGGAGTTTTAGAGGAAATGACCTAAACAGGAAACAAGTCGTGTAAAAGCAGTATACCCTGAGTTTCGTATTCCAGGAAGTGTTCTGCTTCGGTGCAAGTTAAAAAAAAATATCCAACTGTAGGTTTGACACCGCATACGCAATTTTAATGCACTTAAAAAGCTCAAATTGTAACCATAAATACTTAGAATATTTATTTGGTTGAGTAAATTGTAGCATTCCATAAAATAAACTACAGAGCTCTGCCTGTAAGGCGTTACTCGGGGATTTCACAACCCTCGTATTGCTACAAACTCAAAACAAAGTCGCACGGGTTGTCGCAGCTATAGCATGCTGTCTTTTTGAACAAGAATTTAATGCACCCGGGGAATACTTGCTACGCAAAAGATACTCGTTTCGACAGAGAAACTTAATATTTGGTGAAACGGCAGGGAAAAGGTTACTTTATTTTGTTGCTAGCATACAGTTAGCAAGGACGCGTGGGATGTCAACGGTGGTGACTTGAAGTGTCTCTGTGCCCTGCTCCGTGATCCTCTATCCTTTTCATAGCTGTCCTTTATTTCAAATGAGTGATGCAAATTGTAGGGCGGCATGACAACGCTGAGGAGGATGTGCTCGTGGCTGCCTCGCCTGCAGCGGACCCTGCCGCGGAGCAGCCAGAGAGCGGCGGCCGCCCGGCTCCTCCACGCCGCCGCCGGTGGAGGCTTTCCGGCCCGGGGGGCCTCCTCCTCCGCCCAGCCGTCCCGGGGCTTCGGCCTGTCCGCGTGCAGGCCGACCAGCTCCGATGACCGCTCCGCACACGAGGAGGGCGAGGACTTTTTAAAGGACAGCGAGGTGGAGGAGCTGTTCCAGCTGCAGGCTCCTACGGGGGCCGGTGAGGGACACCACAGGGTGTTCATCGTCCACCCTGATGTGAAGTGGGGAAGCCGGAAGCAGCATCTGACCACCGGTAACTGCAGCACCATGCACAAATGAGCCAGATCAAAGGATATGGTTGTTTTTTTCACATTTTGAATAATAAATTGGTGCATTCGCAGCTGAACTGATGATGGCGGAGGCTGTCGGGCTTGTGAACACCTTGGACAACTGGACGGTTGTGGATAAGATCATCCTCTCCACGAAGACGCCGGAGAAGAAGAGGATATTTGGCAAAGGGAACTTCCAGACCCTCACAGGTACCGTCCACTCCCACCAAGACAACGTGCGTGCGGCTAAACGACTCGTCCGTACCCCCCCCCACAGAGAAAATCCGGCAGACATCTGGAATCACAGCTGTGTTTGTGAACGTGGAGCGCCTGTCCCCTCTGTCGGAGGTGAGCCTGTCCCACAGCGGCCGGCAGCCAGGTTTGACGGGCTCAATATGCTGACGGCTCTTCAAAATCACTCTAGAGGGAGTTTGAGGAAGCCTGGGGGGTGAAGGTCTTCGACAGATACTCGGTGGTGCTCCACATTTTCCGCTGCAACGCCAGAACCAAAGAGGCCAAGTTACAGATCTCGCTGGCCGAGATCCCACTGTTAAGGTAGTATTTTAGAACCCTCATGTTAAAATTCAATGCTCCACCATGTTGAACCACCCGGGGCTTCTGGGGTTGTCAGGTCCCGGCTGAAAAACGACATGGTGAACCTGGATCAGCAAGGAGGAGGAGCGCGATACATCGGTGGCTCAGGTAAGCCGGACCCGCCGGACGACACCCCGCTGGCCAGCGGCCGTCCTGTTTTCGCCACGGGCTTTTTCTGCTTCCAGGCGAAACCCTGTACGAGGTGCAGCAGAGGCTGCTGAAGGAACGGGAGATGAAGATCTGCTCGGCGCTGGAGAGGCTGCGCAGGAAGAGGCAGCTGCTGCGCTCCCAGCGGCAGCACAGGGAGTTCCCCGTGGTGTCCGTGCTGGGCTACACCAACTGTGGTCAGAGACCGGAAACAGGCCAAGCGATTGTCTTCACTCCACAGAGTTCATTCGCCATTGAGATGTATCTTTTTTTTTTTTTTTTCTTTCCCAGGAAAGACGACTCTGATCAAAGCTCTAACCGGTGACAGCGGTCTCCAGCCCAGGAATCAGCTCTTCGCCACCCTGGACGTTACTGTCCATGCCGGCCAGCTGCCCAGCCGCATGACCGTGCTCTATGTGGACACCATCGGCTTCCTATCCCAGCTCCCGCACCAGCTCATTGACTCCTTCTCTGCCACCCTGGAAGACATTAAACACTCGGTAGGGAGCCGAGCAAAAAGCTCACAGCGCAACGGAAGCAGCCATTTACTTTCTGGACACAGACTTTATTGCAAGAGCTTTAAAGTGGATGTGGAAAAACGTGTATGGAATTAGAAAATTAGCAGGGTTAAGCTTAAGTCCCAGAATAGACAGACATGTCTACACAGCAGCTTTTGCTAGTGTTGATAATCAGGAGTTAATAATGGAAAGAAACAGTGTAGATGGGGAACCATTTGCACCAATGAGGACCTGAGAAACAGGAAATGGACACGGAGTTGAACCACTGACCTTTCAATCAGCGGGCAACCGCTCTTTCCTACTGAGCTCCAGCCGCCCATTTTAAGCGCCTTAGAAAAGAAAAAGGTCGACTATATAATATTGCGGAAGCGTCAAAGTTTATCTCGTGTTTGTCTTATCATCCCATATTTTAATAGCTGCACACTCAGTGCTTGTCTTTCCGCGTGCCTCCAGGATCTTTTGGTTCACATCAGGGACATCAGCCACCCAGAGACTGTGAATCAGAAGGTGAACGTGCTGAACGTCCTGAAGAACCTGCAGGTCCCAGACGGCCTGATGAGCTCCATGATAGAGGTCCACAACAAGATCGACCTCGTTGAGAAGTGAGAGCTGCAGACTCCCATCGTTTGCACATTTTCCTTTCATAAATATATCAAATTATGAGTAAAATGTATTTTCACCTTGATCAGAGGGGGTTGTTATAACTTAAAATATTCTTTTCTGGAACGCAAGAGAGGCACTTAATGATTGCAACCGTAACCATTTTCACAGTGACCCAGTTTTCTTTGGCATGCTAAAAATGAGGCTGTACATAAATTAGCATTTTCCTTGGGAGAAAATAAGGAGGAAACTATCTGCGAGTGAGAAATGATCAAAACATAAATCTCAGTCCGCTTCCTGTGTGGGTGGAGAGAGTGTCTAACACAAAACAGAAATGGATCAAACCTCATCAGTTAGTTGATGGGTTTGTGTGTGGCACAGCTATCAGGCGGCGGCAGCAGAGCCCGGCGTGATGGCCATCTCCGCCCTGACGGGGCGCGGGCTGGATGACCTGAGGAGAGCGGTGGAAGAGGAGCTGGTGAGATCCACCGGGAAACTCATTCTGAATCTGGAGGTGAATCTCAGCACCCCTCGGTTAAGGTAAGACTGTGAATTCCCTTCATTTGCGTCAGTAGTTTTTTCTTCTGTTCTTTCTGGCTTATAAGACGAAAGTGACCGGTCCTCATTCACAGTTGGCTGTACAAAGAGGCCACCGTTCAGGACGTGCAGGTGAACGCGGACGAAGGATCGGCTGTCGTCAGGGTCATCATCAGCACGGCCGCCTACGGCCGCTACAGAAAACTGTTCGGAGGCGGATGAGAGGAACCGAGGAGCCAAAGAGAACAACAAAAAAAACACACCATTTCAGTAAAGCCTGTATTTGCTTTTAGAGTGAGCTGCTGTATCTGAAGGAACAACTTTGTAAGAGAACACGACACACAGCGAGTACACTTAAGGAATGGAGACGTACGGGCTCTCTGAGTTTAGTTCAAAACTAAAGTTCATATTTCCATTTAAAAAGCGGAACAAACGTGTTTTGAGGTACGGCGCGGCTACTTTGGTGTCACTGATGAATAGAATAAAAATCCAAGCTAATGCTGCTTTTTCGTCTGCCTGGAGCCCCTCCTCTGGAGTTTGAGGTTCAGGGCGATCACCAGAGGGCAAAGCGGGAGGGGCCCCACAAAGTCCCCCGCGATGATGTTGAGGCCCGTGGGCTCCGACCCGGGAAACTGCTCTTCCACCCATTTCCTCAAATGATCCCAGTTCTTGTAGGTCAGCGTCCGCAGAGATTCCTGTTGGTTCTTGGTGATGTAGCTTCTGTCCGCCGTCAGGTTGAGACCGGACACGAAGAAACCCTCTGTGGGGAAGAAAAATGGGGGGGGGGAATAAAATAAATTAAAAAAAACAGAACTTTGAGCATTTGCGTGACAACGCCTTTCAAACACCTTCACCTGGACGTCCCAGGTCTTTGTTCCACTCCAAGTAGGCGATCACTCCCTCTGCCGTGTGCTTGTTGGCCCACAAGTAAGGGATGGCGGGCCACAGCTCCCGATGTCTCGCCATGAGCTGGGAGTCATATGACAGAATGACCTGGTAACCGGACGCCCACAGACTCCGCAGCGTCAAGCCCGATTCCTGCGCAGGCGGACACGTTAAGGAGGGCGTCTCACTACTGCCCCAGCCAATTAACAAGAGGGAAGCTGACCTCTCTGGGACACAGCTTGGAGCCGAACAGTTTCTTCAGAGCGAAAATGAAGGCTTCGTGGCACCTGTCGTCCATCCCCTCGAAATGGCTGCAGGCCAGGATGACCACCTCCTTGGGATGCGAGTTGAGCCAGGACGCGACGGATATGAGCGTTTCCTGAGCAGACGGGGAGCCTTTAACCGCCAGCGCCGCCGGATCCCAAAAACCAGAGCTCTGATCGAAAACACTCGAACTCACCACGACGGTTAAATGCGTGTAGATGACGTGCGTGAAGTAGAGGTCGCTGGAGGAGTCGCGGGGTTTGTGCGCCACGCGGAGGTCGAAGAAGCGAATCCCCATCGAAAGCTGCTCCTCGATGTTTTTGTCCTGAGGGGAACAGAGTCGTAAGGCCAGTACGTTACAGGAAATGGCTACTAAGTGTATTAAAGACAGCAAAAAAAAGGTTTGTTTTCTCCCTTGGTTTCATGGATAAGTCACTGAAGCACATTCCAAACCCTTTTGTTAGCTTTTAGCGCAATCATGCTGCTTAGAAGAAATAAATCAATGGTTTTGATTGACTAGAGTCACATTACTGCAGCTGCTCCAACAGAAAACAGAGTGTTTATCCAGCAATCACTTGTATTTGTTTCTTCAAACTTTGGACAGCAGCTCATAAATATCTAGTGATTTTCTGGGTCCACAGAAACACTCCTCAGCTCTGCCACCGCACAGCCATGATTTGCTGTATAAAGTCCCCATATCCAGGCAGGAGTGAATGGAAAATGCAAAACAAGACTTTCAGCTCAGGCTACCTGCTGAACAGGTCTACTACGTAAGCAGAAGCCAGGGGAATAACAACGGGGCCCTCATAGCGTCAATGTTTTATGGTTGGTGGATCTGAGAGCTGAGGGCAGAAATCTCCCAGAGAGGGCTGAATATCTGTGCCGTCTGCCAGAGGACGATAAACATAAGCCTCGGCTCTGAAAGTGACCCGACAGTGCTGCCGTACAGTCCAAACCAGACGTCCAAAGGGCCGCAGCTCGCTCTGATCGCTTTTCCACCCATTAGCATAATCAATCCGTCACACCTGGCGTTCTGACGAAAACCACAAGTGCTGGAGGGAAAAGCTCAGATCCCCTCGGCAACAACAAAAAGAAAAAGCTGTCTTGCCAACTTTGGTAAAGACTGACTGATCTGCAAGAACAAAAAGGGGCTCGTACGTTCCTTCAGAGGCTACATGGAGACGCAGCAGGACCGTTATGGCCCCACTAGGGGCAGGCCGTTTTTGGAAATGAAAGGCAGATTTTCCTCCGACGCCCTGGAACTTTCGGGCCGAGATTGAACAGGTGCAGCAGAATCCCGCATAGGCGTTCCACGCAGGTTACCGGGACCCCGGGGCTGACGCCATCTGGACCGGCAGATGGCGTCTTCACCTTTCTCGATAGAGGAGAAAGCCAAAAGACAGTCTCGTTGGGCCTTCTCCAGGGGTGTTGAGATCCATGACTGAGCTTTAGGGGGATGTTATGAATGTGCAGGACAGATAATGTGGGCTCAGGTGTAGTGAAATGTTTCTGAAGGAAGCAGACACTGTTAATCTCTCACACTCTGGAGCTTCTCAGCATGGTGACAGAGCTTGGAGCTACAGTCAAACGTTTATCGTCCCACTATTTTCACTCAACCGCAGCTCCAACACGAGCAATACTGAATCTGTTTAAGATCTGCTGTTAAATCTGTCATTTTCTTTTGAGATATTAAACAGATTTTTTTTTCAAGAGTGTGGTACGCAGTGCTTTAATGTAATCTACAGTCAGAGCGCTCTAAATTTGGAGTATCAGTGAGAACTTCTGGTAGGGGACCTAAACTACTGTAAACGAGAATAATGACAGAAAAGATTGCAAACTTAAATCCACAAAATGTTGAAAGCAGTTGAAGGTGATGCAATGCAAAATGTAGCTGTTCTTTACTTGGTCTGATTAATCATTAGATGATCACTGTCCACAGTGAGTAAGCCCCTGAAAATTTGCTAAAATTTCAAAGTGAAAAAAAATCCTATAAAGGGACGACATAGCATCCTGATCCTGAAATCAAGATAAAATTTCAGTTTGCAGAATATAAATTGGGGCGATATGTTCAATTGTCACTTGTTTGTTTGTAACTCAATTTGGAACATGATGCTGATAAGAAGGTAATGTGACCATCTGATCATTGCTGTTACAGAGGGCTCTGCTTGCCTGCTGAGTTACCTAAACGGCCTGCAAAAGGCCCTCTGCCTGCTGCTGTACTGGACACATTTACATACCTGAGTGGTGGCCCATTTAAAAATGACGGGCCTCGTCAAGCAATAGAACAGTCTGTCCAGGAGGCGGAAAAAGTCGGACTCAGACCGGACCAGGGGGGAAGTTATGTCCAGACAGTAGCTCATGGCATCGTGGCTTCCTGCATACGCAAAGAAAAAAGATTTGATCAGTGCATTAAGGCTTTATGCTAAAATAAGAAGCTGGTTTCAGGTACTACACGCCCTTTTTTCTTTTCTCTGTGAACTTACATACTTCAGTATGACTCATTTTTGATGAACAAGACTTAATAACCTCCTGAGACCCCGCGTCCTCATATGCGGGGTTTTTTTACCTCTCTTTACCTTGATACTTTTTTTTCCATTTCTACTTTGACCTTTTGGCCCCATCGTAGACACTATGAGGCACTACTGTTTGAAATGTAGAGTAAAATGGTTTTATATGTGTTAAACAAATCATGTTCTTGTGTGATTAAAATTTTGAAAAAAGGTCATTTGGATGTCAGAACCAAATTGCAAAAAAAATCTAATTAAGTATATAAACAAACCTTTTAATTATAAAGATAAACCCAGTGAGCCTGTATGAAGAAAAACTACCCGTACCATCACAAAGTCTAGTCATTAGGTCTTACTAATCCAATAAATCTTTAAAAAAGGCCAAAATTCATAACAAGTATAAGCTTTGTTTTTAAAGGTTTTTAAAACTATTCATGAAAAAAATAATCTAATAATTGAGGTTATTAAAAACAATGCTTTGGCTGAAAGTTGGATATGCTTCATGGACAGACATGAATACAATACATGAATGGAACACAGGATTGGTACTGTCTTAAACCCTTTGGGCTCCAATTATGTCATATTACGGGTCGAGAGAAGGAGGCCTGAACGTACCAGGTATGGCCAGGTTCGTCAGGGGAATGTCCCACAGCTCCTCGGGTAAAGCTGACATCCAGTCCTGGCAGCTCAGGTCCATGTTGCGCAGCTGAGTCTCAGACCTGCCGCAGAGTCACTGAAACCCCGGAGAGGAGAGAGGCCGTCACATGTTCGATCCCGGCCGGCCCCCCTCCTTCATCCGAGTCCTCTAAACAATCGACCAGGCAGGAGCGGAGGCTGTCGGCAGAAATTTCCTAGTTCTCATCGAGACGACTGACTGACTGACAGGCTCACTCGGTGGAACACTTTTGGAGCCGTTGACGGAATTCGGTGTTGAGGGGACAGTTTAGGATGAGGAGGCTGAGCGTTAACACGTCAAGCCCGAGTTATGACCCACAACTTTCACTGTTACCTTCACGCGTTCGCCCGCACACAAACGTCTTTACAAAAAACAAAAAACAAAAGCAGAACCTTGACGTTTGGGTGCCCTTGCCATGACGTAGCCTACATGAACACAACGAAAGCGAGGCTGGCGAACGGTAAACAATTGTTGTCCACTTCCGGTTGCCAAGTTTCGATACAATGTCAAAAAACGTGCCGCGACGGTTTTGTCAAAAACGTCTTTCCCGCTTCGGAGTTCATGAGGTTTGTTTGAACAAAAACGGAGCAAAGTGCTTCGTAAGCGTTGAACGTTTGCCGTCTGTCGTTTCACGCGCGGTTTGACATCCCGACGTCGAGTTTGAAAAAGGTCCACGAGCACCATCACTAATGAGGGCACGTGCAAGTCCCAAAAATATTCAGGGCCAGGAATTTTTTTTAAAAAGATATCTCAGTAATCTTTCTGAATAGTTTCTCAAAGTTAATAATACTTCCAATAAGAGACAAAAATAAAAAAATAAAAAATAAAAAAAAGCTTCCCCAGCTGACAGTGGCTAGGAGGCAGTGAACACCTTGGACAGGTCACCAGTTGACCCCAAAAACACAGAACCACACAGACTCACTAAGCCTAGTTTAGAGCCTGTGGTCAATTGATCTAACATGCATGAGGGAACCCAGGCAGACCCGGGGAAAACATTAAAACTCCACACCCCTGGAATTGGGACCAGGAACCCTGCTGCTGTGAGGTGGTGGTGCTTCGTTTTATTTTACCATAAATATTTATACTGGTCTTCAGATGACAAGACCGTATACCGACTGAATGTATAAGACCAGTTGATATGATGAAACAGATAAACACAAAATTAAATGCAAGAAAATATATTTTTTATTTGCATATATATGTTATTCAAGCAAGTCAGGGCCGAATGCTGAGTGGCTATTGGAGTAAACTAACTTTCTTTGAATCAACATACAGAAGTAAAAAAAAAAAAAGATTAAAAGTGAGTTTTAGCACCCTTTTGTGACAGCCTACAAATTGGGTTATTTTCAATTCGAACATTCCAAATGTGCCATTGAAATATTGAAATCTCAGACTTAAAGCCAGCCATTCTGTGAACACATGCATTGCAATCTTATTCTCTGACAAAGTCATAAGGGGAAGTATTTTTTGTAGCTTTCACAAAAATTAAAGGATTTTTTCTTTTTTGCATCACATTGTCTGTTGTAGCTGAATTGATGCCTGAGTAGTAGTGCTTTACCGAGGTCATGCGTTGCAAACATTTTCCAGAGATATAAAAAAAGAGATCTAAACTAAAACTAAAATAAAGCACTTACAGCTAAAAAATATTGCAAGAGAAAAAAAATAACCCCCTTAGCCATAGCAAATATTACTATCTACAGTGATGCTTAACAGCTTTAAAACTTCAAATTTTCTACATTTCTGCTGGATGTTACCCATAAGTACAAAAGCTAAAAAAAGAGAGAACTTGTTAAACTACTTTTTAAATTAAGAACATCATGCGATTAAAAAGTGGGTTGTGAATTTCTGTATCTGTTCTTCGTAGTAATAGATATTTTCATATTTTCTCGGAAACGTTCATGCACAACATCAGTCTGTACCTTTTTCTTTATCACATGGAAACATAGAAAAACTCGATGTCTCAGCTTGAACGGCCAGCAAGAAAATGAGATGATTTGCTAGCAGCTGCTTATCGTTTACTGAAAAAGCTCATCTACACAGGCACGGCGGTGGAAGAAATCTGTCCAACACAAGGCCTAAACTACGGACTAAAGTCAACCTGAAGTGGAGCAGCCGATGGTGGGTGCATGCGATTAAGTTTTCCATGCCTTATGCATACGTTTCACATATAATCTCTACATTCTCTACGGTTAAATATACGCTTTATAAGTGGGAGTTGAGCTACATTTGAAACTTTCCACCCTCATAATGATTCGGCCCAGTCACATGTGCTCACCGTTTGTGCTTGTGTGTCTAGAATGCCGAAATTAAGGTCAATTAGCAGTACCATTATTGCTTTGGTCAGCGTGGCATGAAACTAGCCACTCCGCTGACTCCTGAAAACTGATACAGTGCATTGCATAAACAGGAAGCCGAGCGTAAACGAAGGAGTGTAGGGTAAAGATACCCAAAACAAGTTGGTACCCCAAGCAGCTTTAGGACTGAAATGTACACATGGCTGCCTCTGGCAAGTGCTTTTACGCCCCAATAAATAATTCAAGTGCTAAACTTAAGTCTTTTTTCTGTCCCCTCCTTTACCAAAGAACCTCATGCTGGTATTTTCTTATTTTATAAGAATAATTCCGACTCTCGGTGAGAAGTCACGAGGGCCGTTTCAGTAGTTTCTCATTAAGACTAACAACAGTTGGTACGAAATTGCTCTCTGTGATAAAGTCCCCCGCTATGATATTGAGAGAGCCTCCCCTGGGGCCGGGGGTCTGTTCTGTGACCCAGCTGAGCAGCGCCGGGTATGTGGACGTCACCAGGTCCTTCAGAGACTCTGTGGGGTGTGTGCAGATGTATTTCAGGTCCTCGGTCAGATTCATCCCCGTGACAAAAAACCCCCCTAAAATAAAAACAAACGCCAGGTTACACTGTAACCCTTCATTCTATTCTCTGAGTTAGGAGAGGCGTTTTGAGTTGGGTTCAATTACCTGGTCTGCCGTGTTGTTTCCGGCGTTCGAACTCTTCGATGAGAGCCTCAGCTTTGCATTTGTTGGCCCACCAGTAGGGAATATGAGGCCACAAGTCGCAGTGGGAGCTGGCAATATTGTGTTCATAGGACACAATCACCTGGTAGCCTGATGACCACAGTTTTCGAAGAGTTACTGCTTCCTGGAAAAAAAAATCAACAAATATAAATGTTACCTTTTTTTTTTAGCTTCTTTTTGGAAATTCATCTCAGGATGAAGGTGTAACAAATTTACCGTTTTGGGGCAGAGTTTAGAGGCGAAAGTGGTGCGAATGGTTGTGAGCAGCTGGATGTGGAGTTCCTGGGTCAGGCTAAGAAAGTGGCTGAAAGACAGAATCACCACCTCTCTGGGATGAGCGTCCAGCCACTCTCTGATCTCCATCAGGACCGTCTGTCAGCCAAACAAAGATATCATTTATAAGTCAGAGCTTTATTTCAAATAAAAACAAACCAACCACGACACACCCTGAGCTTGTAACGCTGCTCCGTGGAGTCATAGATTAGTACGGCTGAATTTCATCACACACATCTCTCGGCAAAGTCATTCTTTAGCCAAAATACCTGGACTTTCCCAGAGATATTCATAATTTAATACTCCAGAAATATCTTACTTTAGGAGTTCTGAGTTTATTTTAAGTCAAGTTGGAAGGCTCAATACTGCTGCTGGGATGGGACATATCCTTGCATTTTTTTTACACTGAACCATGGGTGATTAAAAAAAAAAAATCTGCTTAACTCCTGAGATGTAACATCACCACAATATCTAACATTTATGTAACATATCGACAACTAGATTGTACATTGAAAACAGCCCCTACAAATGATAGCACCAGATAAAGAGTCGTCCCGCTGGCATCCTTCAAATGATGCTAGATTTGTTAGTTCAAGAACGCTGCGTTTATGTTTATGGCCTATAAGTGTATTTTCTATAACACAAGGTATGCAATTCATTTAAAGTCATTGAAATGTAAAAACTAATCATTTATCATGGACCTGGTGCAGTTTGATTCCACAAATAAATTTTAGTATCATCGGTCAGACTAGAAAATAAATGTACATTTTGATGTCTACTTTTCTATATGGCAGTCAATTATTCCATATCTCACATAAAAAAATAAAAAATAAAACATATACTGTATATATATATATATAAAAACAAAGAAATATTGTTATCAGATAAGAATACTGCAATTCCACCACAGAAATCTCTTTGTGTAAAACACCCAGCAGCACTCCTGTCAGCTTTGGGCCAAAGCTCATTTGGAATGAGGCAAAGTGGAAAGTTATTCTGTTGACAGATTAATCAAAATGCCACAGTCCATCCACCCATTATCTATAACGCTTATTCCCAACGGGGTGGCGGGGGATGCTGGAGCCTGTCCCAGCTGACAACGGCCGAGAGGCGGGGCACTCTGGATTTAAATAGGTAAATCAGTCTTTACTCGCATGCCAGCCTCAGTTTTGGTGGCTTTCCCTTCCAAATGAGGTCTGAACGGACGGAGGACTGGCCGTTGACGATATTTACATGCTACACAAGCATAAGACAACCCCGACTAAACCTCACTGCGTTGATGATCACAGACGTAACGAAACCAGATGTTTGTTGTCACTATAAAGTTATACGACTCCCTGGCCAATCAGCACCCTGCAGCCTACCATGAGCCCGATTGGAACCCCTGTAAGAACACAGCGTAGAGCTGAGCCAAGCATGTACTGGTGGGCTCCTGAGCTTGATTTACTTGAAGTCAATCCACCCGCTTTACACTTAACTCCACCATTCTCCACTTGTACTGCTGTTACCTTGGAGCTGTCACTTTGGTAGGCCCCCAAAAGTTGTGTTCACAAACCTAGAAACTTTGGGTTTTAAAAGCATTTTCATCAGGATTCAGTCTCAGTTTTTGCTGAGGAAGGCACTCCTGTGTTCCTTCATCATTTGGCTTTAAAAACGAATGAGGGTTTCTTTTGTTTGGGAGCATAAATTCCCCCTACAGGGAGCACGGCTGCCGTTCGCGCACTATCGATCACCTCCACAGTGAGCGTGGTGTAGACTCCGTGGTAGAAGTACAGGTCATTGGAGCTGTCGTTGGGCCGGTGCGCGATCCTCAGGTCGCAGTATCTGACCCCCCAGTTCAGCTGCTGCTTTATGGTGTACTCCTGCAAGATAAGAGGCGGGCAGTCCATCACACCCGGGCATTGCGGTCACATAATGGAAAAAAAATCCCTGGGGTCTGATAAGAACCTAATCTCCTTACCTGGGTTATCGCCCACTTGTACACAAAGGGGCGAATGAAGGGCTTCATGTATTTGTCCAGCTTTTGGAGCATGTCCGGCTGCATGGGGTCAACAGGGGATCGGTCGTTGGTGTCCAGACAGTAGGTGATTGCGTTGTGGCTGCCTGTGTGGGGCACAGAGACCGCACTTTATCATCGTGGTTGTTCCACGGGCTCGCTCGGGTTTTGGACATTTGCATGGATTCGCTTTAGCTGCAGTGCACCAGCTGCGGGGCTGTGGTTCCACGCTGGAATAAAAAAACCCTCGCCGTGACAACCGCTGCGGGCTGTGGTGTGTTGGCCGCCTACCCGGGATGGCCAGCTGGTACAGGGGAGTGTCCCACAGAGCGCAGGGCAGGTGAGCCATCCAGCTCTCCATGGGCAGCTCCCTCAGGCTCAGCTCACTTCGCCCGGACACCGCCACCGAAGACATGGCCGAAGCTCTTCCTCAGACAATCCGACAGCTGACATGATGGACGTGAAAGGGAAGTCAAGCGCATGTGGATAAGGAAGTAATCATTCATTTATTACTACAGGGTTACGTATGAACTTCAGCGGGACGCGCAGCATCTGGGAGTGGGACGGTCATGCCGGAGGGGGCAGCCGCGTTTCGCCTCACACTTACTCGGTTTAGAAACGGCGGCTTCTTCCTCCCTGCCGCCGACCGGTCGAGCCGGCCGAACCACCAGCCCGCGGCACGACGGCGACTAAAGCCAGAGGCGTGCGCCACAAGAGGCTGGCCACGCCAAAGAGTTACAACACACACACACACCAGAAAAAGACACATACAACACGCATAACCTGGACGGTGAATTCCCCTCCCGTTACCTTTCACACCAGCGCAACCCAGGAGAGCGGAGACGTTGGGCCCGGCGCATTTTGATTTGAAATTCTAACACGACCATCGACCGTCCATGATGTCCGCCGAGCCCGGCGCTGAGTGGGTGCCGCGGCGTGGCCGGGAGGACAGGTCCCCGGCAGGATGCGCTGGGAGGGAGGAGGAGGAGGAAGAGGAAGAAGAGGAGGAAAAAGAGGAGGAGGAGGAGGAGGGCGGCGGCGGCTCCGGCTGACAGATCAGCAGATACTGAGAGGCTCTCCTCTTAAAGAGCCCTCTGAAAGGCGACACTCGGTTTTTAACTTGTGTATGTGTGTGTGCCCGTGCCTGCGTGTGTGTGCGTGTGACTCTCTGCGTGTGTACGTGTGTGTGTGTGTGTGTGTGTGTGGGTGTCACTGGACAGAAGAATCGAGCTCCTGGCTGGACAACACCCGCTGGGAGCGCGTGGCCGTTAGCACCACGCGCCCCGAACCTCGTTAACTTCAACTCCACGGATGGGGTGTTAGCAAAGCGGCTAACGGCAGGCAGCGAAAAGCCGACGTTCAAACTTTAGCTAGCCAACTCGATAACTTTTCACGTTTGGCTTCACTGAAATAGTGGAATGTCTAAACGCGGCGGTTGATAATTTACGAACTGAACGCGGTGAAATTAAAAATGTTGACCGTTCACTCGGTGTTTTGTTTTTGGGTGTCGCCAAACTTCCACCTGCCTCGGTTTCAGAGCACGGCTGCCTTCCACCTGCTCCGTCAAGAAAATAAAAATCGTCAAAGATACATTCACACACGTACTTATATAACTGAATGAGCTGCAACTGTATGATTTAGCCTACCTCAAAGGTTTCTCTGAGACTTGGGACACTCCAGTCCAGTGTGCACCTGGTCGTTTTAAAAATGTAATATTAGGGACTTGTCAAATCCCACATCTCTTTGAAAAACGCATGTTCTTATGAAACAAAACAAAAGTGACAGTGTGGTATATACCAAAAAATGTAGAGGTGAATTTGGACACCAAATGAAATCATTGTCTCATCCTCACCAGTCACAATACCATCATATTCACTTTTTTACTCATGATTAAGGGAATGTAGCCTTTTTTCCCACTGCATTGTTTACATGAATGCACTGTAGTAGTGGGAGTAGAAGAAATAATCTACTTTAAATAAAATGGGCTTCCCTCAAATCTCTTTTCTAGCTAAACTATCACCTCTTCCATCAAATCAGAGGGTCTCTCTTTGTGCTCTGGTATTTTGGGTACGTGTTTTGTCCAATCCTTTTATATTCTCACCCCATTTCTGCCAACGCTCTTAGCCTTACAGATTATACTTTTGAGAGATGGAAACATAACATACTCCATGTCGGTAGAAGGTGTCTGTGAGGGCAGGAGGAAAATATTCATTCATTCATTGTACTGCTTATTCCCAGCAGGGTCTGTAAGGGGGGGCTGGCGCCGGGCCCAGCTGACATTGGGTAAGTGGCAGGGTAAACCCTGGAAAGGTTGCCAGTCCATTACAGAGCCCCAGATAGACCAACAAGCACTCCCATTCACTCCTAGGAGCAATTTTAGAGTGAGGAGAGAACTAATCTAAAATGCATGCTTTTTGGACCGTGGGTGGAAGCCAGAGTACCCAGAGGGAAAACAAAGGGATGAAGTGCAAAGTCCACACAGATAGGCCTTCAGTCCCCACGGAATTTAAACCAGGAACCCTCCTACAGTGAGGTGACAGTGCGAGCTATTTGGTTTTGCAATGTAAGATTGTTTGTTTCTCAAAGCCCCTGGGAATGTGATAACTACTCAAAGGGAAAAGAAAGATGTGTCTGTTTTAACAGGTCCTACCTGGCTGCAGCAATGATCCTGCAGTCTGTTCTGTATCTTAACCGGTTTTTAAGACAAGAAATGGCCAGTAAAATGTAACTTTGGAGAGTCTCAAAGATGGATTGCACTTAAAGACATCATCATAAAATGGCAAAGCAAGATTTAAGCTGGCTTGAACTGCGAACAGCAGAATCTGAAATCCTACAAAGAAACATTTCACTTTACCTCAAATTCAACTTTGGACTAGAAGTGGCCTCCCAGGAGAACATGAATCAAGCTGTCCATTTGCGTGAGATTCTTCAGCTTAAGTCTTTCTCAGCTTCTTCAGCGGGTCAATAAACCCTGAAAAAGCACTAACCAGGGCGGTGAAGCAAACAAACTGCCTCTAGAGCCAAAAATCATGACCCTCCATCACACCAAATGCTTATTTTGATTCTCATTTCAAAGATCTTTACTAGTAGAAAAACAAGAGAAAGCAATAGGAATTTGATCATGTTTAACATAGTTCAGACAGCAAGTGATTCCTGATTTTTTTTTTTTGTGTTACTCACCGACATAAGTATTTCTTATAAGAGAACACCTTTGAAGATCCCACACATAAATAAAATATGACATGCACCAGCACTTATGAATCAGTGGTGTTAAGTGTATAAGACAATAGTGCCCTCTGGTGTCTCTTTACAAAGCTGATTCAAAGCGATTGCCACCATTCTTCAGTCACTGAAGTTTTTATTGCCTTTTATTCCGATGTTGGGTTTTGCTTTATTGGAGATCGTGTGAAATACAACATTGTGCAGGAAAATAGAAGGGCAAAGTATCCAAGTTCAATGAGCCATTCGCACTAAGTCAGGGACGCAATTACCAGTGAAAACTGGGAAGACGAAGGTTCCGCCACTATTATTCAGAATGAATCATCTTTCATGATAAAGCCAGTTAAGATGATGATCTACGATCAGCCATTGCTTTTACACATCCAGATGACTTTACCGAAGAGCAATTTAATAATAATAAATGTACCCCCCCGTGCCTTTTCCCGTATTGAGAAACAAATGTAGTGATTGTATTGCATTTTATTGGAACCAGCAACACGTTCAGATAGTTCACAGACAAGCATTCCTACTCACAGAAGGCAGTAGTGTATATAAAAAAAAAAGAAGACTAAGCTTGACAAATGTCAAAATATTAGCATTTTCCTGGCTCATCTGTTCAAAAAAGGGGTCAACGGTAACACCCAGTGTGGAAGAAACAGGCAGATCTTGAAGAACTAAAAAAAAAAAATTAGTGAAGTCTGTTAGAATTTCTGGGCACAATATTATCTTAGTGACAAAAGTGGGAACATCTGTGGCTCTATTAAAAACAAACTCTTGACAGACTGCAATTCTAGTCAAAAGTCCATATGAACCTGAATGAGTTTGAGGAACAGGCGTTGATTGTGGAGCACGACTTGGTCACAGATAGAAGGCAAGCATGATAATCTCAAATGACAAGACAGATTTGCTTCTCTCTCCCAAAAGGCGTTTCTGCCTCGCTCTGGCAGGGCGGCGCTCCTAAAAACCGAAGCCCCTCGGTGTTCCCGTGTCCTCTGTTTGGTGTCGCAGCACCCTGGGTGCTGCGGCCTGCTCCCTGGCAGACGCGCGCTACCAGAACCGGCCCGCCACTTGGCTGGAATGGGCCGGGCTGTTGTGGAGAGCCTGGCGGCGGCGGTGGGTGGGGTCCGACGTGGAGCGGTGGCCCGTCACCTTTGCGTGTTGTGCCTGGAGCTTGAGGACTGCTTTCCTTTCTTTGTGGCGCCGGGCTGTGGCGGCGGCGGCGGCGGCCGGGCCTGCTGCCGGCGGCGCCCTTTGGCCTCCGGCTCGGAGTCGCTGAGCTCCAGGTCGGGGCAGTATCCGTCGCTGTCCTGGTAGGACCGCGCGCTTCTGGCTTTGTGTTCGGGCACGGGCTTGGCCCAGAATCTCTCTTTGGCTGAGCTCTTCCGGGACACTTTCTCCGAGGCCCGCTGGTCTGTTGTCCGTACCAAGTTAATGGTGGCCTCTTTGAACGACCTGCCAAAGTGCTCCATGGCAGACTTGCGAAAGCTACTCTTGTCCAACGCCTCCTTGGGAGTGTCCCGGTCACCGGGCGTCTGGCAGGAACCGTCTTTCTGAGCCACCAGCTTGTCCAACACGCCGTTGGCTTTGGCCGCACGCGATCGGTCTTTGTCCAGTTTGCCGTTGCTGTTGGAGGCGTGGCCGTGGAGCACGGCGTGCAGAGCCAGCGGTTTGCCGCCCGGCTTGGTGGCCGGCGCCGCGCCGCCCGGGTGGGCGGAGGAGGACAGTCGGCCGTTGGCGCGCTCCTCTCGGAGGCCTCGGCTGTTCAGCTGGGGCTTTCCTTTGCCCAGCCCTTCGGCCGCTGGTCCCCCAACATTGCCGCTGTGGTCGGGGCAGAGGGGACCGTGCCCAGATTTGGAATTGGGGTTTCCGTTGCCGAGACTCAGAGCTTTGGGCATCTTGAGTTTGAGCGTGATCTTCGGAGGAGGGTGGAACAGCACGTTGTCAACTGGGAACGAGGCAGGGTGGCCTTTGGGAGAGGAAGAAAAACACCTTCAAGAGGGGGCAAACAACTTGAGAATACTGTCCCAGGCAACAAAGTCTCCCTACTCCTGTTTTGAAAAGGTTCTTCTGGAGAGTGGCGACATTTGCGTGGCGACATGTGCTGGCGCTAGCATAACGCATTCGATATGACAGACTGGCAGAAACTGGTTTATGAGAAGGCCTAAGTGTTGTTTTTGTTTTTGGTTGAACATGTATAAGTTATTTCTGGGGTGGATATTTATGCACGATAACACATTCATCTCGCTAAACCTTTTTGATGAAATGACAGACTTAAAAAATGAGGAAGAAACGTTCCTGGTGTGATGCCAATTTATACTGCAGTACTGGGGTAATCCACTCTGGACATTTTTTAAATTTCCCTACATTTACACACCAGAATTTGATTAAATTGATCAATTCAAGAGCTCTGTGTAGGCCTGTTAATGGTGCATTACTGTGAAACAACATGAACTAAAAAATAGAAAAAGAAATATGTCATTACCATTCCTATTATGCGTTATGGAGGTCTAAGGAGAGAAATGCATGCAATCGATTTGCTGGGGAAACCAATTTGGCTACATATCCAGGGTCAGGAAAGGGGAAGGATATGATATTTCAACCAGAGGATAGATTTTCTAAAGCCTGACAACAGAGACTAAATAAATGGGGACAGAAGTCTATTTTCTTGTCAGGTCATTTTCAGCAATATGGTCTGAGAAGTGCTTGGAGTGGCGTGGCACATAATATAAAAACACCAATCTGAAAAGATATCAGTACCAAACAAAGGAAGCTAATCGTTCACAGTTTTAGATTTCATTTCTCTTTAAATATATGCTATGCTGATAGACAAAAAAGTGTGGACATTATAAGAACAGAAATACATTGACATCAGTGATAGGCGAGAATCTGCTTTTGCTCACCAGCTGACAGCTCTTGGTTGATGAGCTTGACATGCAAGTTGAACATCTGCTCCTGCGCTTTGCTCTGCAGCAGCTTCAGCTTCTCCCGCCGGCTCACCATGTAACACAAGTTCCTCACCTGCAGGACATCAAACGCTTTGCTTTAGATCCGACAGCCGCATTAATCCAGAGGAGGTTTACGGCTTTTACGAACTGATCCGAGTGCTCAACAGAAATGCCTGATTACTCTGGAACATTTGGTACATTTTGGAACTGCGACTTGGCCAAGTTCCAAGTTCTACTCGATGTTTACTGACAGTTACTTTGTTTTCAGCCGTTTCACAAATTCGAATGAGTCAGATCAATAACCGGGGCTGAGTAAATCACGGCTGCTGAACATCCCCCTATTCAACATTTGGATTCAGCTCTGAAGTCAAAGCTCCAATGACAAGTGTGTTGATTTTGATGGTTTGAAGCCAATTTATATTAACTATCAGATTAGTGACATAATAAATTAATGACATATTTAATTGACATTTGAATTCCATATGTTTAAAAAAAATGACAAGGCTGTTAATTAAGCGCATAAAATTAATACAAGTTCAGGAATTAATGAACAATGGAAAAATTCTAATAGACTCCTAAAGTCGCTGAATCTGAATCAATGTTCTGGACTAGTTTTGTTGGCTAAAAGACACAGACTCGGCTTTGAAATGCTTCAGTGCTGCAGCATAAAAGAAAACACCCACCCGCTCCAAATCCTGCCGCAGGTGCATGAACATCCGCATGCGTGTGTGGATGCTGTCCTCGTGAGGCTGCGGCACCAGATTCTCCTCCTCCTCTTTAGGGGGCAGCAGGGCTTTGTTGAAGTTGGATTTCCTCTTTAGCTTCCAGTACTGATAGATGAAGTCCACCAGGACTTTGGAGAGCCCCAGGGCCCGGGCCAGCTCCTCCGGCTGGATTAAAGAGTAGAACTCCTCCTCCAGCTCCTGCAGTCTCTGCGCCCGCTGGCCCACCTTCTCGGCATCTCCGGCAGGCTTGGAGCGGGCCGGGCTCGGGCCGGCCTCGCCGGGTTTGCTCTGGCTGTGCTTGAGGCAGAACGACTTGAACTTGACTTCGTCCCCCTCGTCCAGGATGGTTTTCATCTCCAGGCTATGCTCAAAGGCACACGTCACGTGGAAAGGGGTGGTGCAGTTCTTCACCGAACACTACGGGTGGAACGGAGAGAAGAGGGAACGCAAATAATTACAGAGGGAGGCGAGATTACTGTGAGAGCAGGATTTAAGAAGAGAGACGGGAGCTTAAGACCACACAACGTTTCAGCACAAATTCTTGTGGTGAACCGTCAGGGAAATATACGGGGGAGTGCAAATGAGAGATAAATTCATCTTCTTTTAGCATGATCATTTCTTTGCGACATTCAAAATAGGTAAAATACTTTGTATTCAAGCCCTTTCTAAGGGTGAAAATCACAATACACAATCAAAGGAGCTCAGAAGATTATCAGTCCTCAGACTATATATATACGCACACACACTCAGTATTTAAAATTTATAAACAAATAGCAACTACTTCGCAAGAAAGATTAAAACTGACTAATAAGGATCCTCTTGTTTTCCTTTTATGAAGAGTTGGACTTATAGTTTCACATTTTACCAACCTTGTTGAAGCATATAATAGCTACATAAATATGTACAAAGCATTAAACTAAACGCATGACTGCGATACACGAAAAAGCTGAGTGCTTCTGTGGAGGTACAAGTATAAACGCATACATAAATAAAAGATTACCCATAATAACAAGCTTGCATTTCAATAGAACCGGTGATCGCATTGACCCGCACTTGCCTGGATACACGCGCCTGTTTTCAATTTACACAGACTGCAGATGAGAGACCAGCGACTGGGTGGAATGTGGGAGATTTTGGTGATGGGCTCCATCCGCTCTGGACACGCAATGCTCACCTGCACGACAACACGCAGCACGAGCATGATGAGACATTTTTCGACACACCCTTAACAAAGAGAAACTAAATGAGGGTGTGCTGTACCTCTGGTATCCACAGGGCACAGCTTACATGAGCCCACTTGGTCCCGGCGCGCGTGGCCTTCATGGCACCGCCCTTCTGGGGACACAGAAGGCACTGCGGGTCGATACCGAGGACGCAGGTCCTGCACAGCCAGTTTCCAACAGGCACTTTGACAATGCCATAGCAAGCCTGAAGGAGGAAGATCGGGTAAGAAGGCCAAATTATTTCACATAAGTTATGTTTCACTCATAGATGCTTTTATGGCTCGTGTGAAAAATAAGGAGAAGAGTTGACATAAATCCTGAGCCAACTTGGGTTGCGCACAGGTGAGAGCCCTACCTGGTGAACACAGATGTTGCACTTGTCACAGAACACCATGTCGTTTCCTTCTTCGCTGTCCGGGGAGCGGCACACGTCGCAGATGACGTCCTCGTCGTATTCAATCCCCAGACCCTCCACCGTTTCGATGGCGTGCTTCATGTTGTCGTGGCACTGGCTCTCCAGGGCTTCCATCGCCCGCTCCATTGTCAGCTCATCTATGGGCTGCTCCCCTGGAATTTATGGACAAACGATGCGATAGACAAAAAAAAAAAGAAATCCATGATTTCTTATCCAGCTGTTTTTAGCTCCTTTATATTCCAATTTAACTGTCCAACATCACTGGGACAGTGCGGTGGCGATCGCTCCATACCCATACGCTCCAGCTCCTGGTTGAGAACATACAGCCAGTATAGGTCCATGTCGTCCAGATCGTAGCGGCACATGGCCTCCGCCAGCTCCTTGATGTTGACATATCCCGGTTCTGTGGACTCCTGGCTCATACACTGGATGTACTTCCTCTGCTGTGTGTAAAGCACTTCTTTGGACCTCTCCACGATAACTCTGAACCCAATTAATACAGGTAAATAATAGGAAACTGTTAGCAGGCTCTTTGATATAAATAAATAAGCCTGTAAAATTAAAATAAAAAACTGGTTCCACTACATTAAAACCCCGGGAAGGGGGAAGGCGCACCTGACCGATGGCTCAGGGATGGTGTCTGGGCTCGCCAGCACCTGGACCCCCTTCTCCCACTCCTGCTTCCAGGTGTCTGCCAACAAGTAGTAGTCTTCGGGGGAGACATGGTGGGAGTCAGGCAGCTTCATGGCGCTTATCAGGTCTTTTCTGAACACCTGCGGGAGAGAGAACAGGTGGAGAACATAGAAAGTTAACTTCTAGTCAAAACAGTTCACCAAAAGAGACTCGGCGGTGGATCTCATTCTGCTTTTACCTCGGCCGGCTTCTTTGGGTTTGAGGCCGGCGTTCCAGGTGTGCTGCCATACTTGTTCGAGGAGCTGAAAGAGGTCGAAGGACCTAAATAAAGGCAGAGTGTGAGAAATGGAGAGAAATGTGGGGAACTAAATATAGTTTAAGGCTACGAGCTCTTTCACACAGATGACTCACTCTCATTGTCTGAACTCTCACTGCTGCTGGACAACCTGAGGCGTTTCATCCTGTAACATCCTGCAGGAGAGAAGGGGACAGCATAGACTTTAGCATTTTAAAAAGAAAAAATAAGGTTATTTAAATTAAATCTAAAAATCTTTGGCATTATTTGTTGCAAGGAAATCATAGTTACCATTAATTTCACCTTGAACAGCATGCTAGTAGAGTCTTCAGATAAATTACCCAATATATTTCATATCTGAAAGTGAGAAAGAGTGGTCATTGTGCGGGGATCCACAACACTCGCCAACCGTATGTGCTTCAGCCAACTGAACCAAAGGGAAGCCTCATTCAGGTTGAAAAACGCTTTGAGACTTGAGCGTCGCCCACATACAGTACGCTTTTTCAACAGACAGGACATGCCTCGCATTCCCCATGAGTACAGGAGGGGCAGGAGGAGGAGAAGGCACGGAGCCAGTTTCTCTCCATATCATAGTCAAGTAAAACACACCGACAGCTACTGCTGGAGGAAATGGCGAGCAAGCAGTTGGTGGCAGATTACACTGATCTGGACAGTGTTCATGGAGAACCTTTAAGCTCTGCAACAGCAAAAACAGGAGGGCTCTCAGGGCGCCCCTCCACTGGCACAGCCGATCTTTTAAAGACGGCTAGCTCGCTGTTGCCAGCCAAAAACGATCTGACACGGATAAACACATTATTGAAAAGGTAAATTATGTCAAGATAATGAAATTAGTACCGAGTCTATTCAAAGGTGTTATGATAATCCATAAATGGATGTTGTATCTGTGTAAAAACAAGTTACTCTTGCAGATAGATGACAAAATAAATAAAAAACCAGCAGGCAGAAATCTAGAAACTTGATTTGTAGCAGAGAGGAGAGTGGATGCAATCCTCAGAGACGATGTTAATGGATCGGTGTGTCGTAGCGATCACACAACATTGGCAGGAAAGAAGAAAAAGAGTGAACACTCAGCAGGCGACACGGTTGAGAACTCCCAAACAGTTCAACATCTATTGTTCTATTTCCCATGATGACCAAAGGAAAAACTGTTGTTTAATTCCTTCTCCTACTCCTTTTTGTTGCTGCATTGCATCCTTTATATCCCCCCCTTCAACTCCTGTGGAGCTTTGGAGAGATCAACTGTATCCAGTTTTCTTGAAAGACCATAAGTTAATATAGTTCCTCCCTTTTTTAAGTACTAGAGCTGAGATCATTTAACTAATCACGTAATTACTAAAAGTCAAGGGTATGAATAACAGGTTATATTTAATGGAAAAATACTCATCAGTCCCATCTTTTTACTCATCAGTGCCATCTTTAAAACGGAAAAATGCCAACTTTAGAGGTAACCTGTAAGACATATTTGGCAACACGACTACTAAAACTTGCCAAATTAAATCTTTACGTTGTGTTTTAATTCAAAGACTGCAAAAAAAAATAGAAAAAAAGTTTTAGAGACGTGGACCTCTGTTCCTAGACTGTGACAGCTACAAAATATTCCAACAACGTTTCCGAGGACCGAATCGGTTCACGTCATCCGTGACTGGAGCTCACTTGCCCTGGTGGAGGGAAATGGAAAGAGTCTGCTCGCGTTTCTCTTCTCTGGGGCAAAAATAAAGAAACATACACAACTCAGTCTGTGTCCAGACGGACAACAGACTTTAAACTGACTTTAAACGGAGCGGATATGACGCTCAACTGTCCAGAACTCCCCCGAAGGCGAGGTAAGAAAATTCGCCTAAAATGTAGCTGCCAATTTGTGTGTTGATATAAATATACAAACCCACTGGCAGCTACATTATATGTCTGGTAATGAGCAGGCACTTGAGAAAAAAAATTAACCGACAAGCGAACTAAGAATAAGCCCAGCAAAGTGTGTGGCCTGTATTATGTGTGTATTATTGGCGCCAAACAGGCACACACAGGCCAGCAGGACGCTGCGTTGCAAGCTACGAAGTCAAACATGGCGCCACTGTCGTACAAAGATGTCACTTCCTAAAGCCATTACGACGAGTAACGCCTGGTTACTTGAGGTTAGCACTGAGTGTGGGTAATAATAACCCAACAGAGAAGTTAACCTTAAAGCGGGTGGCATGTATAAGATAAATAGTGATAAGTAGCAACGGGGGTAGCAGAAAAGGAGCAGGCCCCATGGCCTGGATAGACTATCCAGGGCAAATCCTGGCACAGTGAACACACGAGCATATTGTTCACATTCCTCCCATCTTACCTTCAGCCCACGTTTCGTCGTCCGCTTTAATTCCAGCCACGCGTACGGTCCTTTAGACCGTGGAAACATACGCTAGGAAATTAAAGGGTTTGGCTTTGAGCTATCTTTAAAATATTAGGGTTTTTTGTATCCCACCACACACTGGGAATCTCCAGGGCAGCAGTCTGTCTACCACCACGGCACAACACCGCTATTGTACCGCGCCTCCGATTGGGTCCTAAAAGCCGCCGGTTTCCGTCCACCCAAGGCGCGCTCGATTTTACGTCAGGCGTAGGCCGCTTACCTTTAACCACATAAGCAAAACAACCATCTTCAACTACTAAAACACGCCAAGTACAAATAGATAGTCAGGCAAAAACAGATATGACGTTTTTTTTAATGTGTCTATACAATTTCATAAAGACAGAATGTAACATAAAATGTAGAAACGAATTACACACAAATGCTTCCTCACATATCTTCAACAAAACTAAACGCTGGCATACAAAAAGTTTAGAGATCAAGTACACACCTACGTAGTCGCTAAAGGTTTTCAAAAGGCAACTGTACAAAATCAGGCTCGATTCAGCTTCCACACAGAATCTGTAACATGCTGTATACATTTCGTCACTTTGTTCCCCCAGGTGGTAGACACTGACTTCACTGTCAGGTTGCACAATTTCGCTTTTAGTGGAAAAAATTTAATAGCCAAGACAACAGCTGCAAGCAATGAATAACTGGGGAGGACATATTTAGAGAACTCCTCAGTGAAACTCATGATTCATTCTCTGACAAAGTGCTATGACAAAATAGCATGTGTTTAAGATGGATTCAATGTGTGAATTACCAAGGAAAGACATTTACTTTTTTGTTTTATTGTGAATGGAATTGGAGACTCGAGACTAAAACAGATGTGATTTCCCCCACACCTATTTTCAACTTAGTCAGAACATTGAAACTGCACTTTAGAGGTTGCAACTGGAAAATAAAATAAAACAAGAACAAGCTGAGGTTACAAAGAGGAAACAGAATGCTTCCCTTCACCCTGACGTCTGTTTCTAAAAAAAAAAAGATTCAGTTTGTGGACGTGTCACCCTTACAAGTGGTTGTCTTAGTAACAGCAACATTGGAAACAATTCAAAATCAGATGGACTGTCAATTTACTGTGACTGACTCTACTACAGAAAGCTTTCCTTCAGTCATGGAGTACAAAACAATCACATTCTGACAATTTTACACAAAAAAAGAGACTAGATACACATTTGATCCTACATAAACACCGTATAAAAGAAAATATTACAAATAAAAAATAAATTCATGAGTCGCCCACGTCAAAAACCCAGCTGTGTGACATCAGTTGCTAAATCTAGTGAAAATGGATCACTTGATATGACTGCACAGAAAGATTCACTCAACCTTTCAAAATCTGGCTTTGGCCTAATAAACAGGAAGTCATCACTTGCACAAATATTCTTATCTAAAACACAAACACATATAAATCTTTGTAAGAGTTTCTACATATAAAACACAGTCCCTTAGGCATTCTTGTGCTTATGCTTTTTTTTTTTTAAACCCCATTCCCCTCCAACTGATGACTGTTTCAGTCAGTAATGAAAAGATATGATTTAAATAAAAAGAAACATTCACAGCAGTGAGCTACATTCACATTAGACTGAAGCAACTGAATAAGCAAATACATTCATAGAAACATAAATATTCACAGCACTTGATGCAACTTAAAGAAATAGTTTACAGCAAATATTCCCCAATGAAAGGGGTAGGGGGGGTCCGGTGATTTTTCTTCTGCAGATTCATGGTTGTTGATTTGTTCGATTCAAGGCTTTATCAAATGAAGTATATAAAAATCTCAATTTTTTTTTGTCTTTCTTTTTTTTTAAAGAACATGAAGAGGCAATTAATCGTGACTTGTACTCTGCAGGAGCAGGACGGCAGTAGGGATGGTAAAAAAAAAAAAAAAAGAGAGAGAAAAAATAATTATTTAAGTTCTTCCGGACGGCTTGTTTCAACTGGTAATCATTTACAAGCCCATTTGCATGTCAGCGAAGTTGAAGAAGTTGTCGACGTCTCGAGAGGACGTATTTTTGTTGTCCGACACATAAAGCTGCAAAAAACAAAACAAATTTGAATGAAAAACTTGTGAGATTTCTTGAGCCTGTCTGTCTAAACGTTTACACAACAAAATGCAGGACTACCTTGGTGGTGCTGAACACCTCGCTGGCAATGTTCTTGCAGGCTTCCACAACTCCGTCACCATTCAGCTCCAGGGCAATAACCGAACCTATAGCAGCCAGACACCAAAGTCTTTTAGTATACCAACAGCCCTAAACGCTATGTCGACATACACAGAAAACCCATGTTCAGTTCGAAATTTCCCATATTTTCACACACTGTAAATCAGGAAGTTCTTTCTACAAAAATGTGGATGGCTTTCCCAAAGCTGTATTCACGATTTTTGACCATCACTTGGATTTTATATAGCCTTTTGAAAGACTTCAGACTTTTGTTACGGGAGAATAATGTTTCTCTTTCACGTTTTTGCAAAGCAAAGAGTCCTGAGGAAACCAACCAGGCATTTCAGGCATTGTAAGCCACACCTTGCATCTTTCACTCTGCTCTGTAAAATGAATTCCACCACGTTATGCTTTCTGTCAGTGAGACCTGCAGGGGAAGAATGTGCTACTGGGTGTTTGAAACAGGTAAGTCAGACAGCGGAGTGCGCACCAAGCTCAATTAGCAAGCAGTTCATGCATCCGATCCAGAACAGTCTAGGAAAATGTTACAGAGGACTCATCAGAAAAGTACCTTTTGTGATCCACTCCACAAGATCATCCGCACTGTTCTGAAACACTCTCTTCACATCCTCGGGCCGCATGGAGACCTCCTTTGTTTGAATCAGCACAAAGCCTTTAGCGGTGGCCTTTGCAAAGAAAGTTCAAAATGAGTGTTATAAAAGCTGGCATCAAAGTGGAGGGCATTGATAAATACACAAAGTTACCATCGTAAAAAGCTGAAAAGACTTTAACAGCCCCAAATGTCAGGGCTTTACCTATGATGATTTTTATGCGTTTCAATTTTATTTAACCTCTTTGCTTATGCTTTAATAAAAAATTTAATTTAATCAAATAATGGGCTTCACAATTGCTTCTTGCACGATGAGCTTTGTCAGTAGGCTGTTCTATTTGTTGTTGTACACCTGTCTGGTGTGTACAGCCACAAAAATAAATTCCGACCTTTAATAACGTCAGTGTTTTAATACACTGAACTAATCCACTAAGCTTTAATATGTATAAAAATTAAGATCTTAATAAAATTTAATTGAAAAAAAAAAACTCACGAATAGGGTTTCCTCTATTTTCTCTAGGACCTTTCGCACCTGGTGACATCGCACCCATAACACCTCACCTCATCAATCAGCTTGCGGGCGTTTGCGGTGGTGTATTCCCCGGCAAAGAAGACAAAGAGGCAGGACTCCTCACTGTCCTTCCGCCGCCCTCCCTTTGTCAGCGGGACGATGCTCCGCGCGGGGTCAGCGGACACCCGAACCGACTTGAACTCGGACTCAGGGTCAGGCGCCGGGACAAAATCCAGAACGGCCGAGGCTTCCGGGACCAAGCTCCAGTTGGTCTCGCCGGACACCGGGGTGAAGTCGTGTATGTTGCTCCAGTTGTTGTTGAATATGCTCAGTCCGGCGTCCTTGAAGTGGAAGGCCAGCTCGGGGTAGTAGTACTGGAAGCAGCCGAACTTCATGCCCGTGGACGACTCGATGATGGGCTGCGTGGCGCAGCACAGGAACACCTCCATCTTTTTGCAGTCCCGCGTTCGAAACTGCTGGCAGGCCACCACGCACTTGATGTCTTTGCAGTCCCTGAAAAACACACTTCCCTTTATGGGCCCCAGAACAATGCGGCAGTTGACGCAGTCGTCGATGGTGATGGTAGCGGAGTGGTCGAACACGTAGATGTTGCAGTTCTCGCACTCCTGGATGACAAACTGTTGTCCGTTGAGTTTGCCTGGCAGGCGGCCCACGGTTACATCTTTGAGCCCCGTGAGCATGTAGTCCTTTGGGTCAACCTGTGGAAAAACAAAAGGAGGCGTCCTATTTAGCGCTACATAAACACATTTAAAACTATGGGGACATTTTCTATAAAAAAAAATCTAGACACATTACGTTATTTTCCCGTGTCTTCAACAATGATACAAATCACATGTGAACACTTTTAAACCACATTTATAAGTGGACGTCTAACGCAGTTGTAGGTGTTTTTCAGTCTATTTTTTGACCAGGGGATGTGTGGTGTACAGCCTGGTTAAAGGTACTCCATTTGTCAAACGGAAGTCGAACTAGGGCCTCGTTGACGCCTGTAATGTCTGAACGGGCTAAACCAAGGCTACGCTGTGCCTTGTAAATCCGATAATGAGATAAAGCCCGCTACACGGAGCCCGTGGCAGAGAAAAGGGTGAGACCTCAAATCTCAGTTACCAACTTTTGAGCAAAGCTTGCTCCCCCCGACTTCCAATTTTAATGATTCGAACAGGACTTTGTGGGAGATACTACACTTTGATGCTACGACATAGGTTCAAAACTTAAATTTAAGGAAATGTGTATAAGGTCTATTTTTGTGAAAATCAAACGTGGAAGACAGCCGCTTTTGACTTGTAGTTAGAGGGACTTAAACCCCTCTCTCCGGGGTAAAGGTGGAGTCAACTCCGATTCCTATCAACAGTAGCTACCTGGAAGCGAGTTGACCAGCCCAGGTGAGAGGCACTTAAAGGCAACGAAAGCCGTGTTAATCACTTCAACTATTTCACCTAACTATATATATATTTTTTATAATTCATTCATTTTTCTAGACACTTAAATTAAAGGTTTATTTATCACAAGCATTACCTTTTCTCTCTTATCCCAACTGTACTGCTTCGGTGGCTCGTCAGTGTTGTTGCCAAGGGGAACCGCGTTATTTGTAGTCGTAGTTTCAACAGTCGTCGTTGTCGGCGCACGCTCTTCTTTTTCTGCTGACTTTCGTTTGGATTTCTTAGAAAAGAAGCACCCCATATTTCCTCCTCAGGAGCGACTAAATTCGAACAGCTTCTTTGCAGCAACGTTAGCCCCTTGAAGACGACAAAAAAAACAACGCACGGGCTTACCTACGAACACTCCACTTGACAAGATTTTTTTTTTCATTATTCAGCTTCCCGTTTCACAGCTGCGTTTCGCAACCAATCGATGACCTGGTGGTAGACGTCGCAGCCAATCACACGCCCGGAAAAAGGTGACGCAATCACGTTGGCGAAGTTTGCGCTCGGGAGACGTTTGGGTACGGAAATAAACATGAATACCGCATATTAGAACATATCTTATCTCCCGCTTTTTGCATATGAAAAACACAAACGAATTAAAAATGATTAACAAGAAATGATTTTCAATGTCAGATTAATGCACTCCGTTCGTACAATATGGGCATATCAAATAATATTTTGCACATTATATTGATATTTAGTAGATTATGAGCTTTCAACAAGATTTATTTATTTACTGAGGCAAAACATGGTTAAATTAATAAAGTCACATTTTCGAATCAAACTAACGATGGAGCTTCTATTTGTGGCTAGTTAAGTGGAAGGATAATAAATCAAAGATAAAGGGGGAAAAAGCCGGTACTTTAACAGATTACCCCGAACGCACCCTCGGTTGCACACTGGGCACACCCCCGCAGGTGTTTGCTTCTTCTCAGGAAGCAGCTTAAACATACTGGCACGTGGAAAGCATGATATAATTCAACGTAAGCTTGAATAAAACAACCGAAGTCAGCTCTAACATCCGGATCATGTCAAGCATCAGGCATATTTACGGTCGCATTTATATGGGCAATAACGCATTGTTTTCATGGGCCGTTGTCATGTTTTTTGCGAAACATTATTACTGTGGAAAACAAACCACAATTACCACGTAACCATCCAGCCACATGACAGATTAAGTTCCAATTTAAGCTTGGGCAACTCTAATAATAGGTAATCCTCCATCAAGATGCTCTGAATTCTGACCTTACTGCAGTTCCCTGTTACACCTTGAACATGTAAACAACAACAAACACAAAGAGATATACAGACAATCAAAACGCAAAATATCGATGTAGCTGAACTTGGTGATCACACTGGCAGGTGAGAATTACACAACACTCCAAGATCACTGGTGCATTGGGGGCTTATGTGTTTGACGATCACCATGATGAAATGCTTCTGTGTGCCTTTTAAAAGGAAACAAATGTCTTTGAAGCAAACATTACATTCTCTGAACTTTTCCTGTCTCACATCATTGATAACTGTTTCACAGTGAACCTAACCTGCAATTAAACCTCATCCAACCCCACACTATGCTCACTACCATTCTACTCACAGATAAATGAACATACTATTGTTTGTTTTTATATTTGATCCCAATGACTAACTGTAGGTTGTAACAGGTGGATGTAAAGACTCCAATCCCTCCACATGTAACCACAATGCAAAGTGACATAAAGCCTTGTTTTGTAAAATGCCATCTCAGGTAAAGACATCCATCACTCCTTTAGCTGACACTTCCGTCAGGTGGTTTCTAAATGTTGCCATGTTTAGTCAGTATTGGAATGATTTCCTCAGAGATCTAATCTCAAGAAAACAGTCCGTCAGTTGATGCCTCCCCGACACTACACAGTAGCTGCATATGCACATAGGATAAACACATATGACTGATTTTAGTGTCCATATATATATACAGTATATGCAAATTACTACCCATGAAAAAAATGAAACTCCTGAAAGTTGTTCATCCAGTTCTTATAATTTCATTTTCTTTCCAAGATATTTAAAAAAAATGCAAATATACCAAATATACAAAATATTTTCATTGGAACAGCAAAACATTCTTGTCTTTTTTTTGTCATTTATGTCCCCACTGTGCAAATCCTGGGGAGATGGTGTGGAACAACAAAAAATAGAACCAGGAAGAAAATAGGAAATCAAACAGCACTATAGTAACACATAATACATTTTTATTATTAATAGGGTAACACAGGTGGCAATGCCACCACAGAACCAACCTACAAGGAGAGGGGAGTGAAAATATGAGGAATCTGAGAGAAGTGAACTCCCGTCTGTGGCCTATAGACCAACACTACTAAGAGATGAGCAGTATCCTCCTCACCGGTCCTGCTACCAAAACTCACACTTATTGCAGCAATCTCCACATTCTTACGAAACCATCCAAACCAAATAACCACAGGGAAAAGTGTCCCTGCACACTTTTTTTTACCAGCTGAGCCTCTCCAGTACCAAAATGCACTCTCCGTTCTCATTTCCTGTTGAACAACTTTCCAGTGAGGGGCAACACTATGAAAACAAACTAGCAACATAAAAACCGAAAGCGCTTTCAGAGCTCAACTTCACTGGTACAAAAAAAAAAAAGAAGTCCCAATAAGGCAACTGTTACCTGGAAACAATGCAAGAGATGAAGGTCACTTACCACAGAGCGTGACACAAGCTGTTGATTGTTTCCAGTCAGCTTTGTCTCGCAAAATGTTTAAACAAAATGAGAAGGTTGTAAGAAAGAAGCAAGCGGAGCCTCAACAAAAGCGTTGACTAATTTGCTTTATAGAATTGAAGAGACCCAACAAAATTAATTGAAGGCACTAATAGAAAGAAACAAGAGCCACTGTTTGTTCCCAGACCTCATGACATGGGCAAAAGAAACAGACTTTTCAACTTAAAAAAGATAAATGCAAACAGCCAACAACACCCATTTAGAAGAAAAAAAGTTACAACGTGAAGACAAGCACAATCCACGATAAAGTGGGTTTAATATTGGACAAGCAAGGGGAGAGATTGTAATCACTACCACTACTGTAAATGTACAATTAAACACATAAACACTATTTATTTAATCAATTCAGTGTAGGTTTGCTAATGAAATCATATGTCGGTATGACAATAAATCTTGCCACAGAGCAAAGCGTGTTTGGATTTTTTCCCAGGAAATACCCATTAATTGACATAAGCAGCAAACCATTCCTCTGAACATTTAAAATACAATTTTTGCCGGTTGCAATCTCTTTTAGGAGCCAATCTCTTGCAGTGGTTCAACACTTTTTGGTACCATCAGTGCAAGAGCTAGCTAAAAGTGACGAGGGGTGGCAAATGAGGAGCTGTTTTCTTATATTTTGGCTTTTGCCTGCTTATGATTTATAAGAACTATAAAGATTTACTGTTTTCTTAATTGGTGTCTTGATGAATTTGCCCTGAGGAATAAAAAAAACAAAAAAACAAACATTATTTGATGGTTAATGTCCATCCATCCATCCATATTCCACCGCTTATCCGGGGTCGGGTCGAGGGGGCAGCAGCAATGTACGGCCTGGAAATAAAGACCATAGAATGAATGACCCACTCATTCATCTAAGACTAACTTGTCCTATGCAAACAAACTTGTGTTCACACACAACTGCATACAGTCATATTGGAGCCCTCCTGTGACCTGCATCCACATTTGGATTTTCTGCAAGTTCAGTGGCCCAGTCAATGATTATCCAGGTGTGATGCACATAGCCTGGGACACATTACTGCCACTTTCACCATTCTGAACCTAAAGTTGCCAATTCTTGTGTTTTTTCCTCCTTTTGGACACCCGTTTATGTGTGTATGTGTGTGTTTGTGTTGTAATGGGAAGGGAAGGGGCGTTAAATGACGAGCATGGTTTATTTATTATACACAATATGACATTTCAAACTGCACGCTTCCACGAATGAGCAAAAAAAATGAGATTACTGCTACTTTCATTATTCTCTTAGGTCAGCATTGCCCAGACAGGATATCTGCCGCTACATTTCGTTCCGACGCTGAAACACGAGAGTGGATTTCCTGTTTTGAATCGGACCGCGCGCCGAATTACACAATCATCACAATCCTAGGACAAGTGACTCAGTCACTGGCCGTCGACTGACTCGAGGCCGGCGTGATTTCCATCCTCCACCTCCTCGCCCGGTTCGTTCCTCGCCGTGTACCTTTAAAAGGTTGAGCTCGCCGGTCTGCGAGTTCTGGATTGTGTCTCCCCTTTTGGCTCATACGCTCTCTCTCTCGCGCGCGCGCTAGCGTGTGAGTGAACGTGTGCGTGCTCGCGCGCGCGCGTATGTGTCTTTTCTTCCAACAGTGACATGGCAAAGAAGCTGCGTTGCTCTCGGTAGCAGCAGCAGCATCCCGAAAACCAATGGACGCTCTGCGACGGCCGGAGCGGAGCCGCCGCGGGGGGCCGAACGTCGTGATGCCCGCCTGGCTCGTGCTGCTCGCGGCGTCGGCCCTGAGGGCGGAGGGCGACGGAATGGAAGAACTCGTCACCGAGAAGGAGGCAGAGGAAAGTCACCGGCAGGACAGCGTCAATTTGCTGACGTTCATCTTGCTGCTGACCCTCACCATTCTCACCATATGGCTGTTCAAGCACAGGCGCGTTCGTTTCCTGCACGAGACCGGGCTGGCAATGATTTACGGTAAAGGGTTTTTATGGATTAAATACACACGGAGCGCGCGCGGGCGCTCGCGCTCCTCCGCGGCTAGCTACAGCTTCGCGTGATTCAGCCTCTCTGGTACTCGCATTGAAGCGAGTCGGTCAACTGGAGACGTAGATGGGGGGGGTGGGGGGTACAATACGAAAAATATAAAGGTGCCAACGTGCCCCCACATTCCCACAAGCTTTCGGCTCTTGAGCATCGACTATTCCCCCACGGGCACGTGCAGCTTTTTAATCTAATGTGTCTCGTTTATCTGAAAGTGAGGCGTTTTTCTCGGTGCGTTTAATAACTGCGGAGTCAGGAATGAGGTTAAAGTGACATCAGTGTTTTTTAATCTTCTGTGCCATCAAACATCAATGCACCATGTAAAAATCTATATAAAAACCTAAAACGAGTAACAACAGTCAATATTAGCCATTGAAATAGCAGTTTACAGAAGAAATACAATGGGAAACATCTAAAACATATGTCCACAGTACTGTCAAAAAATCCAACTTTGAGGTTGTTAATGATTATAAAGTCAACCAATTGACTCAGAGTCCACCTGTTTTAGTGCCCTAAAGGATTATTTTTTAAAGGGCTGGCAGACAGTCAACAACAGAAAGCTGATGGGACTTCTCCTAGGTAATAGTGTGGCTTTTAAGGTTGGAGCAGATTTTGGTGATGTAGAAGAGGGCATTCATTGTGAACATGCATGTAGCATGTTGATGGTCAGCAGAGGTCTTCAGCCAGCCCTCTTTCCTGCCATCAAACAGGAAATGAATCAGTGCTTCACTCAAACATGTGCAGACATAAAACAAAATACAGCTGGCAAGGCAAAAGCAGCGTTTGCAGACTTATAGAGTTAATAATAGGAATGCCTTAACTTTTTCTCAAAGCCTTTTAATAAGTTTTCTTGTTTTCTTTTAAGTTGTTTTTTGGAATAATTCTCCAGACTTGTTGAAGGACATCCCAAAGCTTTTCTTTGGGGTGAAGGGTGTTTCTGTTCCATTTTCTGTAAAGTTTTTCCCACACTGCTTCAGTCATCTTGAGCTTTGGACTCTGTTTTGATTCTTCCCTCCAATAGATGTGTTACTTAGTCATGTTCCTCCATCATTGTGTCATTTCCCGTGGTCCCGCTTCTTGAAGATGGCTTCTTCTTGTCAGTCATCCTTCCCTGGATTGTCTTTCTGAAAAAACATCAGTGAACAGTAGATGGATCGACTGGGGGCCAGGTGTATCTTGGGTCCTTTGTCAGGCATTTGCCTCATTGACTTTTTAAGTTTTTCTTGAAGATATCGCTTGCTATTGTTGTCCTTGGCTTGTTCAGTAAGCTCAACCTGTTCAAGGACACACTGATATGTCAAGTTTTTTGGACAATATCTCGTTCAAGTAAAATGGTCCCTAAAGGTATTTTTCATTATGTTGTCTCTTGCGTGTACACAATACTGGGTTATTGCTTTGAGATGGGTGCCCTTTTTTGGAGAAAAATAAACTAAAACATTCCTCTGAACATGGCCATGAACACAACCGGTCTGAAAATGAGTGGAAAAGCAGGTGCCGCTGAAGATTTAACACAGAAGTGTGTCAATCTTTTAGCTCTTTAAACTTTGGTAGAAGAATTAAATGGAAACAAGCCGATTCTATAGGACAGAAACTAAAGATGACTTTGCAGTATGGGCCCCCTAGCGCACGATGGTGCTGATTAGCAGCAGGCGCTCCACTGTGGAACCTCATAACTGTCATAGGTTTCGTATTTGTATGTCCACAACAATGTTGACCACAAAATTCTGCCCTCATATACATCAGTCTGTGAAATTGAGCTGGTTAGGATTGTTTTTGTGCGAGTTTGAATCTAAAATCTGCGAGTGCAAAGCATTAATTTATGCAACCACACACGCAAGAATTCAAGTTTGTGTGTGGTTTTCCTTTGCATTGCCTCACACATAGCACGTCCTTATCTAAAGTCTCGGAAAGAACCTAAAATTTGTGGACTCGCAATCGAAACAGCAGGTGGTTGGATTCCTTCCCTGTATCGAATCACCTTGTGTGTCTGTTTACGGTTAGGTCACAGTTGAAATGTGATGTTCACAATCAAATGGTAGCAGAAAGAGTCAGTGAGCTTGCTCATGCTTAATTGAAAAAAAGAATAAAATCATTTGCATCACAAAGATGTATTCTGGAGCCATAAACAAATGTCAAAATGTTCCTCATTCCACGTCTGTCCTCTGATTCGTCAGGTTTACTGGTCGGCGTGATTTTGCGTTATGGCATCCCCGCCACCAGCTACCACAACAAGACGCCCCCCAGCTGCTCACTCAAGGAGGGGCCCACCAGCACCCTGCTGCTCAACGTCAGCGGCAAATTCTTCGAGTACACCCTCAAAGGGGAGATCAACTCCAGGGAGATTAACAACGTGGAGCAGAATGATATGCTGCGCAAAGTGAGTGGTGGTGGGGGTCAAAAAAGATCTGACATCATCAGCACATGTGTCAATTTACTTATAAAATTCTTGCGGGAATTTTTTTTTGTTCCAGGTGACTTTTGATCCCGAGGTTTTCTTCAACATACTGCTTCCTCCGATCATTTTCCACGCGGGGTACAGCCTTAAGAAGGTGAGACTTTGCATGTCAAATCCAGCTGACCTTTTGATGTTGTGGTGTGGCCGGGTGGACAAATCGACAGGCGGTAATTTAATCCATTGGAGGGACAGTTCATTGGCCAGATGGTGAGAGAGCAAATTTTCCACCTCTGAAAATAAGTATGCTCTCTCATTTTTTTTTTTAGGGGAAGTCCAGAGCAGATGTCTTTCGTTTCCTCTTTGGCTTTTTTCCTTTTCTTCTTCTTTTTTTTTTTTTTCTTTTTGCAGACAAAGAACAAAAAAAGGCAGTTGATGTGAACGGTTCCTGATTTTGGTGGCTGCGAAGTTTACTTTGCAGCCTTGAAAACGCATTAGGCGTTGTGTGGAGAGTGCCTGTCTGGATTTGCATTTTCATTGGCAATCTGTCACAGTACATACAATGTGAAAAGTACAGCAGTTGAACAACTTCATGCCTGAAAATGATGGATGCATTTGAGCTTGAATGTAATAACTGGGGATGGCATGTGTCTGAGCTCTATGAAGCACATAAAGTGATCAATCATATCTGGAGAAGTCATTAAAGCAAGCGGGGGTGGTGCTGTGCTTCCCGAGTGTGTAAATGATCGTATAGACTGCTTGTTGAATTTTGATTTTTACAGTTTGAGAGTTACTTGGCATCTGTACAAATGGTTCACCTTTTCAAAGATTTTGATTTGGCTGCATATTTCAACATAGACCAAAGTCCACACGAGATTAATCACACGCAGTGGAAGTTCCCCGACTTCACTTGCTCTGTAAACCTACAAGCTGGTGTGGCAAAAAGGAATAGATAATAAATGTTACTGTTTTTTCTCATCTCTTTTTCCTTGGCATCATTACCCCTGCAGTCCCTATAGTATCTGGTTGTAAATTTAACTTGTGTCCTTTGTGTGTTGTGCTCATTAGCTAACGTTAGCATGCTAATATGCAGACGCTTCATGTTAACAGAGTTAGCAAAAGCTCCTGACCTTCCAGAAGTTATTATTTAGTACACACAAACAGCCTCCCTCAATTGCTAGCCTGACTGTGTACTCGTTACATAATGTAACAAGTGTATAAGAGCAGTAAGAGCTGTGGGGCTGCCCCTGATGTAGGTGAATGTGCCATTCAAGTTTCAGTGTTGCCACAAACTCGGTGTCTAAATTAGTCATACAGGGCTCGGCAACGAGCAGAAATTCATTCGGCTCTCTCGACCAATGTCAGCAGCGCCGACAAACACTATAGATACCGTGATACAAATGGAATGGACAAATGTGTCAACTATGTGTTTTACTTTCTACAGCTTGATGTGGTTGTTTAACAGAAATGGAATTCTGGCAGCTTTAAGCTCCCTGTTGAAATCTGGGTTTGCTTTTATTCTTTTGTTTGTCTTGCATGTCTAGTTCAAGTGGAATTTGCTGAGTCAAACTGCAGTCCTCTGGAAATGAGTCTTAAAAGGATACAAGGGAGCCAGAGTTCATTTTAAGCGGGATTTAAAACAATTTATGCACTCAAGACTGGTACTGATGAACTACTTGTGTGTGTATATATATGTATATGTAATTATAAAACGGTCAAACTCTTTTTTTTTTTTTAAATAAGGGAGATAGTCTTTAAGGAAAAAGGACATTTCCTGTAGAACTCTGAATCAACAGTTTTGTGTTGAGCATTGGATTGGCACTGTTTTGAGAGGGAGTTTGTGTTTTGGTGCTTTATTTTACACCCAGACGACTGGAAATTGTGTTGTCCACCCACTTGTGGCCTTCCAAAAAAACAAAACAAAAAAGAACAAAGTTTTTTTTTTGGCTCAAGTGTTGGAGAACATTTATCACTATGAGAAATATCCAGTTTGTTGTGTCAATTCAAACATACTCTCTTTTCTTCCTTAATGTTTTCCCCCTGGCAGAGGCATTTCTTTAGGAATCTGGGCTCTATCATAACCTATGCGTTTCTTGGCACTGCTATCTCATGCTTCGCTATTGGGTGAGTGTCTGCTCTCTGTTGATCAAACACTTTTTATAGTGAAATTCTTCAATTTTGAGTTGTTCGGTGATCTTTTGCTGTCCTCTCTGCTGGCTGTCTACCCACAGGAATCTTATGTATGGCGTGGTGAAGCTGATGCAAATGGTTGGGCAGCTGACTGACAAGTTCTACTACACGGACTGCCTCTTCTTTGGGGCCATCATCTCCGCCACAGATCCAGGTACAAAATACACCTGCTGAAAGAGGCAGTGATAGTGGGATTCAGGTAATGTGTGCCACTTTTAAAATAAAAAATGTGTTTGTGTCCTCCTCTGTCTGCCTGCAGTGACAGTACTGGCCATCTTTAATGAGCTCTATGTAGACGGGGATCTCTATGCTCTGCTGTTTGGAGAGAGTGTAATGAATGACGCAGTGGCCATTGTGCTTTCCTCGTAAGTTACATTCCTTCCTTCAACCTTCTCTCTGCACTTCTTACTTGCATTTTATTACCCTACTGTATTATGTAATTTCTGTGGTCCCTAGGTAACCGTGTCATTTTAAATCTTTGCACGCACGGTATGTGAAGAATTTTTTTTAATGCTACCGGAGAAATGGATCTTAAGTAGTTTAACACTTGGTGGGCTTAGCTTTAAAAGTGTGAGCATAAGCAGATTTCCCGCCAGTCAGTCTATTTAAAGTCATTGTGGCTTTTAGTTGAACAAAACAAGCATGAAGAACTTTGGTTTCTGGGTAAAGATCACTCAGCGTTTCATCTCGATCTCTTCTTTTTTTTCAATGTTCTTTTCAGTCAGTTATGGTCCTTACTGGCTGAATATATTTGAAATATTTCTTTGACTCATTACCACACTTTAGTGCATTTATCTTCAATTGTGTTGGGCTTTGGGCCACTGTTGAATGTAATATTTATACGCCAGAGGAGGCAGAGCAGCTCTACTTTGCTGCTCTTTTTGACAGAACAGATAGACAGACGGGCAGCGCTTTAGCTCCCTCTTCTGGATAATTAAAAATCATCTACAGACTGAGATTAGTTATTCCCTTGTGTCCATTCTAAAATTCTTTTCCCGCTGAATTTGAAAACAGACGTATAGATAAAGCCATGTCAGTTATTTCCTCAATGAAAAGCAAATTAATCAATTTAAGGTCTAGTTCATTTATAAAACACCATGGTGGCAGTTTTAAGATCAAAACCTACTAAATGCTAACGATAAAACATGTTGATTTTTCACATTGTTACATATTATGTCCAGCTCCCTCTTATTTACAAAGTTCTGTTCACGTGTAATTTTAGAGTTTTTTTCCTATCTGCTCCCACCCACTGCTTTTTCAATTTGTTTTATTACTATTCAAACAATATCACAATGCTCATTTTTTTCTGGGTTGATATGGATTTTTATGCCAAAAGGACATAATGTTTTGACGAAACATGTAATTCTCGAGGAACTTGCCTAATCAACTGAAAAACAGTGGTCAATGGGAAGACATTATCAAGCCACAGTGTTCTGGTATTTAATCCTGTGTAGCGGTGATCGCTGAAACTTAAAGGAAAGCAGCTTTTGTCTGCCTTCGTCATGTTTAGCTCAAAGAAAGAGTCCTTGGCACACAATTATGCATTATTATGAGGAAACCTCAGACACATTTGCTCATGTAATATTGATGAATTTAACAGACAGGGCAGAGAGAAAGTGTAAGAATCATTTAAATTACTCTTATTGAGTGCAATAGGATTAATAGAATAATATGATATTTTAGTCTCTATGTAATTCAGTGTTTTTTAGGTAAAAAAACATAATTTACCCTAATCAAAGTGAGTTTGAACTTGTCTTGCTCAACGTTTCCTGAGTGGAACTGTAAGAAAGTATAATTCCCTAAATAATCTGACTTTTATTATTTATTGTGTAATTAAGCATTGTTTATACAACTCCTATTGATGTAAATTCTTGAATACAAACCCCACACGCCTTTATTCACTCATCGCTGATGCATACCGTTGCCCAAGTCCCACATTCTTTCTGTAAAGGTTATTAAAGAAAACTGAGCATTATATCTGATGGGTCGGTTTGAAGTATCAGAATAAGAGTATGTGTATGTGTGTTTACAATACAATAATGTAATGTTTTCTTTCTTGCTTTTTTTATTTATCCTTTCAGGTCTATTGTGGCATACCAGCCCAGTGGTGCAAACACACACATGTTTGATGCCTCTGCCTTTTTCAAATCAGTGGGTGTTTTCCTGGGGATTTTTAGCGGCTCCTTTGTGATGGGTGCAGCCATAGGAGTCGTCACCGCTCTCATATCCTTTGGTTTTTTGCTTATGTGTGCTTTGGAATTTTTATGTGTGCTTTCGGTTGCCTCAGCAGTGGCTACATTATCACTGTGGCCATTTAAAAACGCTTTTCTTTAACTTGCCTCCACGTGACTAAGTTCACAAAGCTGCACTGCTTTCCACTCCTGGAGACGGCTCTCTTTTTCCTCATGTCCTGGAGCACCTTTCTTCTGGCCGAGTCCTGCGGGTTTACAGGTGAGCTGCATGTGTATGTATAAATAATGTATTAAAAAGTAGATCTAAAAATCAGGATTAATCAATGGTTAGCAGGAAGTATTTGTAATTATGAGTTATTATATTTCAATCAAATGCAAATTTTCTCAGTTTTAACCTACGCCTATTACTTTGAGAAACTTGCAGTTGCTCTATGAACATTTTTTGCCCTTGTGAATCCTAACGTGTGTTAGTAATGTCAGCTGTATGTTGGTTATGTAATTTTATGGTCGTGCTAGTAAAATATACATCCACTGGGTGACTAAGTGGATAAAAATGATTGTTTTAACTTATCCCCCATTTTTTTTTTTTTTTACTTCAATGACCCCTAAAAGGAAAGTACATTGTATATTGTTTACATTTATGTCTTTTCAGATTTTTTTTTAGATATATCAAGTTGTGTAGATTAAGACTCTAAGTTATTTTTTCCTTTTGTTTAAAATAAGAAGCAAAACTCTAATGATGTAGTCTTTACGATAGGTCGTTTAAGAAAAAACGGTTCATTTTCCATGATTTTTATTCAGAATTCCCAGTCCTAAAAGCCTCTGTTATTAGCTGTTTGAACATGATGCTGCTAAAGTGGTAGAGCGTAATTGTTCTGTTGCACAAAAGAAATACAGCAAGGCCTTGAATTAGCTTTGTTCCGTAGATGTGCTTCTACTAAAACAAATAAATAATGTACAGCACTGGTGACACTGTGAGGACTAACGTTCAGATTTTACTTAAACGATGAGTGTGATGTACTTCTCTCCCTGTCTCACTGACAAGCCTGTCGGTCTAAATAATTAACACTAAACGCCTTGTTTGTCTTTTTCTGCAGGCGTTGTGGCTGTGCTGTTTTGCGGTATCACACAGGCTCATTATACCTACAACAACCTCTCGGAGGAGTCTACAAAACGCACAAAGCAGGTACCATCTGACCCACTCCCTCGTGCCGCCCCAGTAATACCAAAACACCCCACGTCTCGATAATCTGAACCGTGCTCGTGCCAGATGGCGCCATGATCAGCCTGCTGTGACCTTAATCGGGGCTGTCTGAGGACATCCCTCCTGACATGACTGCTCAGTTTCACCAGAGGAGGTTCAGTCTTAAAGGACAGTCAGCAGATGATTGCATTTTCTACAGGCTGCTGCTGTTCCGATTTTAGAAAAAAAAGTACTCATTTGTGCCCATGCTGTTGTAGCAACATCCGTCTCCTTAACTGAGAATAAAACATAGTTTTGCCTTTTATTCAGCTGCATTGAGGATTTGTAAATCCGGGTTACAAAAAAATGTTTTTTATCTGCAGCTCTTCGAGGTCCTTCACTTCCTGGCTGAGAATTTCATCTTCTCCTACATGGGATTGGCTCTGTTCACCTTCCAGAATCATATTTTCAGCCCAATCTTCATCATTGGCGCCTTCGTATCCTTTCACCACCCCGTAGAGAACTTTTTTGCTTATCTTAAAAAATCTTGGGAATGAGTGCAGCTCTGTGGTTTTAACTTGTGCATTGAAACCATCCTTAACTCATCTGTCAGTTTGCCATATTCATTGGAAGAGCTCTCAACATTTACCCGCTCTCCTTTCTTCTCAACCTGGGTCGAAGGGACAAGATCAGGGGAAACTTCCAGCATATGATGATGTTTGCAGGTAGGAAAGAAAGAGAGAAAATATGCGCATTTAAAGAAATAAAATAATAGTTTTTACTCCGTCTTAACAGACCTGGGGAGGTGTGATTTAAAAAATGTTTTTTTTTATTTATTTTTTTATAAAAAAAAAATATATATATTTTTTCATTCATTTATTTCTACACTTCCCTTTGCAGGTCTGCGTGGGGCGATGGCATTTGCCTTGGCAATCCGGGACACGGCTACATATGCCCGCCAGATGATGTTCACCACCACGCTCCTCATTGTCTTCTTCACCGTTTGGGTGTTCGGTGGAGGAACCACAGCCATGCTGTCCTGGCTGCATATCAGGTGATGAAACTTTGAGGTTTAAAAAAAGTCAGATTCCCACTCCGCTGAGGTATTCAGTATTAATCAATATGGAGAAAAAAATAAGGGCAGTGCTTTTTGACCGAAAAACAGATCGCATGAATTAGAGGCGACATAACCTGTTTTCTATAAACCACAGAAAACAAAACTACAAAGAAGCGACAAATTCTTTCAGTCTTGTTACCCTATATGATTTTGTTATTTGTTTCTTATCCACTGCACCTTTTTGGAAATCAATAAATCAAGGAAGTGCTCCATCGGTTTAGGGTGTAGTAATCTTTCTCAGTCCCTATGTGTATTCAGGAAAGAGTTCCACTTTTCAAGTATTAAACGGAAAAAAAGGACATTTATTTATTGGTTGTTTTGGACCAATAAATACATTCAAAGGTCCATTTTGGATGGTTTCCTTTTGCTAGTTTATAAGTGTGTTACATTCGCAAATAGGTTTGGTTCCTCTCACATTTATTTAAAAAAAAAGAAAATCAAAGACCACCAGGAGATGGTGCCAGAGTTCTCTGCCGCTGCTTACCTCCCATCTCCAAGTTGTTTTCAGGCTTTTCCAATTCAGCCTGCATGATGTTGCACACAATGTACTCTGTAACAATGCCTGGAAGGTGAGCCAGAAGGGAAAGTGAGTCTAATCACTTCAGCTTCCACCACATCAACTATCCCAATGTGAGATGTGATTTTAACCAACCCCCCCAGCCCTCCTTTTTCCCCTATCGATCTGTGTGGATCACAGGATCACTTTGTCTGGCCGTCATGCACACGGAGAGCTTCCATTTGCGATGATGAAGCGGATTATCTCATTCACAACAGCGGCGGGATTGGGAGAGCAGAATCTGCTTAATATGAGTAATGCCTCCTCAGGCCGAGCAGGAACTATTGTGTTTGGTGAGGGTTTAGAACACTGCCAAAATCTCCCTGTGAACTCATTGCCATGGTAACCGGGACATGTGTTGCATGGCAGTCTAATATCAGCAGGGCTCCCTTGTGATTTTGGTGCGTGCACACTTTGAACGCCGCATGACCGCGTGCCAGCCTGTAATGCAGCCGGCCCGTGATTTTTATGACTGAATTTGTCTTGTGTTGCCTCTTTTGATAAGGTCGTGTCTGTAGCAGTTATAGTGACCCTGTTGAGAGCTGGGAAAGGATGTCGGATTGGTGCTGGGTAGGAAAATGTCCTGTGCGCGAGGAAACTGCAGGAGTTTAGATGAATGCCTGTAATTAGTGTAGCTATCAAGAGAGAAGGGAGCTAATCGTCTCTTCACTCTAGTGAATATGTTGCTGTTTTGTCGTCTTTTAAGCCTCACTTGCTGTTAAAGGGAAGGTTGCTTTTAGTGTTTTTTTTCTGTTGAAGCTATTTAGAGAAAAACACTGAGCTATTTTGGGCATTTGAGTTTTTAAGTATTCTACAAGAATTTCTTTTTTTCTTATTCTTTTTTAAAAAGACATCATGTGACTATCAAACTCAAACCTCAAATTGGAAGATGGTGAGTGAGCGGGTGTGTGTTGGTCAACTCTTTTCCTGTAGTTTGATTTTAAAGCTTTTGTGAGGAACTGCAACCATCATAAAGTGAAAGTAAAAACTCAATTTAGTATAAATTCCTGGAGTTCAAACAAAATAAGATTACTGGGAACTTTAGGTGTACATTGAAGTGATGAAAGGGGAACTAAAGCCATCAATCATGAGGCAGTGAGAGTGCAAGAAAATGCAATAAATTGACCTTGAGCATTAAATTACCACAGCAGTTGAAGTATCTAAAAATAGTCACTGAACTAAACGGGGTGGCTGAAGTTATGTCATCCGGATGTATTTTTCATGTGTAGATCTGAACATCTGCTGAGCCTCACTAAGCAAGAAGATTAGTGCATGCCCCCAAAACCGAGGATTATTTCACTCTGACTGTTGCCAATTCCTTTAAAAAAAAAAAAAAAACAACAAAAACCCCCGCTATATAATCACTTTTATCTGCAACTCCAACAGTGATGCAAATCCTTCAAATCCATGGATGCAAATATGGAGATTATATAATTGTTATAAATGCTCCACTGTAGAAGACATCAGATGCGTTTGTACCGAATAACGCGTCTGCTGTGTTTAAATGTGTCTCCAAACTCAAAATGACACAATTAACAAATACGGCTGTGATGTGATAGATTTTGGAACATCAGGAGAAGAGTTCAGGAAGAGCGGCGTCGCTATGGAAAGTGGGAATATTTCAGGGGCCGTATGTGAGTGCCTCGCCTTTTCGATTTTATTCTTCGGTTCTTCTTTGTTTTTGGGTGAAGGAGGACAGTTGGCCTCTTTAAACAGTCACGGAAAAGGAAGACTCAAGTGTAAAAAATCAAACCGTCCAACCAGGTTTAAAACTGGCTGGTAATAAATAAGTAAAAGGCAACCGGATTGTCTCCAGCCGAGCTGCCACTGCTTGAGAAATGATCTCAGCTTGATCCAGTAAAGTGCTTCTGTCAAGGCTGCTCTGTGTGATGTGAAATCTTGAGTCTTTTTTTTTTTTTTTCCCCCTTGTCGTATCTTCTTTTCTCACCGTGGTGAAAAGCAACAACCCACTGCACAAACTGACCTGAAATGCACAAAAAAAAGAGGAAGGTACTGAGCAGAGAGGGGACGGGCTTGCATTAAGGAGGCCAGATTTTCTCTGTTTGTTTGTGTGTTTGTTTGTTTTAAACCACTAAAAGGCCAAACCAAGCAAGGCAAATAGCTTCCGAGGAATATTTGATGGATTAAGGAGAGGATTAGGATTAAAGGTTTGTGGGCGATATGAGTTAGCGGAGATCTCTTACATAAGAGTATAGGAAGATGTTTCTCTTCCATCATGGACATGTTTTTTCTTTTTTTCCTTTTTTTTTTGCTCTGCATCTTTTGTGGTTCCCTCTAACTATTGTCTTAGGTCCATTACTTACTTATGCTTCCTTCCTTTTTATTTGATTTTTTTGCAGGGGCTCCTGCCCCGGCGCAACCCCAACCCCCTTGATCCTATTTGTTTGTGTGTTTAGTTGAGAGGGAAGAAAGTCCCAAGAGGCAGTTGGATAATGGTGGCCTGCCTTCTTTTCTTACTGAGCCGCGAAGGTGGAAAATACAAGGATAATTCAGTTAGTCAGCGGACATTTCCGCTGGGTGACAGTCATGAAAAGAGTCTAAAGATAACCATACACGCTTGTTAGACACACCACTGTACAGTGTCAGATATCATCTAAGATGGGTCCGCTGACAGACTACAGGTCTCAGCTCTGGCCTCAGTCCTCAAGGATCACAGGCAGTTCATGGAAGCGGATATAGCTTCAAAGAAATCTGCTGCTGTTCAGTTTTAATACTTTTCATTTGGTAGGCGAGACAAGTGGGAAATTAGTCATAGCTTGCAAGAGGAGATGTAAATGCCTGCGGTATGTAAAATTCTTTGCGGACGTCACTTTTTGCATTGACTTGCTGTAGTTGAGCTCTGTTCTCCTGCCTCTAGTGCTTTAGCTGAATAGCTCAGTGCAAAGAGGGCCAACAAAAATTTTTTAACGTATATTCTACTAGATTTTTTTATTCCATTTAGTTTAATTATGGAATAATTTGACACGATAGTAAGCTTGTTTTTCCCTCTGATTTGATTATGTATTGCGCAGTATGAAAAGCAAATGGCTATTTCTATTTCTGCTTTTGGTAATGGTTTAGAACTGTTACAGACTAGATGTAAACAGTAGTTTTTCTTTTTGTAGAAAAACAAGTTGTCCCAACTTTTATAGAGACAGGTGAACTGGTAAACAGTTTGCCTGTCTTTGTTTATAAACTGTTTACACGCTGACTGGTAAACAGTTCTCTTGTATTCTTATGTGATTCTCCGCATGAAAAGCAAAGGACAAATTATTGATGTTCAAAAATTTTACGGATTAGAAGTAAATCAGTTTAAATAGTTTCAGTTTAGGTCAATAAATCACATGGAGCTTGTTTATCACCAGTAATTCTAACCACAACGGGAGCCTGTTGCTCGTGTTGCATAATAAACCGCGGTTGTTTTTCTGTCCATCTTTTTCTATAAAGTCGAAACAGAGCAGCATTTTATACTATATTGATCCCCCAAATGAATTGATTTGGAACAAAAGAGTTTTAGTGTATGGTGTGTTTTTTTTTTTTTTTAATAATTCTTTTTAGTGTTATCTTTTGGTTTGGTTTAAGGGAAGCTTATGAAAACACGATATCCGTCTCGCATTGAGCACAAATGTACCCAGCCTCTTCAGTCACATCCTGTCTCTCGCATGCAACGCTGTCTCGGTGGCACCAGGATCAGGGATGACTTGGGTGATTTATTTTATTTTTTTCTACACGAGTGTCTGGCTTGTTTTGGCTCACCAGCTCAAAATGTATTTACCCGGTTATCTCACACATGTCTCACACAAAGTAACACTATATAATTTATAACTCCTGTCGGATACAAATGTTTAGCTGTTACAGCCAAAAGAGGCTACACCTGCACTCTGTGTTAATGGAGAGGAATCTAAATAATCATGTTTAACTGAATCACTCCAGTGAAGCAAATGTTACTTCTGGAGAATTACAAGGTGCGTAGGACACGCTGCTGACTGTCGGCAAACCGAGTTAAGGATTCAGACGTAGAGGTAATTTGTTACAGGAGTGCAGAGCCCCTTCTCTCTACTATTTTACTCTTCTCAAATGTTGCAGAGTTGGTGTGGATCCCGATCAAGACCTACAGCCTTCAGGAGACAGCTTCCAGGTCCTTCAGGGGGTGAGGATCCCTCTCAGACTCACACATTTGACACTTTTCTCGTGGTTGAGACTGTTCTGTTCCTACTATTTTAAGAGTCCATCCATCCATTTTCTTTAGCCGAGAAGGGGCGAGAGGCCCGGTACACCCCGGCCAATCCATCACTGTGACTCAGATTCACGAAGTTTAAAGACGTGCAAACATGATTCGTTGAACAACTTCCCCGGTCATTGTTTAACGATTGTTATTCTTTAACTCATTTGTCAGCTCTGTTTACCGTGTGACAAAGCCCACCTTGTTAGGACATGACCCACATTAAGCTCTGAAGGCTGATACTGACAGGACGCTGTGTGCTCCAGCCCTGGTCCACAAAGGGGGAAATGTATAGTGAAAGTAGTGGATCTCACTACTAACACGGAGTCATTTGATATTTCCTTCTGAATGCAGTTATTTTTCACAAAGCCACTTCAACCTTAAATGGTCCGAGGCATCGTGGTCCCAGACATTATTTACTGTCTGAGGACTCCAGGGTTCAGCTCTATATCTGTATATAAATACAAAAGCTTTGTTTGAGTCATAATGAATCACCACCACATAGTTTAAAAGTTCCCTCTAAATGGTCTTGAGCCATAATTTAAGTTAAACCAGCCGGCTAACAACCTGTGTGCCTTAAGGAAAATAAATTGGTTCATGTCTCTTTTACAATAAGACATGAATATTATTTGGTATCACATTTATAGTATTTTAACTTTGTGAAATCTTCATCCATGCTATTGATGTGACGCAGAAGAAGGTGAAAATTTTATGTGCACCACAAGTTTGAAAAGGGTAAAAAAAACATTTTTTTTAAAAGACCAGGAAAGAGTTTTAAAAAAATCCCAGTACTGTAGATGTTTTTAGCTGGAGCCTTGAATATAAAACTGAACCCAATGCCAAAACATTTATTATTAAGATAAACACGAAACAATCTATCCATCCATCTAGTAAGCCTCTCATTTCAAACTCTAGATCACCTTTATGTCACGCAACAGCCCAGCCGTTATGTGGCATAACCATAACACATCTAAAGATATCCAAACCATACTGTGATTTTAACACTTTAATTCATTGAGGTTGTTAACCTACTAAGTTACAATTTGGGCAAAAGTGGTTTCAGGATGAGACGTGTTTAAGAGAACATATAATTTGCCATACAAAATAATTGTTGTTGGAAAATGTTTTATTCTGTATAAAGTAGAAGTTGACAATATTGTCGATAACTTTTATTTATTTATTTATTTATTCTCATGTGTTCCAGGATGGCTCCCAGCCTGAAGGACAAAGCAAAACCAAACAGGAGAGTGCTTGGCTTTTCAGACTGTGGTACACCTTTGATCACAAGTATCCTCTTTGTGTCCTGCTTTCAGAAACATGAATTACATGAATCATTTGTGTTTAAACTGCAAGATAAATGCTGCATGATCTGTGACAACACGGGGTCTCGTATCCAACTGAGGATTTTCCGGTGCCCTGGTTCTTTTGTTTAGTTTAGTTAATTTTTTTAAACCATGCTGGCTTTGGATCGATTAACAAACATGAATATTGGGAACGTTTACTTTTGCTGCTTGGTCTGGCCAACAGCAGACTTAAGTTAATGTGTTTAGCAGTTCATTCACTCTTTTGGAGAATTGTCCCCCAAGGCAGTTGATTGCAACACTGTTTTTGAATATGAGCAGCTGTGTTTTAGAGTTCACATTCTCCTGCCTTTTGTTTTTTTTCTTCTTTTTTTTTTTTTTAGATATATATATATATGCAGCTAAAGTAAGCAGATTTAGATCCCATTTCTCCAGTGAGACGTTTTTGATAAAGCTCTTTATTTCTGGAGTGATTGTGAGTTTGACAGAGGGAGCCGGCGGCTTCTTTCCTGGCGCTTACTTCACCACTTGAACGCTTTTCTTGATTTTTTTTTTTTTCCTTTTCTTTCCCCTGAGCCCCAAAACAGCCTGACTAATTACAAACAAGAGGCAGAAAAAGCCGGCTGGTTCCTGCTGCCAAGCATCACAAATGACTTTTCTCTTCAGCTGCTCACAGACTCCTGAACAAATGTTGAATTCCACATATATGCTGCTGGCAGATTCAATCATTAGGTCCCAATTCATTCAGGGAAATGTGTTTAGATTGAGTTTATACAGAAATGGAGCTTCGTGTGAGAATAAAAGAAGAAAGTAAGGCCTATGAATAGTAATTTGAACTTTGTAATGGTTTAATTCTATTATGTATTTAACTACCGCTTTTGTCTTTATATTCTATGATAATTAATTTTAAAATACATTAGATAAGTAAAAAGGAACATTTCGAGTTCCACAATTCATTTTCTGATTAATACTTCAACCATCAAATGTAGAAGTTTTTACTTGTTGATTACCTCTTGATCTACGCTCCTTAATATTTTCTCAGTTATCTTAAGCCCATTCTTACACACAGTGGTCCACCTCTCACTTCCACCCTGCCTGGCTACTGTGGACCGCTGGCCAGCTGTCTGACCAGTCCCCAGGCTTATGAGGTGAGTGTCCACATGCACCCAGTTTACACACACACACATGTATATATATATATATATATAAGATATATTTCTGCTTGAACTAGCTTTGCCCACTTGTCCAAAAGTTTTTAGAGTGTGGGGAGGATTTAGAAAACCTTAAAATATTTCCGTATAAACAATAAAGTAGATACTAGGTCACTACTTTGTGGATTTTGGCTTATCGTAAGGAATTCTGGAAACTAACCCCCGCTATGGATGAGGGACCACTGTATATGTATAGGAGGATTTTAGTGTCTTGTGTTTTGTATGATATCTCCTCTAAAAAATTCTGCTATCTGGACTATGAGCCCATATTTACTTTCAGAGAAGTTTGTATAATAGCTTCAAATTTGAAGCTACTGATTAATTCAAGAGGATTGAACTGGTTACAAATGTCAAAATTAGAATCAGATGAAGACTACCAACACAGACAAGATTAATGTCTTGGTGGTTTTGGCGTTTTTGCTTGGTTTAATGGTTTGATTCCTTTCTCAGGCTTTATTAAGCACTGCCGCAACCTCAGTCTGCACCGGGTCACACTTTTTAACATTTCGTTTTAGCTAGGAAGCAGGAGTTATGGTTTGGTTTTTGGAATTAAGAGGAAAAACTGTGTATTTTTACTTCATCCTTTTATTGTGCTTATTACTGTGACTGTGCCCTGTGATGGTGGTCTGTGAATGCAGAGGATTTTTAGGTCGTAGGAGACCTGTAATGTTGTCAAAGCCTGCCACAGAGAACCAAGGCCTTCAGCAAGAGGGGAAGTGAATGGCCGAGAAGCCTTTTTTTACATTCAGTAGGCACAAAAGGCCCTTTTCAGTGCCACTTCAATGATGACCACTGTTCTGACAGACAAAGCAGTGTGATATTTCGAACTCGGGAGAGAGACGGTCATGCTTCAGTTTATTCCATTAAATTCTTCTTTTTATTTCATGTGAAATATATTTGACATGGCAGTTTTTTTTTTCTCTCCAGGCTTTGAAATGGAAAAAAAAAAAGTACTGCAACATCAGAATAGAGGGCTTCTCAGTTCATTCCATGCGTTTGAAAGGAAAGATCTGTCATGAGCCCTGCATACCGACATGTTTTCTAGTCTTGAGTTCCAAAATTTGTGAATTTACTTGACTGCTCATACAATGAGGGCCATCCAGAGCTCTGTTTCACCATGTGGGGAGAAACAGGATTAAGTAAAGCTCGTTGCCTGTTTCCTCTTTGAATATGGATGATATAAAATGTGTGTGTGAAGGGGTAGCGTACAATCAAAACAGGTTTTTCTTCCTTACTGACCTGAATAAGCCAAAACATACATATCAGGCTTACAAACCTCCAGATTATTTTCAAAGTTAATTCTTTATTTGTGTTTTTTATTTATTTAAGAAAAGGTTACAGGGATGTTAGAGCTCCATCGCATTACTCATCCTCTTAATATATTACAAAGATCTGTGTCACAGATGCTTGTTTCAACTAAAGATTTTAATATTTAAAAATGGGTCACACAAATATACTTTCAGAAAAATAAATAATGACCAAAAAAACAATCATTTGATTGACAAGCATCATTCAAAAGAGAATTGAAAGAAGGGTTTTGGTGCTGTTTGTGTTCAGGCACATTAATACTCGATGTGCTCTAGTGACCGCTACGGCAAAGAGGGTCACAGGATCAGGACAATGGGTCTGTTTGACCAGGATGTAATGGGTTTTAAGTTGGAAGCAAGCAATTACTTCCAACGCACGAGCGATTACTTTGCATATTTTACCCGGTTTCTTTTTCAAAGAGGAAGCCAGCGAGGTGCGATTATGTAATCGCATCTGAAAAGTCCCCTCATTGACCCGGCGTTAACTCGTTGTGTTCTCCCCCGCGGGCATGGGATGGAGTATTGACCGCCAGCCAGTCAATTAGAGCTGCGAGAACCTCGTGCTTTAGAGCTATTTATTACTTGACCAGCATGCAACATGGGCTTTTGTGTTTAGTGTCTGGGCTTTTGTTGATACTGGCCGAGTCGCGTACTAGCGTGGTTCTAGTTTTACTGACAACGAGCCCCCTCCGGCCTCCTGCTGTTATCCATCCAGCTGCATCAAAAGTGCCCCCCCCCTTCCCTGTAAATCCAAGGTGTCCTTTTATGAGCCCTCACTCTGTAGATGCTCGGCCTCTTCATATGCCCGCGCCTCGCTGTATTTGTGAGTGTGTCACCTCCGTGGTCTTCTGCCTCCCTCCCCCCCCATTCCCGGGCACCTCAGAATCACGAGCAGCTGAGGGACCCCGACTCGGACCTGCTCCACAGCGAGGGCGACCTGACCTTCATGTTCGGCGACACGGCCATCACGGCCAACGGGGCGTCGGGCAGCAGGGCGGACGCGGCCGGAGGCCTGGGCTGGAGCGCCAACGGCAAAAGGAGCGGCAGCACGTCGGAGGAGGTGCTGGAGCGTGAGCTGGACTCCCGCGAGCAAGAGCTGCTGAGCCGGGGCACCCGCCTGGTTTTCCCCATCGAGGATCACGTCTGACCCTGCCTTCGTCCTCGTCTTAAGTTGCCAACCTCCATGACCCCTTTTTCAGCCCCCCACCCCCATCCCCATTTAGACCGCCTCAGCTCTCTTCACCTCTGCGCAGGCAGAGAGAGATAAGACAGACTTGAGATATGGGAGTAGACGGGAGGGTAGACGGAGGAGCTCTGAGCTCCCATTAAGCCATGGAGCAGAGCTCCAGGAGTATTTCATCCTCGTTACAGAGAGCGAGTTTGTTTTTTTTCTAAAGGAGAAAAAAAAAAGAAGAAGTTTCTTCTAGACTATCAGGAGAAAAGATCTTGATGCTGTTTTTACAGACAGTTTGTAGCACAGAGAGAGTAGGCAAATATTTTCTGTTGGCAAAACATCCAAACTACATTCTGTTTGTGCACGTTTGAACAGCTGGCACTTTTTCATTCAAACGGGAAAGGAGAACATTTATTGTTTAAAAAAAAAATCACACTATTATCATGTGATATGACTAGTTTGTCTTCACTGCCAAACAGTCGGCAGAAATGAAAGGCTAATTTGTCTTTATGAAAAAAAAAAAGAAGCTCTTTTGAAACTGTGAAGCATTCATCTGAGGTTGCTAACTGTCAAGTGTTTGGTAAGTTTGTGAAGCATCTATGGTGGCCTGTGAGGACATGTAAAACACAGAATGTTTGTGTTTCCTCAGCAGACACTAAAACATGTCCTGGATGAAAAATAGTTTGAGCATGTAAATAGCTTTGTTTCTCCTTTTTATTGAAATGTTTCTCATCGCATCACACCAAATTACTGCCACAGAGGATTCTCTGTGCGTCGTGTCTGTGAACTGATCCGGATCATTTTCTGTGTTGAATCGAAATGTAGAGCTCCAAATTTAAGTGATAAAATGTCATTGAGTGTTTTCTCGAGAGCAGAGCTGCACGGCGTGCGACTAGCTTCAGAAGAGCTACCATAGCTATGCCCTGCTTTTATTTTTTTTTTGTGCGCTATTTTTGTAAAATTTGAGACGTGAGAAATTTGAAATCCAAAATGAAAGTCTGCTCACTAAAGATGAAAAGAAATATTTGACTAATTTTGTAGGACTGTCATTGGAGTTCTTATCAATGTGCATTTGATATTATTTTCTTGGAATAACAAAGAGGTCAACACCATTTTCTTATCTGCCTGTTGTATGTTAAAATGTCGGGGACCATTAGCTTAGCAAAAAGAGCAGGAGTTGGGAAGAGCTAGCTTGGCCCTATTAAGACCTAGCTAAATCTTATATGTGCTTCTGCCAGCATACGTAAAGCTCACTTGAGTACTTGGGAAGGTGTTCTAATCTGTATTTAGTCCAGCTTTAAATGACTGCAGCAAATTCAGATGCTAGCCGACACTGTCCCAAGTTAATAGGAAACTAACACTTGGATGCTAACACTCATTTTCACAAATGAAACACACTGGTGTGACGTTTTACACGAAGGGTCTGTAACTGACTAACAACTACTACACAAAATGGGCTTTTTGAGAAAAAAAAAACTTGTCTGCGAAACTGCAGAAAACTCATTCTCATAATATATCCTGTTATACGTATCTTGCTCAATCAAAATGCTAAGCTAGCTTAATTATCTTAGAAAACTGTGATTATTAGACTGTCTGGTGCACCGTCTAATGCCATGCCTTAATATTGTTATAGCTTACAGGTTTGTCCCCTGCAAAGTAGTGGTAGATACTGGACATACGGAAGGTACTAAAAGTATCGAATGGACTTGTTTGTGTACAAAAGGAAGGAAAATTAAGGAACCAAAAAAACAACTTCCAAATGTTCTACTTTCTGGTGTAAAACCATATAATCAACATGTTATATTTTTAGTTCTTCATTTGTGTAAAAAAGTTTTGGGAAGGGCTCCAATTGACAACATACCTTAGAGCCCCCGCTGCACCAAAAATGTGTTTTGCTAAAGTGTACAATTCATCTGTATTTAAACTGAACATCTCAGGCCTTTTCATCTTGCATTAATTTGCTGATAACATCCAAATTCTTAGATGATCTCGGAAACGAGAGGCTTTTACTAATATGACAAACCTCTTTCAATTTTGAATGATTAATATTTTGAAATGAAAGTATTTCCATCTGCAGGTTCTGCAGATGATTCAAATGACCTCATTCTGGGGAAAAAAATCTTATCTGGCTGAAATTATAACTAACTAGATTCCAAATAAATCTTTTGACAGACACCTGGATGACATCTTTAACATCTGGACTTCATAAAGCTAGCTGTTCCCTAATTTTCTCTCTTTTGGCCAAGCTAAACATCGGTGGAGCTTTTAGAGCTGTGCACATGCCAGATGTGAGGGTGAAATCAAACCTGTCATCAATTCTGTAATTAAAAGAAAAAGCTCTTTGAATGTCAAACAGTTTCCTCAAACTCACTGCAGTTGTATTTCCTTATTTCTTTCATTTTTGACACAGTCTTTTACGATGCGTTCATGGCTATTTGTGGATTCAAAGTGTCATCCGAGTTGAATTTTGATCACACATTGCTTTCCCATCCCAACCCTTACCACGGTCTGCTGATGTCACTTATCAACTGGTTTGACTGGTGACTCTGTATTGTCCCTCCAAGCATACCTTTCTCACAGTTTATAGTAGATGTTGGGCCATCCATATAGCATCATCAAAACAAATCCATTTGTATCATCTCCCCTGAAAGATGTCAAAAATGTTTTTAGAAAAAGCCACATGCTGTTTGTGGTATGAAAACATTTCTGGACTTGGTGGAACAGCTGGCCAAGCGATGAGTCACTTCTGATGATTCACACCGTCCCTTTTTGACATCCGTACCACTTCCCGTTTCATATTCACCACCCAGGCCCTTTAGACTCTTCTGTTCGTCTTTAAAACGACATACGCTGTTGGGTTTATGTACGAGCACGTAGGACCGGGTGGAAAAGTGATGATTATGAGAGTCGAATCTGCGGGCTTCGCCGTTATGACAAAAACAAAAAAAAAACCCTCATGCAGGAATGTTACAGCAGGTCGGGGACCTCCGAGAGGAAATGAATGTGGTTGCGTAAGCTGTTGCCTAGCTGTACGCAGAGAAGGTCATTTAAACTCTGCTGCAGGGAGAAGCAGCCTCAGAGCTGACACAGTCAAAACAGGAACTTGGTTTAGTTTGTTTTTTTCTCTCGCAGTACCCTATGCAGGGAAACATCATGGCTGACTTAGATGGTGGGTGCAATACAATGGATTTTTTTTTTTAAAAGATAGGGAGAATGGCACTTTACACTGGCGGGACTCATCTAACCTCCTTCATGTGCACTGTCTTCCTCCACAGTGCTGCGCTGTTAAACTATCTTTAAAAAAGCTGTCTTGCACCTGAGAAATCTGGAAAATGTAGCCCTGTTGTCATTGTGTGTGGACCTGTTGTTTCTATTAGCAACTGGCTGCCGGGCTCTGTGGCCGAGGTTTGCATGACGTGTTAATAAATATAACATTCTGAATCGCCCAGTTGCGTTCCTTTTGTTTTGGTTTTTTTTTGCCCGTTCTGCCATCAAACCGAGCTTGTGGTGATTCTCACACTTGCTCTTTCTATTCTCGTCTCACCTGGAAAGCCACATTTTCTGTTCGTCTGCAGATATGTGTCATGACAATTACCCAAACCTTTTTTTTAATGTTTCAGGTGTCTGCAGTTCTTTTAATTTTAGACCAATTTTGACATCTGAATTCAAATATACTAACATGTAATATGGCGACTGACTAATGGGTGGTCAGATTCTTGATACTCCAACGTAATAATCCATTTTTAGGATTTATAGTACTTTTTTCAGACCAGGCCATGAATGCCATTATGTTTCAAAATATTTGCCAAAGGGTTAAAGTTCACAGTACGACAGCTCATATAAATTTATATAAGCTGCAGATTAAAAGGATAAAAAGAAGATCAATTTACTGATTCTAAATGTTTTGATTGATATTTTTATATCTCTTTTAAAAATGACAGCCAAGTAGATCTTTAGAAAAAGTTGCAATCTCATGAAGTCTGTTTAGTCGTACTCTGTAAGGATATCCCTGGGAACCACAAATAACCTAACTGTTAAACGCTTGATGTCCTTGGGATTTCTTTTTATATCGTCCTCTCCTACCCTTTGGTGAAGCACGCTGCCAGCTGCAACCACCATGAACACACAACTGCAAAAGGAGGAGGGAAATTTCCTCCAGATTGGAAAAATAAAGCCAACGAAAAAAGAAAATCATCATTTTGTATTGTCTTGGATGGACACCAGTGGGTGAAAAATTCGGCTGACGATAAAGGGCAGATCATAGTTTATTTATATGCATTTGTTACCTTTTTTTTAAAACTGTTTGTGGCCCCAATGATAAAAAATAGGTTCATTAATGTTAGTTGTTAAACATGGGCCTGTTCACAGCCAATTAGAAAGCCACGGTATACTTAGTCATGCTAACCAGACATCGACAAGTTGCTAATGTACAGAAAATAAACCAGCTTTTTAAAAAAAGTACCAGGCTGATAAAGAGCTCTGCACTGTGCCTCTTAGTCACAACTTTTGAACACAACTGAAATGCAAGCACACGACACACGAAAGGCAACAGAGGGCTCTGTGTCTGGACCGAAATGGAAACTAAATCTGTGGAGAATCGGAACACCGGAGACTACAGCACAAACCTCCAAATGAGCTGGCAGATGGTTCTTTTTCCCCCTTCTACCTGAGCCCTGGCTGCAGCTCTTTTTGTAACTTTAAGTATTAAATGCTAAAATGGATACCTCAGGAAAATTTTTGTATCAAAAGGTCAAAGCTGTAGACAAGCCTAATGGCTTCAGAATTGACCAATCAATGAGTCTATTTGAAAAGCAACCCACTTGTTTAATCAAATGATTTGAAAAATAAAAATAAATCAGATTTTTATAATTGTGTTAAATGTGAACAAATGTCTTCTCTTTCTATGCAGCTCTGAAAAATGCTTTAGAAAAAACAAAAACAAAGTTCTGTTACATCATTTTTAAGACCACAGAAACTTTAGTGTGCTCTTCTCCAGTCCCAAGATGAAAAGGTAGGCCCCCTCCGGGAAACGTCGGACAAAATTTATTCACGGCCGATCTTAAGTGAAAATACACGCCCATTGCACAATAGGTTTGTGCAGGTTTGGCCACCTGCTGGACTGTGCAACCAGACCCCAAAAACCAGTGTGGACAAACGGGGTGAGCCAAAAAAAAAAAAGTCTCCCTGCTACGTAAACCAACCAGAGCCTCTTTCTGCCCCAAAACAGAACCAAAACCACAGCGATGCTTGTCCATAGCTGTTACATTTAGTTTTTAATGCATTAAAATAAAAAACATTCATGTAAAAATCCGCTCGGAAGGCATACTTCACAAACTCCCCTGCTGAAACACGGTAGTGGCCGCTGATTAAGGTTTGAAACGCCCCCTTTAACCCTGTATGACGTTTATGCATTTTAAGAACAAATTGTGGAGGCACATTCGGTCTCGCTGTGTTTTACTTAGTGTTTTGGACCAAATAATCAGTCCAAATTCATTAAACAAGCTGTATATAACTATAAACTGTTTGGTATATGAAAGCCCAATTTAGAAAAAAAAAAAAAGCTTATTTGAAATGTCAGAAAACTTTTTCTAAATATGAACCAAAGATTTACTTCTGTTCTTATAAATCAAACTGTCACATAGAAATCAGACTATTGTTTACCTCTACTTTTAAGTCAGTATCAGAACCTAAACTGGTATTCCAGCGAGAAAACAGCTCTTACAAAAAAACAACTTTTGAAGTTGAACGTGTGGATGCTGCTGGAGTCAGACGTTAAACCCATCCGCGACATACCAAATTAGAAAGACATCACTTCACAGCATTTCACAGTATTTTAAAACGCAGGTAACTATGAGCCCGTAGCACTCGCTGTGCTCGGGAATTCTTGCCGGGAGCTCGAACGGTGTGGGACCTCTGAGGGAGTCGGTTTTGGGAGAGACATGGAGAGAAATTCACACCCATGTGAGCGATTTGTCAGTGGGGCGCTGCAGCTGTCTGGATTCCAGGGGGGGGGCTGGGGGTGGAACAATAGCTCCTCAGTGAGGCCCTCTTTACCAGAAGATACTGTAGTTTCTCCTTTCAGAGCCCTGGGTTGGCTTTGTTAGTGAGCTTAGTACCGATGATGTCGGAAAAACGCCGGTCGCTCTGGAGGGGCCAACCCTACGCCCCCCAGCCCCGGATCTGGGTCCCGAGAAAGGATCCGTCTTGGGCTTTTTACGGCCCTGGCTTTGTTGGAGGGGGGGATTTAAGGGTGCCTGGTGAGTGTGGTGGGGGTGGATTAGTGTTGCCGAAGGGGACGGAGGGACAGAGGCCGGACTGTGCCAGCCTCCTCTCTTGTTGACCCCCCCAAACCCCCCCCCCTCCCTCTCCCTCTCCACACATTCTCTCAATCTGCACGGACCCCGTCGGTCTCAGCACAGTAAAAAAAATAAAGCGGCTTTCTCCTCGTTTCAAACACACCCTTCTGCGACTGGCTGTTCTCTCTCTCTCTCTCTTTTTCTCCGTCTCCGTGCCGATTTTTCTCCAGTTCAGCGACCCCGCTCGGGGTTGAGGGGAAAACAACCCAGGAGGCGCACGCTCCAGAGCTCCTGGCCGACCGCATTCCTGGAGCTTGTTTTGTCATTCCACCTTTTGCCCTCTCAGCTGTGAATACAAGGACCCTGGCAGAAAGGGAGAGAGAGAGAAAAAAAAAGAGAATAGAATTAGAGGATGATCCAAATGAAGCCCTTAAAGATGCAACACAGAAACAGGCATCATTTAACAGCATCCCGTTCTGCTCCTGGTGGGGGGGGCGGGCAGTGGGGGGCGTTCCAGAGCCCCCGGCTTGCAGGCAGCCCTGCTTTAAAGCGCCTTCCTTTGGAAAAAGCTGGTGGTGACAGCCTGCTTGTAACTCCCCGAGAGCTCTATCCCATCACGGGCGGCCGGGCACAAAGGCTCCCTTCTTGACGGCGCAATCTAGAGCCAAGCGATTCGCTGCCAGCCCCCCCCACCCCCCACCTCCCCCCCACGGCTATCCAAGAGCCAACCGGGGCCACAACAAGGAGGCCTCTATGAGACAGAGCAGTCGGTCAGAAGGCATTTTATGATGACCGGAGTGGGATAAAGCCGGTCCCGCTGGTGTCAGTTATGCTGCGTGGGCCGTGGTTTTTCCTTTTTTGAATGAAACCTGAACCGAAACAGGAAACGTAACATGAAATTGGATAAGCTTGAGGGTTGTTTTCCATAGGGGGAAAAGTTGCTGACAGGAAAAAAAAAAACTGTTTAGTGAAAAAGAACAGTGAACCAAAGACGAGAAGTGGCTAAAATAGAAGAAACGAGAGAAAAGGTTACAGCCAACAGGTGGATTTAACGGAAAAGCACAACCACTATAATCTCCCTCATGAGGGTCACTCACACACAAGGGAGGTGGAGAGCGTTTTGATAAGCGATTGGGCTTCGGAACGGCCAGAATCCAGCGGCTCTGCTGCGGATCTGGTGATTAAACGCCCAGCTCTGCTTTCAATCAGCTTCAGTCCGATGGAGGTCAGAGGTCAAGGCTCCACAGCGCCGAGCGCCACACTCCCAGTGCTATCCCCCAGTGTGGGTTTCTCCATTTCATATTCACAGGCACATACATTTAACACTTTTCCCAGCTTGTTTTTGTTTTTTTCTTACTCATCGTGTCCTCATACCTTGACCCGCTGATCCCTCGCGGCCTGTCTTCATGTGGCCTTGCCCATGCTGTTCTTCTCGTACCCCAGCTGCCTCATGACCTCGCTGCAGTAGGCCTCCACCTGCCCGATCTGCTCCACGTTCAGCCGCTCCCTCCAGGCGTAGATGGCCTCCTTGGCGTCCCTGGACGATATGAGGAAGGGCTTGTCCGAGGAGTAGCCCTGGCCGCGCGTCATGTTGAGCGCGAAGCGGTCCAGCGCGGGGAAGCTGGACAGGTTGGAGAAGCGGTAGAGCCTCTGCAGCTCCTCCATGGGCCGCAGCACCAGGTCCTCGTAGCGCAGGCGGAGGTAGTTCCGCCGCACCCACGGCGGCGAGTTGGCCACCAGCATCATGTCGCTCAGCCAGTTGTCGCAGATCAGCTCCATGGCGCTGGACACGTAGCTCTCGGCCCGGTTCATCCGGTTGCTGGGCACCAGGAGCCGCTTGTACTTGTCGCTCTGCTTCTTGCTCCTCAGGACCTGGATGCTCTCCTTCACCAGGGCCTGCTTGGACTTGAGGCGGGAGTTGTGGACGGCCCTGGGGTCCCGGAAGAGCTGGATGACCTGGAGGTTGACGGCCGGGTCTCTCATGAGCGGGACCAGCGTGCTGAGGTCCAGGACGCGGACCCCTTTGATGACCATCACCGGGTACTTCCTGCACTCCCTCTCCAGCTCCCTCAGGTCCCTCCGCTGGCACTTGGCGCACTGCTCCTCCCTCACCAGCCCGACGTCGTGGCGACTGCGGCCGCCGCCGCCGCACAGCGGCTCCGAGCAGATCACCGTGTTCATCTTCCAGCCGAAGATGAAGGAGGTGGTGACGTTCTGCGTGCCGGCGTAAAGTTTGAGCACGGAGAAGTCGCAGCGGTAGAGCGCGCCCATCATGTCGCGCACGGCGCCCTGCAGGCTGCCCGCGTCCCCGGGGTACAGCGCCTGCCAGATGTGCCACATGGGCTCGTACAGGTAGAAGACGTCCGGGTGCTGGTTGAACAGCTCCCCCAGGAAGGAGGAGCCGGTCCTCCAGGTGGCGTGCAGGTAGATGTGGATCCGGGACTGGCTCCGGTTGGCGGCGTGCTCCGCCGCATCGCTGCCGTTGCCCCGGTTGCCGTTATCCCACAGGAGCGCCACCGTGTTCTCCAAATCCGGGCATCTGGGCTGTTGCTGCGGCGGTTTGGCGTGCTGGGCCGATCTGTCCCGGTAATCTAACACGTAGGGGATTAGCAGAAGCAAGCCCGAATATGCCAGTATCAAAATCAAGTATTTCTTGTGCAGCCTCCTCTTCATTTCCTCTCGCCGAGATGGGGGTGGTGGCTGGTGGCGGCTGGGTTGTCGTCCGAGCAGCCGGCGGAGCTCTTTCTGGAGGACCGTGCTCGCCACAGCGGAGTTATGTGTGTGAGAACGCGTGTTCGTGTGTGTGTGTGTCCGCGTTGGAACGGGGCTGGCCACGCCCCCTGCCCCTTCCGAATCACCGGACTTTGTTTTCTCGCCTGTTGCTAAGCACGGAACATTTTTTTTTTTAAATAGCTGTTAGTGAAATAACTATAAAAATCCACCACTGGGCTAGTCTTTGCATTTCTTGGTATTCATTTGGGAGAAATGATTCCATTGAGGAGGTTCGCTGTGATTTTCAAACACCATGGAAACCAAGACGTTCCAACGTTGCTGCAACCTAGATAAAGTGCAAAGAACGGTGGAGGGTAAATTAACTGAGCTGTTTTCCTTTTAAATATGAATTACTCTTTGATGTATTTTCATTAATAAAACTTACTTATTTTACTGCATAAGACGGAGTCGACGGAAATGCTAAAATAGAGCGGAAAGGCGTTGAGTTCTAAACCAATTTTCATATCGCGCGTGCGCACTAGGGAGTGTTGTCATTTAACGTAAACGGCGCGCGGTGCTGGCAGAAGCAATGGACTGAACGTCGAAGGCTGTTTTGGATTTTTTTGACAAACGTCACATTTGAACACAACCTCCGGTCGAACCAAGGTCTCAGCTCGCAGAGAATTCACACCAGCTGCGAGACTGACAGACAGTTTGCCGTGCAGCAATTCGTAGGATGCTAGCTGCAGTATAGATAACAACATGGCATACTGGAGCACATTCGAAAAGGAGATGGAGGGAGAAACAAAGAAGTTGATCAAATGTATCACAGGGGTCGAGGATGAAGAAGACCAAAATTTCCAGCTCGGGTTGAAGTTTGCGTGGTCAAATTTCAAGTGAGTTAGCCGCCGATAGAAGGACCTGCTAGCTTGCCAAATGCTAAATCGTGAAGCATTGGCTAGCCCCCCGAAAGTGATGCTAGTAACTCACTAACATCTTTGTTTGTTTAGATTTCATCGGTTTTTGGACGTGGACAGCCATAAAGTCCAGCGCAGTATAAGTGGGTGAGTGAGCTTTTGTAGGGGTGCTTCATTTTTGTGTTTGCCAGCTGGAGAAAAGGTGAAATAAATGAAAGAACATTATCTTGGGAAGTCAATTTACCACTACCGGGGTTCCTACACCATCTCGGTTCATTTCTAAATTCCAAAGTAGAACAAAACCCTTTTCAGATACAGCCATACACGTAGATGGTGTCTGCTTAGCTTATCTCCCTTTTCTCCATCCGTGATTAATTACAGAATGCTAGTTAAAATATTAAGACTTAAACTTATCAGCAGAGTATTGGTTTGTTTTAGAGACTGTTTTTTGCAATTTGTAGTATGAAGTAGCCTCTTGTTTTGTATATGTTTGTCTCCATGTAAGCTCCCCAAGTGCTTTGCGCAGTAGTTCTCATGCCTATTTCGTTATGTCCTCCAGAATCTATGAAAAGCTAATGGTCCACTCGGACTTGAGAAAAGCCGAAAGCTGGATGAGGCTGACTGAAGAGTTCCTGAACTCACCGCTACCTAATACAGATGGAACAAAGGTAATTGTAGCTTTAAGTGTCATCGCTGCTCAGCGCATTCGTATGCTGAAATCATAAAGATCCCAAAACGCGATAGTCATTAGTATTGTATCCCAACAGACGGATATACACTACAGCCTCCTGTCCCTGCTGCTTCTCTTATCGGGATCCCCTTCTAACGCAAACTTTACTGAGAGACCCAGACTTAAGGAAACAGGTGAGTCGATTCTATGCTTATTATATTTTTAATAAAATTTCAGCTCTTATCTGTGCGCATTAATTACGGCCTCTTTAACTTCTGCCTTTGCAGAACCGGAGGACAATTTTGACTGGGCCAAATATTTGATGGAGGGGGAGGACATAGACACTGGACCGTATCCAGACACCCCTGTGAGTAAACGGTCTGCAAACTTACCTCCATCCGTTATCCATACTGCTTATTCCTAGTAGGGAATATGCAGAGTACAACACACAGGGTCAAACACACCACGCACACTGATGATAGCCAATTTCTGTATGTGGAACTCAAAAGAAATACAACCCGAACTGGATTAGATGGACTTCGGTCTCCACCTGACTGTCTTGCAGGAGTGGTCTGAGGATGAGAGCGAGGATGATGACAGCCAGCAGCATATCAGTAGAGAGGATTCTGGGATTCAGCTGGACAGAACCCCCCAGGAAGACCAGGACAACACCAGCAAGACAGTTCCAGTTACGTGGACTGGTGAGGAAGCATTTTCACAGACTCAACGACCTAATGATGTGGGCTTAGTGCCAATGTTTGCATCTATGTCTGTGCCTTACAGCCATCTTTATTTGTGCCTTTGCAGTGGGAGAGCCAGACGCCCGAGCTTGGCTGGAGCAGCATGTAGTGACACCATACTGGGTGACTCACGCTCCTCGTTTTCCTCACAGCTTGCATTTACACTCCAACTTGCTTAATGTTTGGTGAGACTTCATATGTTTTAATCTCCCTCATTTTAGACAAATAATGCACAGCGCTGTGGAAAAGCCTTGACCAACCTCTCAGTTCTTTATATATGGTCAAGAAAACAGGAAGTGAGTGCCTTTGGAAACTTCAGCACTTGGAGACTCTCTTGTACATTTTGTATAATCAAAAATCAGTATGAGCAACTTAATTCGTCAACGCAGCTAGAAACCCAAAGACAATCATTCTTGCAATTTCTTTGAGTCTTGAATTCGTCCTTAGGCTTATTTTTATGACTTCCAAATGCCCTTCTTTGGATGTTGGCTGCCTTTTGTTTGGTCCTCTGCTCATACGGGAACAAATGCTATACTTTGACTTACAGGGAGTGGCAAAGTGCCACAGATCTTATTAGCTAAGTTCTCTCTTATATTTATACACAATATTTGGTCATCATACCAAGTCAACAAGTACATTTTTTATGTGAAAAATCAATTTAAAGGGATTCTTGTAGCGTGTTATTCATGTGTTGGAGTGGTTTGAAATGCTCAGACGTTCACACGGAGTGTGTTTTTTCTCAGGGATCAGCACTTGTATAACACGGATCCACTGTACCTGCCAGAAGACAAGGCCTTTGTCACGGAGACCCAAGTAATAAGAGAGACGTTGTGGTAAGACGTACCAACGCGTCTGTGTCCGACTGCCGCTCACTGCCAGCATGTGCAAAGATTTGATCTGCTTTCCTCTCACAAGGGGGATTTTTGTGATGTTGCAGGCTCCTCTCTGGTGTTAAGAAGCACTTTATTTTCCAGCACCACGATGGAAAAGTGTCAGTAAGGAATAACGTGGTGGTGACTCATCTGACCAGTGTAAGTAAGGAAGCCTTGCGCATAACTGCTGAGTTGATGAATGCATGAGAATTTTTTTTCCTTCATGTGTGGCAGAACTGCCTGCGCTCTGTGCTGGAGCACGTGGCCGTGTACGGGCAGGCCGTGTCCAGACTGCAGAGGTTCATAGACGAGGTGACGGGGCACAGCCCGGAGCCCTGCCCGCCGGGCTCCGGCTCCACCTCCTCCCACGGCTCCAGGAAGGGTTCGGAGCCCCCGTTCAGGACCTACCAGGCTTTTGTGTGGGCCCTCAACAAGTATTTCACCAGCTTCAAAGGAGAGCTCACAACAATTGAGAGAGAAATCATATGCAATGGCAAGTGAACGTATATTTCAAGGGGGTGGAACTCAAGTATCGAGTAATTCTTAGTGTGTGTTGTTTTTTAAAAAGTTACATTTCTATTGGGAAATCAATATATGGGGTAGATTTTACTCAGGATACTTTAATTTGGCAGTGGCTGTTGTGCTGTGTTTGCACTATTTGAATTTCAGAATGAAATTGACAAAAAAATAGAATACCCTCTATCCTCATTAAGGTCAGAGAGCTTCTTTCCTGTACTGACAGATTATGCACAAGCAGATTATACAAATAGTTTTTGATCATATTAAACTATTTGTAAGCCTTTTCTTTAATTGCAAAAAAGTAATTTTCTGAAGTTATGGTACAGTCATTTCCCTCTGTGCCGCTTTCTTTGCTACGCAGCTGAGGAAGCCTCTGACTTCACACACTGTGCCGGTTTCCCAGATGATACTTGGTGTCCATTACAAACCAGCCTTAACTTTCAACTCAGTTGGCTGATCCCTGTCGAGCTCCTAAAGCCAATTTTCCCTCTAACGCCACAAGCCTGAATTTAATGTGCCGGGCTAACTTTGGAGGTCACAGACAGATGACCCAGATCTGTGGCGAATCGTCAGGCCAATCGGGAAGGGGGTTGGTCCTGTTAGTGAGGACCCACAGCCAATGAGAGAGCAAGACACAGGGTCAGGAGGCACGATGGGGAAACCCGAAAGAGGATACAATAATGTCTGCTACATGAAAGGCTTAAAAGAGTTTTCTGAATATCGTGATTTAAGTTTCTCCTTTCACAAGACATGGTTTATATTTGTATGTCTCAACTTTACATTGTGCCAAGTAGCATAAGTGACCTTTTTAAAATGATATTTGATGTTTTCATTATACTTTTCTTGGACACACAAGACACACTTTTACACTAGATTTATTTATTTTGGATTTTTGTTTTTTTTACTGGAGTTTGCAAATGGTGCACGCCAAAACTAAATGACACTCATCATGACGTCTTTGTCTGGTTTGACCGGAGCTCTATTCTGTCTTTCTTTTCCGTGGGATTGGACCGACGGGAGGCAGCGCGAGATGTTTTTGGTTTTTCTTCTCTACTGAATTTAAATAGCCGCCTTGCATTTTTCCGAGCCACCCCCGGTTTTCGATCGGGTGGCTTGTAGTACTAACCCGACGCCAGATTTCCAGAGTCAGCTCTTTTATGATGCTGCAAAAAGAAAAAATGGTCAAAGAGAAAGAAAGCTTATTTACTTGGTTTAATCTTGGTATATCTGGCCAAAGTCCTCAGAGTGCATAGTTCTACACACCTCAAGAGGTTATATAGTGTTCGCACTGTGGACTCTTAATAAAAGTAGCAGTACATGAGAATATCAGGCTTTTGTACTTCTTACCTGCTAACTTTATTTGATTAGATGAGAGTACCTTATTGATCCCACAGTGTGGGAATTCACATGCTACAGCAGCAACAATACACAACCCTAGTAGAAGCATAAAGGTATTTACAAGGGCTGTTTTCAATGTATGTGACTTGTAAATAGTACAACAACATATTCCAAAGTAAGTGATGGACAGGTAAAAGTAAACTACATGAGATTTACCCACTCGCTGTTTCCTGCATGATTTTTCATCGTCCAGTCCATGTTTGACGTGCTGTCTTCCTTTGCAGATGAGACGGTGACCCTGTCTGCGGTCCTGGAGCGACTCAGCCCTCACCTGGCTCAGATCAAAGTGCTTCACCGAGTGTTTTGCACAGGAGTTGCTGAGGTCCCGCCCGCCACCCCAAACGTGGTGCGGGCCTCTCACTTGCTCAACACGCTCTACAAGGCCATCATCGAGTACGACAGCGTTGGGGAAGCCTCGGAGCAAGCGGTGGGTACTTTGTTTGGTCGTCCAACTGGTGACTTCTGGTTGTTTACAAGAGAGTGCCTTAAGTTTAGTCGGTGTTCTCTTCTCTCCAGGTGGCTTTACTCTTTTCCCTGTGGACGGAGACGGTGAGGCCGTATTTAGAGATTGTGGATGAATGGATTGTTCACGGCCATTTGTTTGATCCTGCCAAAGAGTTTATCATCCAAAGGTATGTGGCAGGTGTTGTGTAACAGGAAACAGATGACATGACGTATTTACAGTAAGTCCTTTTTTATTGATTTATTCTTTTAACCCTCCTGTTTTTGCCCAGGAATAAGGATGTCCCAGTAAACCACAGGGACTTCTGGTACGCTACTTACACCCTGTACAGCGTGTCGGAGGCGGTGGAGAACGAGGAGAAGCTCAACGACGCCGCCAGCGGGAGCTCCGGAGGGGAGCAGGGCTCCAGCAACAGGCAGCTAACAATGGTGTCCTTCCTTAAACCCGTCCTGAAGCAAATAATCATGGCTGGGAAATCCATGCAGTTGCTGAAAAATCTGGACTGCAAAGAGACCGAGCAGCCAGAGAAATCCTCCCGAGGTCAGTTTTTATAACACAGGAGGCGGTATGAAAACTGCATATTTTGGGCTTTTTTCTTCTTGTTTTTTATTTCTTCTTTCTTCCAGGTCATGTCTAGAACTGATTATTGATATGTTGCATTGCAGATGCAGAGAGGAAAAGTTTATACACGCTCTTTCTGGAGTCGGTGCAGTCGCGCCTCTGCAGCCAGGAGGGCTCACCGACCGACTCCACCACCGAGCAGCGGGCCACCGAGAGGAGCCTGATAAAGATGCAGTCCATCGTGGCGCAGCACCTGGAGATGGACGATGTCCACGATCCGCTGCTGGCCATAAACTTTGCCAGGTATCAAGGAGCCGCAGCTAACGGTGGTTTTCAGTCAGTGCCCACTCAGCCCCTGCACGGCTCGCTTAAGGCGGTTTTAGATTACTAATGAGGTCCCTACAGAAAGACGGGCCGACCGGTTTGTGATGTCATTTCGTGTGCGACACGAGCACAAGACGACAGGACAAATGGGCATTTATAACGCTGATGATCCAAGAAACAATGAAATCTGTTGTTCGTTTGTGCTGACTCGTCGACTAAATAAACACTTGGGCTGATGAGATATTAATAATGAGCCCATCTTAAAAGGCTGTACATTTGGGGGAAAAACGATGGCATCCTTCAGTTTTATCCTAAATTTTAAAGTCATATGATGTTCTTTTTATGTATCTTTCATAATTTACAATCTAAAGAACCTAGAAAAAAAAATTTGCCCTGAACTTAGTTGTGTGAATCCACAGACTTTTACATCTCAGAAGGCTTCTCTCCTCGCTTCCTCCTCAGGCTCTACTTGGAGCAGAGTGACTTCCACGAGCGTTTCTCCGGGGGGGATTTTATCGTGGACCGTTCATCTCAGTCCGTCACCTGCCAGACATTTGAGCTCACCTTACGCTCCTGCCTCTACCCCCACATCCAGAGGAGGTACATCGAGTGCTGTGGGAACTTAATGAAGACGCTTAAAAAAGACTACAAGTAAGTGTCCCTCCTCTAAGGGGAGAGTGAGTCGTACAAGCTCCTTTTTTTTTTTCCTGTCATTTTAAAAAAAAATCTGACAGCAAATCAGTCATTTGAGCTGCTTACATATCCACAGGCTCCTGGAATATCTCCAGGCAATGAGAAACTACTTCCTGTTAGAAGCCGGAGACAGCATGTACGATTTTTATACAGCCATCTTTGACAAGGTGCAGGAGAAGGAAATGTGGCAGCAGCCCTCCTTTCTGAACGTGCAGCTGCAGGAGGCAGTTGGACAGCGCTACCCAGAGGACAGTAGCAGGTACTGCATGTTGTTAGAAATAAAAAAAACAACACATTTTTAGATTTAGCACAAAGAACTGCTTTAAAATTAAATATTTTTGTCTAAAAATCTGATATTCTATAGGTTGTCAGTCTTTTTGGAGACCATGGACCCTTCCAGAAAAAAGCACCCTGTGAATAATTTGGAAGTCCTGACGCTAAGTTATAAGGTAAACACAAACGAGCACATATGTTACCTATTCCTGGTTTCAAATGCGGTCTTATTGACATTTGCTTGGTTTATTCTCCACAGGTTCCTTGGCCAGTTGACATTGTCATCAGCTCTGAGTGTCAGAAGATCTACAATCAAGTGTTTCTTCTTTTGCTGCAGATCAAATGGGCTAAATACAGTTTGGACACACTTCGATTCAGTGGTAAGAGGGTGGAGTTAAAAAAAAAAAAAAACACTTAAGAAGAGGAAGAAATTCCATTTCTCTTAGGATTTAATGTTTCAGCCCTAGTAAACCAAGAAACGATATTTCACCTTATTTTCTGGCATTTGATTGCACGTAATCCACATTTTAGGAAATACTTGCCTAAGAATTGATAGAAATGGTGCTTGTTGACTAAGGCTGTATAACAAAAAGCTTCTTAAAAATGATACACTTGTATAGAAAAACGTCAGCCTGTCTTTATGAATGAGCATCATCATTGTCCTTGTCTATCTCTGAAAGCGTTTTTGTTTTTAAAAGATTTTATAGGTGTCACTAAGAAACTTGAAGGACCTGCAGCTGAGGAGGCGAAGCTGAAAGAGCCCGTAAACCAGCAGATCCACAGAATGTGTCTGCTGCGGGTTAAACTGATGCACTTTGTCAACAGCCTCCACAACTACATCATGACCAGGGTAAGAGTTTGGTGTTTTTTGCAACTTTTTTTAGAGAAACAAAAATGAGAGAAAAAGAGAGAAAGGTGGAATAAAACCAATTTTTGGGGAATTTGATTGACCAATTGATGATCTCATAAATCTTTGTATCGCTTAGGATACATACGGGAGTAAAAATACCTTCCAAAAAATGACAATACAACTTTCTCACCATTAACCCACACTACATGTCCAGAAATTTCACTTAAATTTGAATTAAAGAATTAAACGGCTTGTTTCTGATGCCTCATCTGGCCTTTTTTCACCACAGTTGTCACAGTGAGGCAGTCGTGTGACTTACTGACATTAATCATAGCTTCATTCTTTTGATGCATATCTGTATGATGTTATTGATGATATTGATCCCTGCAGTCACCCACAGGCCTGTGCTTTTATTAGTGTTATCGTTTGCAAAAATTGTCTACATGTTCTTTACTGTCCACAGTGTGCACAAACCTTAATCGTTTGGGGATTTATGCATTCCTTGTGACATTCGGTCCCCAATTCTTCATTTTTGTGTTAAGGATTGTTTCCTAAATCTCTTGTCAGATTCTACACAGCACAGGACTGGAGTTTCAGCACCAAGTACAGGAGGCCAAGGACTTGGACCAGCTGATTAAGATCCATTACAGATACTTGGCAACTATCCATGACCGTTGCCTGTTGAGGGAGAAGGTAAAGAGTACGAATACACATCCCCAGTAGAGTTGAGCTCCGGTTCAGATCTTAAGTAGTATTATGGAAATAAATAACATCTGCTACACCCGGTGTTCTAAGAACTTGAGTAAAGGCAGTTCTTAACTCAGGAGATGTGAAACTTTTTAAAACTAAAGTCCAGTTTCCTTTACTCACACACTTGGGATTGACGTGATATACATGTGACTGTGTTTTTCACAGGTCAGCTTCGTGAAGGAGGCAATAATGAAAGTTCTTAATTTAGTCCTCATCTTCTCAGACCGATGGCAGGCTGGATTTGGAGCTTGGAAGTAAGAGTTCTGAAGCAGCAATGACATATATATGACGGCGTATGTCCGCCACATCCAGCAGTTTAGAACCACACATTGTATTTTCTTGCAGGATCGAGTCTATTGATAAGATGGAGTCAGATTTCAAAAACTGTCACATGTTCCTAGTGACTATCCTCAACAAGGCAGTTTGCCGTGGCTCCTTCCCTCATTGTAAGTAAAGCCTCGCCCAGAATCAATACCTCCCATAGGCCTCCAGCAAATCAAATACTCTGTTGGAATAGAAACAGTTTAGAAGAACTTGTCAACCTTTGCTTCCTCTTTCACAGTGGAGTCTCTGGCCCTTTCGCTGATGGCAGGATTTGAGCAGTGCTGAAGCATCGTCCAGCACTTTGGAGTCAACTCCATTGTTGTCGTTCTTTTCTCAGACTGCTCTTATTGTTCTGGATGATGTGTAAATTATGATGTCACCGTCTGCTTCAACTGTTAAAGATGGAGGGATGATGTTACATGCGCTACTTGCCAACATGCATCTGTCTTTAATTTATAGTGTTTCATCGAGGCATTGGGAATATTATGTGTATGTAAAGAAAAATACAGTGTATACTGATATACTGTGATGGTAAAGCACAGAAAAACTGCACACTGATGTAGATATGTCTTTAGTTTTTATACTACTGTATAATTTAGATTAATAGATAAGTAATATAAACCAATTCAGCATTGAAAATGAATTGATTTGCATTTTTGTCTCATGCTTTTATATTTCGTCATTTATTTATATGTTTATTTAAAAGAAGATTGCATCTATGTGTGAAATCAAACTGTTGGACCCTGCATTTTACAAAAATAAACTTCGTAAGATGTTGCATCCAGACAAGAATACATTTCTTGTTTACCAGGTGATCAATAAGAAACAGCATTATTGGATTTTATGCATCTTGTTTAAACTGTTGGAGGAAGACTTTCAGACTCAGTTTTTTCTGTCAGAGTCCCTGAGGGACCAGGAGATTGTTTGTTCTCCCTGTGTATGCATGGGTTACTTCCCACCTCATGTTTTACAGGAAAATCATAGTTTTTCTAACAATATCTCACCAAAAGGTGGAAATTTCAAAGTAACGGAGTACCAACTTTGTCAGATCATTGTAAAAAAAATAATAATAATGAAGATTTGGGGCTTTTACTTATTTCGTGGGGCATTTAGGTTTCTCCATTTCTTATAAGAAATAAATGTAAGATCAGCTTTGCTTTGAAAAAGATAATGATGTCTCTGGTCACTGCTTTGTGATCTGTTTGTGTTTTTTTGTTCACAGAAAAAGAAAATCTAAACTAGACCTTGAAAAGTGATTTGTTGAAACATTCCTCAGATTCCACTTTGTTGACAGTGAGAGAAAGCATTTTTTTATTACATCGAATGAAATGCTACCAAGTTGAAATCAAAGTGATTACTGCAAATAGACTTGCCTTCCTTTTCCCCCCATTCACTGTGCAAGGTATAAAACGGAGATTCGACTTATCCTATTAGCCTCATTTGAGCTCCGAGTCAAGGAGAAGGGGGGTGGTGGTTAACACCATGGATCCATATTCTAAAAGCCCTTTTCAGAATGGATAGGATACAGCCCAGCATTTAATTTGTAAGCTATAGAGACAACAAAAAATAAAAATAGTCACACAGGCTGGTGATGTATGTCACACTTGATCCTTTATGTTTAGCCACAACTGTTCTGTTGAATAACCTCAAGGAGTAAAAACTCATAACACAGTGGCGGAATTGTTTGGTACACTGTTCATTTGTAGTGAAAGAACATCATTAGTGTATAATATAGGTTTTGGGCAGAATAAGAAAACAAGAAAGAAAAAGTATCAAACAGGAGAAGTAAAAAAGAATGCATCATTCTTCCTGTTTTATGTGAGCGTGCTTTAGGTGGTGGTTGTGAATAAACTGTGAAAACAGGTTTATTTTTTCAATAAATTTTGTATGGCAGGATAAAAATGTTCTATTTCCAGTTATAACAGTTTTTATAGCTCCAAAATGAGCATTTTCCCTTTTAAAATTCTTAATTTTTGGTAATCTTGCTCCAAACTGCCTCCACATAGAGGCACTAATAACCCTCCATACAGGACCTAAGCACCCCCCATACCTGATGGCAGGTTTCTGTACATTCCTACGACTGCTCATATCTGCTTTATCCTAGCAGTCCCAGCCCCAGCGGAGGAGGCCAGAACCGCAGCTTCGAGCACGGTTTCCTGTTGAGTTTCCCTGTTTAAGGGACAGGAACTCCCTGCTCGACTTCTCCTCCCCGCCCATGGTAATAACACCGACCGACAAGAGAGACTTCTCTGGCCGAAGAAAAAAAAAAACTCAACTAACTCTTGGAGTTAACACATTTAAACACGGGACGTATGCGGTTATAAATCGATATTCCGACTACATGGCGCTGTAGAGGGGGCTCGCACACAGACACATACGGATAACTTTTCCCTGCTAACCAACAACTCCGGGTGAGTAGAAAATGATTGATAGCGAAGTTGGTTTCAGAGTTTGTGGATCTCTTTGCTACCTCGCCTACGGATGACGGGGTGGGGGAAAAAAAGTTGCGTGGAATGGCTCCGGGCGTATCCTTCGTAACGCAACTTTGTCGAAGTCGACAGCGTCAAACGGAGCCTAATTTCAAATGTGCCTCAAAAATAATTAGCTTCGAGGGTTAACAGCTTGTTGGAAAGCAAAGCCATTTTCCTGGCTCACAGGCCTGAGCTGTGACTAATCTCAGGCCACGGCACGGAACAGTAATAGAGCCATTACATGTTTAGGGCAGGAATTCCACACATCAAAGACAGGCGTTTTTAAACCTTTTTTTATTCCACGTTCAATTAATATATGCGTTTAAAAAAGGACCTCACCACCTGGCGTTGCGATTAATGCGCCCGCCAGGTGAGATAAATGGAGCACAAAAGAGCCTACTTAAAGGGGAAAAAAGTCAACTTCTTTACAGGAAAATGAGCTTGCAGTATCTCGAAAGCGTGAAAATATGACGGGGAACGTTTGTCTATTGAGCAGAATTCCTTGGTTTTTCCTTCATTTCCTTCCTGCTGTGTTGAAGTAGCCAGCCGAAAAGACGCTGCGTTCAGGAACCCATTCCCGACGATGCCTTCACGGCACATTTTGTTAATGTAAATTGAGTATGACATACCTTCAAAGGTATTTTTGCCTATCAGTCCGTTGAACTAAGTTTTGAGGGGAAAAGGGAAGGAAGGAGATAGGTAAATGGTGATGAGACAGATAATCTACCATTTTTGGATGAGAACGGTGCTTTATTTCTCTAAATAAAGTTTTTTAAATGTGTAAATAGTCACACAATATGGTGTACTGGAAAGTTCCACAGAACTATGAGAAGTTCTATGGGACTTTTAAAAAGTTTTACTCTATTGGCTTTTGGATACACTTGAGTTGGACTATGTTTTGATCAGATCAGCCTAGTACTTAAGATTTTCAATGAGTCCAACAGCATGTTGGCGTTATCTCTTGAGTCTTTCTGAAACTTTATGTGCACTCTGATAAACTGAAGATGGTTCAGAGTGTGATTTTCACCTTGATAAGTGGTAACTGCGGCCTGCAGCATTTCAGACTGAACATTTTTCACACCTCTTTACATAAAAATATGTTGAGCTTCCCCCACTCTAGCACAGTTTGTATTGATGCAACAAGCTGGTGAAGTGTTGCAGCAGCTTGTGCTGCAGCTGTTCAGTGTTTTTCTTGTCACGTCCGGGGAAATGTGATAAGCGACAGTCTTTTTTGCATGGGATGGACCCTTGATTCTGTGACACTTAGGCTTGAGACAAATGCTGATTCCTCACTATCCTAAGGCAAAAATAGGCTGTTGTGATCTGCTTGTATTTGTTTGTAGCAGAGCTGACTATAGAAGGACATGTTTGTTTGTCGTATAAGCCACAAGACAATTTTATATAGTTTGATATTTTAGGTCAGTGATTCCTCTTCTGTTTTGTGTACTTGCCAGCCCCTTAAAAGGTCTCTTATTCAAATTGAACATTCATTCATGCATATACTCACAGCTTCACTGGAGGCTTTTCTTTTTTTTTGTTACAGTTGAGCGCATTACTTTAAAAGAAAAAAATAGATTTGAGGAAGTGTTTAGCATCAGTAATTGATTTTATATGCATGATGGATGCAGCCTAAAATTAAGAAATGAAGCCAGTTAGGATGTTCCTAAACCTACATTCCTCCTAAAGGCCAGCAGGGGGCGACACCTGTGGTTACAGAAGGTCTTTTAAAAAAAATGTATGTATCTATTCGCTTTTGTGCTAATATGTTGACATTTTTTGGCATCAGCTTTAGAAAAATTAAACAAAATGTAGCCAAACGGATCAGCAGGGGAAACTTGGGCCCAATTTGTGACGGAAGAATTAAGTCAATCCATCCAGATGACAGTTCTGCTTTGCAGTGCTTGAAATAATCAGTGCTGCTTTCACGTGTTTTTTGCAAAAACAAACATTTAGAACATTCAAATTTAGAAACAAATTTGCCATTCAATTGTTGGTGTATGCTTGGTTTGATGTGTGTGCTAATAGTAGCTCTCAGGTATTTAAATATAAAAAAAAGAAAAAAAATCACCTCAGACATTCCAGTCTGAGAAAGGGATACAACCTGTAAGACCAGACTTCCATGCTCTTACATGCCCTGTTTCCAGTTTGGAATTAGCACAGCAAAAGTATCATAGTTGTGTAAATGTGGCAGTGGGTGGGAACCATTAAAGAATAGCTCTATTTCCCCATCTAAATAAAAGGGTAAACAGAAATGAGAACAGCTCTTCTGATCAGGCCGCACTTCATGTCTTCCCTCATTTTGATTTAGTTACGAATTGATTGGGGATCAAGGCTGAAATGATGATTAATAGGCTCATTTTCAGATGGGAGTGTTGAGGCTGATTAATCTGAGTGCCATGGTGTTTTGTCGTCCGCACAGAACACCTAGGTTACCTACTGGAGGCCGGTTTAAGCTCCTTACTGTGTAATTACGCCGGAAACCCAGCAGACGCATGGCGTGCAGTTTTAGACTGAATCAACACTTCTCTGATTTGTCCCTTGGCTGTGTCTTAGCAGGGGGGGGTACTTATAGAAGGAACTGTGCACTAAGGCAAAACCACATTGGTTGTTCTTTTTAAACAAGGTCACTGTTACCCACTACAGTTAAAGATGGCTAATAGGCTTACAGGCTGTACTTTCTGCTTAGTTTTTTCTTTTCGGTGTATTGCTAAACTGGATCCAATGATAAATGGATATCTTTTGAAAAAGAAAACAAGCGTTTGTATCTCTTCTGCGTTTTAGGTCTCAGACCAAATGTTCAGTCTGGGTCCTTCCTCTCTTGAAATGAAATGTCCATCACATGCTCTCAGGCCCCGAGGTTCATACTTCCCTTTTCTGCCGACTGATTTACACTTAATGGCACCATCTACTTAAATGCTTTGCAGCTCATTTTGACACGCCGGGGGAAAAAAGTACTTCTCTCTTTCCAGCTGACTACCGTCTTCATTTGATGAACTCTATTATGCAATTAACCGCATCTATTTTTTGGGTTTGCGGTTGTCCTGTTGCAAAAGCTTTGCTTACTTTCAACACTGCTTACAGTGTAGATCGAGCTCATTGTCATTAAAAGACATTCTCTGGTCCAGCAGTTTCTATAAATAGAATTTTTTTTCTTAAAAAAAAAAGATTTCGGGAAGCTGAAAAGGGACATTTGTGTCAGTTTTGTAACTCCAAGATAAAATAACGACTCGGGAGTCAGTCGGGTGGTTCCCTGTGTGTGCAGAAGCGTGGCCGGTCAGGTCTTCTGGTCTTTGTGCTCCGTGCCATGCTGCTCTGCCCTCCGCGGGGCGGCAGTGCCGCTGACCCCCGCTGACCCCGATCCCTGAAACGCACCGACCACAGGGCCTTTGTGCTGGCCGTTTGTCGGGATTGTTGGGCTCGCCCTCACTTCTGATTGCCGCATGTTTTTGGATTGTTCACGGCCAGTGATGTCTGGTCAGCAGCACTGTAAAAGTGCTAATCTGTTTATATCCGGCTTCGATTTTTTTGTGGACTCCACACAAAGCGCATAACAAAGAACGGTTTTGTAATATATTTTTTTCATCAGTCATACACTATAAGCATTGGACCCTGTTCTATAAGTCTTCTTTTTTTTTTTTTTTGGTGTGTGTAACCCACACACAGGCCTGTACAGGAGTTAGAAAAATCCTCTGGTATGCTGTTACAAAACTGGGCTATGTCGAGGTGGAGTGTGCAAAATGAACAAAAAATGATGAGCAGGTGCCAGAGAGACGGGGTCATGATTCAGCATTGTCCCTGTCGGCTGATTCTGGTGCTGTTTTTCACAAAGAGGAAGCTGGATTTCTGAGACCTGAAAGTTGCTCGGTTATATGGACCTCATGTACTGAGGGCTTTCATTAAGAAGTTATCTTGTGTACCAGGATCTGATATTTTTGCCAGTTTCCCTCAGATACATTCAGTAGTTTCTAAATAAATGCTGCCATGCTGATTTTTCTTTTTTTTTTTTACACATTTTTGTGTATTTTTACAAGCATCTGTTAAGTTCTGTTTTCTTTTTTTTTTTTGGCCAGACTCTTTAACTTATACCCTTTTTTTTTGTTTCCCCCTCTTCAGCAGCATGACATCCACAGTGACTTTGGAGGATGCCCTCTCCAACGTGGACCTGCTGGAGGAACTGCCGCTCCCTGACCAGCAGCCATGCATCGAGCCCCTCCCCTCCTCCGTCATGTATCAGGTCAGCGCCATGAAAAAAAAGCCCATTTAAAAAAAAAAAACACAAACTTTAGATGCCAATTTCCAAAGTGGATTTTCTCTCGCTTGGCACACTTGCATTATTTCTATGGATTCTGCTCACATATTCCCAAGGGGACCATAAACGTGTCGTCTTCCCACAGCCCAACTTCAACACCAACTTTGAGGACCGAAATGCGTTCGTCACAGGCATCGCCAGATACATCGAGCAGGCCACCGTCCATTCCAGCATGGTACTGATCCTCACTTCCCCGTGGTTTTTCTATTGCTTCCAGCTTTTTTAGGTGGGGGGTTTCAGGGGAAATGCCCAACTCCAGAATAGGCTAGAAGGTTTGTTGGAACCAGGGTCCGGTGAGGGACTTGGCCCTCACCACAGAACATTTTGTATTATCCTTTGGGCAGTTCACAAGGTCCAAGCCCAGAAGCAAATGGCCCCGGGATAAAACGGGTGCTGTGGAGCATCTTTCAACTGGAATCGCAGGCCTTTGTCTGTAATTAGTGGGGGATAATTGCTCGGGGTCTGGATCAAATGGCACATTGTGTGTAGACGGGGCGAGTTTTCTCTTCAAAGTGAACGAGCAGCAGTGCGTGCAAGTGTTGCTTTTATTGTGCTTTGTTTTAGTTTGAGGAATTTTTATTTTCCACTGTGGATGACTGATTTTGGTTGACCCCGAAGTGCTGCTGAGACTGACTGGCTTTGTTTGCTGGATTAGAACGACATGCTGGAGGAGGGGCAGGAGTACGCCATCATGCTGTACACCTGGAGGAGCTGCTCCCGCGCTATACCACAGGTAAGCACTGCTTTTCTTTCCTTTAAAGAACTTCATTTTCTTTTTTTTCTTTATCTACATGAGAGTTCTGGCTTTGGAAAATAACTTCTCCCTTTTCTTGCATATTTTACACGTTATCGGATAACCTTACAAAATGTTATTTTTAGGCAGCAAAAAGTCTAAATCTGTTTTGAGGATTTAAGTAATAATTTTATAATTTTTCCCTTTCTTCTCCTCTCAGGTAAAATGCAACGAACAGCCCAACAGGGTGGAGATCTACGAGAAAACCGTGGAGGTCCTCGAGCCAGAAGTCACCAAGCTGATGAACTTCATGTACTTCCAGGTCAGTACTGCTGTAACTTAACTTTTTAGGAGACTCCTGATTGTCTGCTCCAGAAGCCTAACTCACCGGCCGATGTTTATCCAGCGCACGGCCATCGATCGTTTCTGCGGGGAGGTCCGCCGCCTGTGTCACACGGAGCGCAGGAAGGACTTTGTCTCGGAGGCGTACCTGCTGACGCTGGGGAAGTTCATCAACATGTTCGCCGTTCTGGACGAGCTGAAAAACATGAAATGCAGCGTCAAGAACGACCACTCGGCCTATAAAAGGTCAGTTACTGCGTGCAGTAACTGCACTCACACAGCTAGTGTTCTATACAGGTCCACACAGACACCAGATGGCAGCATCAGTCAGCAGGACGGAAAACCAGTTTCTCTCTTTACATTTTTTCTTTTTCTGTTGTCAGGTTTAAAATGATAAAAAATTGCTACAATGAGAAAAATACTCAACACATTTCAAATTTCTTCTTAAATTTCAATAGTAGTCTTATTACAACCTGAGGAAAGTCCTAATTATTTGTTTGTAACTGTTTCTGTCTCCTTTTTGGCTTATATTGGATGCTTTTTAGCTAACAGGCGCCCACATTTTACCACCCTGGTTCCTTTAAAAGTAGACTAGATTGTTTAGAGCCGCAGTTGCACAGAATAGTACATTGAAAATTCTTTGAAGCTAAGGGTGACTTTAAATCTTGAGATTGTAGTTCTTTTTGTGATTTATTTTGGATTTACATTTATTAACCTCGGAGCCATCTATTCTCACATTTGTCCTTGCTAGCTGTTAAATGTCAGTTATACTGAAACTAAACATATTCTCATCATTTCTGCGTGTTCACTCTGAACTGCAGTTCCTCATTTCTCTCCTTCTGACAGGAACGAACACAATCTATAAAAGTTTAAGAAATATTTTAAACCCAAATGCAGCACTTAAGTGAGACTTACTGAACAGATACGTCCTCTACAGCTCTAATTTGCCAGACACTTTAAATTAGATTTAATTTGTGGTTCCATTTTTTTTTTTACTGATGCTAAAGTGTGGCATCTTAGTTGTAAGGATTTTATGTTGAAAGTTTTGATGTTTGCTTGTTTGGTGTTTTCATTTAATTTTTATTTTATACAAAATCCCTCAAGTTCTATTTTGCCTTCCTGCTCAGAGCCGCTCAGTTCCTCAGAAAGATGTCTGAGCCTTCATCCATTCAGGAGTCTCAGAACTTGTCCATGTTCCTGGCAAACCACAACAAAATCACCCAGGTTGGTCTAAATATTTCAAAAATGTTTTCATGAATCGGTTCTTTTTGGAACCGGAAAGACGCAAATAAAAGCAGCTGGGTTAGGATTGATGCTCTTGGAACAGGGTGATATGCCTGAGTATAAACTAATCTAGTTTTAGTCTTGATACACTTAAACCTAAGAATAAAATCTACAAAGACCAAGATGAATATGGTCAGATAACTTTTTGGAATATTTGTGTCAGAACCATGTCAAGAATTTGTTGAAAGTTCTGTGTATTTAGGCAGAAATGTGGTTTGCTAACCGTTCACGCGTCCTCCACAGTCTCTGCAGCAGCAGCTGGAGGTGATTAATGGATACGAAGAGCTGCTCGCAGACATCGTCAACCTGTGTGTCGACTACTACGAGAACAAGCTGTACCTCACTCCCAGCGAGAAGCACACGCTGCTGAAAGTAAGCACTTGTGAACTTGCGGGTGAAATTCAGCCTGCATCGGACTACAGGAGCATTGTTGAGGGCTATGGCCATTCTGAATGTAACCAATATTCCGTCTGTCACAGGTCATGGGCTTCGGCTTGTATCTTATGGATGGAAACAGCAGCAACATCTACAAACTAGACACCAAGAAAAGAATTAACCTCACCAAGATCGACAAGTTTTTTAAGGTATATCAGATTGGGACTACGTTTTATTTTGTTTTAAAATAATTTAGCTCTACTTTAAGTGGTTTTATCTTTAAAAAAACTTGTCAGTAATATTAAAATGTAATGTCATGTAAATTCTCAGATTTAAGTCTTAATAATTGACTTAAAGAAACGATCATGAATCAAAAGTAATTCGTTAGGTTAAAGTTTAAATTTTATCAAACACTTTATCAGCATATGTGTATATGTTTTTTTTTTTTTTAAATGATCAATAAGGTGTACGAAAGATTAAAAACTCTTCAGTTACAACTTTTATTTTTAGTGTGCTTCTGCCAGCTAATTTGATATTAATGATGCACTTTGGGGGTTCACAGCAACTCCAGGTGGTCCCACTGTTTGGCGACATGCAGATTGAGTTGTCCCGGTACATCAAGACCAGCGCTCACTTTGAAGAGAACAAATCCAGGTGAGAGGAGGGCTGGGCATCTGTCATTATCAGGGAAATGTACATTCATGCTAAGTAAACAGAGAATTTAGATATAAATTGTCCAGTTTCCTTGTTCTCTCCCTTCATTTTGAGAATTGAAATATCCAAATACTAATCCTAAATTAGTCTCGTTGACAACGTTTGAACAGTCAATGTGGTCCAAAACTAAGTATCACACTAAACTTTTAGTAATGGCTCTGAAGATGACCCAATTGTTGGGTTTCTGTAAATAACTTCAGAGTAAGGTCTGACCTGCTCTATTTAGAAAGCGCTGTGAGATAAGTGTTGGTGTCATGTGGCGCTATATAAATAAAATATAATTGAATTGGTTTTTATCTTCAGGTTGACTTTATGTGTGGTTGAATCTAAAAGTAAGTTAGTCATGATCACCAGGATTTATTATTATCATTATTAATTATGAATTATTATTTTAACAGCATTTCATACAACATAGACTGAATAAAATAGCCTTTTGTTAATTTTCAAAAGTGGTTGTTTCTAACTTCCTATCCACCAGTGTTGGAATGTTAGCCTCAATATATTGTATGACTCAAACAGTTGGTGTAACATCACCCCCTCTTCCTTCTCAGATGGACCTGCACCTCCATATCCAGCAGCCCTCAGTACAACATCTGTGAGCAGATGATTCAGATCAGGGAGGACCACATGCGCTTCATCTCTGAGCTCGCTCGCTACAGCAACAGTGAGGTTTGTATGGAATAGCAATGGCACTTAACATGGGCCTCTCAAACACACTTGGCCATCAGGGCGGAACGACGTGGAGAGTGGATGAGTTAACATTCAATGGAAGACTGTATAGTCTCCCCCTGTTGCCAGTTTTCAGTGATCCGTGCTGCGATAAAATCCAAGTTTTGGTAAAGTGGACTTCCAGATCGGAAAGTTTGAAACGGTTCATCTGTCCACGCAGGTGGTGACGGGATCAGGGCGGCAGGAGTCCCAAAAGACAGATTCCGAGTACAGGAAGCTGTTTGACCTGGCCCTGCAGGGCATGCAGCTGCTCTCCCAGTGGAGCGCCCACGTCATGGAAGTGGTGAGCGAACACAGCAGCACACAGAGGGAACAACAGCACAATCAGCTCTGTTGGCATTAAAATAGTTACAACCACGCCAGTGGTTTTTGTCACAGTTTCAAGGAACCTTTCAGATTTTTTATTCAGATTTTTTTTAAACGATTCAAAAAAAACTCTTTTACAGTATTCCTGGAAACTGGTTCACCCGACGGACAAATACTCCAATAAAGAGTGTCCCGACAACGCTGAAGAGTACGAGAGGGCCACGCGTTACAACTACACAAGCGAGGAGAAGTTTGCCCTCGTGGAGGTTTGTTATAGGATTAGATCCAACAGAGGGAGCCTTTGAAAGCCTCACCAGTGTTGGTAAAGGGATGACATGTGTCCTGGCAGGTGATCGCTATGATAAAGGGACTTCAGGTGCTGATGGGCCGCATGGAGAGCGTGTTCAATCACGCCATCCGCCACACCATCTACTCGGCGCTGCAGGACTTCTCTCAAGTGACCCTGCGGGACCCCCTGCGGCAGGCTATCAAGAAGAAGAAAAACGTCATCCAGAGGTACCGATCCCAGCTCAGTTGAAGAAATCCTACTTTAGACATGTTTACAGGGTTTACAGCCACAATGGGCTCAGACCCCTCACAACCTTTGAACCATCTTGCACCCGCAGCGTCCTTCAGGCCATCAGGAAGACGGTCTGTGACTGGGAGACCGGACGCGAGCCGCACAACGACCCCGCGCTCCGCGGGGAAAAAGACCCAAAAGGAGGCTTCGACATCAAGGTTCCTCGTCGAGCTGTGGGGCCCTCCAGCACACAGGTCTCACCTCTGCTGATGAAGCACTTCTTTACTCGAACTCCCTTTAAAGTCTCTGGGAGCACCCCTCTCAGAAGTGTTATCACTGCTGGCTTCATGATTCGATAATGTGTAATCCGTTTACCTTTTTAAAGGGCACTCGCTGACTTGCCTAGGTTGAAATGCCAAGTGTCCACGCTCGCTATTGGCTCGCAATTGAAAAAGTTTCTGGTTTAGACTGTCTTTCAAATTCAAAGAAGTGATTATATTCAATTCTTGAGAATGTATTTTAGAAAAAAATAGCATGATAGATGCACTTATAAACTGGGATGAACATTTATTCTGAAATCAATTAAAATAAATAAGCTTTCAACTTGAGAGCACAATCATGACCCCTAAACTCCCTGACTGGTCAGAGCCTGTACCATCACCTATTGTAAAGTAGTCAGATTCTTTTGGATTGGCTGAAGGCTAAAGATTTGATGCTTCTTTATATCTTAAATTGTTGCATTACAATATAACCACAATGGTGTCTGTATATTAGTCAATAAGTTATCTTAGAAGTCTGGATTCCCTAACTGTTCATGTCTTTAAATTGATTAAAAAGATAAAAGCTGAGCTCTGTACAGCTCAGCTTGTTTTTAAAGGCGTCTCAAAGCCAACCTACCCACCTGTCCTACACTTTTATTTCTATCTACATTATTTTTTTTAGTTTTTCCAAAAACGTTATTATGGTGGTCAAAATATATCCCACACCTCACAGGTACCATCAGAGTGTCTGCCAGTTTGCACCAATCTGGTTTTTGAAACCCACAGTGTCAGTGGAGAGCATCAGATTAGAACTCATGTTTTTTTTTTTTTTTTGCATCATGTTATGTCAGAGTTAAATCCACTCTGAAGTGGTGGAAACGATACAGGTTTTGATTGGACGTCTGCTTCAAAACCCATATTTTATCGGTTGTTATCTCCTCAGTTCTTCTTATTTTGATAACTGAGATTTGATGAGTCTTTCTTCGAAGATTGCATTTTGCAAATCCACCTGCGTTCCGCGGCTTTTTAACGGCGTTCCACACACTCGTGTGAGTTTCATGACAGGAGAGTGTGATTATCGGCGCGATTGACTTTACCTGTCAGGGATTTAAACGCCGCGGCAGACGTGTGACACATCGTGTTGGTTTCATCCATCACGTTGCATAAACCACACAGATTTAGCTGAGAGGAGAGTTCCAAGAATCTATCTGCTTTTCATGTCCACGGCAGTAAAGCTCAGCTACATTCACCTTCTGTAGCAATAAGCCCCAAATTAAGCGTTTAACTTCTAATGTTTTCTCTTAAAAGTAGACAAATAGTACACAAAGGCTGTTTTATTATTAGGAAGATGTGACGGATCTCAGTTTTTGATAATGCTAACGGCAGAGCGATGATTATTTAAATAAATGTTTGTGATAACTAGAGGTGATAAAGGAGGACACTAAAGGGATGCCGTGTGCTTTCTCCCCGTTAGCTCTACATGGTGAGGACCATGCTGGAATCTCTCATCGCTGACAAAAGCGGCTCAAAGAAGACTCTGCGCAGCAGTCTCGAGGGCCCCACCATCTTGGACATCGAAAAGTTTCACCGCGAATCCTTCTTTTACACACATCTGCTGAATTTCAGTGGTAAGAAGAACGGCCATTTCAGTCCCGTGGCCTCTGACTGGCATCTCTACAGCTGTACGTTGGCTGCCAGTTGGAATAGCCGCAGCTGAATTGGTCTGCGTCCATGTCCTGTGCCTCTTTCCCCGCAGAGACTTTGCAGCAGTGCTGTGACCTTTCCCAGCTTTGGTTCCGCGAGTTCTTTCTGGAGCTAACAATGGGCCGCAGGATCCAGTTCCCCATCGAAATGTCCATGCCTTGGATCCTCACCGACCACATCCTGGAGACCAAGGAAGCCTCCATGATGGAGTAAATATGCTTTGTTTGTTTTTTTTTAAGTTGGCCTAAGCTTGGGCACTTTTCCTGTGTAATCACTCCCATGCACGCTTACCCAGAAAGATAGCAATTCACCGACATAGATAGCCATGCAAAGCATATGCTTTGCATTTGAAAACCACCAGCAACTGAAAGCTGCTGGTTGGAGGTCCAGTTTTGCCTGCGTTCTCCCTTAAGACACAGCCATAGCCTCCAGAACGCCCTTCATTTTATTTATTTATTTTTTAAAGTTCTACCTCTGCTCCTAAATAAAATATTTCAGATATGATTAAATGTGTATAATCCAGAATTTTTCACTTAAAGCCGTTTTCACACATTTAAATTCCAGGTAGAAATTAAAGCTGTAGTCGCATCTGGATTGTTCACAGAAGGGGGAAGTCTGATGAAAATGTGATTTATTTATTTATTTTTCTCCACACATGATGGTAGTTCCTGTTCAGCTATGATTTGCCAGAGGACACTAGCCAGCTTTTAGACGCTGCCCCTTCATGTTTTCATGTCTGTTTTTACCCTTTGCTGCCGGATTACTTTGTTACATGGCCGATTTACATAAGCCATTAAGCACATCAAACTGGCATGAGCCACAAGTTCTGTAATTCTTCTAATAGTTGCCAAAAAAAGTTTAGTTTGCTCATTTGGAATATTTGATTTTGACAGAAGTTGTTTTCTAGAAACCAGTTAAATTAAAAATTCTCTTTAAAAAAACAAAATTCTTTATTGACTCTCTGTTTTGTGAATGAATTAATTCACTGTTTCAATTGTCCAGAACTTATGAATTGACATAAGAATAACATTTCCTTTGCTTTTTTTTTTTTCTTACAGATATGTGCTGTATCCTCTGGATTTGTACAATGACAGCGCCCACTATGCCCTGACCAAATTCAAGAAACAGTTCCTCTATGACGAGATTGAGGCCGAGGTAATGGATCTGATGATTTGATGGCTACTTTAATCCTCTGCGTGAAGCTGTGTGACAGAATGCCACTTTCCTGAATAAATTGTCCTATCCCAATAAAATCCCACACACCCATTTTCTTCCTAAAGCTCTGCATGTCCAGCCGTTGCGTAACAGCTTATAGAATGAAACCAGTATAATCTGTATGGTATGACGTTGAAAGAAATCAGTGGAAATGACCGTTCTTCTCAGTAATTACAGTCCTTCCTTGTTTCCTCTCGTCAAATGAGTTTGAAATGCTGTGTTGTGTTGAAATTTTGAATATTTGTGTAAGAAAATAAAACACGTGTCAATTTGTCGTTACAGGTTAACCTGTGCTTTGATCAGTTTGTCTACAAGCTAGCTGATCAGATATTTGCCTATTACAAGATACTAGCTGGAAGGTGGGTCACACAAATGTTACAAATGCGATACTAATTATGTTCAACCTAGTTGTGTAAAGCCGACAAAGCTCATAAATAGAATGTATATGGTTAACAGACTTGAGTGGTGTGGTTTAACAGGCTTTCATAACCAGGTTAGTTGTGTAAACAGGATTTTTATATAAAAACTAAAATGATATGTTTTGTGTTAATTGGAATATAATAGTGATGATGAGCCCAAGTTATTTTCAATGCTGGATATTTCATCGTATCCATGAGATTAACGGGAAAAAAAAGACAAAAATGATCGATTTCACCAAGATATTTGAAGTAATTTTGAAATAGAAGTAGCTCAGAATTTCCCCAAGCTGCATCTTCATATCAGATTCTTAAAAAAATAACTGTTAAATGGCTTCAGTGGCAGAAATGTTATGCTGTGTGCTTCATTTTTTTTCTCCCAGTGTATCTGTATTTCTCCTTGTTCACACAAACTCTGTTTATTTGAACGGGGCAGTCTTCTGCTCGACAAGCGCTTGAGGTCGGACTGCAAGAACCAAGGCGCCAACATTCCCTGGCCGGCCTCCAACCGCTACGAGACTCTGCTGAAGCAGCGCCACGTCCAGGTATGTTCTCCACCGCCATCCCCACCTTCGTTCGGCCGCCCCCCTCGCTAACCGGACGTTTGTACTGCAGCTGCTAGGCCGCTCCATCGACCTGAACAGACTCATCACCCAGAGGGTCTCAGCAGCTCTCTACAAATCTCTGGAGCTGGCCATCAACCGGTTCGAGAGCGAGGACCTCACCTCCATCATGGTACGCGGTTTTCGGTTACCGAACATGGTCACGTAATATCTGGTGCACAGTACAGAGCCCCTTTTTCTATACTCGGTATAGGAGCTTGAAGGCTTGCTGGAGATCAATCGCATGACGCACAAACTGCTGGGTAAGTTCCTGACGCTGGACAGCTTGGACGCCATGTTCCGCGAGGCCAACCACAACGTGTCGGCGCCCTACGGCAGGATAACCCTGCACGTCTTCTGGGAACTCAACTACGACTTCCTGCCAAACTACTGCTACAACGGCTCCACCAACAGGTGCGTTGGAGTTCGGCTGCCTGGTTTTGAACTTTAGCTAATTAATGGGTTAGATCCTCAGCTTTTACACAGACTAGAAGAAAGAGACATTTTTATTTTTATTTTTTAGAACACACTTTACCATCAGTTTCAGTGTTGAATTTGTACATTATGCACATGAAAGCAGCATTGGCAGTTGTTGACCTGCTGTGTGTAATTTCCTTTAAAAAATAAACATGGTTAAGATCATGGAGAGGTCAGGCTGATCAGCTTGGATTTAAACAAATAAATGCAAATGCAAAAACCCTGCTCAGAACACGGAGCTAGAGCTAATGGCTGTGTTTTGGTTTTCTAAAGCAGCTCTGCGTTCATGTCTGGCCTTTCTTGTTTTACCTCAAGTCTGATTTTTTTTGTTTTAGTTAGTTTTTAAACCCATTTTTTCCCACAGTTGTTTTGGGCTTTAGAGAAGGCAGTTAGAATTTTTTTTTTTCTCTATTTTTTTTCCCCTCAATTACTACACAACACATGGATTTTAAGTCCATACAAATACCAAAACGGCAAATATTTGAATGAAGAAAAATTTGAACATTTTGATATTTTTGTCCACAATGGCAATAACGAGGCTGTGAGATTTGCAGGGGTCAGTCTGAACCCAGTGACATTTTTTTTAATGAAGTGACCACATAGAAGGACAAATACATCATCAGAATTCTTGAAATTTAGGTCTAACTTTTAAAAGCAAATTTCTCTTGGAGCAAGTTCAAGCTTTGGTCTTCATTCTCTATTTAAAAAACAAAAACAAACAAAAAAAACTGCTGCAGAGTTTATAGGTTATCCCACTGATTATTCCATTTAGATTGCTCCATATTAGATGGACGCATCGTCTGTCTGGCTATGTGTCCCTGAAAACGGCTTTATTCCCATTGGCTGGTCCTCACAAAGGCTGAAGGTCTCCATATGTGTCTGTTTTCAGTACATGAGGATGATTTTCTGTGTGTTCAGGTTTGTGCGCACCATCCTGCCTTTCTCTCAGGAGTTCCAGCGGGATAAGCCTCCCAACGCCCAGCCTCACTATCTGTACGGGTCAAAGGTCGGTACATCCTTCTGTCATCGCCTCTCCCAGAAAAAGCTTCTTTTCCACGCCATTCCATTAGGTTTTATTTTTGTTTTATTGACTTCTCGCATGGCCTGACATGTTGAACACAGTTGACCGTGTATTTGGAAAGTAAATCAAATGGAAAGCTTTAACGTTTCAAACATCAAGTTGGGGGGGCAAATGTCTCGGAAGCATAAAAAAGGTGAAAAATCTTTGAGGATAATCGCACACCACGAAACCACTTCTACAGATGAAGAAACGCATTGAAGGTGACGCCGTGATATGCTTCGAATTAGTCTGAAAACTTAAACCCGATTCAGGGTTGAAAAAGTGACATCTGAGCCTGGCCGGAACAATGCAGCGATGACCTTAATCCCGTCGATTACTGCTGGCTCGCTGTCAGCCCGCTTAGCCAGCGGCCTCAGCTCTCATGGCCGGGGGCAATTATGCGGCCGGCAGAATGCGCCGGCGCCAGCCCGCGCTGCCCGACGGACCCGAGGCTGAGGTCGCTGCCGCTCCTCGCCGCGAAGAGGCTTCCGCATCCCATCCCGTCCCCGCAGGCGGACTTGCCCCCGGCGGGGCCGTCCTCCTCCTCCGCCCGCCCGCGGCGAAGGCACCCCCACAGCAGCGCGCCGGCCACGAGCAGCAGCAGGAGGCAGCCGGCCAGCCAGACGCCGGCGGTCAGCTCCCAGCGGGCGCCGCCGCGGCCCTCGCTGCTCTCGCTCAGAGTGCTGAACGCCTGGCACTGCTCCCGCACCGGATCGGCGGCCTGGCACGTCACGCACACGAAATAAGCGGTCTGGGGCAGGAGGTTGAGCAGGCGGGCGCTGGTCTGGCTGACCGGGATGCGGTCCTCCTGCTTGAAGCGCTTGCGCTTGTAGCCCATGAGCAGGCCGTTCCAGTCGGGATCGTACATGACGCTGTAGAACGTGTCCAGGCAGGTGGGGGACGGCGGCCAGCTCACCCTGGCCGAAGCAGAGGAGATGTTGTAGACCACAACTCCCATTCTTCAGAGCCGTACGCAACACAAGCAAGGCGCTGTCTTGGTATTTAGAGTTTCCCTGCATACACAGTATGGGGAAAAGAAAAAAAAAAGATTTGATGGAAAGTCAATCAAAACAGACCATTTCTGACCATTTTCGATGTCAAGGAAGCTCAAATTCAGAATAGAAACACAGTATGAATGTCGGTCAGTCGTCATCATACAGAGAAGAGAGGCATAATCGGAGTACGATAAGCAATATTCAAAGGATTATCCAGGCTGTGCTACGGGACCATGATGTTCACCAAATTATACGATGATTATACGGGATTCTCACCGTGCTCTGAATCACCTGATAAAGACAGGTGATCTACACCCGATATGATACTGAGACTCAGAACTGGTGTGAGTTTAGCCTCCATAAATCTATTTAATTTTTTTTTATTTATATAGCGCCAAATCGCAACAACAGCTATCTCACAGCGCTTTCCACACAGAGCAGGTCAGACCCTACTCTGAAGTTATTTATAGAGAAACTTGTTTACCAAAAACGGAGCAAAATGACTTCCTTTAAAAAAAAACCCCACAAAAAACCCACATCAGATTTCCCTGTGGGGGAGATCAGGGTTTTTTTTTTTTTAAAGTTCACTTGTTGGATGAATAATCTTCATGAGTCATCAAATGACTTCCTGATTGACTTAATGAAGCCTTCACTTCACACTAGTGCTGCTCACTAAGTTAGGACTCAATTGTTGTTCTATTTTTGCTTTCTTTCAGCATGTTTTATATGGATTTTATACAATGAAAAAATAAAATAAAAAGATGTATAAGTGGTTTTATATACTTTTATCAATGGATAAAAGTTAGCCTTACCAGAAAAAACTGCCCGCAGGTGTTGAGCTTTGACCAGAGCCGTGTGTTCAGATGATCTCATGCTGCTGACGTCCGGCCATTTATCAAACTGTCACCGTTTAAAGACCCTCGACGCTGCGTGCTCCGTTTTAATATCAGAACTGCTGCCACACTAGAGGGAGAGTTGTTGGATTAAAGCAGCAGCAGTCTGCCAACAGGGTGGGGGGGGCTAAAATCTCCCGCTTTTGACTTCAGAAAACGTACATTCGGCATCCTATTGGGTTGCAATTTGTCCAGTTTTTTGTTGTTTCTAGACGGACGAGCATTGTGATGCATTTCTTTTCCGTGCTTGGAATTGCTGTCGGTGTTATCCAGGGGGGTAAAAAAGGGTTATTCTGCTGCAAAACCCAAACGGCTGCTTGACAGAATGTCACCAAAATGCTGCCACGATGATCCACTTTTTGTTAACCTTAAATCGTGCCGTCTATGGAAAATGCTTCACATTGACACGACAATGGGCTCAATCGTTGTCCCGCTTTACATTGACCCTCTCTCGTTTTATTTCCCCCGCACACAGACCCTGAACCTGGCATACAGCAGCATTTTCAGCACCTACAGGAACTTTCTGGGCCCTCCGCACATTAAAGTCATGTGCAGACTGCTGGGCTACCAGGGCATCGCCGTGGTGATGGAAGAGCTGCTCAAGGTTGTCAAGAGCCTGGTGAGTGTGACGGTAGGCTGGAGAGGCAGCCGGCCCCATTATAAGGATTGAAGTTATTTAATCGAATATTGGAATTCTCACACCTTAGCTTTGTGTGCATGTGTTAGCTCTTTGTTTCCAAAGTGGTTGATTGTGGTATATTGTGTTAATCGCGCAGCTTCAGGGCACCATCATGCAGTATGTGAAGACCCTGATGGAGGTGATGCCTAAGATCTGCAGACTTCCACGCCACGAGTACGGTTCCCCCGGTAAGTTTAAAAAGCCTGTCTCCACTCTGTTGGGTCCCTCAGCCCTGTGTAGAAACCAGTAAAAGTAACTTTGACAGCATATGCAGGTAGGTGTCATCTCGCCTAAAAGCAGCTAAACGCATCTAAAAAAAGATCACTACAGAAGTGTAATGCAGGACATTATAGATTGGAAGCTGTTAGCAATTATTTACTATTTTCTATTTGTTCCACCCTATGACTATGACCGTTACATGTAATGGCATTAGTGAGTCAACAGGCCTGCATGTCGTTTCAGGTATCCTGGAATTCTTTCACCACCAGCTGAAAGACATCGTGGAGTATGCTGAGCTGAAGACGGTGTGTTTCCAGAACCTGAGGGAGGTGGGCAACGCCCTCCTGTTCTGCCTGCTGAGCGAGCAGAGTCTGGTAGGGATCCAAACGCGGAGCCGCTCCGGGAGGCAGCAGAGATGAGTTTCTGGGCTTTTTCAGTCGTCAGTTGTCACATTGCTATGCTTTTGTCCCTCTAGTCGCAGGAAGAAGTGTGTGATTTGCTGCACGCGGCCCCCTTCCAGAACATTCTTCCAAGAGTCCACGTGAAAGGTAAAAACGGGATTTGCGTTGATGTTCGAAAAAAATAGCCGGAATACAAAATTAGCTTTAAAAAAAAAATGTTTTACCCGCTAACAAATAATGGATCATCTGCCGGAATTCACAAATTAGAAGTCCCCAACCGTCCAATCAGAAAATAGCATTTGTTGTTTCCAGGCGAATTCCAGAATAAAGTCACCGGTGATCCATCTGTACTTTTCTGGGCTGCAAATACCAGAACTTTAGCTGAACAAACCTGGTGACCTGGCTTCTTCTTCTTCTTTTCTCTGTAGAGGGGGAACGTCTGGATGCCAAGATGAAGCGCTTGGAGGCCAAATACACGGCGCTGCACATGGTTCCGCTGATCGAACGCCTGGGGACTCCGCAGGTACAACCGGCACACACACGCATCCCACTAGGAAGCTCTCAAAGCTTCGGGCGGGACATGGTGCGGGGGCTTTTGGGCTCCGTTTTCCATTACTTTTCTCACACACTTCTCCCGCCCCTCTTCCCCAGCAAATCGCCATCGCTCGCGAGGGCGACCTGCTGACCAAAGAGAGACTGTGCTGCGGCCTGTCCATGTTCGAGGTCATCCTCACGCGCGTGCGGGGCTTCCTGGACGATCCCATCTGGCGCGGGCCGTTGCCCAGCAACGGCGTGATGCACGTCGACGAGTGCGTGGAGTTCCACCGGCTCTGGAGCGCCATGCAGTTTGTGTACTGCATCCCCGTGGGAGCCCACGAGTTCACAGTGGAGTGAGTGGACCGGGCACGCACAGCTGGACCACAGCTGGGCAGGTCGGGCACGGCTTTAACCCCCCCCCCACTCCCCCCTCTCCATTCTCCAGGCAGTGCTTTGGAGATGGCCTCCACTGGGCCGGCTGCATGATCATTGCCCTCCTGGGACAGCAGAGGCGCTTCGACATCCTGGACTTCAGCTACCACCTGCTCAAGGTCCAGAAGCACGACGGCAAGGACGAGGTCATCAAGAGCGTGGTGAGCCTGACAGACGGGCAGCAGCAGCTCTGCTACACGGCCTCCTATATGTGACATGAGCCCAGGTCTGGGCCTGCAACCTCATCAGTTTGGGACTTAATTTGACATTATATATTCATATTACAGTTGTAGATACTATATCTACTTTCAAAAGAATACTTTTTGATGCACCTACACACCATTTAGCACGTTTTTTTTGTTTAATTTGGTGATGGTATATTAGCCATGTTCAGTCTGCTTCTCCTCAAGATTAACAGCAGATACCAAACATATTCTCCATCCAGATCGCTGTCTTAGATTTTATAGATTTTATGTGTAGCAGCTGTCGGCTGTCTGCTTACTTGAAAGCAATTCCAGACTGTTCCTCTGCTCTTTTTTTTTTATTTTTTATAACAGCAGTATCATCTGGATAAAATATATCACCATTCCAGTAACACAAAGAGAAACACATGTGACATAATTTAATCTGCTCTTGCGTGTTAGATGATCTCCCACAGAAAAAGATAGCAGCAGAAAACCCTGTTTTCTAAAGCAGCGCACCATCAAAATGTTGGACCGTCAGTGAATAGCCTGTGTCTGTGCATGTAGACTGGGATGTGGGTGGTCCGTTAGCAGGGTCCAGCTGAACTGTTCAGGGTAGCATTTGCTGGTAAATGCCAGAATAAACCAGACTGTCATTTACTGTACCTGGATCCTCTCAGCAAGCATTACGTTAGAATTTGAAACGTATAATGGTGCCAACCTTGCCAACAGGTAAGCAATCTCATGTAAAAAAAATTTAGAGAACTGCATTATTCGTTAATTTACCATTATGATAAAAAGACAATGTCTGTTTCAGATGACAGCTTTGATATTGATCATTAATAATCTCATCGCCTGTCTTTGAGTGGTTAGCACAAATAACCCGTCAAACTTTGTGATTGCTGGGTGACCTGTCCTGATTCATAAGAACGTTCACCTGAACAGACGCGTCCTTCGTTCCCGACTCACAAATCCAGTGACTTCAATTCTGTGCTTTCTGTGTCGCCCTTCAGCCCCTGAAGAAGATGGTGGACAGAATCCGCAAGTTCCAAGTCATCAACAACGAGATCTTCGCCATCCTGAACAAGTACATGAAGTCCGGGGACGGGGAGAACATGCCAGTTGAACACGTCCGTTGCTTCCAGCCCCCGATCCACCAATCGCTGGCCAGCAGCTGAGGAGGAGCACAGCGGAGGGCACAGCTCTGTGGTTTGGCTTAACCAGCCCAGCCACAAGTATTTCTCCTCATTTTCCATCTTAAATCCTCAGTAGCAAAGGACCATTACACTTAATAAGTCGGGCCACTACTTTTTTTTATTTTTATGTTTTCCTTTTTGTATTCACTTGTGCCTTATTTGAAAAGAATAGATAATGTCTTTCTGGATAAACTGTTTTTTTATATATATATATATAGACTTGCTGAAAGCTAGAGATCAGAGAGGGAAATAAGTTTTATCAGAGAAGAGTATTTAAGGGTTTGCAGTGGTGGAATACTAAGGGTGAATAGTGAACTATTTTAAGTGTGTTCAAAACAGAAATTTGTACCTTCTACACTGTCGACTGTGCATGCTAAACATTTTAAAGGAAGCTGAAAAGTAACAGAAGCTCATACTGTTAAGCATTTATTCACTGTGCCTTTGTTTGAAATGTTTTAATCATTTTAATTCAATAAATATGTAACAAATCTGTTGGTTCATCTTCAAGAGCTTTTTATGTAAAAACTACCCCAGCCCCACCCAAAAAAAACCCAGAATGATTTCCTACATAAATTGTTGCTTTCAAGTATCACCGAAAGCTCAAATCAGTAGACGTCCTATGTCTTGGTCATCAGCAGGACTTCAAAGAATATATATTAAAACTTAGCTTTTGATTCATAGAAAGTAAGTCAGTGCATGAAAACGCATGTACATATAACAAAACATCTTAAAAAACAAAACAAAAGAAGGTATTTACAGAGCTACAGAGGAATGAAATTGGGCTTCTGTAAATGAACATGACGACGTCATATTCAGAGGAAAAGTAAGGCAAATTAAAATGAATACAATCCACTGGTCTGTCCACACCTGCCTCACAGTTGATTGTCTCATTGTTTTCCTAAACCATGGGTACAACAATGCCATGGCTGAGTCAGAAAAGAAAAGAAAGAAAAAGAAATTCTACGAAGACGTCATTGCTCCGTTCCTTCTCGAGATGCTATCGAAAGGCAGGGCCATCTCTCTGGTGTCGGGCTCCTCGGCGGGCTCGTTGTGAAGCAGTTCGTAGCTGCTGTGGGACGCCGTGCCGTTGGCGGCGGGGCCGGCCCGCTCCTCCTTCCTCATGGACACGGCCAGAGTGGCCAGGCTGACGCTGACGTCCTTGAAGGCGTGGAGCAGGAAGATGCCCACGATGATGGTGAGGAAGCCGCTGAGCGTGCCGATCACGTCGCCCGCGCGCATGTGCTCCCACTCCTTGAAGAGGATGGCGGAGCAGGTGAGCACCGAGGTGGTGAAGAACACGTAGTAGATGGGCGTCACCAGGGAGGTGTTGAATATGTCCAGCGCCTTGTTCAGGTAGTTGATCTGCGTGCTGACGCAGGCCACCAGGCCCAGGAGCAGGATCCACGCCAGCGGGTTCCGCGCCACGCTTTTGCCCGCGATGGCCTCCTTGATGGCGATGCCCAGCCCTTTGACGCAGGACACCGAGAGGGCCCCGATCACCGAGCAGATGGTGATGTAGACCAGGATGTTGGTCTGACCGTGGCGGGGGCCCACGACGAATATGAAGATCAGAGCCACGATGATGACCAGAGTGGCAAAGATGAAAAACCCTGTTTGGATAAAGGGGGGGTGGAGTTATTTGGGGCAACAAATATCTATCCGCAATCTTTTTTTTCCCAAAGGATGAATGTCATTTTTTCCTAGGTGTTCTCAAATGTAGATGTAAAAAATAAATAAATAAACAAAATAGAATTCTGTTGTACCTGGGTCAACCAGCTTTTTGGCCATGTGCTCCAGGCTGCTGATCTCCTCTTCCTGGGGGGCGTGGATCACCATGGTGGTGGAGCCCAGGATGCTGAGCATGCAGCCAAGCTTCCCGTGCAGGTTCAACCGCTCCGTCAGGAAGTACGACGACAGCACCGCACTGCAAACCACAAATGTAATGGAAACCCGTGAGGCTGCGGTGGGGGAGAGGGGAGCGAAAACAAGAACACTGGGAGAACCGGAAGCATTTTGTGGCTTTTTAGTTGCCGCCTCAAATTTTAGGAAATGTCCCTTATCCCTAAATGTAAACAGACACACCCCGCTAGTTCTGTTTGTGTGTGTCAGCCTTTTTAAAGCCGTACACACGAGGTTAAAGCCCGTACAGTACCTGACAAGCACGCTGAGGGCTCCCAGAGGGGTGACCAGAGTCGCCGGAGCAAAAGCGTACGCCGCAAAATTGGCAGCTTCTCCAGCACCCACTGTAAAAAAAGTTTAGGACAGAGTTAGCCAGCAGATTAAAATCAAGACGCGATGCATGTGATGCGATACAGCCAGACGGAGGGAGTAGACGCAGACATTCCAGCTCAGGTTTACTGTGACGCAACAACATTAAATAAAAGGAGACCACGGGATTGGATGCTTTGAACCAGGGTTAATGTTTGGAAGCCGAGTTTAGTTCCCATCTTGAACATGTAACTTGTTATAATGTCTATTACAGCACCTTAGGATGGAAGCTTCTAACAAGCTGAACAAACAAAAACTGGACATCGTTTATGCCCCCAAAAAAAAAAAACTGTTAAAAAGAAACAAGGTGAACAGAACTCTTAACACTTACTTGATAGTAAGCCGGCCCACCACAGCCATTCTTTTAGATATGCATGACCACCCTGGCCTGAAAAGAGAAAGAAACAGAATAACGCTCAAGAATCTTCTTGTTTTAATCATCCTATAAAATATGAAAGAAAAAAAAAACTGCCAGCAAAGACAATCATCCGGTACAGGAGGTCACATGAAACACTAAAGTGAATGATTACAAGGTGCTAAAAGTGTTGATAAGTCTCCGACGACCAACACCAGAGAGCAGAGGGGAAAAATATAAGCCTGTAATGTTTGTTGCTGAGCTGTCGTAACTGGTCTGACTTCATCGCTGGCTCCCAGTGATGTGCACCAACAGCAGGGAGTGCCCTAATCTAACTGACAAAGTCGGGTGGGGGGGGGGAGAGCGTCTGGGGCTGGTACCTGCTCGCATCGATCCCTTCCGGGCGAGCCTCAAAAGCCCCTTCTTCTTCAGGATGAAGCTGCCCCCGATGAAGATGCTGGAGCTGATGGCCAGTCCCAGGCCGATGTAGAAGTCGTACTTCCCCCTGTCTTGACCCATTGCGAGGCTTGAAGCGTTTGTGCGATCCGTCACATCTACCACCAAACAGGGAAGATGCTGACCGAGGGTGCAGTCGCGGTCAGCCCAGACACCTGAGAACGGAGCAGAGGAATGAAAAAAAATAAACACATAATAACACCCATGGGCTTCTGAGTTGGTGGGAGAGGGAGGGAGAGGAAACGTCAGACCATCGGTACCAGCGCAGGGACCTTACCGCATCCACGGGAGAAATTACAAACTGGAAACCCATAATCTAACAATTGGGACGAATCCATGAACGCGGTGTTGCGTTCAGGTGAATCTGTTCCAACTCTGCCGCCCGGTTCCGTCCAGCCGCATCGGAGTATAAAGCAGCCTGGCTGGGTGTTGTTCCGGGCGTAGAGGGGGAAAAACAGAGCATTGTGCAACAACTCGCTCACCTGCTATGTAAATTAACTTATTTCAAGACTTTGGAATTCAGGAAGTGGCGCGCTAGGTGAGGCTGGTTAACGAGCTGAGCTAAGCTAAGCACGCCCATGAGGTTACGCGTTCTCCTCTTTGGGGCGGCATTACCTGCCCGGTACACCGTTCCGAGCTCTGCTCCGACACTTTTTAATGGCGCCGGCTTTTTGAAGCCCCAATTAGGAAGGGCGTTAACTTTATAATTAGCTCCAGCCTCCTTGCTAGACGCGTTAGCTTAAAAATTCGCCCCGTAGCTAGCTTCCTGGTTAGCAAAGTCCCCCTCGAACCGCTCGTTCGGTCTTGCCCGAGGAGCGACGGCGTTAGTAGGGTACCTGTTCAAAGTCCCCCCCCCTCCCACTCCCTCCCTCCCCACCAAACAAGTTAATAGTAACCGGGGGGGATACCCACTAGCTAGCCTGCATCTTGACCGCGTCGCCGACCATCACGGAGCGCTCCCTCCACACTTCCAGTCGAGCTCCGGCGCCGACCGTTTTGACGACTGCCGCACTGCAAGGCTCTTCTTCTGCTTATCGGAGGAGACGTGGCCGTTGAACCGTGTGCCCTCCGCAGGCTGAAACCCGGAACCACAGAGATCATTTACAGAGCGCGTGGGAAACCCCACACTCCACGACACGAACTGCATCAGGGTTTTCTTTCATTATTTATTTGACCAGACACGACCATTATTAAAACAAACACAACTATGATTCCATTGATAACAACGATGCTAATGATAATTATTATGATTATTAAGAACAGAATAAATGGGTCGAGCGCACGTGGACAGCCACAATAGTTAGGATTTTGAATGGCAAAAAAAGTTCAATTAAGTTTGAAAATTAAAAAAATGCGCCTTTTAAGAATGACTAAATTACACACTTAAGAGCACACTGGTAGAGAGGTAGTAATACCAATTTAAGAGACACAGTATAATGTATTTGGTAATTTAATCCAATTGGCCACAGTCGATATATTTCACAACTGATGACAATATGTCATCAATTCTATTAGATTCAGTTTAATTCATTTAAAATAAAACAGTTTATCAAACAATCAGTGGACTTGGAAAGCTTGTTATCAAAGTCAATTTCACTGGACTGTCATGATTTAATACAAAAAAAAAAAACGTGTAATGCACATAATTAGAAACAGTATCATAATTTACTTGATTTCAGCTTTAATAATATTTTGGAATTTGCCTAAATAAATTTGATTAAATGAACACCGTTTATCATATATAAAAACACATTTTTCCAGGTACCGCCACAAAATATCTATGATTTCCAGAAGTTCTATTGGCCATTGTTAATAACTGTTTTTAGTTTAAATAGGTTGGTAAACACGTATCATTGTGGGTTCTTATGGGTTAATATCTTTAATTCAACTCCCTAGGAGGGCCAACCTCTCCATTTACCCTGAATTATTCACCCTCACGTCACCACTAAGACAATCTGGCACCAGAACAAATGGAGGACATTTGAGGATCCTTTCAAGATCCCACAGGAATCATTCTGCTGGAAAATAAACTGGATGATTTACAATGCTCTGTAAACTAGTTCATTACCAGTCTGAGAAGGGTTCAAATGTAATGTTAGGCACCAACAAAGTGATCCCCAAACAGCAACATGTTCAGGAATTAGCAGCTGAAAATGTCATATATCGGATCTATACATTATTAGAATGTTATACAAGTCAATTTTGATAATATACATACATAAAACAATGGAGTGTGTTCAGTCAGAGGCTTCTTTGCCTTTAATGTAATACAAAATTATACAAATAATTTCAGTTCAAACACAATCAGAGTTTAGACTGATGTTGAAAAAACACAGAAATGATAAGCTTTTCTAGAAAACTTCACATCCAGTTGCCTAAACTGAACTTTTCAAGCTGGACCATGACCCAGATGAATGAGAATCTTCACAGATACAGAAATGGTATAATTTCTCTTTGGAATGATTGTTTTCCCCCATTAAATTTCATATCTCTCCACAGTGTGCAATGTGTCTGTGAGGAATGAGAAAGTTGGACAAATAGAGAATGAAAAAATAAGTAGCAGGACTATAAAAGGTTTTCGGACAGATGGAAGTATCAATAAAACGCTGTTAGTTTTAACCCCTTTTTTTGTGCAAGAAACAAGAAAAAGATTTCTTGGCTGAGCTTTACGTATGGTTTCTGTAGTGTCAGGAGTATTACTGTTATGACAAAATTTAAACACTAAATCAACATGTAAATAAATAACTGTATTGTGTGCGTGCATTTATTTTGGAATTAAATAAATTACTTTTGGTCCCTTGAACAGGATGGTCGTACAATAAAGAGCGAACAGGAAGCCTGTGGGGATAAGTCATGGTTAGTCCATCTTTCCCCGCGCTTCGCTCTTCTTCCAGGTAATCAAAGCATCCTGGGAAAGGCGCAGTAAAACAACCCCGACGCACACCGTGGCTAAACCGCAGAGCATCGCGAGGCTGTCGGTTAACACGAGTGAGGTCCACTCCTTGAAGAGAAGAGCGGAGGCGAAAATCACGGTGGATGTGAACGCCACGTAGTAAATTGCTTCGAATACGTTGGAGCTGAAACACTCCAAGGCCTTGTTGATGTAGAAAAACTGTATCAGGACGCTGGCAGCCAGCGTCCCCAGCAGGCCCAGGAAGAGGGCTAGGGCTCTGCCGCTTGCCGGCCCCTCGCTGAAGGCGTCTGGGGCCACCAGGCCCAGTCCTTTGCTGCACGGCACAGTGAAGTTTCCCAAAAGGGAACATATGGCAACATACACCAGTATGTTTGATTTCCCATGAGCAGGAGCAATCCACACAATTAGAGTGATCAGCAGCAGGACCACCAGAAGGAGATAGATTGCAAACACTGCAGGATGATACATGGAATAGTTGTCAGAATTACGGAGGAAAATATGAATGGCTGTTGCAGATTTCCAAACAAAAGCCTGCTTTACCACCTGGGTCGGAGAGCCTATCCTCTAGCTCCAGTCTTGAAGTCGCCTCTGCTTTAGGGGCATGGATGATGAGCACAACAGAACCACAACAGCATAATACACAACCCAGCTTCCCCAGGATGTTTAAATGCTCCTCCAATATCCAGGACGCCAGCACAGCCCTGCAAAAAAGAAAACAGAAAGGAAAAAAAAGGTCTGTGATCTGTTGTGCCTGCATTTTGTGCTGATTAAACCTCATGATCAAGCAAGGAAGGGAGAACACATTAGCTGATACTTACCCGAATAGTACTCCAAGAGCTCCCAGTGGTGTAACTATTACAGCAGGGGCCACATTGTATGCAAGGAAGTTCCCAATCTGACCAATAATCACTAAAATATAAACAGATGGGTGCATTAAAGCTTTGGATTTCGAATATCATCGGGAAAGCAGGCCGATTTAAGGACACAGTGCAAAATTCAGGATGAGCTTTTCACCTGAGTAATCATCCGAAGTTGACAGATGACGTTATACTCACTGCATAGTGTGCCGCTCCACCACACAACGTCCGTGAGGTATGTCCCTCCTACGGCAACACAGGAAATACAGGGACTTTAGTTTGTGTTGTTCGCTTTACATACTCATACAAAAAATACAAAAAAAACATTTTTTCTAATCTGCTTTTTCTTCCTACCTCTGTCACGAGAGCGCAATATTCCCTTTTTCTGAAGCACAAATGTCGACCCATTGATGAAACTTGATATGACAGCTATTACTACTCCCGTATTTTGATACGAGACACTCTCCGTTCCTGTGACAGCGGCCATTATCGTTGACATTAAACTGTAGCGTGAATGGTCAATTTTTCTACAAATGTCTTAAGTTTACAGCGCTACCCAGTGGACGACTTCCTGACAATCCAGACAAACCCGCCCCTGTTAAGTCCCGCCTTGGGTCCAAAAGCTGTGCTCGTTTTAAAGTGTTTGTCGAGACGGGTGGGCGGAGTTGAAAATGTCACTGCTGATGTTTGACCGTGCCCAGAAACTCCACCTCAGCGGGCTGTGACCGTGACTATCAATCGCACCGAAGAGACCAGCTACGACAAGTGCGTAATTTGTTTCCATGCCTCTTGCCCCGGTATAAGAACTGTCAATCAAATCCATTATGAACGTCTTGTTAATGCAGCAAAGCAGCTGAGGGGACGAGAATAGCTTGAGAAGTGACCGCAGGTAATGTAGACATTTGTAACTAAAATGGACACGTTATAAACGATATACATAAGCTCTCCTAAGGGTTGCAACCCATTTGTTGTAATGTCACGTCTCCGGTTCTTGTTCATCGTTGACTAGAGGATGGGAGCTAGTTTAGCTTTGGCTAGCTAACGCTGTGTTAGTGTTAGCTATTTAGCAGACGAACTAGTTAGCCTCACAGTGGTCAAGCTAATGCACATTTTATCAAACGGAATATCATAACTCGTTAATAGCGGCTTTTGTCATAGTACGTTACTACCCACTAAAACTGCTAATTTGATCGTACTTGCTTGTTGGTGCAAACCAAGGTTAAAAGGGAATAACTTTGGCTAGCATTTACTGCTAAAATATTCCATGTTTTCCCCCCAGTGTTATTTTTACGTAAAACAAACACTTCTATGACCTAAATCTACGGTATTGTTGCGGTAATGTACGGCATTGCTTACACGTCCAAAAAGTACTTCTCTAAATCACAGTAAAGGCCAATAGACGTAGCTAAATGCATGGTAGGTGGCGTAAAGATATTTAGGAAATATTCTTAATGCTGTAAAAGCAAAGTTCTGTGTTTTTAAGAATATGAAGACGCTGTTTGTTTACATTACCATGATTAGTATTATTAGTTGTCCTATTTTCTAAAGCCAAAGGTAGTACTAAACGTTAATTTTTTGTCAGGATGGAGTGTGAGATGTTAGAATAGGACTGATGACTAGCCAGGAAAGGTGTGTGCTTTTATCCTCCCTTCATTCATGTTGTGGGCCCTTTTATGCTGTCAGGATAGCTGTTTCCTCTCCTGCCTGTGATTGTACTTCTGCCTTATACTGCTGCTATGTCTGTCTTTGTCTTGTAGGTTGGCTGCGTTTGCAGCCAGGAGAGGAGGGGGAAAGATGCCTTCCCCATCTTTTACCCTCGATGCTCAGCTAAGATTTCATGACAAATGGCTGAAAATAGACTTACAGGTATGTCGACAAGGTTTGACATATTTCTTTCAAATTTAAAAGGACATGTAATGTATAGTCACGTTTTACTCCGGTAATGACAAAAAATAGCCAATTCCGCCAATTGATCCTCACTGCCTCATTTAAAAGTTGTTTGTAGTGTGTTTAGTAAATTATGTCGGAATCAAACAGCATTTTCCTTCCACCACATCTGCAGTCATGTAGTTACCAGAAGTCTGTAAAATCACAACAATAAACTTAAAAAAAAAAAAAAACTCACCAACTACTACTACTAAGCCAGGTCTGCAGACACCTATCCTCAGGCTGCCTTGAGATTCCTACACCGGTAATGATTGTTTTATTTGTGATAGGAAAAGTGGCACAGCCTATATTGATACAAAAATATGTTTGTTGTGAAGACAAACTGATGTTGGTAGTAGTTATGAAGCATTTTATTACAATGATTACGAATTGTGGAATATAGAGTGGCTGTGTTCAACTGGGAAAATAGGTTTTGGTGCGAGCTCTGTGTGCCCACCTGCACCGATAGCTGCCATCAGAACATGAAAAGTTAGCCTGCACCCAATGGAAGACCTAAAATGGTGCAGCAGTGCTTTAGAGCCTTTACTCGATTGGATGACTTCTGTGAGCTGTTTTTTATTTTAGTTACTTTCAACTTGTGAATGCCAACACCACACAAGAATTGGGTTCTGATAAGCAGATGGTACACACATGTTTGTGTGAGAGCAGGTCAAAGGATCTTGTTTTGTACTTTAGGGCAGAAAAGACAGAAAAAAAGACTTATCTATTTGAACATTTATGGCAGAAACCATTCATAGCCCAGATGCTTTTTTAAGGAGAGGATTGGAATGCAAATTTCAGACATGAGGCTGATTCTTAACGTCCATGTTTTATGCATTGTTGCTTCCTTTATTCCCTCTTTTAATTTTGAAGACTAGCAGAAGCCATTTTAAAGCTTTGGCTGCAAGTTGTACAATGATTTCAATGTGTATTGAGTCCTTAATTGTTTCTTTTTGTCTTTGGTAGCGAGCATTCTCTCCGGAGGGCCTGAGTGAGATGTGGAATGAAATGGTGAAAGATGAGGAGATTACTTTCAGTGGAGATGAATCAGCTCACCCAGGTTTGACGTCCACATTAAGCACTCGCTTATGTTTTTTTACATGCTGGTGACCATGTGGTTTTGACATTTGTAAACACTGTCTGCGGTGCTTTACACTCGAGATACTTAAGTGTGTATATGTTGTTTTCTGTGGGCTATCAGGTGATAATGTAGTTCTTTTTGTTGCTTCTCTTGTAGAAGATTGCACAGATTGTTTTGCAACTCAGAAGAAGGATGAACCCAATGATAAAGAGAAGAAAGAGGAGGAGGAGACAACAACAGCGTCTGTACATCAGTCCATCATTGAGACATGGGATTGGGGACAGCAACCAGGTAGGCTATTTCCATGCTGGCCTCCTATCTTGCTCCCACTCTTGATCTTTTTTATTTGTTCCATTTTTTTTTTTTTTTATAAATCGCCCTTCTGTTTCTGAGCTCAGTAATGAATACCATGCTGACACCAGATGGTTTCACAACACCTAAATGTCGACCAGATACAATTATGCTCACCATTTCAACACATGGCCGAATGGTCCATTTATCAATTGCCCAACTGTCAGGTCCTGCTGACCAGTGTGTGTTCTGTTGGCACGTGAATTGTGGAAACTCTGAAACGACAGCTCGCACTTTGCAGGTCCGCGTGGTTATTTTTACCCCGCCAGAGTGTAATCTTGGTAGACATTACTATGCCGTCCATCACCCGAGCTGTGTTTACTGCAGGAATTGGGTGGGACGGTGGTATGGTTGTGGGAGATAAGCACAAGGAGGTGTGTGTGTGAGAGGGGGGGCGGGGTGTACAGGTTCAGGTTTTACATGTCCAGTGAACGAGAGTTTTACCAGCACCATCTTGGATTCACTCTTTTCCTCTTTTGATTGACTCCTTTAAAGCTTTATTGTACAGCAAATACAACCAGATGGAAACATGGATGAATGCTCCATCACCGATGCATAAAGTTCAAACAGCCCACTTCCTGCTTTTCCATTATGTCGTCAGAATGTATTGAAGTGAAAATCCGATGTGTCACAGTTTCACTCTGAATACACGCAAAGGATGAAAAATGTATTATTCCTGTCTTCACAAAAATGGATGCTTTGTAGAAATTTGGTTAACTTGTTGTGACTCTGATCTTCGCCTTGCACAGTATGATTTTTAGCCGGAGATAAATTGAATCGTTAGATTTTTGGATGTATGGGTTTTGACAACCGAGCACAGCTGACTGCAGCGTGGTTCATACAACCTCAGGCTAGTCTGGCTTACACAGAGCTTAAGTGGATTTCAGACATTCTATTTCGGCCCATCTTCCCCTCCCTGCAGTGCTGCTGTATAGATGAACAGGACTTTCTTTTGAATAAGAACAAAGGACTGGTTGTGTTGGCTTACTAGTGAATGTATTTGAAGCAGGGGATTTTTTTCTCTGCATGAGAGACACTCAAAGGCTATACGTAATGACATTATAGAGGTTGTTTTACAGAAAAATGAAACGATGAGAAATGTTTTTTTTGTGCTTGTCAGTAGGCTTCACATTTTCAAAAGAAGGAGAGGAAAAAACAAAACCCCTGCTTTTTTCTTGCGTTTTTTTTGTGGACCCATCTGTAACTGAGTGACTGAGGAAGAATTTCAAACTACTTTCCAATTTTTGTCACATTTTAAGATAATCCATCCAATTTAATTCTTAACTTCACAGATTGTCAAATAATGAACCTTAGGAGTTTTAAACTCCTACTCTTATTTATAGTGTTGACTTAAACAATGTTATAAATGAACCATCTGCTAGTATTTTTTTCTTTTATGTCTTATATCAAAATAAGGTAATTTTAAATATGTTTTATACCAATCAAAAGTTTGAAATTTTGCCATTAGATGCACCAGTAACTGCCCACACAAAGTTTCTGAGCTCTTCTGCTAACCCTGGTGGAACTACAGACATTTGACATTTGGTCTGAGTTCTCAGGCTATTTACTACATGTCCTCTCACACCATGACAACATATTCCAAGAGAAAACAAACAGGAAACCCCAGAGGGAGAGAGGGGTTGAGTGAGGTTGCATTAGTCACTAAAATTTTAATTCAAATAGAGGTGGGCATAAATTGGAAGAAAAAGGAGCAACTGTGCTCTCTTTTTTAAACTTCTGAATAACATGTCTGAAATATTTAGTTAAGATCTCAGAAAAACATGTAGGCTAGTCGTTCAGTGTCATAAGTCCCTCTCATGAAAGACCATTCTGCCAGTGAAATAGGTCAGTAAGATTTGGGAGCTTTCCTCTTTGTATCTTTTTTTTCAAACGTTTTCTGTGCATATACAATGTAAACCAAAGTTAAGCAGTGAAACTGAATACTAGCTCAAAGCTTACATTTGTGTTATTTAGCAGGGTGTTTAATAAATGACAAATACATTCCGCCCGTTTTATGTCAGTGTCAGTGTCCTCTGATTTATGTCGTTGCAGTGCTCGGCATATCCCAGCACAGGGATCGGTGGAGTGTGTGAAATATTTCCTTTAAACTGGGTTACGTGAAGCTAGCCTTTTTTTTTTCTCTTTCCCACTGATGAAATCTGACATCTGCAAAGGGTGCTTCATTTTGCATAAGCTTTTATATAAAGCTTGCTTAAAATAACTTCATGGCCATTATTGTGAGCTTTTTTTTGTTTTTTGCACGTGAGCTAAATTTAGCTGCAAGGTAATAGAATAATACTCCAGAAATAGCTGCTTGATAACTGAGTGTGGGAGCGGTTTCAGTAAAAATAAGTTTTTCCTGACAATAATAATTCCATATTCCTTTCCTTCTTTGCTAGATGATACAGAGCTGAAGGACTGTTTGATGGTGCTTGTTGATGACCAGCAGAAACTCTCAGTCCAAATGGCCAAAAGCACCTTGTCCGCCCAGCGCCTGCGCCAGCGTCTGGTCATCCTGGAGCGCTACCTCATCTCCCTCAGCCACAGCATGATGGAGGAGAAGTACAAGGTCCGGTGGAAGACGCCCCCCAGCCCACCACTGCCTGCCGCTGACAATAAGAGGTAAAATAGAAGAAAATTTGGAAGTTTTTTATTTAGGTTAGATCTTTTTTTTCCCCCAAGTACTCAAGGGTTTCTGCTTACATTTCTGTAATATGAAGGCACCGACACCACGATTAGCGTTGTTTCTTCAATTTTGTATATGATACTTTTGAATGAATTCAATAAACAAAGTTGTAATTTGGAAGCAAAACCTTGAAGAAAAAAAGAAGCTACTCTGTTAATGTCAACCTAAAGTTTTTAAGTACTACCTTTCAAGTACTTAAGTGTGGGAAAATGTAATAAGCAGACTACAGCTGGAATATATGAAGTTTAGAATGACGTTGTGGAGTTGTTTCTGTTTGGCTGTATTTTTATTTCTTCTATCTTCACCTCAGCACTCGTCCAGCCAGTAAAGGTGTTGAAGGTTTGGCCAGGGTGGGCTCCAGGGCAGCTCTCTCCTTTGCTTTTGCTTTCCTGCGACGGGCATGGAGGTCAGGTAAGGAAACCCGTTGATGCCTACTCTAAAGTTGGTTTGTGTCCTTCTAGTGCTGTTGATCACTTCCATCGTTCTCGTGGAGCTTTACTTAACAGCTCTAGGTAAACATGTTGCACCATGTTGGCCGGCTACTTGGAGTAAACAAACCAGTGTATTGTGCAATGTTGTGTTTACTGCCCCAGGCTGTTGTTGCTGAGGTTTGAAACAAGTTATCAGCCAAGGTCTGTGGAAGATATAGGATGGGGACAGAGGTTAATTTGTGGTTGAAACAAATGTGTTGCAAGAAAGTCAACGCATTGTAGCCGATGTTGGAACATATATATATATATATATATATATATATATATATATATATATATATACACACACACACACACACATCTGGGAGAGAGACAACACATTAAGGGTTTAATTTGTGAAGTAGATTTTGATAATGATTACAAAGATTCAAACTAGTAATGATGGTACTTATTATTATATTCAGTTAATTAAGTCAGTGAAGAAAAATGTTTTTATACATAGCAGGATGATCAGTTTTTACTAAACCATCTTTTCAATGCAAATGAGTGTAAAGCATATATACAGTACACCGAGCTATTCGGCTTTCATACAAACTGCATGAAAAACGTTGCTGGTTAAATATATATTAGGCCGGTCATGCTTTCAACAGCTATTTTTTTGTTTTTTCTTTTTTTTACAAACTCTACTGGTCCAAATGATTTGTTCCCTATCACAAACCATTCCCTCTGAATGAAGACGTACTAAACCTAAGCACATTTTGGCAGTGGCTGTGCTCCTCATAGAGGAGCTGCTTTTATTCATTGTGTTGATGTGAGGCTTGGAGCTGCTTGTCCACTGGGACTGGGTGGGAGTGCTGGCCTCTCTTTCCTGTAACATGAGCAATGCACGCACAGACGGACGGACAGTTGAGCCTGCCGTCCTCATTTTAGCCCTGTTCCTGGAATACACTACAGGAAGAACAAAAGAACACCAGCGCGTTCTCTCACATGTTGCCTGCAGAACAAAAACGCAAACATATTCTTTCTTTAATATTGTAAATCACATAAAAGGCAGGACCTAGGCCATTCATATGATTAGAGTTAACATTAAGATGAAGAATTTCATTGATTTTCTGACAAATAGTGGAGTTGAATGGGGGGTTGTTCCTTATCATGCTGTTGTGTGTATGCAAATGACAAAAATAATATATTTAACACAGAAAAGCGAGGGGAAATTTTATATAGGTCCTTCAGATTAAACTGCTCAGTTTGATAATTGTATAACTGATATTTTTAGGTAACTTCTTTGTTGTGTAATCTATAAAAACACATGATATTTGTGTTGGTGTGCAGGAGATGATGCCGATCTGTGCAGTGAGCTTCTCCAGGAGTCTCTGGATGCCCTGCGGGCCTTACCTGAGGCCACGCTGTTCGATGAGGGAACAGTGTCATCGGTGTGGCTGGAAGTGGTTGAGAGAGCCACAAAATTCCTCAGGTTATTTTTTATTTGTTTTCACTACTAATGATGAGCTGCTATTTCCACACATCAGAGATATTGGTTGAAAAGCAGTTGGTTGAACTCTAATATAAAATGGCAAGCAGTCCATTTTTGAACATCTTGAATTTTATGAAGCTGATCATTTTTGGTTTGGATTGTTGGTCTTTTTCTTTTTTTTCTTTTGTAAAAGCCAAAGAGATAATGGGCAAAATGAATGAATACCTTCTTATCTCCTTTGGTACCAGTGATGTACATGGAAGTGCCAGCACCAAAGGTAACATTCCTCTCCACGACCAGCACCTCGTCCTGGCCATCCTGCTGGAGCTTGCCGTACAGAGGGGTACTTTGAGGTAATCCGATACCTGGACCCGCGGCTTCTTTACTTTACGACGGGCCACTTCCTGACCACTCGCTTTGTCATTATGACCTTCCAGCCAGCTTCTGTCTGCCATTCTGCTGCTGTTGCGTCTGTGGGAAAACGGCACCAGAGAGATGGATAACGAGCGGTCGACCCAGGGCACCAGCGCTCCTCTGCTGCCCCTCCTGCAGCGCTTTCAAAACATATACAGCAGCAAGGAGGAGCCTGTTCCTGAGGACGACACTGAGGTAAAGAAAAAATAAGGTCCTCTGCTTTTTTTTTGTGGATATTTATGAGAAGAAAAATATCTAAAAGGTATCACTTTAAAGTAATCTGCTTTGTGTGTTGCCTGTTGTTACCATCCTTGTAAAAAAGAACAGACATAAAATACTTTGTGGTCAAATGCTGTCATTTGCAGATCCTCGCAGCCCCCCTCAGTCCAAATGAGAGTTTCCTGCGGTACCTGACCTTGCCTCAAGATAACGACCTGGCCATTGATCTCCGACAAACGGCTGTGGTGGTCATGGCTCACCTGGACCGTTTGGCTTCACCCTGCACTCCTCCACACTGCAACTCCCCCTCATCACACAAGGTTGACGGCTCCTCTTTTTGCTCTCAGTACTGAAGGGGTTGTTGTGCATAGCTACTACCCATTAGAAACCTCTACTCTTTTGTGGATGCGTGTATAAATTGCTGCCAGAATGGCAACCAGTGACAATTAAGAAGTTGTCTGTGTTTCTTCATATTCTAGGGATCTTCACAGGAAGTGATTGCCTGGGGTCTGCTGGGCTGGAAACGTTATGCCAATTTGAATGGACCCATTCAGTGCAAAGCCCTGTCAGGCCTCGGGGTCGCACAGATAGTCTGCTCAGAAAAGGGCTTTCTCATTCTCTCCAGCAGTGGGGCTGTTTACACCCAGAACTACAAGAGCACAACCCTGGTCAGATTTGTTGTACATGTTTCTTCTCTTTATTGGTTTAAAAAATAAATAAAAAGAAAAGGAGCTCACCCTTTATTTTTTTCACAGGCTCCTATGTTGCTCCATGTTCTGAGCTCCAGAAAGATTGTAAAGCTGGCTGCCCATCCTGACGGGCAGCACTACTTGGCTCTGTCGTCCAATGGGGAGTTGTTCTCTTGGGGCTGTGGTGACGGTGGACGCCTTGGACATGGAGACACCACGTAAGCTTCAAGGAAAAAAATATTTTTTGACATCTTATTTGTCACATGATTATTAATGACAGTAACTTAAGATGAAATACACTGTTGGATGCCTCAGTGTTAAAAGAACTGCCATAGAAAGTGTGAACATGCTGTGAAGTTAAATTATTAATTAAACAGATATTAAAAATACACATAGTATAGATACTTATGATTTTTTTTATTATGCTTGTGAATCACCACCACAACAAGGAACAGGACAAAAGTGTGGTGCTCATAAAATTATTTTAATCCAGTGAAAATAATTCAATATTTTGAAGATTTGGACATTGTAGAAGTATTTCATTTAGTTACACTGCAGCTTGCTTTATTTTAGATACCTAGAGGAGCCTAAAATGATCGCAGCCTTTAACGGGAAGCAGACTGGAAAGCACGTGGTGCACGTAGCCTGCGGAAGCACGTACAGCGCTGCGATCACTGCTGACGGAGAGCTCTACACATGGGGCAGAGGGAACTACGGCCGACTGGGTCACGGTGAGCTCTATGAGCGCCATGGACACATTTTTATATATTTTTTAGTTTTACGCGTGTGTTAAAAATACGATGTCTCTTCTGCCTGGGCTTTTCTAGGCTCCAGTGAAGATCAGACAACTCCCATGTTAGTGACAGCTCTGAAAGGACTTAAAGTGGTGGACGTGGCATGCGGAAGTGGCGATGCCCAGACACTTGCAGTGACCGAAAATGGTTAGATTGAAATTCACTTTTGGCGTTTTTCAAAATACTTATTCCTTCGCATAGATGGTCCTGAACTTATAAACCCCGTCTGCCTTGGTTCTGCAGGTCAGGTGTGGTCCTGGGGAGACGGAGATTATGGCAAACTGGGTCGAGGTGGCAGCGACGGCTGCAAGACACCAAAGCTGGTGGAGAAATTGCAGGACCTGAACATGGTAAAGGTCTGCTGCGGCAGCCAGTTTTCAGTAGCCCTCACCAAAGATGGCCAAGTGTACACGTGGGGCAAGGGAGACAACCAGCGGCTCGGACACGGCACAGATGAGCACGTCCGCTATCCAAAGTTGCTCGACAGCCTTGAAGGTAAGCGGCATACATGTTTAAGGCGAAATGTTTGGCTGCTTTGAGAAAACGAAGCTAACCTCTTGTTGCGTCCCTAACTAGGAAAGAAAGTGGTGGACATTGCGGTGGGATCGACACACTGCCTCGCTCTCACCGACGATGAAGAAGTGCACAGCTGGGGCAGCAATGATAAGCTCCAGCACTTTGATACGCTCTTCTCCAACAAGAAGCAACCCAAGGCGCTCCCAGGACTCAACTCCAAACATATAGTGGGGATCTCCTGTGGCCCAGGACAGGTAAAATATGCCGAGGTTACAGCCGATTGAAATACGCTCACAAAGATAGGAGGGATTCAGCTCATCTGCCATTTGTCCTTCGTTTCTTTTTAGAGCTTTGCTTGGTCCTCTTGCTCAGAGTGGTCTGTTGGGCAGCGTGTGCCCTTTGTGGTGGATGTTTGCCCCATGACCTTTGAGCAGTTGGACCTGCTCCTGCGGCAGGTGAGCGAGGGCATGGACGGCAGCTCAGACTGGCCTCCTCCACAGGAGAAGGAGTGCATGGTAGTCTCGACACTCAACCTGCTCAGACTCCAGGTTTGCAACACTCTGCCTTTCAGTGACGTCTGTGCAGGATTCACGTAACATTTTCCATGTCTCAATGAATCTTGTCTCTTCGGTTTTTCCCCAGCTACACGCAGCCATCAGTAACCAGGTGGATCCCGAGGAGCTGGGGCTGGGGCTTGGCAGCGTGTTGCTCAACAACCTCAAACAAACGGTGGTGGTGCTTGCTAGCAACGCTGGGGTGCTCAATACTGTTCAAGCAGCCGCCCAAGCTGTCCTGCAAAGTGGCTGGTCAGTGCTGCTGCCCACGGCCGAGGAGAGGGCGAGGGCACTGTCCTCACTGCTGCCCAACGCCGGTAAGTGCAGATCAGCATTAAAATCCACTACTGTGGCTTACGTTAAACAAAGTTCAGACTGTTAAGTCAGGCTTTTTAACATTTTTATTTCATTCCAGCATCAGGAAATGAGATGAGTGTGAGTCCAGGGCGGCGCTTCATGATCGACCTGTTGGTCAGCAGCTTAATGGCCGATGGGGGGTTGGAATCTGCTCTCAATGCAGCCATCACTGCCGAGATACAGGTGGGTGTGGCCAATTCATTGGACATAACTTCTCATATGAAATAATGTTAAGGCTGTTTGTTACAAAAAAGTTGGCCTAAGATTTCAGATTTAGATCTTAATTGTCAGTTTCCAACTGTTTTCTTCAACATTTGTTCTGTTGACACCTACATTTTTTTTTTCCAGATTTCCTTTCTTTGAAATCAATTGAAAACTTTTACATGTATGACAAGCCTGAGTCGCTCTTAATGATAAAAGCTCAAAAACGTGTTCCTTTCTCGATTGTAGATTGTGATTTTGAAGCTGAACGCTAGTGAATACTAATTATAAGAATAAATAAATCAGGAATTCATTATAGTTTTCTTTGCCTTCATGCCTGAAACTTATTGCATGAGGAAAAAAATAAATCATTCTTGGTTATTTCATGACAGGATATTGAAGCCAAAAAGGAGGCCCAGAAAGAGAAGGAGATCGACGAGCAGGAAGCAAATGCCTCGACCATGCACCGTTGTCGCACCACATTGGACAAAGATCTCATCAACACAGGCATTTACGAGTCAACGGGGAAGCAAAGCTTGCCCTTAGTGCAGCTTGTGCAGCAGCTTTTGAGGTACCGTCCGTCTACACCTATGTTTTTAAGAAGCTTTATAACCTTTCGGTGGCCTCTATCAGATTTACATTCTTTTGTATTCAACAGGAACATTGCCTCTCAGACCATAGCCAGGCTGAAGGATGTCGCGCACCGCATTTCCAACTATTTAGAGGCAGAGCAGGTCAGCAAGGAGCGCTCAGCTTCTTTGGATCTGCTTCTGCGCTTCCAAAGGCTGCTGGTCAGCAAGTTATACCTGGGTGTCACCGGCACAGAGAATGTCAGCGGATACAGTAAGTCCCTTCATTTGGATTCTGGCCTTATCAGATTCACATTGATGAAAGTGCCACCTCTAAGCCAGCAGCTTGTCTTTGCTTTGGTGCCTTTGCAGATCCTGAGCTCCTGGGTGTCGGCTCGCTGTTGAAGAAGTACATTGCTCTGTTGTGCACTCACATTGGCGACATCCTCCCTGTGGCCACAAGTATCGCATCTACTGGTCGACGACATTTCGCCGAAGTTTCTCGAGTTATTGAGGGAGATTTAACGGGTATAATCTCTGTTTGTGCATCATAATTTACATGCAAAAGGATCATTTGATAAATCTAAACCTAGACGATAAATCTAATAACTTCACTTTTTCGCCTTTCCTAGGAGTCCTTCTTCCCGAGCTGGTGGTGTCCATTGTTCTCCTCCTCACCATTGACGCTGGCCTGATGCAGGAAACAGGATCCATCCCTTTGCTGGCTGGACTCCTTGAGCACTTAGACCGTTTTAACCACCTGGCTCCAGGACATGAGAGGGATGATAATGAGGATTTGGCCTGGCCAGGCATTATGGGTATGTCACCATTATTTAATTCTTGTTCCTAAATTTTATGTTGGAATATGCAAGCTTTCACTGTAACCGTCTTTCTGTGCTCTGTTGGCAGGCTCCTTTTTCACAGGGCAAAGTTCCAAGAACAATGAAGAAGTTTCACTCATCCGGAAGGCTGACCTGGAGAATCATAACAAAGATGGCGGCTTTTGGACTGTGATCGACGGGAAGGTCTACGACATCAAAGACTTCCAAGCTCAGTCCCAGTCATTAACAGGGAACAGCATCTTGGGTAAGGCTAAAATTTAGTTTGGGGTGTAAATTGAACAGTACTAACTTGAGTAATTTTTTCTAATTCTGTCCAAACGGTTAAATATTATTTCTCCTACAGCTCAGTTTGCAGGAGAGGATCCTGTTGTTGCTTTGGAAGCTGCCTTACAGTTTGAGGACACCAGAGAATCAATGCAGGCCTTCTGTGTCGGCCAGTATATGGAGGTACAAATATCCAGTCAAATCTTTTCTAAATGGAGTGTCTTCCGTTAGAGGTTGTCTCAAGTTTTTTTGTTCTTTTTCCCTTGCAGCCTAATCAGGAGACAGTCACCACTCCAGACCTCAGCAGTCTGTCCTCCCCACTTATTGACACTGAGAGAAATTTGGGCCTGCTACTGGGTCTGCATGCCTCTTACCTGGCCAAAAGCACCCCACTGTCCCCCATGGAGATCGAATGTGCCAGTGAGTCGGATCAATCAATTTTTTTTTTTTTTTTAAACTTTGAGGAGGACACACCACGGAGAAGACTGATTCTTAACTTCAGTGTGTTGATCTCTCTGAGCAGAATGGCTCCAGTCCTCCATATTCTCAGGCGGTCTTCAAACCAGTCAGATCCATTACAACTACAATGAAGAGAAAGATGAAGACCATTGCAGCTCCCTGGGTACAACCACCCCAGATAAGGCCAAACTCTACTCCCGCAGAATTACCCTCAGTGACCACGCACAGCCTTTCCTTCAGGCCATTGCTGACAACAACACTCAGGACCACACTGTGAAGGTTCGGATAAGGCATAGATAATTACAGATGCCATCACACAACAGACATGAAACTGAGTGCTTTGCTTTTTGTGTTGTGTCTGTGGCATTCTAGGACTTCTTATGCCAAATCGAGCGCTGCTGTAAGCAGTACCATCTTATTGCACCCATCACCTTCCCTCCAGAACACCCCGTAGAAGAAGTTGGCCGCCTGCTGCTCTGTTGCCTGCTTAAACATCATGACCTCGGTAAGCTCTCAGCTACCCTCAGACTGGTTGGGAATTACAAGATATTTCTGCCTTTTCCTAATCCCCTTTCCACTAAAGTTGTTTATTGTTATTTATGCTGCGATGCTCTCTCTTCCTGTCACAGGTCACATTGCTCTCTCACTCGTAAGCCAGTGTGCCTTGGGTGTGGACCAAGGAAAACAAAGGTCTCTCCCTAAATCTGTGATTGACGTTTGCCGCATGGTCTACCAGGCAAAGTGTTCTTTAATTAAGGTGGGCTTTCCATTTGTGACATACGGAATAATATAACAGCGAGGGATGGTTTTCACTCGATGGCAACATGTTTGTCAGATAGTTTTTGTTAATTCTTTGTTTGCCTCTTTGCACTTTAGACCCACCAGGAACAAGGTCGGTCTTATAAGGAGGTGTGCGCCCCCGTAATTGAGCGGCTGCGCTTTCTTTTCAACGAGTTGCGTCCAGCTGTGAGCAACGATCTGTCAATTGTTTCTAAAATGAAGCTCCTGAGCTCTCAGCCACGATGGAGGAGGATTGCTCAGAAACTTATCCGGGACCGAAGGAAAAAAAGAGGTAAGACAATCCAAATCTACTGCTAAAACCTTAGCCATTTTCAAACGATTGACAGTTTTTTATTGGTTTGATTAGTGCCTAAAAAGTCGGAGTCTGCTGACATAGAAGAGCCAAAGCTGGAGAATGAGGGGACCAATGAAGAGGAGCTTAATGTTCACATCAGCCCCACTCCTGCTGACAGGAAATCACCCACCGGAAAAACATCCAAGGTAGGTTAATGGGCTTCTTTTCACAGATGGATTGTTTGAAATACAGTTTGTGGAAGCATCTGTCTTTTTTTGACACATTTAAATATTGTGAGATCAGCTAATTATCTTCAAACAAAATTGGACAGATGTACTTTTCTCTTGTTAACAGAATTACACAGTGAATTTGTACATTATTATTCATATAATTTGTGAATATGCATTGAAGCGTATCATTGTTATCACTTTACAGCAGGACAAGTGGCAGCCGCTGCTAAACACTGTGACCAATGTTCAGAGGTACCGGTGGCTGAAGCACAGTGTTCATGGTGCCTTTTCTCAGTCCAGCCTCATGGCCACTATTGTGGAGTTTGCACTGAAAGAGGAGCCACTGGACGTGGAGAGGATGAGAAAGTGTCTGCTTAAGCAAGTGAGTTTGTGGGATGTTTCTTAACTAAAGAGACTCTGATTTAGGTGTATATATGGCATACCAAGGGTGGCCGTGGCTAGACTTTCTATAACATAAAGGTCCTTGTTTGTAGAGTTGCATTACAAGCTACTGTTTACAAAAAAGTTCAGCGAAAGTTTAACATAGTTGCATATTTCAGTGTAAGGACAAATTGGTTATAATTCAGCCAGAAAAAAGCTCAGTAAAAGCCTATGTTTCGTTACAGCTGGAGAGGGCTGAGGTGAGACTGGAAGGCATTGACACCATGCTGAAGTTGGCTTCCAAAAACTTCTTGCTGCCATCTGTGCAGTATGCAATGCTCTGCGGATGGCAGAGGGTCATACCAGAGGGGACCAACATTGGGTGGGTAATCTGTTTTAAGGCCATGCTAAAAACGATATTCATACATGTTCTTTGACCGTGATGAAGTGATATAAAAGTATAGACATTACATATTTGTGGCACATGAACACCACAAGCCAAACACTGAAATAGTTTAATATATGGTATATAGTAAAACCAAACCTTATCTTTTTTCCACCATATTTCCTTTTTGACAGTTATTTACAGTGTGCCCGGGCTACTGTAAAGAGCTTGTTATGTGTTTTATCAATGCCAAAACTAGAAATGGTTTTGGTAACATGCATCTGTATTGATGTGCTAATCAGTCATGTTTTAATCATAGCTACATTGGATAGTGATGTCACGGCTGACATAGGGCATTATTGGGACTTAAGGTGCAAATACAGCAACTTTACTGGGGCCGCTGTCCCATACTGCAAATTGGTCCCACCTGTAGAATAATACAGTAATTTTTTTTTGTGGATGAATATTTGAACATGTTCTTCATCTCTACAGAGGTAGACAAAGCATTACAAATGCTCATGAAACATTCTGTGGTGTTGATGTATTACAAAGTGGCTCATCTCTCATCCTCAGGGAGCCCTTGTCTGACTGTCTTAAAGATGTAGATCTGATCCCTCCCTTCAATCGCATGCTTTTGGAGGTGACATTTGGGAAGTTGTACTCGTGGGCCATCCAGAATGTTCGCAACATCCTGCTCGAGGCCAGTGCCCGATTCAAAGAGCTAGGTGAGCGTTGGGAATAATGGGAACAATCGTATGTTCATCTTAGCAAAATTAAACTGCTCTTGTTGAGTGGATAGTGTTTTTAGAGCTAATATGTGTAATTTAGCTCTCTGCTTGCTTGTTCTTTTTAACCAGGTGTGCAGCCTGTACCCCTGCAGACAATCACCAATGAGAACCCAGCTGGACCAAGCCTTGGGACCATTCCACAGGCCCGCTTTCTTCTGGCCATGATACACATGCTTTCACTGAAACATGGGTCTAACAGCCTCAGTCTGTTGCTAAATTCTGGCATATTGGCTCTGACACAGAGTATACTCAGGCTCGTAGGTGAGAATACACACAGGCTAACCTAGAGTAGAGGCTGGTGTTTCTGTGCATTTTAATGAATGGTTGGTTTGATGGCTCTTATTTTTTTAATGTTTTAGGACCCAGCACAGACAGCAGCGAAGAGGACCTCAGTTTATGTGCACATGGAGGCTCAGCCACGGTACTGGAGGAGTCTAGAAAGGAGTCGGCTCCTGCCCCCTTACCTGCATCCGGCCCAGAGCTTGCTGCCATGATGAAGATTGGCACCAGGGTCATGCGCGGAGTTGACTGGAAATGGGGAGATCAGGTACCTTGAAGAGTTTTTTTTTTTTTTTTTTGCTATAGACTGTTCTGAAGCCATGAGGCATAACCCAACCATGTCTCCTCACCAGGATGGTCCAGCACCAGGTCTGGGAAGGGTCATTGGAGAGCTCGGTGAGGACGGATGGATCAGAGTTCAATGGGACACAAACAGCACCAATTCTTACAGGATGGGCAAAGAGGGCAAATATGACCTGAAACTCGCAGAGCCTCCGCCAGCTGCTCAACCCACCGCTGAAGACTCAGACACTGAAGATGACACAGGTCTGCCTCCAATCACGAATCTGCAAAAATGACTGAGCTAACGAGAAAAAGTATACTTAAGAGTCTTACTTTGACCCTTAACACCTCTTTCTCTTTGCGTAAAAGAAGGTGAACCGATGGAGAAAAGTAGCCATCCCACTGCTATGATGCTGACCAGCACGGTCAACCTGCTGAAGACACTTTCTCTATCTGCTGGGATCTATGCTGAGGTTCTGCAAACAGATGCTACGCGCACTCTCTGTGGGCTGCTGAGAATGCTCGTGGAAAGCGGAGCAAACGACAAATCAGGTATCTATCAGGCCTCGTCGATAAAGGGTGGGTTTTTATGCATGATAAGTCATTGGCTTGCATTTTAACCCGGTGTTGTGCGTGTCAGGCTGCCACTCTCACAGGTTGGTGTCCCGGGAGCAGCACAGGAGCTGGTGCACGCTGGGTTTTATCCGCAGCATAGCTCTAAAACCGCAGATGTGCAGCACCCTCAGCACCTCGGCCTGGATGGGTCTGCTCATCCGAATTGTAGAGGGACACCAGTCTTTCAATGCGATTACTCTGCAGAGACAGGTGGGCAATCATGTTTATTTTTCAGTATAAAAAGTTGCTTAGGATCTGGATTTCTGGCATTGTGTGTCAAATTTGTAATGATTACATTACAAGAGGAGCTCTTGTTCTTCTTATCAGAATAAGAGCTCCTCTAGATTTTCTTAGCTCCACAGTCCAGAAGCAAATATTGGTTATATAGGGAGCTGGTGTTGAATCTTCAGTCTGCATCAAATATTATGACTTGTACTGAAGAAAAATCTGTCTTGTCATTCACTTTTGTGTCTGTAGATCCTGGCACTGCGTCTCCTGCAGGCGGTCCTTCCCTCATGGGAGAAGACTGAGCGCTCCCAAGACATGAGATTCCTTGTGGAAAAGTTGTTTAACTTCTTGGGAAGCTTGCTGAGCACATGTTCATCAGACCTACCGCTTCTCCGAGGTAATTACCGTGGACCAGCCTTCAAGAGATTATGTGGTATTTTCATTATAGTAGGAGTTTTTAAGCACTTGGTTGTCTCTGCAGAAGGTTTGTTGCGGAGGAGGAAGTCCCGCCCGCAGGCATCTCTTACAGCCACTCATAGCAGCACCCTGGCAGAGGAGATTGTGTCCGTCCTGCGTACTCTGCACTCTCTCAGCCAGTGGAACAGCCTGATAAACGATTACATCAACAGTCAGCTGAGCTCTATCGGAGATGTTATGGCAGGCTGCCAGTCTGAAGCTGTAAGATCTAATGCCGTGTCATCAATTTAGCTGATGTGACGCAAAAAATGAAAAAGAACCTTTAATGAATCTCATTCAGAACTATAAGCACTAACAAAATCATTCTTAATTTTCTATCTTTCCTCCCTTGACACTCATTTCAGTGTTTTTTGGAGGAATATTTCCCTGATGCAGATGGGCCCAGAGTTGGCAGTTTGATGGCGGTGCTGGCAGTGATTGGTGGAATTGACGGGCGACTCAGGTTAGGAGGACAAGTCATTCATGAGGAGTATGGCGAGGGAACAGTCACACGCATCACCCCAAAAGGACGCATCACTGTCCAGTTTCATGAGATGAGAACCTGTAGAGTTTGCTTGCTCAGCCATCTCAAACCAGTACGAATGTTTGCATTTCTTATTTCTGCATATACCTTTATAAAAATTCAGCTTCAAAGTCAGTCGGATTTTCATAAATTACCTTTTTTTTCTTAGCTGCCAGCAGTAATCTTCAGTGTGCAGAACCTCCCCTTCTCTGAGCCTATGTTGGCAGTCTGGGCCCAGTTGGTCAGCCTGGCAGGGAGCAAACTGGAGAAACAATGCATGAAAAAGTCTCTTAGCCGAGGACTCACAGGTACCAAAGCGACATGTAGAATTTAAACATAATAGAGAAAAAGGAACTGTTTGGATTTTGCTGTGGGACACAATCGGAGTCTGGTCAATTAAACCAACCCTCATGTTTCCAGCTGACCAGGTGGACATCCATTTGCTTCGATGCCAGCAGCTCCGGCTTTATATTCTGAAGGCAGGGCGGGCCCTGCTATCCCACCAGGACAAACTCAGGCAGATCCTCTCTCAGCCGGCAGTTGTTGACATTGGACCCAGTCCCGGTGGTAAGACATCACAGTTGCTATTACAGACCTTGAAGAGGCCAACTGATATGCAATGAAGTGGTAGAAACTTTTTCTTTTTTTCTTTTTTTAAGAACGTCAATAAATATATTGTTTGTTTTTGTAAACTATTTTTCTAAAGATGAACAGGATTAGTGAAGGGGGAAATGGTTAAACTCTTCAATGTGTTCATCAGTATGTAGACCATGCTACTGCCTTGGTGAAAAATGTTAGATTTTTGCAAATTACTGAAAGACATTTTCCTATTTTTGCGTGCAGACGATCCAGTGGTGTCTTCCCCTGATGTTGGAGACTTGTCCCCAGAGGGTCCACTGCCTCCACTGATCCTCCTGCAGCAGCTGCTGTCTGCGGCCACTCAGCCCTCCCCCATCAAAGCTATTTTTGACAGGCAAGAGATGGAGGTACGTAAATACACCACACCTTAGTAAGCTGATGAAGTCAGAGTCCCCACCATCACTGCACAGGATCTTAAGTTTGTTTGCTCTAAGCTCTTTGTTGTTTGTGCTTGCAGGCGGCAGCTCTGGCAGTATGTCAGTACCTGGCTGTGGAATCTGCCCACCCCTCATCCCCTCTGTTTGAAGAGAGCAGCTCCAGTGAGGCCACCACACCTGTGGCTGTACAGCAAATCAGACCACCAAAACAGAAGAAACAGAAGACCTCCCCCGTACCCCCTCTTCCAATAGTACTCCAGCTGATGGAAATGGGGTTCCCACGCAAAAACATAGAGTTCGCCTTGAAATCGCTGTCTGGTACCACCGGCAGTGCCTCTGGTGTTCCAGGTTTGTTTTCAAATGATGGAAGCTGTTTCCTTGTTTCTGTATTAAGATGTCCTTTAGGAGAATAAATGAGCTTATGCATCAGGTGTGGAGGCTCTTGTGAGCTGGCTGCTGGACCACCCAGACGTTCACGTCACTGAGCTCTCGGACGCCGACACCGTGTCCGATGAATACTCTGACGAGGAAGTGCTGGAAGAACTTGAGGAGGCGGAGCCAACATTCACTGTGGTACTTTAGTCTTTTGCTTTCCCCACATCCCATCGATACCAGTGCCCGTTAAGAGATTAATTCACCTGGTCCGTCTGTTCCATTAGCCTCCAGGTGCCCTCGTGACCGAAAGCCAGACCTTTAAAAAGAGATCGGACTTCCAAAGCAATGATGATTACGCTGTTTATGTGAGAGAGAACATTCAGGTAAGAGCAGGAACTTTTAAGTGACCCTTTGAAATCGCATAACTTAGACGTTGAATGAAATGGTGGGACAAAATTGCTCTTTTGCAGGTGGGGATGATGGTGAAGTGCTGCAGGACGTACGAGGAAGTATATGATGGAGATGTTGGAAAAGTGATTAAGCTGGATAGAGATGGACTTCATGACTTAAATGTGCAATGTGACTGGCAGCAAAAAGGTGGAACGTACTGGGTTCGCTACATCAACATCGAGCTACTTGGTAGGTGCTGGTGACTTTAATGTGACAGGAAGCTGAAAATAATAACATGTAAAAAGTTTGCATGATTTGTCCGTCTTCTCTCACATTGGCTTCCCAGGATTCCCACCACAAAGTTCTCCCTCTCATATAAAGATTGGTGACAAAGTGCGGGTAAAGCCCACAGTCACAACACCAAAGTACAAATGGGGCTCTGTCACCCACAGGAGTGTCGGGGTGGTGAAAGGTAAATACTTTTCTGTCTTTGTTTTGAGATTCACCACCTGATCACATGCTCCTACCTAAATCTACCCCTATGTGTTTAGCTTTCAGTGCCAATGGAAAGGATGTTATCGTAGACTTTCCACAGCAGTCGCACTGGACCGGTTTGCTGTCCGAGATGGAACTGGTGCCCAGTATTCATCCTGGAGTGAGGTAAAGAAATGCGAAAAGTCCCCACAGCCACACGTGTGTCCCTGTTAATCTAAAAAAAGAAAAGAAAGAAAATAAAACTACTGTTCTGTGTGCAGGTGTGACGGCTGTCAGATGTTCCCCATCAACGGCCCAAGATTCAAATGTAAAAACTGCGACGACTTTGACTTTTGCGAAAACTGCTTCAAGACACGTAAACACAACACCAGACATTCTTTTGGCAGAATCAACGAGCCTGGTTAGTCGCACTTTAACCCCGGCAAACCTCTGTTCGTGTTTGTGTGTGCATGCCTTTTAACCCGTCGCGCCCTCTCCCCCACTAGGCCAGTCCCCAGCTTTTTGTGGCCGGTCGGGAAAACAGCTCAAGAAGCATCATAACAGCCAGCGTGGGATGCTGATCGACGATTGGTCTCGCGCTGTGAAGAGCCTAAACGTGTCTTCCTCGGTTAACCAGGCCTCGCGCCTCATCGACTGCAGCGATCAGTGTTGGCAATCTTCCGGCTCACAGGGAAAGGTTGGAGATCTGCCTGCCATTTTTGACTGAATTTACCTCACTTATGCGCCATGCAACAACCGATGGGCTTTCTTTGTGCTGTTCTTTGCAGCACTGGATTCGTCTGGAGCTGTTTCCCGACGTTCTCGTGCACAGGCTGAAGATGAGTGTGGACCCTGCCGACAGCAGTTACATGCCCTCACTTGTTGTGGTTTCTGGTGAGTTGATTAGTTTTTTGGTGTATTGCTGCACTTTGTAACTGACACTTTCATATAAATGGATCTCTTCTTTCATTTTCTATCTGCGTTAACCTTGTTTCTCTCTTATTTACACTTAGGTGGAAGCTCTTTGAACAACTTAATTGAGCTCAAGACTATTAACATAAATCCCACAGACACCACCGTCCTTCTCCTTAGTGACTGTACTGAGGTTTGTAAGCCTTAAGAGAAGTTGGTAATTATTGTTTATCGTCAGGACAGGGGAATTCACTTCAACTGTGTCTTCCACTTCAGTTTCACAGATACATCGAGGTTGCAATCAAACAGTGCCGCAGCTCTGGCATAGACTGCAAGATTCATGGACTTGGCATTGTGGGACGCATAAGAGCAGAGGATGAAGATCTGGCCACCGTCCCTTTTCTTGCTTCTGACAATGAAGAAGAGGATGATGACAAAACTGCAACAGGGAGGTAAGAAACCCCAGCCTGTCAATGGGGACTCCTCAAATCAGGAGTGGTAATCAGTGGCAGGTGGCTTCTGCTGATAGAAGCCCACGTTCTCGTCTTCAATACAGTCTTGATTTTTTTTGTTATTTGTTATCAGTCATATGGGCGTGTCGATGTCTTCTTTGATCTAAACAGATATGTCTGTAGATGTACAGATACACATCTAAATGAAGACAGAATGTTTGTTTAAACTAATTTGAAATTTGATTTGCCTCCTAGTCTCGCTCGGAAGAAGTCATCAATATTAGAGTCGGCTGCCACCATCAGGACCAAAGTCTTTGTTTGGGGGCTGAATGACAAGGACCAACTGGGAGGACTTAAGGGCTCCAAGGTGCAGTTTGCTACATGATTCAACAACAATTCAGTTAATTTCGGTATTTATGACCTCTGTTCAGTTTCATGAAAAATGGCTGTAAGGAAAATTTAGTTGTACACATTAATAAGCATTTTCAAACACCATGTTTCCAACCAACACCTAGAAAGATTTGTTCAATTTTGAAGGCTGATTTATTGGGAGTCTGCTTACAAATTGAACTCAATTAAATTTTTTCTCAAAATTAATATTTGGTAAAGGTGGAGGTAACTTTGACAATGTAACCTGCTGTTTAATGATCTATTAAAAACATTCTGTTTGCTTATTCATCCCGAAATAAAGTTGGGTTACTTCATCTATGTCATACTTATCTGTTAAAAAAAAAAAAAAGAAAAGAAAAGGAACGATCTCAAGTTTAACGCCAGACAAATTGAGAAACAAGACAATGTGGGTATATTGTGGTCTAAATGCGCTTAATCTCCACCAGCCTATGGAACACGCAGCGGCAGGATTCAGGCACCAGACACGCAGTCATCTGATGACCTTATTATGTGCGCTCTTTACAGATCAAGGTTCCTTCCTTCTCTGAGACACTCTCTGCACTCAACGTGGTGCAAGTTGCTGGTGGCTCCAAAAGCCTCTTTGCAGGTGGATGAAGACCTTTTTTTTTTTTGTCATACTACTTTGTTCAGTTTTTTCTTTCTTTTTTTTTTTTAACTGGTCAGGGTGTTCACTTTTGTTTTCTTTCAGTGACTGTGGAGGGGAAGATTTACTCGTGCGGAGAGGCCACCAATGGGAGGTTAGGCCTGGGTCTGTCCAGCGGTACCATCCCGATCCCCCGTCAGATCACTGCGCTCAGCAACTACGTGGTGAAGAAGGTGGCTGTGCATTCCGGTGGGCGCCACGCCATGGCCCTCACTGTGGACGGGAAGGTCTTCTCCTGGGGCGAGGGGGATGACGGCAAGCTGGGGCACTTCAGTAGAATGTGTGTTCTTTTACTCAAACTATATTCACACGTTAGATATTGCATGTTTTGTTTGTGGCTTTTATTTGCCCATTGCAGATATAACTTGGCCACACAAAAGTGGGGGGGAAAGGTTAAAAGTTGCAAAATGACATAGTAATAATAATGCTAATATACATTTTTTCTTAGGATATAACTATATAATTATATGTCTCATAATGTCACATATCACAGTCTTAATAGTTGGATATTAATTTGTCTGGACATTGTCCTTGATATAAATGGTTTATTATTCAGGGTTTAGGGTACTCTTATTTCATGTAATCTGTGACGAACAGTTGCTTGGGACTGAAGGAATGAGTACACCAACGAGAGGTATGATATTTCCCCTCAGGAACTGCGATAAGCCTCGACTAATTGAGGCGCTGAAGACTAAGCGCATCCGTGACATTGCGTGCGGCAGCTCCCACAGCGCGGCGATCACCTCCAGCGGGGAGCTGTACAGCTGGGGTTTAGGCGAATACGGCCGCCTCGGACACGGCGACAACACTACTCAGCTCAGGCCCAAGCTGGTATGTGCATGGCTTTTACTTTTTCTTTTCTTTACTCCTAATTCTGCTTGATATCAGATTTGATTTGCAAAAGGGAGCTGAATGGTTCATTTAACCTGCGCATGACATGCAATAACTTGTGTTTGGTTGATCCATCATTCATTCAGGTGAAGGTGCTTCTTGGGCACCGCGTTATACAGGTGGCCTGTGGTAGCAGGGATGCTCAAACTCTGGCTCTCACTGACGAAGGTATTTCTTTAATTTATTGGCACACTGTGGTGTTTCTGCCCACAAGACACATGTTGCCAAGAATCCTTGAATATAACACATCTTTGAAATGATTTCCACTCAACAAGTTTGAAAGCTGTGTTTCAGTTATGTTTGCCTATCATTTTGTAAGGATTGGTCTTCTCCTGGGGTGATGGGGACTTTGGGAAGCTGGGCCGTGGAGGCAGCGAGGGATGCAACATACCCCAAAACATCGAGAGGCTCAACGGTCAAGGGGTCTGCCAGATCGAGTGCGGAGCACAGTTTTCCCTGGCTCTGACTAAATCTGGAGTGGTGTGGACCTGGTGAGACTGAAAAAAAGACGCGTTAAAATAACTGGAGATCTTGCCTCAGGCTTCCCTATCACCGATAATGGTTTGCATTTCCAAACAGGGGCAAAGGCGACTATTTCCGATTGGGCCACGGCACCGACGTCCATGTGCGAAAGCCCCAGATGGTGGAGGGACTGAGGGGAAAAAAGATTGTCCATGTTGCTGTTGGGGCACTGCACTGTCTGGCAGTCACAGAGAGTGGACAGGTTTGTTCTGACCACTTCAAAAACAGAACAAAAACAAAAACAGCACTCACCTTATTAACTGCTTGGCATAACTCCAATTCTTCTTGAGGCTTTTTTTTTTAAATTAACGCTCACTCCTCTGCTTAAGTACCTCTGTTCCCCTCCCAAATATCTGAGAACAAGAAGTTATTTCAAGAGCTTGTGAAGACTTTCAGGCAGCTCAGCCTTCATATAGATCTTTCATTCAATTGTATATGTCTGTGTTTGGGAGAAATAAATTGACTAAGGAAAGTTATTTGTAAAATATTTGCTCAAAGATTAAGAAAACAGCTTATTTTGTGCTCCTCACTTAGGTGTATGCATGGGGTGACAATGACCATGGGCAGCAGGGAAATGGCACCACCACAGTTAACAGGAAACCCACACTGGTCCAGGGTCTGGAGGGACAGAAGATCACTCGAGTGGCGTGTGGGTCCTCCCACAGCGTTGCCTGGACCACTGTGGATGTGACAACGCCCTCGGTTCACGAGCCAGTCCTCTTTCAAACTGCCCGAGACTCCCTTGGAGCATCATACCTAGGTAATTCCTTTTCTAGATAATTTTATTGGCAATTTAAAAAAAAAATGAAAATTTCAAGCTGCTTTTTAAAAAAGAATGTTCCTTGTTTTGTATTAATTTCCATTCAGATACATTAGTAACTATTTATTTTGAAACTCCAAAAACACTTTAAACCTTTTTTGGTTGATATTATTAGAGGTTTTTAAATCCGGATCTAGAATATTTTATGTATCACCAGAGGATTTCCACACGAAACCAAGATTTTGTTTTGTGATCAGAACTTTTGAAGTCTTTATTGTCTGAACTTCTTGACTAATCTGTGGCACTGGCTCAGAACCGGACCCTAATTTGCCTGTCTTTATCAGTAGTTGTGGCCGTGTTGCTGTTGTCATCATCATTCCATCACACCATTTACTAATCTGGTTGTGTGTGAGAAAATGGCAGTTTCCCTCAGTCTTTAGAATTTCTAATAACATATAGTGCAAACAGCAGAGATTCGTAGTTGCTCTTTCACATAATGCTGCCTGAAGGCCCAAAGCAAAAGGCTGTTTTGTTAAGTCATGTTAATGTTCGTATCTCTTTGTGGTTTGCACTCTGCAGGTGTCCAGTCAGACAGTGACTCATCATCTGCGAGCAACAAGATGAATGGGCAGAGCAGCGTGAAGCCGAATCGACCGTCACTGGCCAAAATTCTCCTTAGTCTGGATGGAAACCTGGCCAAACAGCAGGCTCTGTCTCATGTGCTGTCAGCCCTTCAAATAATGTATGCGAGGTATGTTGTCTGCAGGTTTGCCTCATCCCTGGGTAAAAAAATGACACTTTTTGCTTACAAGCACATTTAATTTAATTCATATTGTTGGATAATCACTGGAAATACAATACAAATACATAAGAAATAGTTCTATAGTTTAACAACTCACCATGAATATAATTTACAATTCTAATACTATACAAGAAAGATACACAGATTAATTATACCATGACCATTATTTTTCTTTATCTTTCGTTAAAAACCCCTGTTACTGCACTAAGTAATTCAATGAAATCACACTGATGTGGTAATAAAGTTAGATAGAGTTGTTCCATCTGCCATCTTTCACAGGTAGTTGTCCTCAGTTAGTATTGCTATTAAAGGGCTCTGTTATGCGTGTTGTCTCAGGGATGGAGTGGTCGGTGCTCTGATGCCAGCCAGCATGATTCTGCCAGCTGAGTGTCCCGCCAGCTCCCCCATCCCACCCTATGACTCCTCGTCGTCATCCTGTGTCAGCGATGAGGAGTGTCCTCCTGTCCCTCCTGAAACCGAAGAAGCAGTCAGTCCCAATCCCTGGCAAGACAAGAAGGGGGAGGTGAGGAACCATGCTTGCAGCCAGCAGAACACTTTACTCAAGTCTAGTCTCTAAATTTCAACACAGTGTTAGCTTTTAGTACATTTTTATCTCTTTAACTTGATTGTAGTTTATTAAAAGACAAATGTATATGATTGGACATCATTTGGTACTTCAGCAATGAATTAAGCTTTAGAATTAATTAGATAAAAGGAAAAGATTAGAAATCACTTATGCTTGCTGTAAATTAATAGCTCTAAGTTTCTTAGTTAGTTTAATGTATACATATATATATATATATATATGTATGTAAAACTTTATCTGTGCGTCCATATATATGAATATATGTATATAAAAAAATAAGTAAAACATTAAATGTTGCATTCAGAATTAAAATGATTATAATTGACTATATCTGATAATCTGTCTACTTATGTTTGTGTGAACAGATTCCTTCATCAGAGGATGCCGTCACCCCATCGTCAGCTGTGACTCCCTCTGCCTGTGGAGCCTCCTCACGTCCTTTCATCCCCGTCACAGATGACCCCGGGGCAGCGAGCATCATAGCCGAGACCATGACAAAGACCAAAGAAGTTAGTCTGTTAATTTTTAGACAGAACGTGTGCTTTTGTTTGATATTAAGCCAGCAACCCCACCCGATTACACAAACCTGCATCCGTGTTGTTTCCCCAGGACTCTGAGAGCCAGAGTAAAGTGGTGGGACCAGAGCCTCAGTACCTGGATGAGTTCACGAGTCTGCTCGTGCCCGATGACACTCGGGTGCTGGTTGACCTGCTGAAACTGGCAGTGTCGTGTCGTTCCGGGGAGAAAGGCAAGGAGGTGTTGTCTGCCGTGCTGTCTGGCATGGGTACCGCTTATCCACAGGTAACACCCTGCGTTCCATCACCGACTGAGGCCTCTCACAGAGGCCGGCGGCTCGTTCACATTCATCATACCCTTGCTTCTGTGGTTCACAGGTCGCCGACATGCTGCTGGAGCTGTGCGTCACCGAACTGGAGGACGTTGCCACGGACTCACAGAGCGGCCGTCTGTCCTCCCAGCCGGTTGTTGTGGAGAGCAGTCACCCATATACGGATGACATGTCTACCAGTGGAACTGTGAAGATCCCAGGTGAAAGAAAGAAAGAAAAACACTTATGCAGGGGGCTCTTTTTTAAAGCAAAAATTCAAAGGAGGATGATGATTTGTAAATGCAACTTCTCTGCCTTGAAGGTGCTGAGGGTCTTCGGATAGAGTTCGATCGGCAGTGTTCAACTGAGAGACGCCACGATCCACTCACTATCATGGACGGAGCCAACAGGATTGTGTCCGTCAGATCAGGTGAGGAAAGGGAGGCTCCAAAGCTCATCGCCACAGAATGCAACATATAGTACCAGAACGAAAAATGAACCTGATTGCGTGGTGCGTGTTCCAGGTCGAGAGTGGTCCGACTGGTCCAGCGAATTACGGATCCCTGGAGATGAACTCAAATGGAAGTTTACCAGCGACGGTTCAGTTAATGGTTGGGGCTGGCGGTTCACTGTCTACCCTATCATGCCTGCAGCTGGTAAGCTTTGTGACTCAGGGTTGGGTTTAGTCATCAGCTACTGATATATTTTCACTGAGGCGCGTGCCTATATGATGGAAGGTTCTCCCATTGAATGTGACTTTGAGCTGCTCTGTTTTTTCCTCAGGTCCCAAAGATTTGCTGTCTGATCGCTGTATCTTGTCCTGCCCCTCCATGGACTTGGTCACATGCCTCCTGGATTTCAGGCTCAATTTTGCCTCCAACAGGAGCATTGTGCCCCGTCTAGCTGCTTCACTGGCAGCTTGTGCCCAGCTCAGTGCATTAGGTAAAGAATAATCATCTGGATATTATTTTTTAAAGTTGATTTTATAACTGTATGAGAAATAACAACAAAAAAAACGCATATCTGGATTACCTGTGAGGGATTTAGTTCAAAGCCGTTCCTCAAAAAAGATGTTTGTTTTACAATGTTTTCTTTCCAAACGTTTAGCTGCAGGGCACAGGATGTGGGCTCTGCAGAGGCTGAGAAAACTTTTGACCACAGAGTACGGTCAGTCCATCAACATAAACAGACTGCTGGGGGACAGCGAAGGCGAGGCTCGTTCTATTGTGAGTGCAGCCTGATGCTTAATACAAGAATACTTGGAAAAGAAGAAGTTCTTTATGAATGCTGGGTTTAGCACTACATGATGTTTTCATCCAGGTGCTTCAGTTATTATTTTATTTTAGGCTTACTATAAAGTTTCTGACACCCCAAAAAACATTCTCTCAGAGTTTTACTGGCAGCGCGCTGGCTGCCCTTGTAAAAGGACTTCCAGAGGCTCTCCAGAGGCAGTACGAGTACGAGGACCCCATTGTGAGGGGGGGGAAGCAGCTGCTGCACAGTCCATTTTTCAAGGTATGCTGAAACGATGGTGACTTTCGATAGATTTATTACATTTTTCTATACGTTTTCATCTTATTGAAGATTTTCTGTCAGAGGCTAATCTTGATATTTTGATTAGGTCTTGGTCGCTCTCGCTTGTGACTTGGAGCTTGACACCTTACCCTGTTGTGCGGAGACCCATAAGTGGGCCTGGTTCCGCCGCTACTGCACTGCCTCCAGAGTAGCTGTAGCTCTCGACAAGAGAACATCTCTACCAAGAGCCTTCCTGGATGAGGTATGTGTGCCCGGGTGCGTGGCAAGAATAAAGCCCTCCATTTTCTTTATTGTTCTATCCCCTGAAAACATCACGTCGTCTTCTTCCCTTCGTAGGTCACCAAAAAAATCCGCGAACTCATGGCCGACCACGAGAGCATGAACGCACTCCACGAGAGTCACGACTTATTCAAGCGCGAGCACGACGAGCAGCTGGTGCAGTGGATGAACCGGCGTCCCGACGACTGGACGCTCTCAGCGGGAGGAAGCGGCACCATCTACGGCTGGGGACACAACCACAGGGGCCAGCTGGGGGGCATAGAGGGGGCAAAGGTCAAAGTGCCCACTCCCACCGAAGCCCTCGCCACACTGCGGCCCGTCCAGCTAATCGGGGGCGAACAGACTCTGTTCGCAGTCACTGCTGACGGAAAGGTTTGAATTGTTTGCCTCTTTCTGATAGAATTGAACCTGTTTTGGGGTCCATTTCACACAAATTCTTCCGTCCCTTCCCATCTTTCAGTAAACCGATAGCGCCGTTTTAATTAATTTTATTGTTCATCCTCAGCTGTACGCAACAGGATACGGCGCCGGGGGCAGGTTGGGTATCGGTGGCACCGAGTCTGTGTCCACCCCCACACTGCTAGAGTCCATCCAACATGTCTTCATCAGGAAAGTGGCTGTGAACTCTGGGGGGAAGCATTGCCTCGCCCTTTCCTCAGAGGGAGAAGTCTACTCATGGGGAGAGGCTGAAGATGGAAAACTGGGCCATGGCAACAGAAGGTTAAAACTTCATCTGAAATGATGCTTTTACCCTTAGTTGACAGCACCAAAGTATCACTGCTAATTCATGTCAGCATATGACAGTCAAAGGACAAAAAAAAACGTATAAATGGCTGATTTATTTTTTTATGGTAACTTGGATTCTTTTTTACTTCAGCCCCTGTGACCGACCTCGTGTAATTGAGTCCCTAAGAGGAGTGGAAGTGGTGGATATCGCTGCTGGGGGGGCTCACAGTGCCTGCATCACTGCCAGCGGAGAGCTTTTCACATGGGGCAAGGGTCGTTATGGACGACTGGGCCACGGGGACAGCGAGGACCAGCTTAAACCCAAGCTGGTGTGTGATCGCTTTGCTCACTTTCCCACAGGACTCCGAATGTTGTCAATTAGGATGAAAAGGGTGACCTGTCCGTGTGGTTTATCCAGGTGGATGCACTGCAGGGTCACAGGGTCATCGATGTTGCCTGCGGCAGTGGGGACGCCCAGACTCTTTGCCTGACTGATGATGACATGGTCTGGTCGTGGGGAGATGGGGACTACGGCAAATTGGGCCGAGGAGGGAGCGACGGCTGCAAAATCCCTATGAAGGTAAAGCTGATTATTCAGCATTGTGTGCTTAAAGTGCGCAAACACATCCCTGCGTGCCATTTAATGGGGTTTCTTTTATTTGGAGAAATATACTGAAGACTTTCCAAAGATCAATCTTCAGGTTTTTTTACACATTCAACACTCATTTAAGCTCTCTATGCTTCAAAATTCGGGAAATGCTGTTATCCACACGCTGGGCTATATTCCTAATAAAAGTAAATTTAGTACAGATCGAGTTGCATTATCTGTGGCTTGAGGCCTTTCATTATTTTAATGACTCATTTTCATAAATGATTTGGCTATGGTCTTATTTCCTGACTGAATGAGAACTTTGGTGCTTTTCCGGGGGAAAGTCTTTAGAAAGAAAGATATTTTAATCGAATAGCAGAGAGATTTTTCATTAATGGCAGCATGTGAATCTAATGGTACAGGGAAGAGGTCTTTGAAGGACTTTTTAAAGCCAGCCAGCCAGACATTTCTTTATTCTTTATTACAGGAATTAGGAGCTGACTGTTTCTATGATTTTTTTTTTTTCCCCCCATCTATAGATTGACTCTCTTACTGGCCTTGGAGTGGTCAAAGTGGAGTGCGGCTCTCAGTTTTCTGTGGCACTCACAAAATCAGGAGCAGTTTACACATGGTGCGTACAGTGGATTAAGGAGACGATCTGATATGGCTTTTTGGCAGTGTTTCCAGTGATGTAAGAGCTCATTAGTTTGCTTTTCATCGCTTAAAGGGGGAAAGGGGACTACCACCGACTCGGCCACGGCTCCGATGACCACGTAAGACGACCCAGACAGGTACAGGGGCTGCAAGGGAAAAAAGTTATCGCCATCGCTACGGGATCCCTGCACTGTGTTTGCTGCACTGAGGATGGTAGGGAGAACTTTTGATACTTTCCACATATATATTTGATTTTTTTTTTTTTCCTGGCTGAAATTTTGTGCATGCTTTTGTCATCAATGAATTAATTCGTTTTGCGTGTGTGCCCCAGGAGAAGTGTACACATGGGGCGACAACGATGAGGGTCAGCTTGGAGACGGGACCACTAATGCCATCCAGAGGCCACGGCTGGTTGCTGCGCTGCAGGGCAAAAAAATCAACAGGGTGGCCTGTGGCTCTGCGCACACTCTGGCCTGGTCCACCAGTAAACCCACTAATGCCGGGAAGCTGCCCGCACAGGTACAGCCCCAGCTCTGAAAATCAGTGTTTCCAGCAGATGGCAGCACATACATACTTTCAGATGTTATTTCTAAAATGGCTTTTTGTGAAACATTTACCGTTTTGTGTGTTTTTTTTGTTTTTTTTTTGTTCTTAAAGGTTCCAATGGAGTACAACCATCTGCAGGAGATTCCCATCATGGCCCTGAGAAACAGGCTGCTCCTGCTGCATCACTTCTCCGAGCTTTTCTGCCCCTGCATACCAATGTTTGACCTGGAGGGCCGGCTGGGTCAAACAGGCCACGGCCCCTCCGTGGGCTTCGACACACTCAGGGGTATCCTCATTTCCCAGGGCAAGGTGATCAGACACACGAACACCCACACAAGCCCAGACAGAAGTGTGATAAAGATGTAAAATAGACTATACTGATTCCATTCATGCAAACAGGAGGCGGCTTTCAGAAAGGTGGTACAAGCTACGATGGTGCGGGACAGGCAGCATGGACCCGTGGTGGAGCTGAACAGAATACAGGTACAGAGACAGGAAGTCTCATGATCATTCTCTTCTTTTTTTTTTTTTTCTTTTTTCTTCAAAGTGCTGCCTCTCTCCCACAGCGAGGTTATGCTCCAAACTCTGTCCTGAGAATTTCATGTGATTTCTTTCATAAGGGGATTTTTTTTTTAATGGTGTGTGTGGTCAGCATTCCTTCCTTCCTCCCTTTCTTCAGGGAGTCTTGTTCCAAGTTTTAGACTTTACCCCACAAAGTCATGTGTCCATTCTATCAGTGGTGAAGGGAAAAGTTGGCATAACATGGCAGTCGGTGCTTTCTAACAAGCAGGAAGGGTATTAGGAGCAGAACAAAAACAAATCATCGCCTTTTTTTCTCTTTTCTCTTTTTTTTTTTTTTTTTGTGCCTTTGTGCTTTTGTTGGCCCTGCAGGTGAAGCGTTCCCGCAGCAAAGGGGGCCTGGCAGGTCCCGATGGAACCAAGTCCGTGTTTGGTCAGATGTGTGCCAAAATGAGTTCATTCAGCACAGACAGCCTTCTCCTCCCTCATCGTGTGTGGAAGGTTAAATTTGTCGGTACGTGTTCAGGCTCACATCGTGACTCTCAGCCCCCCCCCCCAAGCCCTGTCGGTTTAAAACTCGGTTCCTTTTCCGCCAGGCGAGTCTGTGGACGACTGCGGCGGAGGCTACAGCGAGTCCATAGCTGAGATGTGTGAGGAGCTGCAGAACGCCCTCACTCCGCTGCTCATCGTCACCCCCAACGGCCGCGACGAGTCGGGCGCCAACAGGGACTGCTTCCTGCTAAACCCCGCAGCCAAGTCCCCCCTTCACATGAGCATGTTCCGCTTCTTAGGTACGATGCAGTTAATCTCACAGTCAGTCTCTGGGGGTGTAAATTCTAGGCAAGCAAACCAAAAAGTGCATTTTTACTTTGGGGAAAAATAAAGCATTTCATGTGGATTATCACTGATACAGCAATGTGCTCTGCTTGTCTGTCTGTCCAGGAGTCCTCCTGGGAATTGCGATCCGAACCGGAAGTCCTCTTAGTCTGAATCTGGCGGAGCCAGTCTGGAAACAGCTGGCAGGAATGAACCTGACCATCGCTGACCTCAGTGAGGTATGCACAAAGCCAACTACTCGAGAAATGTGGAGAAATTTCTTCCCAAGTTAGACTCTCTAAATCCAACGAAAATGATTGAGTCATCCAAAGAATCAATAATAGCCTTTCTGCCATGATAAGAAAATACTTATGATCATTTATTAAATCGTAATGGATTTTTAGGGAAAAAAAGATGTAGTCACATGATCAGACACATGCCACCTACAGAGAAATGGTCATGAATTCACACCAGGAATGTAACTGCCCCCCCCACAGCCACCACCAAGTAAATACATGAATCACAACACAGTCACCCAACAAATATCTAGTTCACACCATCACAAACCGAATCAATAATCGCCCTTAAACAAAGACTTTCCCCCTGGAGCTGGGAGAAGGAATTCCTCTCCCGGCGCCAGACGTTACACAACCACCTTCAGCTCACATGAGCTGCATTAAAATGTACAGAAAGAGCACATTCCTGCTCATTTCTCTGCAGATTAAAGCTTAAACCGGCCCGTTTATGGTGCCCTACTGGTACAGAGGTCTTCAGATATTTCTAGAAACTCCTCCCCGTGCTTGAGTTGAAAGGGGTTTACATTTCCCTGGGAGAGGGTGGGAGCTGCCCACTTGGCTCGTGTGCACGTCTGCTCCTGCCCTCACGCTGTGATCATACGCCTCCTGAACCATCTCCCAGAGAATAGCAGAGAATGGGGAAAGGCCTGTCTTCTCTCAAAGCTGCTTTTGTTCTGTGCTCTGTGCCCCTGAGATATTGGAAAGGTTTAATGGCAAAGTAGTTAAGCACAAGATAGAGCGGATGGCTGCTGAGCTCACGGGACCTGCGCTCTGGACATGAGTCCACTTTCACAACAACACATTGATAATGACAAAAGCATATAGAAGCTCATGAAATATCAGCTTAGCTGAGACTGATTCAGAAGCTACCGAATTAAAAAAAAAATGTTTTGGTGAAATATTTACAGCCGCGTTGTGCTCCATCGTTCCCAGGTTGATAAAGATTTCATTCCCGGCTTGATGTACATCCGGGACAACGAGGCGACGGCCGAGGAGTTTGAGGCGATGACGCTGCCCTTCACCGTGCCCAACGCCAGCGGTCAGGACATCCAGCTCAGCTCAAAGCACTCGCACATCACCCTGGAGAACCGAGCCGAATACGTCCGACTAGCCATCAACTACAGGTGAAATTGAAATAAAAAAGAAAAAACCTCACAATGCACACAGATAAAATGCAGCTGTATTTGATTTCCTTTTTTTTCTCATGGTGTTATTTTCCTCATTGCTGTTTATTCATTTGATGCTGCAGACTCCATGAGTTTGACGAGCAGGTGTCCGCGGTACGCGAGGGAATGGCCCGTGTGGTTCCCGTCCCCCTGCTGTCGCTTTTCACCGGTTACGAGCTGGAGACCATGGTGAGTGAGAGCCAGGGGCTGCGACGAGGAGTTTGTCCGGCCGTTTGCAGACCGTCATCGAACGCTCACCTTCCCTTTTGTAGGTGTGCGGGAGTCCAGACATCCCGCTGCACCTGCTGAAGTCAGTGGCAACTTACAAAGGCGTGGAGCCCACGTCGCCGCTCATCCAGTGGTTCTGGGAGGTGATGGAGTCCTTCTCCAACACGGAGAGGTCCCTTTTCCTGCGCTTCGTCTGGGGCCGCACACGGCTGCCACGCACCATCGCCGACTTCCGGGGACGGGATTTTGTCGTGCAGGTAACCTCCCCAGAAACAAGGAAGTGTGTTTCCTAGTTTGACCCTGGAACCGGAAAGCTGCTGATTTGAAAAAATAGTTAAATATAAATTCCACAAGTATTTTCTCTGGCATCACTTCTGCATCCTGATTTTATTTATGAGTGTCTGGCCCAAAAATATTTAGTCAGACCACGTATATTATTTGGCAGAGACTTTCGGTAGACATCCTCCTTAGATGTAGTCTGAAACTATGGGTGACTCTACAGGAGTGCTTTGACCAGATAAAAAAGAGTTGTTGTCTGCAGCATACTGTATATAATCTATGTGAAATCCCTCTAGCAAACTTTAAAATCGATATGTCGGAATGCGATGTGCTGACAACCTTTTTTTTTTTTTTCTCTCCCATCTCCAGGTCCTGGATAAATACAATCCTCCGGACCACTTCTTGCCAGAGTCCTACACGTGCTTCTTCCTGCTGAAGCTGCCCAGGTACTCGTGCAAACAGGTGCTGGAGGAGAAGCTGAAATACGCCATCCACTTCTGCAAGTCCATCGACACGGACGACTACGCCCGCATCGCCCTGTCCGGGGAGCCGGCGGCCGACGACAGCAGCGAGGACTCCGACAACGAGGACGCCGACTCCTTCGCCTCCGACTCAACCCAGGACTACCTAACAGGACACTGAAGACTCTGCAGAGAGACGAATCAAAGACGCCCTGCCACCGAGAATGCAGTATTCTCCTCTAATGCACACATTCGAACAGGCATTCTGCTGAGACACAAACGTCTGTGGAGGGGGGGGGGGGATGTGCAATGAGCTTTAAGAAGCATTAGAAGTTAAAGAGAGCAGCAGATGACACCAGATTGCTCTGATTTAGTTTCTTTAAAAATGAAGCTGAGCGATCAGCTGCACATGTGGTTGTCGTGTTACATTGGAATTATGTATGTTATTATAGTTACAAAGTTGGAAAAAAAAAAAGGCTCCAGCCTAGCACTGTGGTAGAATTCTCCCTCCGGTTTGTGTGAATTACCCTTCCCTAGACTGTATATAGAAATTAACGTGCAACAAGAGTAGTATCATTTTTGTTGGTAACAGCCATGTTTCTTTGTATGAATAAAAGAAAAACATTTTTAACTCAAAGTCAGTGTTTCTCACACGGCTCACTTCAGTCCGAGCCCACTGAAGTCATTTTAAGAGTCTTGTATTTAGCCTCTACCTTCCACCATGTTTGTGCACTGTCTCCTTAAAGAATGTACATAATATGATCGTGCCATGTATTGACAGTCTCATTCCTGCATATTAAATGTTAATACAATTCTGTTAATAAATAAGACATAAAAAAATAAGAATTTCACTCAAGGCTGCCACAATTCTTTTGCCTCTCTGGTGTGTTTGTGTTTCTGTGCATGTGACACAAGCAGTTATAAAATATCTGACATACTATAAGGTAAAAAAAGATCTATTTCACCACATAATCCTTCAAACAATAGTTTGGATTGAGATTATTGAATTTTAATAGTTATTAAAAAGGTGTCCAACACCTGACATGTTTCCCCTCTTAAGAATCTCATTTAATACGAGAAAGAATATGTTGTTGCAGGACTTTGATGTCAATGAACTCAAAGCCCTGTGCGATTTAAGAAATTCCTTTTACATGTTGAATGTGATGTTATCGGCACCGTCTCCAGCAGAGGTGAAGGGGAATGTTATTCAGGGGTACTACGGCCCCCCTTTGACGCTGTAATGGGATTGAGTAGTAACTGCCTTCTAAGCATGTGTGATGTACTTGTGGGATCATGTAAAGCTCTGTGTAGTCACGAGAAGAAAAACCTTCTGTTTTACGAAGGCTTGATTTGGCTTAAAAATAATCAGCATTCCTTCTGGACTTACTGACCACCCCTCCACCCCCCCAGAAATACTTACAAAGTACATTATGCTGGTGGGAGTCAGGTGCTCTGTAGCAAAATCCAGGCTAAAGAGGCAGAAGTGAGTGGAGCAGAGGAATGAACAACCCACAATTCCAGTTATGTGATCTCTTCTTGGAAAAGGGAAAAGGTCTCCTAAGATCAAGTGTTATTGATTACAATTCATGAGTGTTAAAAGACTATTCCCATGTCCAGGCATAACACAAGTATTTGACATTATTGGACTTGCATGTTCTTTATTAGAGCTCTCGGCAAAAATAAAACTGACCAAACGCAGTGGGTCATTGTGGCTCACTGGTATCTTTTCATACGGTTCACGTTGGTGAAAGTGGGAGTGTAAAGGCTTTGAGCTGCCGCATTCAGATCACGCAGGGTGCAGGATGCTGCTCGGCACGGGACGGTTAACACAGATAAAGAGCAGACGGCTCGGTGTGTGTGTCTGCGGCGGCATGTGACTGCATGTGAAAGGGTAACACAACACCACTCCAGCTCATGACTGTGTTCCACCAGCACGGATCCTTCTTTTCCTCACTTGTTCAGTCTGACCTCAGAGAAACACTGTTTTACTGTAAACATACTTTCAAATTTAGAAAAAAAACATGCAAAATCCCATGAAGAGCAAGCCTTTGAAGTTGCTGCTCTGTATAAGTCATAATGAAAGATTTTCAGAAATTACTGGGATGTCAGATGAAGTCACACAGAGTGAAATATAAAGATCTCTTATCATACATTTATTCAAACCACTGAGTGATGTCTAGTGCTCCATATGAGGTTTCAAAAGAGTCCCTTTGAAGTTAACGGGTAGCTGCCCTGTAGGAGCCGATGGTAAAAATACAGTTATTGATTGTGTTTAAGGGCTTTAATGACCAAGGACCAATATCTCTTCTACAGATCTTAAAAATCAGCCCAATTCTAGATCATTTGAATGCTGATACACCTATTTCGATCTGAAAAATGAATACCAACAATAAATACCCTTTTTAACCATCAGTTAATCTTTATGTCTTATGTCACGTTTCATCATGGCTCAAGAAAACAAAAGATTCAAACAGACCGTTTGAGGGTTTCCCAGCCAGCGCTGGAGTTAAACAGATGTAGATGCACAGTTTAATTTATAGAGTCGGCCTTTATCATATCGCCGCATCCACCCTAAAGGACAGATTTTGCTGGTGTTGACGTGTGGTGTGTCTACAATGTTTGTGTTGGAGAGTGTTTTCACTTCAGTTTGAGTGGAATGTTGAACCGGCAGTCAATCTTAAGTCAGAGTGTTTGAAAAGTTCTCATTCAAATTCCAATCTAGCCTCGGCACTAGTCTACCCTGGCTGTTTTCAATAAGCACACATTTGTTTCACATACGACTTATCCATTGACTGTAGATTGTAATAAACGGGAGACAAAGCTGTTTGGTGGTTTTCTTTTAAAATCTTAATCCATTCATTTGTTTCCCACACCTCAACCATCACCAGCAGCATCCCTAAAGTGCCTCTCTATCCTAGCTGGTGTTCGAGGATAGACATTTTGATTTACAGTGGAATAGGAAACGCACATCCACACACTCCCGATGTGCCTCCGTCCTAACTGCTGCTTTTGGCTTTGCTCGTTGTTCCCGTGATGGCCCCGCTCCTGCTGCTAGATCTCACATTCTCAGCCCACAAGACCAGTGTGCCGTCAGCCCCTCTGGACATCGGCTCTGTGCAGCTTTTATCCTGCGCAGACCAGGTGACTCCGCTCAATGGGAATAATTGTCCTCGCTGTTTTTTCTAAGAATGGAGCGGGCAGATGCTGCGACTCCGACCAGCTGGGAGGATAATTCCGCAGATGAGAGTTCTGTCATTGATTTTGCTCAGTTCACCGGATGAATTAGTTTCAGATTATTCATTCAAATTTCAACTGTGGGAGTTTTCTAATTACTTAGGCCCTGTTAGCGTGGTTCACTGGCTCTCTCTCATGGATGGTGGGATAGTAAAACTGTAATCTGCTCTGTTGTGTTGGGTTAAAGGCGAACGTATTAAGAGATTAAATCAAAGACACACTCACTGGTTTGTTACGGCATAAAAATTGCGGCAAATAAAGACCAAACTTTAAAGAAGACGACAAAAAAGGGAAGCCACATATAAAGCTATAAAAAGAGGGCTAATGTTCGACATTAATACAATTAAAAATATCTAGGCGCTGATGGATCCGATTATTTCCGGGTCAAATAGGAACAGGTTTTCGCTCAGATTTTTTGACCTCGGGGTAGAGGGCTTGAACATCTCTTTCTAAGCTGATTATTACAAGTTGTCCCTTGATGTGTTATTAATGAGCGACCTTTTTCAAAGGAGAGACCATTTGTCAAGTCTAACCACGGGGTATACACGATCCACCATTTGTTTGCACTATTCGATTTCTCACTTTGTGCCTGTGGGTTCTGACTGAAAACCAACTTGTGGTGGATTTGTCTTCATTAAAATCATTTAAAGATATTTAATGTAATGTAATTTTTCCAATTATTTCCAATTGGTTTGACTGCTTGCTTGAAACAAGCACGTGCCCTTTCATAATGGGGTGCGTTTCATAATGGATTGGCCAAAGAAAAAAAAAAAGGATGTGAATAAAAGAATATGTGGAAAAGTACAGTGTTCACTCCTGTGACTAAAGTTTAAAAACTGTTGTGTTGGACAATCTGTGCCACAGTCACTCATTTCTGCTCCCTTCAGGGCTAAAGTTGTTGCCTTTTTGATACTTAGAGCATGTGCAAATGCTTCTTTGGCTGGTGGATTTGTGGTGTGGAGCGGTGTTGATGATGAAAGGGGTAGGCGGGGTTCTCTAAGAAACAAACAGAGGAGTAAATACTGAGGAGGAAAGTTTTGATAAACTGCTTAAGCCCTACCAGCCCGGCCTGCCCTTTTCCTTTCTCTCCTCCCCACCCACTTCCTCCAAACTCTGAAGGCTCAGTAACATCACCCTCTTTTGCTGGGGAGAGCACCGAAGAGAAGAAAAACCTCAACCGCTCTCAACTTTGGCCCCGAAACTGAGTTTAAATAAAAGCGCATCAGTACCATCATTTTTGAGGACTCTGTGTGTATGTGTCTTGTTATTTTTTGGGGAGATATCTTCTGTGATTTGAATTTGCCTTGAGGAGTTCTTCACTTCTGTCATCATTATTGCCCTTTTTTATTCCCACCATCATATTCATCTAGAACCACTTCTCATCCATTTTCTCGCGGTAAGTTTAACCGTAACTTCATTGCCAGCATTAAAATATAAGTTTGTGGGCTGTGCATCGGAAAAAATTTAAAATAGAAAAGGCCTAAAAAATGTAACACTTCTATCACAGTCTTGTAGTTTGAGGTTGCTATCATTAACCCTGTAATGCCAAATGTATCATATTTGGTACATAAGGTTTCTGAAATGTTTTGCGTCTGACACCTTTTGCATAATTTAATGGTAAAAACTTTGCTCAAAGTCCTATTGTACACAATCAGATACACCTGATAACAGGGGGCAGAAGAATACACAAAAAATAATCTTGACCTGTTGCATAGTAATAAATTATTAATATCAAAAACGTATTTTTCTTTTTTCTTTTTACATATTTAGTTAAAAGGCCAAATAAAGACTTAAAATCCCCAAAAAGTGATTTTCTGTTTTGTTTTATTCTTGGATCAGGCTTTAAAGGGTTAATTTGAGTTTGTTAGATTTGAACCCGACTCACATTTTTAAATAAGAAAAAAAACATTCAGGTAAGACCACAAAATGTCAAAGATCGGGGATTTCGTGAGGTTTCGTTGGTCATTAATAATTAACGAATGTAATAAATTATTAAGATGAATAAATGTATTTTAGTTTAAATACCTTCTTATACCTGTGTCACCGTGGGTTCCGGAATGTTTAATTGCTGTGAAAAAGGATAGAAAATCGGAAGAAAGCTGTTTGTGTTTGGTGTCACACACAGCCTGCAGGCAGGACGTCGCACAAAAGGACCATTCTGCTCACAATGCTGCGCGTCATGAGGATTTGGCAAGGGTGCACAAAGCGCAGCAAACCCAGTCAAACACTCAGGGATTTTATTAGACAACGTCAAATACTCATTCACGTGTAGATATTTTTAATTGAAGGCGGATGAATATCCCGAAATGGCGGTTCTGCTACAGACAGTTGACAGTAAAAACGAAGGGACTAAAAGGTTCATGTTAGGATTGCTTCTTGGTTTTTTCCTATTAGGAAAAACACAGTGGAAACACTCTCACAGAGCTCAAATCAGAGCTCTTGACAATCCTGGCGCCCCTTCATGTCAGTTGTAATCCTTTCATCCTCAACAACCTTTGTGCTTTCAGTAAATACAAACGGCCTGTAGTCGCTTTCATTCACAGACTATATCATATCAATATTAAGTCTATGTTCAAAGTAAATTATGACGTTTATATCAGCGCTGAAGGATGAGTGAATTTCCATTCCCTTTCACGCTGAGAAAACAAGTGGCTAAGCTATAATTGACCAAATAGTCTGTGACTGATTACTTAATCTGCCGTTCCAGAAGTCGTAAATCCCCAAATAATTTCCTCAGTATGACTTCAGAAAGATACTACACCTCACTCTCTCTCTTTGTAAACAGCGAGCTGTAAATACGGGTTGAGTCAGAAGAGACAGGACACCGTTTTGTTACAGAAATGAAAGAGATAATGACATATCTATCTTTCATGCTATTGTTCATAACATGGCCGCCATCTTGAAAGCCGCCATATTGGATCAAGGGAAATGTTTTCTGACCAGAAGGTGGTCATGTAGCATTATCAGAAAAGACCAGAAGTGTCCCAGAAATCGGTGGTCGCAATCAGATTTTCATGATCTCTTATGGTTCAAAGCTATTAACACAGCATTTTCCTTTAAGCTTCCTTTGAAGCTTAATTTTTTAGTTTTCTCACATGGAAATTTTTCTGGCCAAACAGGACCCAATTCTCCAGTCTCATAGTCTTATATATATATAAAAGTTGTTATACATCACAACACTGTTACATCTGAAGATGGTTTATTTGAATTTTGCACCCTGTGTTTGAAATTTTGGCCGACAGCCTTACTGTTCTGGCTACATTTTCGAAGTTTGCTTCCATTTTTTTGTAACATGTTTGTTAGCTAGGCATCGAGTCACATCTTAAGTGGCAGCAAGAACTTTCTCTGTTTGCTTCCCATGAAAGTTATGTCAACCTATAAGTGTGCTTTGACAAAACTAAAACAAAAAGACCAACCCCTTCCCTTCCTCTCCCCGGCAGCTGCCTCAACATGTATTTGGAGAACAAAACCAACCTGGAAATCGAGATGTCTCAGACCGCAGCCCAGGGCCACCAGGGCAGGAGCAGCTTGCGGTCACCGGAGGCGGTGGCGGGTAACTTCGGGGAGCTGCGTCTTCTGCAGGGCATCTCTGAGCGGGGAGACACCCAGAAGCTCCAGCAGTCAGGACAGTGCGTCATCCACACAGAGGGATTAGTTCCTGTTAGACAAGAGGACAGGTATGATAAAGTACCACAATGGTCTCAATGACTCTGAACACTTTGTACTAAAACTAACACTTATAATTGTATTTGGAGGATATTTGGAGCCAATCTGCGACAAACCGATTAGTTCCTTCTGATGATTGTCAACAAGTTGAATTTGAACAGCTTTCAAAGAACATTTTTAAGAAAGCTAGTCATTGCCAGAAGCATTTCTGCTTTTAGCCAGTAGCCCAGAATAAAAAGCTAGCATTTCACATTTCTAGAAACTATGGACACGTCTCATCTTGCTGTTAGATATAAATATTTTCACTAAAACTTGGTTGATTTCTCGAACCTAAAAAAGAAATCTAAGCAATATCTCTCAGGGTTCAATGAAATAACAGTATTCAACGCAAAGCTGGAGCTAATTCCTCCAACCTCCCAGTACAGTTTCTTTTTTTTTTTGTTAATGAATGCCTGCAAAAAAATGTCAGATATTTGAGATCTGTACCTCTGACAAGGAGTTTATTCTTTTGGGTCTTGGCAGAATTGTATTAAACTCCACTGATAATCTTCGGCATGGGCAATGAAGTGAATCAATGATGTGTTGACCAGTTTAAAAGTGATTTTGATGTTGACCCAGATCTGCAATCAGTAATTTTATATGTGCGTCTTGGCAGTGTTCTGCGGTCTGTTTACTCTGCCAACACAGGTTTGGCAAAACAGCTCTAAACAAACTGAACAAACATTGGGGACTTTTCATTTGCTCTTACTGAGTTTATAATCTCAATTCTTTGCGAGATTGAACGTGGATAAACTAGAGTATGTCACTTTAGGGCTCATTGATTTAAACATGTCGTGACAACTAATGAACTTTGCTACACAGAAGAATCCCACCAGACTTTTATTTGGGGTTTTTGTTCAAATCGATTGTTAGGGTTGGGCCTTTCATAGGATTTAGCGGCGTAACAGTTTGAAAAATATGGATTATGGCTAGAGTTTCACATCTACCTCCTGATGCCATTGCTGATCTGTAGGTCATAAAATGGAGTCATGAAATCCTCAAAAGGTAGAATTTACTCCCTCTTCTCATTTGTTTTCTGACTCATAAGACGCATAACAAGATTTTAAATCACACATGCAGAAACCCATTACACATGCCCTATTGGTTAAATCCTGTAAGGGATGCATGAACATAGGCGGACTTAGTTTCTTGGGAACTTTGAACATTCACACGTACTCACACACAGATTTAAACATGTTTGGTATTGAGTGAATAACTGAGAATGTCAGGGGCTACTAATCACAAGCCTGTTGCCATGACGTTATGAAGATTTAACTAAATATTTTTTCCTATGAACAAAGTCAATCCACTGGATAACAGCGAAGAGGCTTTGGTATTTCTATTTTTCCTGAACAGTCCAGTGGACGAGAATATTTTCTTTAATGTGGGATATAACAGTAATTAGATACACTTTGATGACAATTCTTTTTAAGATTTGAAGCTGAGCTCAATAATGGGGTTGACAGCTGATGTTAAATGATGGCACAGTGGAAATGTGAGGAATGTACTAAAAGGAGAAAGTTGCCTTGGAGATCTGGGAGCAGGTGCTGTCCTCTGACCCCTAAGTCGATAAAAGAACTGCATCTAACCAGTTGTTTTTCAAGCAACAGTGTTCAAACATTCAACACAAGGAATGCTGCAGTGGTGGTAGACGTCTGACACAAAAATAAGCTTGAACACAAAGTAACATGATGGAGGATCTCCCTCAGAAGTCATTGGCCTAAAGGTTTCGTAAAAAAAAATCGAAATATACTGTTGCAACTGCCTTAAAAGGTTATAATAAAGTGCCAAGAGACAGACTCAGTTACACAATGGGAACTGGAAACTAGTGAAGACAAACAGAGAATTGGATACCAAGTTTCTGTCATTATTTTCAATATAATTGCATCAGACAGATATTGTCAAGGTAACACAAGTTGCTTTTGGAAATGGTTCTTAAAGTCTATGTAAAAAACAGAACATTGTTGAACTCCACACAATTTAAAAGAGCAATGTGAGAAATTTTTAAAAAGAATTGCGGATTTTTTTAAAATTACAGACATATTTCTGAAAGTCTCAAAAGAGGTGTGTTTGCATTCTTGCTGTAAAGAAATGTGTGAATAGTGATAAGGAAAAATTCACTCAATTCATTTCAACGTGACTGAGGAAGATAACAAATGCATAAAAGAGGAATTCTATGTTGGTGCTGTTGAAATGATACTGTTGCATAAGTCTTACTTGGCAGTAAACAGTAGTTTGATTACAATTGTTTGTGTGTGTCCTGAGCCCAGTATTTACTCTGAGCACACGACACACATATCTGCCAGTGTTTACTCTCCGTTTAGCTCATTTTGCCAAGTGGCTAACTTTGTCTTGCTGCCATTTGGTTTGGGATAATTGGTATACAGTTGGTTGCCCATAAAATAAGGAGACAATTCTTTTCAGGAAGAAATCACCAGACACAGGAGTTAAAAGAAAAAAATGTAAATATTGACTGTTGTTTTCTCTGAACCTACTCCTTCACAAAAATTAAAACCAACAGTGGTTGTAGAAGTCTTCATTAAACATATCAATTTACTGGTCAGCATCAAGCTCACAAGGGATTACTTCTGGAATGGAAAACAGTAGTGGGCATACCCAGGGCCACCCTATACTTGGGCCCAAAAGCTATCCCCCCTCCATCTGGCAGGTGATGAAGGACTGTGACTCACCTCTGACTCTTCCAACGGCAGCTGATAAAAAGATCAGGGAGATGTTGGAAGTGGGAATCATTGAGGAACTCATTGAGCTCTGATGGTCCCGGTCAGGAAGAAAGATGGGACGTGGCTTTTCTGTGTAGACTACCGTCTGGTCAACAAGTTCACACACCCAAAGATTCCTACCTTCTACCTTGAGTTGATAAGGCCCTTGACCACATAGCTGGGTCCCATTGGTTCAGCTCCCTTGATCTCCAAAGTGGCTCCTGGCAGGTGGAATTGGTACCAGAGCCCCGTACCAAGACAGTTCTCTCCAGTGGGCAGGGATTGCCCCAGTCACCCTCGAGGGCCAAATGGGTCCTGTCTGATATTCAACAGAGCCGCTGTGTTGTCTACATGGATGACCTCCTTGTTCATACAGAAGATTTCCAGCACACACTTGACAATCTGGCAGACGTATTTTTGGTCCTTTGCCAAGCTGGTCTTCGTTTCCATCCCAAGAAGTGTCAACTTTTTCAGCAACATCCTGTTTCAACTGTTTCAGACATCCTTCCTGGGTCACATTGTCACTAACGTGGAGGTGGCTACTGATCCAGCAAAGATAACAGCTGTGAGGGATTGGTCTGTTCCCTGCCACTTTGGAGCTGGCAGGCCCTGTTGGTGGCTGTGACAATTTAGAATGGCTGCAGCCACTAGTGCTCCAACTTGTTCATGGCTCAATGGGGACAAGCCCTTTTGGAATCATCAAGACCCTCTGGCTTATCTGAACAAGGTTCAACTTGCCAGTTTGTCGTCAACATGTGGAGCACTATGTACATTGCTGTGATATTTTTATGGCTGAGAGGGGACCTACACGCCGATCGCAGGCCCCCTTGCAGCAATGCCAGGTGGAACGTGTGTCTGTTAATACCCATGGTCCCTTGCCCATAACACATAAAGGAAACTGCTACATTCCGGACCAGAGTGTTGATTACGGCGGAGCATCTAGTGAACCAGATGTTAAGTCGCTTGTGGGTGCCATAAGAGCTGCATAGTGACCAGGGAAGGAACTTTGAGGCCCAGGTTTTCAGAGAAGTCTGAACGAATGGGATTCAAGAAAATACGTACCACATAGTTGCATCCCAGAGTGATGGATTGGCTCAAGTGCACTCTTACCGCTCGACTGGCTATTTGGACCAGTCAGCAGCAGGGAGACTAAGACTTGCACTTGCCTTTGGTCCTCTGAGCCACAGGACAGTAGTGAAGGAGTCTACCAAGTGGAGCTGGTATTTGGGCCCCTCATGAGCTAGAGTTGAGGGTAAAGCCTTGGCTGGACTACCTTTACGAGAACCGGAAGCACCTTCAGGAGGTGCATGATCAAAGGCTCTAGGTTAGAGCTTGCCAGGACTCTGACAGAAATATACCCACAACAGCCGTTGCCAGGGAGAGGACTTCGCTCCTGGTGCACAGGTGTGGTTGTATAGTCTTTAGAGGAAGAGATGTCTGTATCCTAAACTGATGAGTAACTGGGTTTGCCCATGCATGGTCATGGACAAGTTGTCAGATGTTATGCAAGTATAGCATAACATGCTGACCAGCTGATCAAGCGATAAGCAATACTGGGTAGTATTTCTCTACCGGGACAGGGTGGCTCTGTGCTGGTCCTGGGTCCCACCAGGAATTGGGGTTGGGGCAGAGAAGGATGTCAATGTCCATGACCACCCATGCTTCTAAAGAAAAGCTGTGTGACGTAAGCTTGTGTTCAGACTTCCATAAAGCAACCATCTGTTCCAAGAGCAAAGGTTTCTAGTTGTCATTATCGACTTCAACCTGCAGCTCACCACGATATATTAGATTTTTCAAATGAAAACATAGATGGGATGAATTAATTGGACAAATACCTTTTCTAATGCAACTCATTTGACTTTTTCCTTGGCTTGAAGACAGACAGCTTTAGATGTGTGACAGGTTTAACAAACCTCTTACAAGATTGACATATTCATGTTATTTTACTTGTAATTCTGATTTACAATCAGTTTGGAATTAAATGATTTTATTAATTTGTCGCTGGCATGGCTGATATACAGTCCTGCTCACCATTATTGGCACCCATGAAGTTTAAGTACATATAGTGGAATATTTTCTGAAGGAAATTCATCAAGTGAAACAACATTTTACTGCTGATAGCTTGTGCTCAATGCAAAACAGCAGATGATAAAAAACATTTAAAAAGATAAACATTATGAGGAAAACAAAGAAAAACATAATGTTTACGATGTCAATGGTATTGGCACCCTTTGCAGCAAATCAGTATGAAAACCCAATTCGGCTCACCTGTTGCAAATCACAAATAAAGATCACTTGCGATGAACTGCGTCCACACATGTGACATGAATTAACCAATGAATGATCATGTTGGTACTTTAAAAGCCACCTGTTAGTCCATCTTCACATGTGACAATGGTAAAGACAAAGGAGCTGACTGAGGACACCAGAAATGCTATTATTTGTAAGTACAAGACCTCCAAAGGGTATAAAGCCATCTCCAAAGACCTCGGTATCCCTGTTTCAACGGTGCGTAATGTTATTAAGAAGTTTTCCAGGCATGGAACGGTCAGGAACCTCCCTGGACGTGGGGGGAAGAGAAAAATTGATGACAGAAGTCTTCGACGGTTGGTGCGAATGGTGGAAAAAACACCACGTCAAACATCTAAAGACCTAAAGACCAACCTGGAGCAGTCTGGTGTGATTGTTTCAACAAGTACTATACGGCGCACACTAAACAAAGTGGGGCTTTATGGGCGGAGGCCAAGGAAGACCCCATTGCTGAAGAAAAGACATAAAAAAGAACGCTTGATCTTCGCAAAAGAGAACCTGGACAAACCTCAAGCCTTCTGGGACAATGTTTTATGGACAGATTAAACAAAAGTGGAGCTTTTCGGTAATTCACACAAACAATATGTTTACAGACGGCGCAATGAAGCCTTTAAAGAAAAGAACACCATACCAACAGTCAAGCATGGTGGAGGATCCATAATGCTGTGGGGCTGCTTTGCGGCATCTGGTACTGGAGGGCTTGACCGTATCACAGGTATCATGAAATCAGAAGATTATCAAGCAATTCTAGAGCGAAATGTCTTGCCCAGCGTAAGAAAACTTGGTTTGAGGCGAAGATCCTGGGTCCTCCAGCAAGATAATGACCCAAAGCACACCTCCAAAAACACGCAGGCATGGTTGAAATGGAAAAAATGGACTGTTTTAAAATGGCCAGCAATGAGTCCAGATCTCAATCCAATTGAGAATCTTTGGAGGGTGCTGAAATCTGCCATTGGAGAAAGGAACCCTGCAAATGTACAAGAGCTTGAGCATATTGCAAAAGAAGTGTGGGAGAAAATGCCACCCGAGAAGTGCAAGAAGCTTATAGATGAATATAAGAAACGTTTGGAGGCTGTCATTGCTGCCAAAGGCTGTGCAACCAAATATTAAGGAGGGGTGTCAATATTAGTGCACATGCTGGTTTTCTGTTTTGTCCTTTGCAATTAAAATATTTATGTTGAAATGGCAATTGTCTTTGTTAAATTACTTTGGACCTCAAATTGAAAGATACTGCTGATTTAAGTTTTGAACATTTCCATTTATTTCTGAAGATATTCACTCAGCTATGCAAAACATGAAGGGGTGCCAATAATGTTGAGCAGGACTGTAGCTTTAAAAAAAGTTAAAAAGGTGCCTTACACATTTTACGTCTCCCACTGCGCATTATAGTGCCACTGTTAGTCCGGTCATACCAGAAAATCATTATCCTGGGCCCTAAATCCTTACCCGTTCCACTAATAAATAAAAAAAACATGTAAAAAAACATTACACTGTGAGTTTAGCAGAAAAATGCCAAATGTTAAAGTCAGTGAACGGCTACCTTTAGGATATCTAAAAGACAGGTGTTTGACTTATTATAATGTCAAGCCGAAATGTGTTTAGTAATAATCTTCTTAAAAGACTTTTCAGTAAGTATGATTATTCTGCCAAGTTGTGGTTGGCACCCCGGGGCAGAGAGAAAATGGGGAGACAACATTCGCAGACAGGCAGAAAATCCCTTTGTAGTTGTGTAAGAGAATCCCAGAGCATTAATGTGGCAGACCTGTGTAATCTACCTCTCCTATATAACACAAAGAACCCAGCTGTGTGCAGTATGTTAGGTAATGCTGAACACACTTGTTAAATAATAACACAATTGGGGTATTATGGGTTACATTGTTCCAGTTTCAATGCAAATGGTTGGCAAGTAAACCCATATTCAAGGCTCATAATTCTCATGCAATACTCGGACTGAATATTAAGCAGAAGGTATACATATCTGTACTTGTAGAATTTTCCAAAATAACTTAATTTTGAAAAACAATTAACGTGGCTACGACATTGCATACAATTCTCAAAAGATCTCCGAAGGGGAGACATTTTTTGGGTTGAAAAGTGTGAAAAATGTGTGTTAAAGAAATAGATAAATTGTTTTTTGGTAGATTGTCAGTTAAACCACCATGATGTATTGATGGAATGGGGGGCTTTTTCGTTCAAAACTTACTGAAACTTTTCTCTTTTGTATAATGAGTGTTGCCTTTATCTATGACTGACAGCTAAATATCTTTATTGAAGTTAAAGTTTCAAACTGTCTGCCATCCAGCATCCACTTGGCATTGTAACTCACTGCAATGCATTGCTTTTTGTTTCTTTCCAAAGGCATAGCTTCAGTGCGGTTAACTTTCTCAGAGGAAAAACAAATTCAGCCAACCTTACAGAGAGGTCGCCTCTGCTGAGATTCTCTCAAGATGACAGGTAAGGATTTTGTTGGGCTTCGTAAAGTTATGTTCCATGGTAGTAGGATCCAACTGCAGAAACAAAAAAAACGTCTTTATTAAAGAACACAAATTGTTGCACAAAGGCAACCCAAGAAAGAGAATCTAAAAAAACACAGAAAGTTCAGCCAAAATGAACTGTGAGATCACAAAACAAAGTTTCAACAAAACACACTGCCCATCAGGTTAAAGGGGGGAGGGGGATCAAGACATAAATAAGGTTAGCACTTACTTCCAAACTTTCAAAAGACACATGCTCAGTACCAAATTATCAGATTTATCTGGCTCTGGGAAAATGAACCTTCAAAAACTTAAAGACAGAGCCTGGAACAGGCCACAGGTGTGTGCTAATGGCCACACCTACCAAGATGCCTTCAGGAACAAAACAAAAAACTGGAAAAAACTAAACAAAACAAAAAGTCAGAACATCTATATGTTGAATGCAGCTCAGGCCCACTTTACTGAATCAATAGACAACATTTTTTTTAAGGACATGTAAAAGTACATGCAGAGTACTTGTGTCAATGCAGTCAGTCAGCAGTAACCACATTCATTGACATCTAATACAAAGTTCTTTACAGAACACATTAAACAGTACAAAGGATGTTCAGGATGGATCTAATACCTTGAAATATCTGCGCACATTGCACAGACAACACACTGGATGATTATGCACACGCTTTGTGGTTCTGTGGGTTGGGTTCTGCTGGTAAAACATGGGTTTATGGAGTTTGGGTTACGGTCCTGTGTCTTGTGGGACAGTGCCTGGAGGGGCCAGTGTTCTGCCACTCATGGCTGCAGGTGGCTCCTTTGCACGCATAATTGAGCACAATCTGTGTGAAATCTGGGCTGCGTGTCTCACACACACATGCGCACACACAACCACACACAGACGGTCGTTTACCCAGACAAACACATTGGTATAGGCAGTAATGGAGGAATTGTCTTCACTTAGCAGTGAGCAATGAACTGGTATTTTACAGCCATCTTGTCATCTACATATTTTTGTCTCAGCTATAAAGCAGTCAAATGTTGTGTTTAAATATTTTACCGGATAGTGCATGCATGCTATGAGCATTATTATGTTTATTTAACTGCTAAATTTGTGTGGCCACCATATAACAGATAAATGTTCCCCATCAATTTTAAAACTTAAATGAAATGATGCACAGTTCAATTTTAAACTTTGATTTCTTCAGTAAAGATTTACAAGCTAGCTATTATGATAGCAGTGTGATAGAGAAGGTGACATATCATCTGATAATTAGCTAAATTATAAAAATGAGCCTATTCTGAATAAACCGAACAACGTAAAAGAAAGGGGGTTTGCTAAAAAAAGAAAATAATTGATAAAACAACAATACATGATTGTTTATATCTTATCATTCATTAAAATTCAACATATTTTGTAGTCAATATTGTTAATATGTTTTGAATATGTTAATTATTTTTGTACTGGTCTAAACAATTTTTTATTTATGGATCACTGTGGCTCCTTAATAAAAAATCTGGGTTAATGTATTGATTGTTTTTGAGGAGGCAGTTTCCTGCAACTGAATTAGCTACAACTATTACCTCCAGACAATCCAGACAAAAAGGATAATGTATACCTATTTCTATTCTGGTAGGACTAATAAATAGCTTAACTATTTTAATTGGCATTCAACCTTTTTGATGTCATATTGTAAATGTCAGAGGTGATTCTTTTCCAGTATTACCTACATGACTGTACATGAGCCCAGTTTTGTTGGCGTGGACGAGCCCTGGGACAATGGCTCCCTGGACATCGAGAGACGGTACCGGTTTGGTAGTGAGGTCACAAACCTGTCCCACTCCAACTCCTCTGAGAAGAATGACACCCTGGAGAACCTCAGTAACAGCTTCAGACTCACCAGCAGTGTCAAGTGAGACCTTTTATTTTCTCAATATTTACCGTTTGCATGTTTTTTCCTCTTGTAATTCTCTATTTAATAGGTTAGCACACATTTATCTGGCAAATGGTTGTTTTAAAATCACAAGTATCCAGGTCACTAACATGTTTGGGTTTACACTACTGCATTAAATGTGCTTTTCCTCTCTTTTTAGATGCTGTCTCAGAGCCTCCAAAACTGTCACTATGTTTGCTATTGTTGTTCTCTGCAGTGTAAGTGTGTATACATCTCTGTTAAGACACACACAAGGCAAATCATATTCTAACAAAAACAAGGAGCAATTTCTTTTCAAGTGTTATTATTTACACTCTTTATTCCTATCTAGATATGGCTTATCCAAGTCTTTCAGAAAAAGAAACTGATACCAACCTGTTTTCTGTACATTCAAGCAATACGTAAGATGTGATGAGCTTGGCTTTGGGGAAACAGCTAGCCTGCCTATGGTGACTGTTAAGGAAACATTCACTAGGCATCTTGAATGTTCACGAATGAGAGATGCAACATATATATATATCCCTGCCTCTCCCCAATTGACTACTGTGTTAGGCTATAGCCCCCCCGCAACCCCATTAGGGAATAAGCGCTCACTAAAATGGATGGATGGATGGATCATATATAAAAATACAATATCTAAAAATACAATATATATAAATAATATAAGAATTATGTATAATTTTTCTAATTAAGCTGGAAATGTTTAGGGAAACATCTGAGACTACAACTTCAACTAGGTTATTGACAGAATAGGCATTTTCCAGGATGTTTTAGAAATTCGCCTTATATCAAATACATTCTGAATGACCTTTTTTTTCTGATCTCAGCTGTTCTTTAGTATGTATCCGGATCGAGACAACCCCTGGAGGATGTTGGCAGTCTCTCCAACAGATAGCTTCTGTATCCTTTCCCTTGCATTATCGTGGTTTCACGTTTGATCCTGCCCCAGCGGAGCTGTAATGAAGTCTCAGTCGAGAAGAAAAAAGATTAAATGTGTTGCAGCTTTGTGTGCACGAGCAGGCCATCAGATTCTTGACTAAAAAGAGTCAGCTCCACATTCAACATGCACATTTTTCTCTTAACGATCTCTACCCGTACAGCCATGAATGTGACAGACTTTCGAGACAACGCTCTGCTGAAGCTACAGGTGGCAGGGCCTTTTGCAGCAGGGACGAAAGACATGGCCCCCCAGGAGTACATCCTGATCCAGGTGGAGCAGATAGAGCAGCCAGGACAGCGAAGAAGGAGGACTCAGCAGGCAGGAACTTCTACACTTATTTTTCTCTGTGAAACATTAATGAATGTGAGGGTGAATCATTTATACGTTGCTGTCTGGGAACAGGTCGCCTACAACTGGACTATTCCTCTCCACACCGAACGGAGTGACCAGAGAGTGGTGAAAAAAACCTTTGAGATGGTTAGCAGGTACTCAGAGTTCTCTGATACTGTGCTGATGGACCTAACAATTGTACAAAAACTCATTAGAATTGCAATATTGGGGAATTTGGAAAGATGTACACACAAAAAAGAAACGCCTACACTTTTATGTCCACTTTTTTATCTGTTTTACCAAACTAGGATTCGTGTTTCAGTGGACCACCGTATCTTACAGAACACCTCAACATCACAGTTGCAATCTAATTTTCATCCAGTGAAATTCTGAATTTCAAAGACAATGCTGTTCATGGTAAACAAAGGTTGGGAGCTTACATCAGTTATATCCTTGTGTCTGTCAGTGTCTTTTTTTTCTAAGTCTTTTAGAGCTGTGTGTCAGTTCAGTAACACAAATAGGGATATCTACAAGCACATCAAAATAAAAAAACAAGAAACAATAAGCAACGAATTGTACCAATGTGCAAATAGTACTAGCACAAGTATCACAAGATCTAAGGGTGGGCTACAAACATCAGCTTTATCACCATAGGCATAATTAGATTTAAAAAAGTGAGTTTTTCTTCACTGTGTATACATATACAGTATATATTTTACATATAATTCAATGATTATCTCAAAGATGCCACACTGGATCATAAGACATTTGATAAATTCAGCATTACACACAAAGCATTGGAAACTTTTTTATAGGGGGGGTTCTTAATAAAACATAGGATATATATCACGGTCATTCACATTCTTGTTGAGTACACTCTGTGGCCAGAGCTCTGGTAAAACAGGGCTAGCCGACATGCATTGGAAAAGAAACAGGAGTCACATCATTAATTCCGCCGTGCTGTTTTGTTTCCCGCACAGCGATTCCATCGCCATCACAATTCAGGCCTTCCTGCAGGATAATGAGGTGGTGCCACTGTCCATGACCCACCAATCGCTCTACGTCACTATGGAGACACAGGTGGCCATCGCTGGAGTCATCCTGGCCGGGGTCTACGTGCTCATCATCTTTGAGGTAAATGGCCTGCGATGCTCCTTTGTGGATGATGAATGAGTTTGCATTCAGCACTAGCCACGCGGTTTGAGATGTGTAACACACACAATGCGTACCAGCCCACAAAGACGAACACTTATATCTAATAGGGGTGTGTATGGCACGACGTTTCTGTGGGACGAAGTTTCTTTTATAATGAGAGACCATATTGACTCGTGACAGTGCAAATAAAGGCAGACTCACTTAGGTTGAAGTAGGGCTCATTTCACAACACAGCTTATTTGATGATCATGTTTTTTTTAGTATGGCCCATTCAACAGATTAATTGGAGAGAGGGTTCAGGCATCTTGTTAATGAATTGTCTCTCAGTCAGAAAATAAACCATTTCAAAGTCCCCACGTTTGATCAATTTACACAGCTTGATAGGGTGGATCTACTAAAAACTTTTGTTTCTCCTTCTATCTATTGCTGCAGTACTTCTTGCCAACTTCTGTTTGAAAAGCTCCAGCTGAGGTCCTGTCTCTTTAAGGAACTCATTTAGAAAAAAGTGGCTTTTACATTTTCTCTTATCAGTGGACTGACTGGTCAGACATGAGTGTATGGGAGCCACTGATGTTAGGTAACAGGAAAAAAAAAGCACGGTAACAAGGCATTTCGAGTGGTCTCGGAGCAGTATTTTCTGCTGGAGTGCTTCGACTCCTAGTTGGAGTCTTGTATTTCTTTTTTTCCAACGAGAATTAAAGAGAAAAACCCCGTAAGCACAGTTTGACCTTTTTAAGCTGAATTATGCAACCACACCTCATGACAAAATGTCTAATACCTACATTTCAAAACGCTGCTGTTAAGCATGGCTCTAAAATGGCCCAACGGCTACTATTCCTTGTAAAGACAGTCACACAGCTGAAGTCATGATAACTGAATAAAACAATAGTTTTATTCAGTTTGAGTTGTCTGATGACGCTTGCTTCTGTGTTAAAACACGTGTTCCCCGACTACCCAGATGTGCAGTGATTATTATCACACACTTCCAGATCAGCTTTGAGCTTTAGTTTGACAACTTGCTTTTTTTTTCGAGCATGACATGGTGCAAACTCAATAATCTGTGACAGCAGGGGCAAGAGCGGGATGTGAAAAAAATAAACAAAAAATCAACCTGACAGCAGAGTTACACTCCGAATACTCTCACGCTTGTTGTCCTCGTGCAGTGACTGCAATTGAAAGTTCGAGGGAATGTTTTTGTTGAAGCAGCAAGATGTCATTGGAGTTCAGTCTTATCAGGTTTTCATTTGTAAAAAAAATGTATCCTGTGCAAAAGTTTATAGTATAAAAAAAACTTTCAACATGTCCAGTTAATGAGAGGGGACATGTGCTTTTTTCCACCATTTAAGCCATTGTGATGCTCTGACCGATTTGCCACTGGACACTATTTCTGCTTACTTAAAATGGTCACTTCAGACTAACATTTATGAAGATTTAAATGAAAAGAGCCTGTTCTGGTTTCCTTTCAATCACTCTTGACAAATGATGAGCCTTAAAAAAGGGGCTGCTTTTGTTCTCTTTATTCATTATACGAATAGATTAATTCAGACAAAGATGATTTTTTGACTGTCTGTAGATTGTCTCAGATAGTCTATTATTATTCCTCTCCAGTAATGAGACCCAGTTTAATTTTCCGTAGTTCAGTAAGACATGAATTAAAGACAGTGACTGTCAGAGATAGTGCTGTATTTCTAATGAGAACCAAATTAACATGTATCTAATCTCCCTTAGCTTAATTTAAGATAACAGGATAATGCAAATGAACCAAATTTTTTACTTGCCAGGCTTCTTTGTGTACAACATGCAATTTATGGAACTATTCCTACAACAAAATCAAAGGTCTTACTCAAGTCATAGTTCAGTCAGTAACTTTTTTTTTATTACAGAAATGAACAGTTGAATAATAATTTAGTTGATGTGCTTTCTACTCCATAATGTTATTTTTAGTTTATTTTAGTCACCAGACACAGGAAATTAATTTTACACTTACATTTTCTGACAAAGACAGGCAGTTCTCAGAGTTTCTGCTCCAAATCTAAGTTCTTTGAGAAGACAAAATTAGTCTTTTTTACATTGATGTCTGTAAAATATTTGAGTTAACAAATTACCTTAATCCTATACTGCCCCAAAAATAACAGTTTTCACGATATAATAAAAAAGCCAAACTACAATGATTCTTAAATACTTAATGGGATTGCAGTAATTGCATTAATAGAGAATTAAGTACTACAGGGGCTGCTGTATTTTGTTAGATAAATTGATAAAAAAATAGTACAGAGTTCCACTTGAGGTGCTCTCTGTGTTTGCTGATGAACATCAAGCGTGCCACTTTTCTGCAATTTGTTGCTGCGACTGAAATGCTGAGAGCTCAGCTTTGCTGATTTCACCAGGCTCAAATCTGAATCGTTAGAAGCATCCTCTACGACTCTGTTGATGGAATCTGGTGAAAGGGTGTGATGTTGAAAGCCATTTTGTTTTTTTCCTCCCCTGTAGTATTTCTTTGATGTTCCCCGACATAAACTGACAAAAACATGTCAGATGTTATACAATATGAGTCTACATGACGGTTTCAACTCGTTTTCTGATGCTACATTTAAATTGGTATCTTTTGAGTCACTGTAACTATAAACAGAATAGATATTACATTTTCAACAATACTGTACTTTATGTACCATTCTGATTTGAACTTTTTTTTTTTAACAGAAACTATAGCAAGCAGAATTATCATGCTAAATTTGATTTTAGGATTATATTAGTTGCGAAACATTTGATTAAACAACATTGGCCTTTCTTCTTTGGTACTGTATGAAATACATTTGATTTCAGAAGTGGTTGAACAGATAAACAGCTGTAGCTTTGCAAATGAGTAATTTCTCTCAATTTCATAAAACACCATGTGCAAATAATTAAACTATATATTACATCTTTAAGAGTTGCATTTTTTCTTATATCTGCAGTTATGTTTAACAACGTTCCCTTTGAATTTCAGATTGTGCACCGCACTCTGGCTGCCATGCTGGGATCATTAGCTGCCTTAGCTGCACTGGCTATTATTGGTGATGTAAGTATTACTCAAATGGCAAATCAATAACCAACAACATCTTGGCTTATCTATGACACATATTTCTTAAAAGTTCATTTTCTTTTTTTCCTTTGAGTTTTGAAAAGTCAAATTGGCTTCCTGATGCCATGAACCTATGAAAACATTCCAGATTCAGCAATATACACTTGCCTTTAACTAACTAGGCGTATGCGAGCAGATGTAGGCAAGTTTACTGACTTTCCTGAGGCCTTAATGAAATGTTGTTGTCATACTTAGGTCAAAATAAAACAGATTTTACAGATAATTTCAGTGCAGCATGTTTAATAAGATGATGTGAGCCACTGGGACAAAAAATGGACACAAATTAGTGTTGATAAATCCATAAACTTGTTATTACCATTTGAAAGAGCACATAGTACAAAGCCGTAGAGCTAAAAGCAGCACAAGTAGCACAAACACATTGATATAATAGCATGTGTTGATCTGATACATGTAGCTCAAACATTGATAAAAGGACACGCTGAAACAAAATATCGGCTTGTTGGAAGGTAAAAGCTCCAATGGAAAAAAAAGCTCAATAAATATACTTTGAGGAAAAGAAAGGGTGTATTCTTCTATCAGTTTCAAGAACACCTGAGCTCTATTGACTTGGTCTGCCCCAAAGAAAAGACTCAAACTTTCTCACCAAGGTCTTTATTTATTCATTTAAAAATCAAGTTTACAGTATTTACAACATAAGTTTATGCCCATCTTAATAAAGATCACGAGAAACTTTCTCAGAGAGTATTTCATCAGATGCATACATAACGTTCATGGTGAAATTGTAATCTTACCATCTTCCACCATAAGCACAGGTATTGTCGATAACATTTTGTATCACTTATTGTTTAGCAGTATAAAGCCTTGTTCTGTAACACTGTGGCACAGATCAGTGTCTGCATCACTGCTTGTGCCTGTGTTTGTCCTGTGACATGTTATCTCTGGAGAAGATTTATTACATCCAAAGCTAGGATCGGGGCAAGAGAGGACCTATCTCGTAGTTGTGTGGTAACACTGCTACATTTAAGAAACTTCCTCAGAAGATAACAATGACCAATCTCTGCTCATGTATTTGATGCCAATTCGTTATCATCATAATTACTGCTACTTTGCTCTCACACCGAGGATTATTGTTAATAATTCTAAGTCATGTGGTCCATCTTTGCCTTACAGAGACCCAGTCTGGTGACTGTTGTGGAGTGGATCGACTATGAGACACTTGCTCTTCTTTTTGGCATGGTGAGTGGGTCAGTGACTTTCTAACAAAGAAATGCACGTGTTCTAGCCATTGCTTCAGGTTTTGAATTCTTTTTAAAATGTAAGTAAAATTAAACTAGTCCACCTCATCACTAAGATGTGACCGTTAAACTTAACTTTCATGTCAATGCTCAATAATGTTGTCTTTTGCTGCCCCTGTTATTTTCACCATCTCCTTTGTGAACAGCTCCATCATCTGTACTGACTTGTTTTAAAAACCAGGTTGTCACATAATCTCATCACATGATAGGATTTTTTTTCTCAAAACAAATATAACCTGTTTCTCACAGATGGTGCTGGTGGCAATTTTTTCAGAGACGGGCTTCTTTGATTATTGTGCTGTGAAGGTGAGTTGACTGAATACTTGCTAGATTACGCTGTATTTGATGATAGTTTGAGATAATCTGACATTTTAGTGCATGAAGCCTGTGCACGCTGCACAGAATGGTCTGTTTACATTTACAATTTGACATGTGGGAATGCAGAGTGGCACGTAAAACTCAAGTTGAATTGTATAATTGAGCAAAGGGAGAAGACAAGAGGGTGGTGGAGAACGACAGATACCTTGTTGTTTGCCTGGACAGCAGATAAAACCATAGATTGGAAGCTCTTTCTCTAGACTGTAGGTCTACAGAAGGGATAGGCTTAGGTTCTTATGCTGGAACCTTCTCCATGAGCCTTTTCAGGCTGATTCTGCAGGAAATAACAGACAGATAACACTGTTCACATTGTACACAAGACCAGATTAAGTCATTCGGAGGAAGAATGTGATTCAATACCTAAAGTATGCATTAATTCAAAAGTAGACAAGTCATCCTGGTGTTTATGTGTTCAGGTAAGGCCTATTGCTTTAACGAGTTGTTTTCCTAAGATTTAATGGATAAACAGAGCCATCAGCAGCATAAGATGGAATTCTCTATCAGACTCTGATAATAAAATGAAGGCCAAAGGATGCTTGCATAGAGTAGAACAGAACTCTGTGCTATGTGTTGAGGACACACGTGTCAGTGTTATCAAATTAAGTTCAGGAAACTTGGGTTTTCCTTCTCTATTTTTTCTTAAATTTCCTATTTTCTTTGTACAAGTTAATTTTCACAAAACCACCAGTGGTGAGGGTGATGGGATGGATCCAAAATGCAAGGGAGGGAACATGGGGGCAAACCAAAGTGATTCTGAAACTCTAAGATTTATTTAGAAGAGGATAACAAAAGGCACAGTCACAGCTTGAATACAAAAGAACAAACAAAAACAAAAAAAAGATTCCACTAAACTCAGAAATAACCCAAAACGTAGGAACAAAAGATCATACCTGAAGACAGGGGCGACAAAACCAGGGTCAGCCACATGGTGAGTGGACATCAAAGATCTCACAAAGGACTGAGAAACCTTTATTGAGGGGATTGTGATTAGCTGGTTGAAAGCAGGTGACACGGGGAACAGAGGTGAGGTGAGGTGAGTTAATGACCGGAACAGGAGGGAACTGAGGGACAGGAAGTAAACTGAGAGACAGAAGGGGAAAACACAGCAAACCGAGAAAGATACTAGAATAAAACTTGAGACACAGGGAAACCAGAAACCAAGACAGACATCATACTAACAGCAAGGCAAACACAAGAAACAACACAATTTACAAGAAACCAAAAACTTTACAGTATACTAGAATAAAACACAAGAAACAAAAACATTAGAGAACAGAACTAGGAACTCAGAAACAAAACTCCTAACAAAGCCCAGCTCTTGACATTAATAGATATAATCTTGACTCTGCTACTTATTATCCTATGTGATGTATTTCAGTATGTGAATTTATTTCTATTTGCAGTTAGTGATACGGATGACCTATTTTTAGTATTAATATCTGTTACAAAGCCACAGAGGCGGTTGAGGTTGAATGGTAGCTGTTGACAGCAAATGAGGGTGAAGCTAACTTTCAGTCACAGTCAGACATGAAGAACAACGATCTCATGCAGGTTTATGAATTTTAAGTGTACGTGAGACATGTGAACTCCAGATTAAAATATGCTCAAAGAGTAGAGCTGAGTTACTTCCAAACGTTGAGCTTTTAACACACACACACACACAAAAAAGCGACCATCCCTACCAGTTATTACCTTAGGGTGTAACATTAACATTAAAGGTTTTATTAAAAATCTGGGAACAGAAACACTAATTGTACTTTCGATGATCTACTAAGAACTGCAAATGATAAATGATAATGATTTCTTAGACTTGTTCACTTTAACTTTCAAATCCTTTCTCTGAAATGATTAAGATACTTTAACCTTCTCTCATCATTATATTTTCTCCAGGCTTACCAATTATCGAGGGGAAGAGTGTGGCCCATGATCATCATCCTCTGTCTGATAGCCGCCATCCTGTCTGCTTTTTTGGATAATGTGACCACTATGATGCTTTTCACCCCTGTCACCATAAGGTAAAGCACATGAAAAACAAACTGAAGTGTTAGTTTGTTTCAGTATTTGAGCTTGGTGTGTGTTATTTGGGGAGGTGTGGTGGTTTGATGGTTAGCGCTGTTTCCTGGTTCGAAACCCTGGAGTACTGGGGGGGCTTTTTTTGTGGAGTTTGCATGCATTCCCTTTATCTGGGTCAGTACCCTTCGGGTACTCTGGGCTCCTTCCACTGTCAAAATCCAAAAATGTGCATGTTAGTGTAATTGAACACACAGTAAATTGTCCTTAGGAGTGAATGTGAGTGTGTCTGGTTGTTTGTCTAAGTGTGGCACTGCGATGAACTGGAAACCTGTATAGATAATGGATAGATGCTGTGTTTTTCTTTTTTTTTTTTTAAATAAATCTGAATACATCAATGTTCAGATAAATACCCCACCAACAAAACAGAGTGTAAAGTAGTGCGCTCTTAAAAATCCACTGAGATGCAGTCATAATGTAGCACCAACTGATTTTTCGAACATGAATTTGCTGCCAAAACAGCATTATGCAGATGATTTAACTGAGTTTTTATTCTGATTTTAAACTAGTAACCCACACAACACAGATCTGGCCTAACCGGTGCCCTAGTTCTTTCTGTGCGTGGACGCCCCTCACTGCTGTGACGTTCGAGGGACTAATGCTTTCATCTTCGAATATCCTTTTTTATTTTTCCGTGTTCATGTCCCGATGCAATCTAATCAAGGGGTTATTCGGTCTCTATCTGATTTTGCAGGTTGTGCGAGGTGCTTAATCTAGACCCCAGACATGTCCTGATTGCAGAAGTAATCTTCACCAACATCGGAGGGGCCGCCACAGCTGTCGGAGATCCGCCCAACGTGATTATAGTGTCCAACCAGGGGCTGCGCAAAGAAGTAGGCATTTTACGAAAGCTTCCCGCTTAAACATGCACCCATGCAGTGTAACAGTCCAGCTTAGTCTAATTTTACACATGAGCTAAACACCCAGCAAATCCAAACACAATGTACTTCTGTGTGTGTCCCTCTATGGTCTAGGAAATACTCGTTTGCGAATAGCAAATGATAAATCCATAAACTGACCCAGTAAAATGTTTTGCAAACCTGAAGTTATAAAAAAAAAAACATTTTAGGTCTGAAAGGACTCCAAAAATCATTAGCGACAGTTACTATTGTGTAGATGAGATGTTGTATCTTGCAGCTTTAGTGCAGCTTTTATCTGCCCTTTCTGATCATCTGCGGTTGTTAGTGAACAAAGAACATGAAATGGGACACTGACACAGATCTGAAGATTATTGGGGCTGTGGGGCTGTTTAGGTTCCCGCCTCCGAAAATGAATTCATGTCACTTTCAGTAAGCCACATTATGCTTTGTATCCACCTCTGATCAAGCCCCTCGCAAACTGCTCCCAAAATGGCTGACAATTCTCAGATGTAGATTTTTAAAGATGTAACTTGATGACATAACTGCAGAAGCAAGTCCATTACGTGTGCCATGAGACTTGTTCTTGCCAAGAATATGCACTTTTGGTGACAAGGAGCTAAAACTGTCTCAACAGCAATGTATAGTGTATAATACAGAATAAAAAAAAACAACTTTAAAGCAGTGAATGCAATTCTGTTTTAACTTTTCTTTTGACGTCTGACAAATGTACCTCTTTATTAGACTCTAGAATTATTTGGCTTAGAAAGGAATTCATGATGGACACAACCATGTTATATCATAAACCCTTTGCCGACATGCTTCATAACTGGCACGTTATCTGTGCTCACATGCAATAGTTTCTTTTAGAACATTGCTAATGTCTTTCCACCATGGCATTATTTTGATACACACATTTCAATGCTGCTTACCCTCTTAATTTTTACAGATGCAAAAGGTTTATGTTTGCATTTTCCACTCATAGCATCTGCATTTTGACTTACTTTTTGTTAAATAAATAATGGTAGCGTGTCAGTGAGCGCCTATCATTATAAGGACGCCTCTTTTCATATGACTTTGTTTAATCCACTTGAATATAAGCATTATATAAATGCTTTATAAGATTTTACCTCAATGTGGCACAGGTTAGTGGGGCCCTTTATAACTTTTAAGGGAAGCCCTGTCTTTATGACTAGCCTCCGATTAGAGGAAATAATGTCACTAATGCACTTATATTTGAAACGATGTAATGAATACGCAGCTTTTCGCCAACAGACTTTCAAGAATGTTTCCCTTCTTTCAGATATTTGTTATAACCATGCTGAGGCAGGTACCGACTTTTATTTGCTGTTAAAAGACTTAAAATCCACTGGAATGTCAAATTTATGTCTTTTCCACAAAACTAGATGTGTTATGATACTAACTCGGCTCAGACTTAGTGACTCCATAATACTAATTGGGTCATCGTAGTTTGAAATCTGTTTGGACAAAAGTTGTTCTTTTCTCCATCAGTTTAACAGAGATAATGGTGGAACTTTGTCCCTGTCTGAAAAAGGCCACAGATTTGTCGGCTCTTTTTTAAAATGATCTTCTGTCTCTTGATACTTTACGAGGGACATTGTGCCACATTTCTCTAACACATGACATTTTCCCAACTGCTCGATGTGGCATCTGCACAGTGCATGTGACATTTTAGCCTTTGCGCGTGCAGCGGTATAGGGTCCGGTGTTCAGTATCTCCTACCACAGCAGCTTTTCATGGCTGGCAGTACAGCTTTTTTTTTTTTTTTCCTTCTCTGGTTCCATTTCCTTGGTGACGGAGCTGCAGGAACAAAGCAGTGATGCAGTCACTCGATTATGTCTGGCCTCTGATAAGCACAGCTTGTGTGTGCATGCATGATTTATTTATCTGTCGGTTTGCCCGCTTCTTTGAGCCAAGGGGGAATTTCGGGGGGCGAATGCAGAGATCCGACAGCCTGGCACTGAAGTCAACTCGTTGTTCAATTACAGGGCCCTTGTCTTTGACCGAGTGACACATCTAGAACCTATGCCTGGTTTTCGTGTCTTTTGTGACACGCTCTCTTTGTCAAATTAAACCCCTCCGACTATGGACTCACCAGGGGGGCTTTGTTTTTGGCTGCAGACATACATTTACAGGCATAAACATTACAGCTCTTCAGCTCTCAGTTTTGCTTTATTTCATATGGCAGCTGTTTTACGATGCACCACATACTTTTGTTTAGAAAGTTTGAGTTTGTCCCTTTCATGCCAGGATTATCCACAAAATGTGAGAGTTTTTTTAAATGGGAAGTTTACGCAAACATTTATCTAGAGTTCAGGAATGTTCCCTGAGATGGAGGTGTACAAGCATTTTGCGTGTAATCTCGCCATGCCCTCTAGTTTTTTTTTTTTTGTATACAACTTTAGATCCTGTAGAGGTCACTGTTACCCATTAATATCTTCAAAGGTCTGCAGTTTTATTCTTCATCCTGAGCATTTATGACAAGTAAAAGCATCACAGATCACTCAGTATAGTTTTTTTCTCATTTGAAACTATATGTTGCGGAATTAATATTGTACAAGGAAGCATTCCCATTGATGTATCGGACAAAATGGTGTTCTGGACAAGCTTAGCCAGAGGGTCTAATTTCTTAATCATGCAGAAATAATGTGCACTGTGCTAAGCAGAAATTGGGCAAATCTGCAAAAACCTTCAAGATGCAGTAATATGTGAAATAATTGAATTATTGTACTCTATGGGGACACAACACTACTTAATCCAGAAGAACCTAGACTGATTTTTCTTCAGATTAAAATAATACGGAATAGAAACCTGGGCAAGTGGACCCCGTATATAGCATAAAGATAAAAGAATCAGGGGCTACCAACAAATATCAAGAATCTATAAGGTTCCACAGCCTAAATGGCCATATTTAATATATTCAGTCTGGTTTACATAGTTTGTTCCACCTGAGTAATTTTGGGTTTCATATAGTTTAAGGTTGCTGATACATAATTTTTTATTGCCTAATTAAAATAGTGACATTACTTACTTACAGTCAAATCACAGATCAGCCAAAATGTACAAACGCAAGGTTTAGTTTGTTTAATACTATTTGCGAGTAAAAGATTCCTGTAATTGCTCCAAACGGAACATATTATAAGCTATTTTCTCACCAGAGCCTGTGATTTGTGCTCTGTGTCTTGCAGGGGATCGATTTTGCCAGTTTCACAGGCTACATGTTTCTTGGAATATGCCTCGTTCTTCTCACCTCATTTCCCTTCCTGCGGATGCTCTACTGGAATAAGAAACTTTACAACAAAGAGTCCATCGAGATCGTTGGTGAGCAATGGTGTTTGAGCCCAGTATATTTAAAAGAAATCGATGAGTAAAGACATATATTTTTTCTATATTTGAATAAGGTTTTGTATATATCCATTAGGCCGTACTGTACTTCAACAGTGTTTGCTAATGGTGACTTAAATGACAATGGTGCTGAAAATCGGGCTAAAACAAGGGATTAGCAGTAGCCTGGAAACTGAAAATGTATTAGCACGTTGAAAACAATCGGTCATACACCACAGTGACCTCAGCCCTTGTCTTATCTCAATTTTTGAATCACGAATGGCTGTTGAGAAGCTGTCCATCTGTTTGATGCAGTGAATAAGGTCAATACTTCAAGTGGAAGTTTTTTGCCTTACTTAAAATTCTTTGTGACCCTCATAATGACAAACGAACTCTGGCATTGTTAATTGGGGTGAAATGCATTTTGCATCATTCACTGGCTCACCCCCCCCACCCCCCTGAGTGTCTAGAGATTCACCCAGTGCCTCAGAAACAACATAGCTTCATCTCAGAGGACCCCTTCAGTTGTTGGCTTTGACTAGTTTGCAGTTGAAATAAAAAAAAAAAGACCATCCTGTGAGTTCCCTCAGAGCAGCATGGGACTACTTTCTCCTCTAATTGTGCTGTTGTATGCTTTTTTTAATCTGGTTCACCATCCCTTTTATGTATCTCCTTAATTGTCTCACAAATGAAAAGAAAATGATTCTCCCTGAGGGCATGGCACATTGTCCAGGGGCAGGGGGAGGATCATTTAAAAAATACCTACAGTACACCCACAAGATGTGCGTGGTTAAGAGAAGAATTATTTTCGTCCTCAACGCCAGAATCTATTTGGTTCCATTGGAGATCTCAGCGTTTCGGGGCCTGGGGTCAGAGATAATGGCGGAAATATTAAAACAAAAGATAGTTTGAACAACTGATGCTGGGGGGACAGTAGTCTTGTTAGTGTTTTATTCACAACACTGGTTTTCCCCCTCTGATCGGCCCTCGCTGAGGGATCGTTAAAACGGAGGACGGTAAGCTCCTCAGTGGTCACTTCACATCTCCCATTGAGGACTGGTCGGTTGCAGTTCTGTCACACTGAGCTCCAGACAGGCTTAAGGAAGCATCGACGACCACTGCAGGCCCAAGTAATTCCATCCCTGTGGAGCTACTGTTCTGGCCTATACAGCATTGTTTCGAAACAGGTTTTAAACCCCCTGCCATTTCCCGGTAATTGCGCTGATTTGCTTACAGGAACGTTTTGTTTTTTTCTACCCTTCAAGTTAGATCTCATTATGGTCACCTAGCAACCTTCTATAAAAAGCGTGACTCCTACTGATATACCCACATAAGGGTCCAGCACCCTTAGGGTTTATCTCTGTCTCAACATTGGCTGTTCCTGAGTTGGTCAATGTGCTTTTTTTGTGGCTGCATTAGTCCCTCTGCGGGGGCTCATGCAGCATATTGACCACCAGCGCCATTATATCATCCGGTCAGCCTCAGCTACAGGGGGGGATTGTCAAAGAAATGAGCGGAATTTTGTTCTTCGTCTTCCTCAGTGTAAATGTTGAATCGTCTCTGGGTTTGACACACGCTAAAGAGATTTGTTTGTGTTGCTCCTGCAGAACTCAAACACGAGATCCTGGTTTGGAGGCAAACGGCCCAGCGTATTAACCCCGCCAGCCGAGAGGAGACAGCTGTGAAATGCCTTCTGATGCAAAAAGTGCTCACTTTGGAAAATCTGCTCCGCAAGATGATGAAAACATTCCAAAGGTCCAACAGAATAGAAGTGTCAATTGATATATCAGCCATTGTTGAAATTGGTTTTATCCAGTCCCACAATATCTTTCTGTTTTTAATGGATTTAGCTGACTTTTCTTAAAGCAACTGGCAAACTTTGTCAGTCTTCTGAATGAGACAGGGTGATCACATGTACAGTTAGACTGTTATACGAGATAAAGAAGGTTGGTTTTTATAGTTTATTACACAGGAAAGAAGGTGTAAGTCTCAGTAATTCTTAAGTGAAGTTTCATTGCTTTTGGTAGTGCTACACAAAGTCTGAATGGTGAGAAATACCATAGCATACAAAGATATGTTACCGTATCGTTATCGACATTAACAGAGGAAACGTTCTCCCGTGATTGGTTTCTGCTCATTAACCAATGTAAAATGTTCTGTGTGACAGACAAATTTCTCAAGAGGACAAAAACTGGGAGCAAAACATTCAAGAGCTGCAAAAGAAGGTAGGCTTTGATTCTTCAGCTCAGACTCAGTCCCCACTAATAAGCACGGCGCATTGATGATATCTCAGTAATGAGGCTGGCTGAGTCTTTGAGAGTTCACTTAAAGCAAACGTTATCAGATTAAATCACCTTTTCACAAATACGAAAGAATATATAGATAAATATATATTTTTTTATTGCTTCCACAGCACAGGATAACTGACAAGGTCCTCTTGGTGAAGTGTGCGTCCGTCCTTTGTGTGGTGATCTTCGTGTTCTTTCTCAACTCGTTTATTCCCAGCATCCATCTTGATCTCGGTAAGCACAACGTCACGCACAACTTTGTTGGAACTCTTCCAAGTTAGTTTAAATAGTTCTTTAAAACATCCCATCTGAAGTCTGGCAGAGGATATGTACACACACACACACACACACACACAGACACACACATACACACACGTATATATATATATATATATATACCAGAATGAGTATGGAAAGGAACAATTCAGTGAACAAGTTAGTTTTGTGTTGCACAAGTAGATAATAAGAGAGGAAATAATCTTTAGTACTAATAAATCACAAACAAAGGCATTACAGGAAATAAATCAGAACATTATTATCACATAAATATAACTGAAAAAAGGATTTGGTTAGTCATAGTATTGCTTCTGGATTTGGCCTCTATCTGTTAATGTGGCATGCAAAATAACTTTTAAAAAATATAGCAGTTTTATGGTTTAATATAAAAAAAAAACTGAGAAGAGTAAGTTAGATTACTCATTAGTGATACAATAACCTTTATTCCTTGAAATGTCTCATTGGGAGGTGATAGGCTTAATCAATTACTAATGAAATAAAGCTTTATCTGAATATGTGCTCTTGATGAGTGCAAACACAAAATTAAATACACAACCTTTCTGTATTTTAGCGATGATTCATCTGTCTTTGTTTTATCTAAGGGGCTTGATGTCTACTGTATTCTCGTTTATTATCATAGTACATTATCACACCATATTCCAGAGGAAAAAAAAGTTGTTTTACTCTTGGAGTTCTGTTTCTGGTTCAATTCTTTTAAAATCTATTTTCATGTTCAACAAAAACTCAGCAGGATTCCAATAAATTATTGATTGGAGATCATTCCAAATTTCAGGTCTTTATACTGAACGGACTAGCAACAGAATAAATTACGGCTTCATGCTGGTTTTGCTATTCATGACAAATTGCAGTTGTGTGTTGGTATCCAGTACAAAAAAAAAAAAAAGACATTAAACTGTTTCTGGGGTTGTTGTGATGAGGGGAGCTGACATGTTAGAAATTCCACTCCACACTCGAGTATGATAATGACTGTTACTTTTCAACCCGGGATGACGTTGTCGTGCCACTAACATGTCAGCATGTGGTTCAGGCCGGGGGTTTAAATCTTATCTGTCTGACACTGACTGTAGTTTAGTGTGCGCTCGGAAAATGACCTAAACTGCATCTCATTAGCTCGGATGGCTGTCGACAAGCACCTCCCTGCGAGCGCGCGCCGTCGCCAGCCGTGCTCAGTTAATTACAGACACCGATCAGGTTACCTCCCTGTGACATTTTATTAAATGGGAATGACCCCGCAGCAGCTTGTTTTCTGTCCCACCGGAGGGAGCGGCCATTAATGTATGCGGGTCAGAGCCAGAGTTGACTGCAGCTGCAAGCCAAGTCCACCCATCCATTGCGGTTTTAAAAAGCGAGCCTCATTAAAATTTCATTAACTTCACATGACGTGATTTAATTGCGGTTTGATTATTGCCTCGTCGTTTGTTCCTTCCACTGCGTCTGTACAACTGTAGTTAAGATTAAGACATTTTCTCCCCTCAAGGAAATCAGGAGAGCTTTAGAGGTAAGGGTCAATAAATAAAAAAGTCAAAAGAAAGAGGAGATCTTAATTTTCTTTGGATTTTTTCATAAACTGCTCTGTATGTTTCCTAACAGAAAAAGAGTAGTATTGAAAATCAATGAGGACAAGGTACTCGAAAACATCCCTCACTTTGAATTTTCTCGGCTTGCCCCTCGATAACTTTGTTTCTGTCTGTTACAATCCTTTTTTATTTACAGTACATTTCTTTGTACCAGACGCCACTGTCTTGGCTGGTAGATAAATCCATCACAAACAGCCCACACTTGCCCAAGAGCTGGATTTAATTGGAGCACTCTCCAGGTTTGATGCCCGCTCTTGGCTCCTGGTTGTGCACAGGAGGTACATTACGAGGATTTATGACCATAGCAAGGAAATCAAAAAATGTCCTTTGTGTCACTTGAGATTTCCTCAGAACCGTGCAAATGTTTAAGATGAAAGAACTTACAAGAGGAAGTTCAACATGACAATTTGCCTGTAATGTTTATTCGATAGGTTGTTTATATCATACAAAATTGGCTTTACACAAATAACTACAGATTTCATCTGTCAGACAAAGAGGTCATGGCAGTGTGGTCGAAATACATTTTTGTTGTTGTTTTCCCTATTTTAATCCCATGTTGACCCTCTTCGAGCTGCACCTCAGCCTATAAAATGATGAAAAACCTTATCAGATGCTGTGGCGGTGGCTTCATATCTCCCCCATAGAAAGGTGTTAATATACTCTGACCTCACAGCAGGAAGTTCGTTGTGGTTTCCGGGGTTTCGACATAAACATTGCATTTTTTTAGTTGTCTGTGAAGCCAATAGTGTATGAATGCACGTGGCAGTGTGCCAAAGCTCTGGGATACAATCACTATGAGTCAATGGAATATTAGAAACATTTTCTCTGAGTTCCTCTGGACATCACAGCTGAAAATCTGATTTTATATTCAGTATCGTATGGTCACGATAAGGACAATGCTTCTGGAAGAATGAGATAGTCAGTCAGCCTTTGAAAGCTTTAAAAAAGTGAGACAAGGACATTTTATAATCTTTTATAGTTTTAGCTCTTATCCCTCATTGTTTCAGCGTGTTCTGACTTGTTCTTTTAGGGACTAAAGCTTCAGTCCTACTCTCATTGGCTTAGTTTCCAGGGACAGGAGGCAGTTGGGATTGGACGTCTGCCCAAAAGCAAATGACAGGCGCAGTAAGCAGCTACTTGATAAATGTGACATTTAGCTGCCAGGGGTTCAGGCAGACCCAAACTCAGCCAGTGTTTTAGGTAAATGGTCTTAAAAATGTCCTAAAACGAATATCAACGCTGCTCTATGGATACTAGAGGGATGATGGTGTATTATTTTACAAGCAGTCACAGTAACCTTGGCAGGTAATGGAGCTATTCTCTCATTTTGCCAGAAGACAAACAAACAAAACAAAATAAAACGGATGTTTAAACAACAAAAATCAGAATATGTAAAAAAAAAATAGCAAGCTACCTGCCCAGTGCACAATGGGACATATACAAAACATCCAACTCTCATATGGATAAATATTACAAGATTTACTTTCTCTCTCTCAGGAAATTTGCATTACCTCAGACAAAAGTCTTGTTTTTGTGTTGGCTGTGTGTCCAATGCCTTTCCCTTTTGTCACCATTTTTTGTGGATGGTATCATCAAACCTTTCTCATGCGCTACTTTGTAATTTGCTTTTACATAGCTTTTCGGAGAAACCTTTTGGGGCCTGAGCGTTCCATATTTGTTTTAGTCCATAGATTTATATTTAATTTGAACTCCATACATCCATCCATATATGGATCGATCCATTCATCCGATTATTAATAAAGACAAGCTGTTCTAAATTAGATAAGAATAAAGATTAGGTGACAAACATTTGGGAAGAGAGAGAGAGAAAGAGAGAGAGAGAGAGAGGGGGGGTACAAATGCTAAAATCCTTCCACAAATGGAAAAGTGTTGTTTTTATAGATTGGAAGCAACTTGGCAGATGGTGCAGGTAATACAAAAAATCTCTTTCAATAAACATGGTGGGAATGAAAAATCTACTGGCACAAGTTAGGGCACATCATCAGTCACACATCCTGAGGTCACTGGGTTTTTGAGATCAGGAGTAAGAGTTGTTCCTAAGCCATATCTCTGTGAAGAAAACATATTGCCTTATGCTGCACCCCTTGTTAAGGCTCCAAACTCATCCTTTTTCTGTGGCAGTGATCTCTACCTTCTCATTATGAGGTTGCTTCCACAACTTCTCCTTTTCAGTCTTGTTTTGGACTCCGGAAATTGATGATTTCCGGTATTGCTGGACGTTGGAAAATGTAATGAACGTGCTTAGCTGCTTGTAGACATCATCCCAGCAGCAAAACATTTGAACCAGAGTAGTGAGTGTGTTGCAAAAATCTTTTTAAAAGCCTAAATACTACCAAGCCTATAGAGGGTCAGGGTTCAGACATTCAACAAATCGAGTCTCTCCCTGTAGTCCTGTTAAATAGCCAAGTCAGTTCTAGCTTAGAAACTTGGAAATTCTTAGAAAGAATAGTTCAACAGGTTGCGAGCATGGAAACACGCTGTAAAGCTAAGCTACCAACCTTTATGAATATGATTTACCCTCTCTTACTCACTTTTTCAAGCTTTTTCTGTTGCTCTTTCCTTTCAAATTCCCTTCAGTTGGGACATTATTTCACCAAAGCTCTCAGGCCAAGTCTATTACTCATGCTCAGCTGTTTAATCAACATTTCTCACAGTGGTTGCACATTGCCTCACACTCAAGAACACTCATGTCCAAATATCAACAGGCCAGAGCCTTGATATGACTTTTGTCCTCCAGACTGGAGGACGTGGAATTGCGTTTGGTTTCTGATTAATATTACTTGAGGAAAAACAATTAATAGTTTCAGACAAGTAATGCCTTATGCTATGATATATTTACTGGTGGAAAAATGAAATGGCAAATGTTCTGTACGTCAGGATCATGTTTCTGGCTAATGTAACAAGGAGCAATTGACCATTTTAGGTAGATGTCATTTGATGTAGACTTCTGGTAATTTTTCTTTCGGTAACCATTAATGTCTTTATTTTATTGAATTGATTACAGCTATTTATTCATTGAAATTCTTTTACTATATCCTTATTTGTGGCAAACTGTCTTCGTATCATAAAATCAGTGCACATCAATCGATTCGTTGTTTGAAAAATGTATTTTTTTCCTGTAAAAAGATTGTTTGATGATTCTTTGTCTGTCTCTCTCAGGTTGGATTGCCATCCTGGGTGCACTCTGGCTTTTGGTTCTGGCTGACATACAAGATTTTGAGATCATCCTGCATCGGGTGGAGTGGGCCACGTTGCTGTTTTTTGCTGGCCTCTTTGTGTTGATGGAGGTATTTGACTGAAAAAAACATTTTACAGAAAGTCTGTTTATATCGTTTTTTTTTCAAGAGTTTTGGACTGAAAAGCAAGCAGAGGAGACTAAAAACGGATACTTTTCTTTTTTTAATTCATCCAATTCAGAAAAAACTTATCTTGATCTGCGATAAATGTCTGTTTAGCTGAGATCTAAAGACAATCTGGATCACGTAATACATCTGCTGACATCATAAGAGGCAGTGAAAGAAATCCATGTTGGCAGTGAGCTTAGATGTTATTGAACATTTTAACACTGCTTAAAGCAGATATTCCTCCTTATAAATATAATATCTTCTTTATAAGATGAAGAAGAAATTTGTTTGTTACCCATGAGACTGGAGGTGGATATGAGCAAAACTATCCATTGTAAGCATTAAACTGTATAGTGTGAGAAATTCCAATTATATGTGGACACCTATTTTCTTTGTTTTTCTTTTTTTTTTACACTTCCCAGTTTCAGGTGTATTAACTAGAATATGTCTGAAAGGATCCCCATTGAAAATTTCTGTCCTGATTTTTTTTTTCCTTATTGATTTCCCTCCTTTTCATTTTTCAGGCTTTGGCCCAGCTGCAGCTTATCGACTATATAGGAGAGCAGACAGCGCTGCTTATAAAAGTGAGTTTTTTCCCCTGATTCCCAGGCCCGACTGTCATCCCCTCAGCTTTTCACGCCGCTGACGTAATTGATAATTGGGCACAGGTGACATGGCATCACATTTCATGCATATTGATCCTTTGGGCTCTACACGGCTGAATTCTTTTTATTTTGTTTACGTCTGATTCCTAATGGTGACTTGGGGGGGGGGGGGTCTCGGGTCATTTCCAGCCATATTCTTGCCTCGGTGAGCTGTCTCTTAGCAGAGAAATGCCCCGCTAATAGGCGTGTCAGCTTATGTTTAGACAGTAGTCCTGCATGGGACTAATAATCACACATGACAGGCGGCGTGCTATTCTAGATTCATGACTTACTCGGTGTTCCCAAACAATAGATTGCATGCTGAGAAGGAGTGGATGGCCTTCCCCTTTTTGACAGGTGAAAAGAGGAGATGATGTTTTCTTTAACCTGCACGTGAATGCTGTTTATCAAAAGTGCTCACTGCCACATGTGGAGAATTGACGGGGTTCTGAAGATAAAATTCAGACGCACCACCGATGGGGCTTGTCATCAAACTTCATTATTCAAATCAGGGGCCGAAGGAGGTCCAGCTTGTGTATGTGAGAGTCGGTTATTTGTTATTTGTCTCTCAGGCGGTGCCAGAAGACCAGCGCCTGGCTATAGCCATTATTCTGGTGATGTGGGTGTCAGCTCTGGCTTCCTCTCTCATTGACAACATTCCCTTCACTGCCACCATGGTAAGAGCATCATTTCAAACTTTATGTTGACCATGTAAAGAGAAAGGTACTGTTTTACGAGAAACTAAAGAATCCGTCAAAGTATTTTGACTTGAGAACCCCTAAGAGCAAAACCTGCAAAAGAGGATTTTTAAATATTTTTTATAGGCTTTTGAGGTAAGAAAGGTTTGATCTTGAGATGGTTTTGGTCTTTTTTGGAAACTGTTTCTGGCTCTAGACTTTAAGTATGCAAAACACGGACTGAAATGAAAAAAAGAAATCCCAACTGGCCGACTGAAACAAATCTCTTTCAACACTTTCCCCCAAAATGTGATGCTCAGCGTGGTCAACTTAGTTTGTGTTTTTTTTAATGAATTTCTTTCTAGTTAGTGACCAAAACTTAAACTTGGAAACTGCTCCCTGCTGATGGCATGATGCCTATCTTATAGGCTCAAAAACAAATTATTTAAATTAGTATTGTTTGAACAAGGTGAAATATCTGGGAAGAAAAAGTATCCACCCTAACCCTACCTTCAGCACCCTTTTTCACTTTCTATTTGTGAGATCAACCTTGTAAAAGGTTGAAATGTAAAAATATAAAGGTACCCAATTTTTAATCATTTTTTCAGGTTAATAATTTTTCAAATTTTTGTACTGATCAAAGTTTCTTCTGGGTGGCCTCCATGTAACAGGTGTTTTTTTAAGGCACTGCAGGGTTTAGTAATTAAACCAACATTGAATCAATCAAATGATGGTCACTATATCTGGAGTCTGGAACCAATAGTTGCAAACCTCTATATATCATCACCAAATATCCATCGGCAAGTTTGAGGTCTTTTTCATTGTTGAACACTCGGCAAGTGTCATCTGTCTCAGAATGAGATCAAACTATGCAAATGTTGGACTGTGTTTAAAATTTGTAAAAGAGTTTTTTTTGACCATTTGTCAAAACCAAGTGCCATTTGTCCACAAAAAGTGTGGAGAATAGTCATTCTGCATAGTCGCCATGCGTTTGTTTTTAGCCTTGTGGAGGGACATACTTGACATAATTCACTTATTAATTTGCTATGAATGTCCGATCAACCGGCATCTAGTCAGTTCTGTTGTCAGCTGCCTGTTTTGAACAAAATGAAATGTGCTGTGCGGGGATCAATGTTTCAGAGGGGTGCCAGTGTGCTCAATTAAAATGACAGCGAGACAAGGCAAAAGTGTAACCCCACTGACAGAGCCAGATCCTACTGACTACAATGAAACCGTCAGACTCCTGACAAGAGACCCCCCCCCCCCCCCACCCCCACACCCACTCCCTCCAGAACAGCATGTCCATGTACTTTAAAAAATACCTCTTTCTCTCTTAGTTTTTCCATGTTTTTTATGGCCTATGCAAGCTTTGTTCCACCTGAAAAGAGGAAAACCTCAAAGCCCGTCAGCCTTCAATTCAGTGCACAGCTGATAAGAGAGCATGCTCGTCCCGATTGTCACAATAGACCGGCGTGTAGAAAACGACTTGGTGTTTCCATTCAGACTGAAAATTTCTGTTCGGTTAATGTATGAATGAACCATTCCGGGAGCTTTTTTCCTGACTTGCAAAGGGGGGATAATTGTCCCGAACCGTGTGTGGTTTTGGTGGTTTCTCAACCTAATTCTGATACTTACAGATTCCAGTTCTCATCAATCTGAGTCAGGATGCAGATGTGAACCTGCCGGTTAAACCTCTGATCTTTGCTCTGGCCATGGGGGCCTGTCTGGGTGGTAAGTGTTATTTCTTAGCCTCACGCACTTTAACATAAATCTTGCTTTGGATAAAATGCGCTATAGCCTTCTAAGCATCCTAACAGGCAGCGGGGACTTCACAATTAATCCTCGTCAGAGAGGCTTGGATCTTTTTCGATGGCCTTTAGCAGAAAAAGACCTCATATGTCGCAGGTGACAGCCAGATTTTTCAACAGCTGTGTCAAAAACCTTGGGGAAACCAGGCAGTGTTTTTTTTTTTTTTTTTTGTAAAAGAAGCTTCTCCCAGTGGAGGATCTCAAAGTATGCGATGTCCAAGGTCAGCTATACACCCATGGCTAGGCCTTTAGTGGAGTGTGGCAATGTTTGGGTGGGAAGGCCACAAATAGAGACAGCTGAGAGCAAAAAGTTTCACTTCAATAAGCTGCAGTGTGAAAGGCCTTTATCGATCAGCATCCATGATGTCACCACTGCCCAGCTCTCTTTGGAGATGTGAGCAGAAACACACTAGATACCCATGCTGTCTGTCAGAGGGTTTAAGAAGATAGAATAGCATTCTCATAGTTTTTCTCATATTATTGTCACAACAAGTATGGTGTGATTATTAGTTCAACATAATTATTAGTTGAGGACACATTTGCCATTTCATAATACGTCACCATCAAACTCATCAGGTTGAATAGTAAATAAGTCTATCTTTAGTCTGTTAATATCTTTCTCTGTGACACAAATTTACATTGATCAGACATACAACTTACAAATACTATAAAAATGACTTAAAAAACATTAATGTGGGGAAAAAAGTATTTTTTGAAAAAACTTTTTAAACTAACAAGCTAAACCTGAAAAATCTGGCAATAAATGTCCTTTTCCCCCCATATTTTTCAGGGAACGGAACATTGATAGGAGCATCGGCCAACGTTGTGTGTGCAGGAATCGCTGAACAGCATGGTTATGGCTTTTCCTTTGTTGAATTCTTCAAGTAAGTGTGCTCTCAATTTAACAATACGACTTGTAGTTAACACAAGCAGTCCACAGGTTGAGAAATGTACCGGTAATTAAAATCAGATTTGAAATATTGATTTAGGATAGTGAATCGCATCAAAGCAGTTGATTCTGATTGTTGTAAATGCATGTCATTTTATTTATCCCAGAAATGTGTGAGCTGTTCATCTTTTTGTGAAAGACTTTCTCAAAGTGACCCATTTAATGTATTTTTGGGGCAAAGAAATCAAAAGAACATAACTATACTACCGGGGACGAGAAAAATATTACAAGGTTAGTTCAACAGACAGCCTTCGAAAGGCATATAAGTGTGTAAGTCTAACATAAATCAGACAAAATAGAGCTTCTCAGTACCAGACTAACACATCCAGACATTGCAACTGGGGATCGAATAATTCCTACATTACCTCGAGACTTTACACATGCTCCAAGTTCCCTTTGCTCCCTTAAATAATTTCCAGACTGTTCCTCTTCTCTAGAAATATCCAGATGTGTGAAACCACATCTGACACAGCAACCATTGGAGTCACTTGATGACATCTGTGCAGTTAAATTAGGTATACCTAGAGGAATGATATCCAAAAGAAAAAGTTGCAGACACATAATTTTTCTTACCACCTTGCTTTATTCTAATGTTTCCTTAGCAGTTATTCTGTGAAGACACTGAGAAGATACTGACACATACTTCAGAAAGTTTAGAGTGAGTCAAACTGTGACAGTCTTTGTTCAGGTCTCATATCATAAAAAAAGCCTTAACAGCCAATTACCAATTGAAGTGATGCACTGTGAAACCTTTGTAGAGAAGTTGATTGAGAAGTTGTTGGTGTTTATAATAAAGTAAAAGAAGAGAGAGATTAATTATATCTTAAACTGGACAGAAATGTGACTGCCTCAGCATATTTGGATCATTTCCATCCTGCCGATGCCGTTGCCCGACATTATTTGCAATATGCTAGCTGAAGAAATGGAAAGTGGTCAACAATGTTGAAAGGATGAATGAGACCTAATACGCAGTCATTTGGTCATAGTGTGTAATGATGAAATGGGGCCGGCGAACGTGCGTTTTGGGATTAGGCCGTGTGAAAGGTTTGGATCAGAGTGTTTGATATAACGACGGAGTTTACACGCACATCAAAGGTCGGAAAGCATTTCCATTGAGCGGAGTTACGGGGCTTGATCACAGCAGCTGTAACCCTCTGTAGTAACCGGATGATGCCATAGACTGCAAACAGCATCTGCTTTTTTTTTTATTGTCTACAAGAATGAAAGACTTTGGCCAGGAAGTAAAATTGTAAAACTGAGATAGATTTAGAAAAAGGCATGTTATCTTTGTTGAAAAAAAAATTCACATTCAATTATATACGTTTTCATCTTCCAAGAAACTATAACGTGGCGACAAATTTGTTGCTTCAACAAAAAAGACATGGGAATGGCCATCTGCAGCAGAATTAATTGAAATTGATGGAAACAGTTGAAGACTGTCGGCTCTGCTCTCCCCCTCGGTGGAACTATGTTTACAGCCAGTGGATTGAAGCATCGCCCATGGCCGAAGCGCTGCCTGTAATTGGGCGTCGGTAGCAAGGGTCACAGCTGTTCAGAGACACAGGTAAAGGGGGGGCAGAAGTCTGTCTGCCTTTCCAGACATCTGGGACTGAGCAGGGCTGTATCAGGTGGCAAACCGAGGGTCCAGACGAGCCCGGAGGGACATGATGCGCCATCACAAAACAACACGAGGGGCTCCGAATACCTCGGCAATTAGTTTGTATGGCCCTTTGTCATATTCCTCTCCTCAGACCTAGAGAGTGAGAGCTTAGTGAAAGCATCTGTTCTACATGCACTATATGATTCAAGTAAAAAAAAAGTATACTTTATAGTATTATAGTATTGCATTGTACACTATTTAGAGGTAATGACTGTTACAAAGATGTATTAATACACATTTTAATCCTTATCCTGAGTTCCTCTACTTTCCCTCTATCTTCAAAATGAACTATATGGACCTTCAATTTCCACACTCAAGATAAAGCTTTTAAACTGATAACTCCAAAACTTGCACTTCAGTTATAGACAGATGACTGAATAGAAATCATAGAATCATATAAAATCACTGTGAAGCCCCAAAGCATCCCAATAACATGACCCAACTGTCTCCATTTTTCACTATAATATGATATGAGAGGGGATTTGAACAGACAATTAAGGCTAATATGCAACATATAAAGAGTATGACAGGATAAATAGAAATAGAAAGTGAAGATACATATAATTGTGATAAAATAGGTCAAATAAACTAAGACACAAGCATATAAAAGTTAAATACATAGGAAGTTGAAGGGTTTCAAATCAATTAAGCATTACCCCCAAATAACTAAATGTCAAAAGAATAGAATAAAATCATTACCAATACACACCTCTACATTACCACATTTAATATTTAATTAAAGGAAGTTCAACCACAGGCAATGTGATACTTGATACATTCACAATTCTCAAATGGACCTTATATAAACCACGAGTCTGGTGTAGCCTGATTGCCTTTGATTGCCTTAATGTCTTGGTTTCGACACGTAAATTATTGTAGACCACTCTGTGATTTTCCTATACTTATAGCCTTAACCATAGCACCTTCCATAAAGAATAGGTTGCTTTATACACCTTGCTTTTACGCTCCTATCGATGTCCACCTATTGTGGCTTAAGCTCTCAAAAAATTATAATCCACATTTTTTTTTTAGCAATCCAGCCTGCTGAACCAATGATCCTGAGCAAATTTATCTTTTTAAAGAAATGAGACTATCACAATTATCCAGTTCCCAGCACCATTTGCTTGTTTTATGTGTATTAAGTATGACATTTCCATTTTTACCTGAAAAACAATTACTGAAACTTACAAGTACCATAATCACTCAGAAAAACTGTCGTTTTCTGGAGGTATTAGAGTCCTTTCTCGGTAATATTCCACAAACTAAATTGAGAACATTTTGTCATTTACTGTCATAGTTCTTATTGAATAGAGCACATGATTTTGTTCCCCCAAATGGAGCAATGCTGCTCTGTCCCCGTGTTTTATACAGCCTTCACATTCGGAGTAGCACATCCCCTGGGTTTCTCTAAAGGGAGCCTTGGAGATTGCATCAGGACTTTCAAAGAGCTCCCATCATATGAAATTAAGTTATTGTGTGGGAGAGTGAGGTAGAGTTGGAAACTTCTAGACAAGGTGAACCTTGTTACTTTTCTGTTCTGCACTGTGGTAACTTTCTCATCTGGTCTGTGTCAATTTTATGCTGCGCCCGTGATGGGGAAATGGGGATTGTCACTTTGAAACTGGTGACCCCAGCTCAAGTACAGTTTAGGTTTTTCTATCCATCTTCAGTAAACATTTATTTAACATGTGTATGCAATGTCTTGTTGATGGCCCATTTAAAATTTAACTTGTGAAACTATCTTTCCCGTATTTACACTCACTCAGAAAGTCAATTTTTTATTCAAATAATATAAAGTTCTTATAGAAAACACTTGTCCAGCAATACAACTAAAGGGTTCTGCTGCAAATCAATAAACTCACCACTGACAAATCATCACAATTTCTATGCAGCCCTAGGATGTTTGTGACCGTAGCTCAACGCTGAGAGACAGAGACAAAGTTGTGACTTCACATTGATGCATTGCGTATGGTTCACAGCATGTAAGTCTGTGTCCTATTTTTTCTAAAGCCGGGCTACGCTGCAAAGGCCCCAGTTGTTTTTTAACAGCGTCAAGTTGAAATGAAACGATCATGCACGTATTCCTCACTGCTTTTGGAGGAGTTAATTGGACATATTCAAAATCACAGCTTCTTATGAAACCTGTCATTGTGGTTGTCATTTTGGCTGTTTTGTCTACAAACTGGGGCCCGGCTGAAAATGGGCCTGCTTGAGTGAAGACTAATTGCGATTAGAATAGAAAGCGTGACAGTTGTAGCAACGTGTGTTAAAGCTAAAAAGCTGTGCTCATTACATTTACGTGTAAAGATTGTCCACGCCTTTGCAAATGAATGCTAGCTGCTGTTATGTGGAGACATTTAAAAATGTTCTGTTTTAGCCACGGTTCACAACCAACATTTAAATCATAGATTCTACTTCTAATATAGTCTAAGGATTTGCGATAGAATAGATTTGTAAGATGAGATTTGTCATTTCATCACATGTCATCTGGCATATGTATTGTCTTAAAAAAAATATGGTTTTAACTAAAATTGCCTTTATTTAGACTAAAATCTATTGAAAGAGTTCAAGACAGGCTTTTAAACTGTTATTTTGAATACAAAGCATTGAAAGTCTAGATTGTAGTATTTTTAATGATTTTATTCTGTTTTAAATAGTAAATAGAGAAAGTCACCATAAAGTTTGCTCTTTTAAAACCCCAAAAAATTATCACCTCGGACAGTGTGAAAAATAAAATGCAACCTAATTTACATGACAATCTCTTGCCACCATATTTAATCTGCTAATGAAATCAAAATTAAGCATAAGCTGTCTTAAAGCTGATTGATAGCCACTGACCAATCAAAAACAACCTTTCCACTATTGTAAGCTTCACCTCACTATATAACTGAGTGTTAACTTGGAATTGATTTGAATTGATTTTTTGTCTTGAAGCAAAAAACAAACAAAAAAAAAGCTTCTGTAAAAGCTAAAGCATTATCTTAATTTTCTTTACCTCTTACTTTCCTTGTTGAGTCAGTTATTAAATCACTTTCCTGTTAGGTGGCATCTGGTCTAATTGATATTTTCATAAGATTATTCTACCTTATTTTACACCATCAATGTTTTAATTGACCCTTTGGAAATGTTCATAGAGATGAATCACTGGTGTGCTAAGCACACACATATTGTAGCCGCTCTTTTTGTCAGACGAGCCGGGTCTGTGTCAGAGGCTGCTGGCAAACACATATCTGGCCCTCAGAGCAGCCTTGTGCTCATATAGGACATGGTTACGATCCAAATGAGAGGCCATCTGCAGTCCTCGAGTCATCTATGGGGACATTTTCGATTCGGGATGCTAATTCGGGAATGAAAACTGCCATGAATCTTTATAAAGAAGATAACTGCATTTCAGTCGCTACACTAAAAAAAAGGGATGCCCTTTAAAAAATGCCAAGGAGTACAATGTGTCCCAGATTCTCAGAAGAAAACTTTAGTCTGTCATGATTGATGGCTTTGGAATTGCTTGCACATAGTTGAGGACTTAACCTTTTATTTTGTATACAAACTCAATATGATTATTTAAGGAAAATTAAATACACATTGGAGCAAAAGGGTATTTCTGGGTTTAAGTTTGAACATGCATGTCGATGGTACAGATGATTATGTGTTTGGTGATTTGTATCACCTCTGAAGAGAGCTATGCTTAAAAAAAGTATCTGACAGTTAGGTCAAAAGCAAATAATTCGAATATGCTTGAATTATAAAGGGGGAGGTAATAACAGTAAAACAAGATCACTGTGAAGGACCCACTTCTGACTTTCAGCCATGAAGCAGACGCCTCAGGCACTGTTTAAATATTGCCAGATGTGTCTGCAATTACCTATTTTCACACTGCTGAGAAGTTTGGTGTCTTTTCCATAATTTTTGTATGTCATCACACTTGAAACATGGTCTATCTCATAGATAATAGAGTAACTAGTAGCCCTGATTATGCAATTTATATTGTATGTCACTGTTTTTCATTGGGTTTTTGCTGTCACAGTGACAGCCTGAATTGTATCATTTGCAATCACAATTCAACACTGACACACTTTTTTTTTAACTCTTTGTCTGCTATAATATTGAGGAAATACAAATTTAGAAAAGAAATAAAATAAAATAGAAATGTTGCCGTGTTCTTTGTTAGTCGCAGAAAACACAAAGCCGACAATTGGCCATTAGCCCCGTTTGAAGCTATGGTGGCCATCTGTCTCCTACATTTTTTAAATGTGCACCCAATCACCATTGTTGGATTTGTCTTTTTTCAGTCTTGTCTGTCAGAGAGATCACACTCTGACTGGCTTCTCAACACAGCAAATGATATTACAAGAAGGGAGTCAGGGTAACAAAAGAAAGAGAACTTTTAAACATAACAGTCTTACTTACACTGTATTTCCTAGTTTCTATAAAGTTTTCATTCCTGATGGAACCAAAGTTTCTTCATTTTGATCCTATAAATGCTGCCAAATTATAATTAAAATACTGAAACTGGACAGGCCTTTTAATTAGAAAATTGTCCCAAGGTTTCTGTATAAACATTGGAAGACCGTCAAATTAAAGACCAAAGCATGTCTGTTTCCACTACAAAAAGTGGCAAATTCAACTTTTTAATACTGGATGCTGGAATTAGTTTCAGATCAGTCTGATAAATGGATAGCTTTAGATCCCTAAAACTGAAATACAAAACTCTCTCAATTGTGGTTATTCTCTGTTGTTTTCAATATCTGTTGTTATTTCCTATTTGATGCAACAGGAAATATAGAACATGTTCTTACTCTTAAGGCCAAAATGAGTCCCACTTTAAGATAACATGCAGGATTAATTTAATTTAATTTATTTTAATTGTATGAGGTCTTTTGAGGATTACAATCTTTCCCTAATGAACTCACTTTAAACCAAATTTAGCATTGTATATCATTACTGGATTGTTGATGTGATGTCTTGGTGTCATAATTAAAACATACTAGATTTGCGTCCTGTAACTGGGATGAATTCTCAAACGGCTCGATTTTCCTCAGTCGCTTCGTTCCAACGAATTAACTGCTGTCTTTTCTTCTCATCTTCTCACAGGTTAGGGTTCCCCATGATGATAATGACATGCATGATCGCCATGTGCTACCTGCTGGCCACCCACATCGGACTGGGGTGGAACATGTAAGCCACGCTTGCCGAACGGAGCCAAAGAAACCGCGCATGTGTCGACGTGGGTTTTTGCGACCGCACACGCATGTGTACCATTCTCCAAACGACTCACCGTGTTACCCGAACGACCGGCCAGACCACAAGCACTACGTCACAAGCTTGGGAATTGTCTTTGCCTGCAGTGTGAATCACCAGGGACTCGATTTACAGGGGCTTTGACCAAAACTTTAAATAGCAGAAACAGTTCTTTACTGGATAAAATGGTTCCTAACCATAATGGTATATATATGGTGCTATGGCCTCAATGGGTATGACAGGTTTGGGTGATTTCAGCTACAGTATGGCCTGATATCATTCTTTTGGATACCCTTATGGCCTCTTAAGATCAATCAGCAAATTGTTATTCTAGATTTGCTCTCGGACACAATTAGAGGACTGATCATGACATGCCTTACACAAACATTTCATCTGGGGATTGTCGTTTCCTATGGTGATGTTTGAAAGAAATCACAAGACCCAGTGAAAGGGATTTTATAACAGCTTTGTCTATATTTCTTTCTTAAAAGCAGAAGACAAAAGCACACTCAAAACTATTCAGTAAACTGTTGTTTGCAGTTTTTACAGCAGTGTTCACACATTGATTTTAGTCCAGACCTGTCAATCATACTTAATGTGGTTGTGTCGGGAAGTACTTAAAAATGTCAGTTTATGGAACAGACGGCCGCATCTTACCGTGTCGAGCTCAAACTGTTTCATGTATTTATTGTACAGCCAGGCTACCTGAACATTGTCTGTCTTTACTAAACTCTGACATTATTAATAAAGACGGTCATGACTCTCAAGTTTGTTTCCCTTTTGTGTTGCTGTTGTACATAGAAACTGCATTTAACATTCTAATAAATAACTCCTAGTTGACTGAACTGTGCTCAGATTAACTTCAATAACTAAGAGGGCTTGTTAGAGTGTTAAATTATTGATTTTTTTCCTGTATTTCTGTTTGCATTGGAGTTGAACTTCTAGAAAATCATGAAGTCCGCCGGTATTCTCCTGTAATTCTGATAGACTGGCATAAGTAGATTATTCGTGTCAAGGGTACACCGTATAGCTACCCACTTGTTTTTCTGACCGTCTGACGAAAAGAGATACTCCGGTTTGCTCCTGTTTTGCAAAACCGCCTAAATTATGCTGCAGCTGGAGAGAATCCAGCTGTTCTGGCCCTTATCTGGTGCTCGGTATGGCCATGTTCACCGACAGCCATTAGCATATTTATTGCGGTCACTGACCAGATGCTTCCACAAAGATAGTTCACAGAATATTTAATCATTGTCTGCGGGAAACATGCAAAAACAATGGCAATGGCTGCTTTTTTTCTCCTATTTTTCAATAGCTAAACTTTGACAACTTCTGTGAAGCCTTGTGGGCAAAGGAGTGTAAAATGGTACATTCTTAATCTGGATAAATCATGAGAGAAATAAACATGTTGCTACATCAATTTACATTATTGATATTACGACATGCTACTGTCTGATGATCCATCCATCTATTTTCTATACTGCCTATTCCCAACAGGGTTGTGGGCGGGCTGGAGCCTATCCCAGCTGAAAACGGGAATCCTAAACTATTCCTTTTGAAGTGGCATGTGAAAATATACATTTTGTGTCGCCAAATAATGCGTTAAATTTGCTGCTGCTGTATTAATGTGTATATGTGCTGGGGAGAGCATGTCTTTTCTGCACCATCTTTAATCTGTATATGTTTATTGTGGTTATATTCTGAAAACATGACGTAATACATACACACACACACACATATATATATATATATGTATATAGTTTTCTTTAACAATATTCCACCTCCATCCATGGAAATACTATAAAATAAACCTGACACCCAAAGGCGTTCACCACTTTTTGTGTCTGCATCTTGAACTTGGCCAGTTGTTTCACATTGTGTCAGAAGAGAGAATAAAAGAATAATGAATCTCATCTGCTAGTCTCAGTGTATAGTAAGGAAAACAAATTTCCACAGAGTCATGTCTGCATCACATGTTGCATCCTAAAAATTTGAAAAACTTTTACCCCTACATCTCGTCCCTCGTGTTTCTTGGCATGTGAGGGTTTATCTCCAGCAGAAAGCCTCTCACTATGATGTACTGGGATAACTGACAACGGTGGAAAAAGTGCAAACTGCTAAAAATGTATTGTGTTCACCAACATTTAGCTGGTTTTATTAGAAAATGACTGAAACCAGACCGAGACTGAGACTAGAGCTGTGAACAAAATATGTATTGTGAACAAAATATATTTTACTACCAAAACCGTGTACTAAAAGAAAACTTGCGCATTGGCTAATACACAATCTTATACACAATTTAAAGTCTTTGTTTACATCTACATCTACATTTTTTCCTCAGGCAAGAAGCGGCAATGTAATTCCATGTGTAGCAAAACCACATGTGATATCAGTTGTTTGCATTAGGCAACTGCAAATAGAAGTAGAAACTATCAACAAACCAGATAAACACGGCCAATTTTGATTACTACTGTCCTCTTGACCACGAGCTCCCCTTTCCTTTCTCTCTCTCCCTCCCGGTGCAACCTCATTCCATTAACAATGTTACTAACTGGACTCTCTCCCTTCCCCGTAGTCGTGTGCTTTCTCGTCCCCCTTCTCTCTTCTCTCTCTTCCTAACACTTTCTGCAGATATTCCTGGCTCTGGAGCTGTGGGGTCTGGATCTGTGGTTGGGAGTCTCCTCCTATCACTTCCTGCAGGTGTTCCTAGAGCTGTGGAGTCTGGATCTGTGGTTGGGAGTTTCCTGCTGCCCCCATGTTCCTGCTCATCATTAGCATTAATATCATTGCCATTTTTAATCTATTCTACGTGTTGCTGTGTTGGCTGCCCCTCTCTGCTCCTTCTGTCCTTCTCTCGCCCTCTCTCTCTCTATTGCTCTCTCTTTCCCCTCACCCCCAACCGGCCGAGGCAGATGGCCGCCCACCCTGAGCCATGGTTCTGCTCAAGGTTTCTGCCTGTTAAAAGGAAGTTTTTCCTTGCCTGTGTCGCCTAGTGCTTGCTCATGGTGGGAATTGTTGGGTTTCTGTAGTTAACTTCAGAGTAGGGTCTGACCTGCTCTGTTTGGAAAGCGCTGTGAGACAACTGTTGTTGTGATGTGGCGCTATATAAATAAAATTGAATTGAATTGAATTGAATTAACTAATTAATTAGACTAGTTCAATAGAAAGATTCATTAGATTTCCTCCAAGAAGTGTTATCTACATCCAATGCTCCTATTCATCAGAGGGGATTAAATGTGTTTTACTCTCTGTAATTAGGAAGCCGAGCGGGAAGGCTTAAGAGGTATCAATTTAGAGAATATTTCAAACAAGGTCAAACCGACAAACACTAATAATAGGTGGCTGAAAAAGTCTTTCATACTAATTAGTAGGGAAGTAAAATGATGGTCTTCTGAAATACATACATACATTAATATATTGTTCAGCCTATATATTAAGCATTTTGTTCCATGGAGCAAGAAGAAAAAATTAATCAGACATGTTTTTGTTAAATGTAACTATTAATTTATTTTAGAAATATTGCATTACTAAAGTTGGAAACATGTCCTATATATGTCCTAAAAACAATCCTATAGTCAGAAATTGTGAGTGAGTAACTGAGGCCTGGCAATATTTTATATGGGTGCTAAAATTTGTACATGATCAAAGCTATTGAATAGACACAAAACATTAAGGACAATAGATTCTCATGTATGACATTACAGAACTATTAATAAAGGAATATTCAGCATAAGGGGAGGAATCAATACTTGCTTGACTAGACTGTCGATTTTCAATTCTTGTATGGCAATACCTTGTGAAGAGTATATTTCAGTATATATTAAATATACTTCCATTGAATAATGACATATTAAAAACGTCTAATTTATCCTAGAAAACTAAATGTATTTACACTGTTAGCTGCTGTAGAAAAAGATCCATCATCATCAATATCACATTTATCTGTGCCAACATGAGATTTGTGATCAATTTCAACACAAACATTTGCATTTATGAGCAGTTAATAAATCTGGGGACTGAGTACAATGACCATAAATCAATTAAAATCACAGCCACTCTTTCCATCCAAATACTAAAACCCCAACTTTCCCTGATTGCTTGAACCAGGCAGACTGGTTTGATCATAGACATTGGCTGGAGAAAAGAGCTCAAAATCACTCACCTGAATCTCTAAAAGAAAAAGCATTTTAACCTCTGAATACCGACTGAACGGTACTCCATGAAAAGAAATGACTCAAGTTAGTTGTGATAGTTATCTGTCGCAGCGCGCACCACTTAGAAAAGAGCCATCAAAGGCCCATTATTTCAATTTTACAACAAACAGACAAGAGGTCTTGCAAAGTAAATGTTGTGGTGTCTCTTTCTGGTTGAACCCCAGTTTTGATCTCTGCAGATCAAAACTCACTTGCCTTGTTACCATTCCCTCTCCCTAATAATAGAGTATTTGCATATCAATGGGAGAAATGTATTACACTCTTGATGGCTTATTGTTTATAGACAAGTAAGAGATGATTGGAAATAAGGCAGCATGGCATAGACATAATTGGATTTCTTATCTGGGCATTGTGTGCCTGATGAAAAAGACTATGGGTGTGAGTATTAAAGTCACGAGCCAAGGGTTCAACTTTCACCAAGTGGTCAAACTTTGAGGAGACTGGTCATTCATAGAACTTTCATGGCATAGTTTGTTTATAAGGTCTAAAATCTTAACCAATAGGAATTTGCCCCAGCAATTCTGGCATTTAAAATATAGATTAAGGCAGTTGACCAAGGCTTTGCAGATGTATAGATTCACTGTCAGTGTAAAAAAATGAATAAACCACAGTACATGCAGGTAGTGGACACAACGAGCTCAGCATAAGCATCCTCCTCTGGCCAGGCCTCTGGGTGACTTGCTCAGATTCAGTAATGAAAAAAGCATCTGCAATCACAGTTGCTTATCTTGAATTAACATGATAGAAACGTTGGACAGAAAAAAAACAAAAAAAAGGGAACGAGTTAGCTTCATAGATCTGAATGTTAATTTGGATAAATATTATGGCGAATCTGGTGTATTGTGGATATACTGCTTAACATTAATCATATAAAACCTTTAGAGCATGAGATCTCCAAAATATATACTCCACATATATTGGAGCCATAGTAATCGAGTGAAATCAACTTCAGTGAATTGGATTAACCCAATCATTCTCTATAGAAGTGTTTAGCTCCTGGTCCATATCCTGCCTGGTGCATCTAACTACATATGAGTTTGTTTTGTAAGATGGAGATATACAATCTTTAGAATTTGTAGATGAGGCACTTATGGGCAAACCTAAAGTGAGATTCAATTAGGTTAGGAAATAAGTAAGGAAATAGGAAAGATGTTAGGGTATAAAAACAATATTAATGTGAGACACCCGAGATGTTTGTGAGTGCGTATGGGATAATTTGGTTCTGAGTTTTTCTACTATTTTGGTTTCATAGCAGAAGCTTTTTCTGCTGGCGATCCAGTCCAATCAGAAATGACCCCAGCTGAAAATACAGAGAAGGAGGTGCCACTGAACCTCTGTTTGGAAGCACAAATCCATACTTTTCAGTATGCCACCCTAAAAAGTGCTTAAGGGTATGCCTCCCATCTACTCGAATCTTCTTGCAAAGGCTTATGTCACAACTCGGTCACTCCGGTAAAAAACAAAACAAAGTATAATTAATACTTAATCTAGCCCTATAAAGCCAACTGTATCATATTTGATACATACAGTTTCTGAAGTCTTTTAGATCTGAGACTTTTTGCATCATTCAATGGTAAAAG